CGTCGGCCGAGGCGTTGGTCATGTCGCCTGCCGCCAGCTCCGTGCCTTCGGCAGCGTGCGTGCTGCCCTCCGAGACGTTCTCGTCGTCGGGTGAACTCTCACCGGAGTACTGGACCATCGTGCAGTCAAAGACGGCGGCTTCCCAGTCGCGAGCCGGGCTTTTATGGCCCCGAGGACTCTCCTCCTTGCCTTGCGCGGCGTCAGGAGACTTGCTCCGAGCCCCGGCCTGACGACCACTCTCCGGCGTGCTGCTACGAGAGCGCACCACCTCCTCGGCCGCCTTCGTGGCCTCCATCAGCGCGGACGACTCGTCCTTGGCCTTGGCCGCCCTGGTCTTCGGCCCTACGGCCCGCGGTTTCGGAGGTGCTTTCGCACTGCGCGCACTGCGCTTTGGAGGCATGTTTCCAGTCGACGTGGAGACCCTGCGGCTTGCTCGGCGATGCGCCAGTTGCTCTGTGAGGCCCGGGAGCCGAGGCGCCAGAGCTCGCGCCGTTGTCGATGGATTTCGACTTTACGAGTGAAATGTGAGTCGCCGGCGTAACCTCGCTCTGATTGGTCGATAGGATCGAATTTAAGTGGGGGAGGATGTAACGGGGTTACATGGAATAGTGACCCTGTCACTATTCCGGGATGGCTACATCGGTCACTCCCCTGGATAGTGACACAAGTGGCCTCAGAGCCAACAGATACATTTTGTATGACACAAACTATAGGGAACTTAGGATTTGTATGCAGGCCAAATCTGTACCAACCTATAAATACATTCAGTCTTAGATCTACCGCTTTTCAAGTCAAGTCGTCCCCTTCAGACCAGGGACACGTGAACGGCTGTTCACTTGGGTTTGTATACTCCTGCTTCCTCTGATAAGAAGTGCTGTGTGCCCCGTCACAGTACGGATCTGATGGCGTTCTTCCTGACCTTCGAGCGCGCACTGAAGGCGGCTGCTGAAGCTACTGGCATTGTGATGACTGACGAACAGAAGTCACTCTATCTCTATCATGCGATGCCTAGTACCTGGAAGTCTGACCTTGCGATTTGGAAGGGCAGCAAGAAGTTTATCCCGTACACGGACCTCAAGACCAACATTGAGCGTAAAGTGCTGGATGACTACGCCAAGCGCAAGTACGTGATTGAGAAGGGCAGCCCCGAGACCCCCGCCACGGCCAGCGAGACGGCACTTCAGGTCATTGCGAACACACCTCATGGCCGAGACGACCCGCCTCGTCGTTCTCAAGGTTGCACCTACTGCCAACGGCCAAATCACGCCATCCGCGACTGCCGTGTGCTGCAGAAGCACCTGCGCACTGGTACTGTCAAGGAGGGCACAGTGCTGTCAGCGAACTTTGGCATTATCGACCGCAAGCCGAGGGATGACCACAACCCCTTCCCGGCCAAGCAGCAGCGCACCCAACGCTCGGATGACCGGCAGCGCCCACCCTCTCGCAATGAGAATGGGTTCAAGGGTCCGGACATCTATGATCGCTTTGGCAACCCGGTCAACTTCCAGGACCTCCAGCGCAAGTTCAGCCCGAGAGGACGCGAAGCGGAGCTCATCGCCTATGCGACTGTCATCATGCCGGACATCGGTCTGTCGGCTACGAGCTCTGACCCCCATGACCCTACGTGGACGGTTGACTCGGGATGCACTCGCCATGCTGCTTACCAAGAGGCCTGGTTCAAGGAGATCCGCCCCTACGCCGGCGCCATCATGGTCGGTGGCAAGCACCAACTAGCCATCCGCGGCATTGGTGATGTGGTCCTCGAGGTGGTTGACACTACCGGTACTACCCGCCTCATGGAATTCCGTGATGTGCTATACGTGCCGGACATGAAGTTCAACCTCCTGTCCATTGCCCAGGTGCTGAAAATGGGTATTCGCGTTATCTTCAGCAGCACTCGCTGCACCTTCTTCGTGGGCAAGGACTACAAGGTCCACGTCGAACTCGCGTCGGACATGAACCTGTTCCAGTTCAAGCCGAAAATCCCACTCAAGACGCCCAGCGCGCTCGTGGCCCCAGCTCCTGCGGACGATCAGCCCGCCAATGCCCTTGTGGCTCAATCAGGTATGGACCCTGCTGTCTTATTGTGGCACAAGCGTCTCGGTCATCCTAACTTTCGTGTGATGCAGGGACCATGTCTAGGACCCAAGCGGCCCCTGAACTGGCGTTCTCTCAAGCATCAGCGATCCCCAAACACTTCTGCCCCTCGTGCATCTTTGCTAAAGCACACCGTGCTCCATTCAAATGCAATGTTGATCGCTCTAAATGCCCTCTTGAAAAAGTTCATTCTGACATCAATGGCCCCTTGCATTACCCAAGCCTAAGTGGCGCTCACTACTTCATTACGTTCATTGATGACTACTCGCGTTTCATGCACCTATATGTCGTTGCGCGCAAGTCGGACTTGTACGATTGCTATGAGAAGTTCCGTAAGGCAGCTAAGAACCGCTTCAACACTGAGGTCGGTACCCTGGAAACCCAATTCAATCAGTATGACCCTGAGGTGCAACGACTTCAGAGCGACAATGGTAAGGAGTACGAAAAGCTCGGCCAGATCATATTTGATCGCTATGGCACGCATGCCCAGTTCACCAACGCGTATACACCTCAACAGAATGGCGTGGCTGAGCGCCGGATGCGCACTATCCTAGAATGTGTGCGTGCCCTACTCATCGATGGTGATCTACACCGCCAACTTTGGGGGGAGTGCTGCCAGTACGTCACGCACCTTATCAATGTGACTACTAGTAGTGTGCTTCCTAAAGGCGTCACTCCCTATGAGCTTTGGCATGGCAAGAAACCATCTCTAACGTACATCAAAATGTTCGGATGTGCGGCATTCGCTCTTACACCAGAGCCGCATCGCAACAAACTAGAGGCGCGCGCTAAACTGTGCATGTTTGTGGGCCTTCCCCAAAACAAGAAAGGGTATCGCCTTCTCAGCACGACGGAAAACAGAATCATTTACAGCCGAGATGTCACGTTCAAAGAGGACACATTTCCTAACCTCACCTATTTAGAACGGGCCTCTCCAAACCCTCTCAGCACCTCCCTGCCTGTTCAAAAAGAACTCCTGCCTCCCCTAAGTGCGCTACTAAAACGCAACCAAGCCTCGCTGGTGGCCACTGATGCTGACGTGTCTACCCCTTCCGCTAAGAAGGTTAAGACAAAAGACGCCCTCGCCATCTACTCTAAGGCGCTACTGCTCAACGAGCCCATTGACCTGGAAGAGGAACATACCCTTCATCATACCATCATTACTCTCTTAGCTGCTCGCTATGACCCAGACCCTAAGACCTACAAGGAAGCCATGCGCTCCCCACATGCATCTGACTGGCACGCTGCTGCCCTCTCTGAATATCGGTCGCTCATGGAAAACCAAACGTGGACACTGGTGCCGCGGCCGCACAACCGCAAGGTGCTCCAGTGCAGATGGGTTTTCGTGCGTAAGCGCGATGAAACTGGTCGCGTTGTGCGCTTTAAAGCTCGCCTGGTCATTAAAGGCTTTCAGCAAAAGTACGGTATCGACTATACAGAAATCTTCTCTCCTGTCGTCTGCATGGGAGTCCTTCGACTGCTGCTCACGCTTGCAGCAATCCTTGACTATGAAATTGAACAGATGGACGTTAAAACGGCTTTCCTCAATGGTTCACTCGACGTAGAAATCTTCATGGAACAGCCTGAGGGATTCAACTCAAAGGATCGCCCTGGCCTCGTCTGCAGCCTTGGTAAGAGCCTATACGGCCTCAAGCAAGCACCTCGTGTCTGGTATCACACCTTTGCTAAGTACCTCGAACGTCTGGGCTTCACTCGCCTCGTTAAGGACCGTTGCGTGTTCTTTAAGGTTATATTCGATGCGCCGTGTTACATCTCGGTTTACGTCGATGATCTGCTGATCATCTCCCCATCCAAACATGTCGTTGCTCGGGTCAAATCGGCCCTGAGTTCCGAGTTCCACATGGCCGATTTAGGGGGAGTATCCTACCTCCTTGGCTGGACAATTGAAAGGAACCGAGCTAACCGCTCCATCTTCATCCACCAAAAGAGCTGTGCCACCAAAGTGCTAGATAGATTCTCAATGTTATACAGTCACCCAAAGAGCACGCTAATCGCGCAGAAGCTTAGTGCCATCGACTGTCCTACCGACGACGATAGTAAGGCTATGATGGCCAACAAACCGTACCGAGAAGCTGTAGGTAGTTTCATGTACCTGATGACGGATACTCGTCCTGACCTTGCCTACTTCATCCGTGAAGTTAGCCAGTACCTCGACAACCCAGGGCTGCCTCACTGGAATGCTGTAAAGCATGGTCTTCACTACCTCAATGGCACAAAAGACTTTGGCATCACTCTTGGTGGAGTGGAAAACCTCGAGCTCCTACAGTCAGATGAATATCTCATGGCTTATACGGACTCAGACTACGCAGCATGTCAAGACACACGACGCTGCATCGGTGGTTATATCACTATGTTCTGCAACAGTCCCATTAGCTGGGTCTCACGGCGACACCACACAGTCGTGCTCTCCACAACGGAAGCAGAGTATATCGCACTCTGCTACTGCATGCAAGAGCTGATCTACTTAAAACTACTGCTAAGAGAACTAGGCTACGAGAGATCAAAGCTCACACTGATCATGGAAGACAACCAAAGTTGCATTAAGATATGCAACAACCCAGAGCTTCACGGCAAGAGCAAACACATTGACATTAAGTACTTCTTCGTACAGGAGAAGGTGGCGCGCAAGGAGTTCACTGTCAGCTATTGCAACACCAATGCAATGTGCGCTGACATCTTCACTAAACCTTTAGCGAAGCCACTATTTGAGAAAATGAGAGAGCTATTACGTGTGTCCCCACCACAATAATGAGGGAAAATTTATAGAAGACTTTGCACTTTGATGATAAATAAAAGAACAATTTAATGGTGAGAGCATTTTAGTTTATTGTCTGAAGATTTAAAACGCACCGTGAAATCCTCTCCCGACATGTCCTTCGCGATTACCAGACTCTGAACGGACGCACAAATGCGAAGAAGTTCATCCAGCGACACTCCTCCACAGGCTTCTCCTTGCCCTTGTCGATAATGGTCTTGCGCTGGCCCCGTCCGCCACGCGAAGCACAACTGCATGGCCCACGAATCGGACGTTGTAAGCCGCCACGATGTACAGTCCATTCGTAACGCCCTTGTCCGGAGTCAGCTCGCTCTACACACGCGGCCCGCGACGTCCTCCTTGGACGTAGTTGTTCTTTATCATCTCGTTAATCTTGAGCGCAGTCCCATGCTGGCGCAGCTTGCGCAGGAAAGCCGTGAACTGCTTCCAATTGCAGCCCAGGTTCATGTCCACGTCGAACTTGCTCTTAGCCTCGGCGAAGAAATCATCGATCACCATCTGCGGAACCAGGTTGGGGCGCTTAAGAAGGTTGGCCGCAACTGTCATAGCTCGAAACATGCAGGAGTAGTCCTCGCCCGCAGCAATGATGGCCCTGCCGTACCAGTCAGTCTTGCAAAACTCGCGGAAGTGCTCCATCCTGCTGTTCATGAAGCGCAGTGCCACCCAGCACTCCTCGCGGTGAGTCTCCAAAATATTCTCGAGCGGCTCCAACGAGCGGTAGCGTTTGCTGGCAGGCTTCGGACGCCAATCCCACAGCACGCTGACGAAGGTCTTACTGATAGGGATGCCGCCCTCCTTCTCGTTGGGCGTCTCGATCATGATGAAGTCGTCGATCTGCCAAACGTCCCAACGCAGCGTGGGGTCTGGGTCACAGTATGGCTCCTCCGGCTCGTCGTCCGACGAGAACAAGTCATCGTATATCCCCTCGCCCGCAGAACCAGTATCACTGAGGTCCTCACTGCAAACATCGTCACTACCTACATATTCATCGTCCGAAAGCTCATCAGCGGATGATAGGGGCGACTCGTACAGCGGGAGCCGCTTGGGCTTCACCATGGTCCTCTTTTGACTGCTCCTAATTTTAGAACGGGTTCTGAAGTCTCTAAACCAACGCCGTCGGGCCTTTACAGAGAAAGAAGGCCCAGTCAGTACCGCTAGTGTTCGAGCTGCTGATATTGCTCTAAATCTAGAACGAAGCCTGAACCAGATGTCGGCCCTCACGAACAACTGACTGTTTGCTGCAGGGGGAGTGTCAAGGATATCGCTCCAGGCCGCTGCCTGACTTGCTTCTTGCTCTCTCGCTAACCTGAATACATCTCACTTTCCAATCTTCCCTACGTCTACGTCTTTCCTTCTCTCCCGTCTTCGACCTGCGCAAGTGCTCAAGCTGATGGCTCGACACTGCCGGACAAGACCACTCACCGCGAGTGGCTATGTATGACAGATTGTGTCACCACAGAAAACGTTATGCCTCGGTGGGTCATCACCGCATGCGTTATGCAAATCAAAAGTATGGTTATCCACATATCCACATACTTATAATCCCGATTATTGTTACTACTTAAGTATTTTAGTATGATATCGCGAAAGGGATAGCACATAAGTTGGTGCCAATACGCCTTCGGAGGAGCAATTCACGCAACCATTGCGTAATATATGGTGAGTGCGTTTGTACTACATTCGCACATGTGTTATTCGATATCGGTTCAAGAGGACTATCCATATCTCGCTCTGACCATAGCGTTTACGAGTACACTTTTTCTCAGCCCACTATCATACAAAAGATACAGTGCACTGCCATCATGGATCGCGTTATGGCGACGGTACTTCTCCTCAAACATGGGGACGAACTATGGAGCTCGAGGTTACGGAGCTCGAGGTACCAAAAATAGACAATTGGGTATGTGGACCCAAAATTTGAATCACCCTAAATTTTCACACTTGCTGTTCTTGAAATTAGTCTAGAAAGTTGCAAGATGCGGCATGGCTTAACCCCTATTCCCGGACCGCTAGGCCCGCGGCCCGCCGCCACCCGAAGGGTGGCCGGTGGGCCGCCGCTTTTTTTATTGCGAACAGTCGTTATTTGTTTTCACATGGGCAAGAAGGCGTCCGCAGCACTCGTTGCTGTGCGGGACGCCATCGCCCTGAGGAAGTTCCCTCCTGAATTGCAGCTTCCCGAGAAGAAAAAGGACTCACTTTTCTCCTCATGGCACGGCCACCCTACGCTCGCCTGGGCCCCGGAGTGCCTTCGCACTAGCCGCGTTCCAAAATGCGTTGTTGAGGGGTGTCTGTGTGAGCCAAAAGTGAAGGAGTATTTGCAGCGGTACGTACACGACGTCGATCACAAGACTGTTTTGTATTATGGAAGGTATCGCTGTACAGGGCCTCATGCAACACGCACATTTTCAACTATCGACGATGAGTATCTAGCATAATCACCAGAACTCTTGCTAGCATTCCCTTACCTTCTAACCTATCAAACGGGTGTATCACGCGAGCTGTTTAACCTTGTTTATGATAGCATGCTAACGACAAGAGGCATATCTGGGGCAAGCAGCAGCGTCACCCGTTGTCGTCAGAGACGCTATTATGCTCTCTTATCTGTTGCAGGTGTCGAGGTGGAGAAGCGAAGGCAAAAAGAAGCAAACTATTCGCCTCCTATGCTAGTGTCATTGGAGCAATACATGGAAGCGAATGCATGTCTTGATGATTGTTGCTCGTGGCCTGACGTACTCAGAAAATCACGCTGAAACTGCGGCAATTCTAAAACCTGTGGCCGCGCAATTAGCGTCAAAACCACTTGAATCTCGCTTCTGTATAACCGACCACGCCAACGGCACACGAAGCCTCATTGACATGGTCTTCAACGGTGCATAGGTAGTCAAACAAGACCCTTTCCACGTCATCCAAAGGTTCACAGAGAAGGTAAAGGATCACGTCATGCGGGGATGGCTAGCGACTGAGCTGTTCTCTGCTATTTACACGGCCGACCACAAAATACGAGAGCATGAAGAAATGGTTACACTGTTTTCAACCGCTCTGGGCAAGATTCCAGCTTCAAGCCTCAATGTCAAAGAGCCTGAGTGGCAAGGATGCATAGCTAGCAACCTGAACCAGATCCGAGTAGGAGATTTATTTGTTGGCGAGGCTGAATACGTCGAGAATGGCGGCAGGGTACGAGTACTTTCGACTACATGTAGTCAGCTCGAAGCAGTTCATTCCAAACTCCGCAAGCTCATAGATCGTATTGTATCGTACGAAACGGGCGTTCGTGTACTCGACATCTTCCTCTTGCAGGTAATTGCATGCAGATCATATTCTACTATATGCGTATCTAATGCTGTGGTGTCTAGCACAATTTGAAAGTAGGGACCAAGTTCGGAAGAAATCCTGAATTTTTTGAGTTTGACTTCTTGACGATGTGTCTTGCTGCTGTTTTGGGTCGCGAACAATTCCCTGCCTCTCCTCAGCTGGAGTTCATGTACGAGCTAATTTCGCGCCAAGGTTCCAGTTTGTGTAATCCGTCGTATCGTGCTGGAGTATCCAGCAATTACGAGAACAGACCATGGGAAAGACTGAGTGATCTAATCGGCCTGCGAACTGATAGAGCCGAAGGGAGGATGCTAGATCAGCATGCTCCGACTACAGATATCCGGCGGCTTCTCGTGCGCTCACGTGTGAATCGAAAGCAGACCTCTCGAGCTGAGTTTGTAACATTTCTTCGTTTGGAGCCAGAATACGAATCCACAAATGAATTCTCCTCACACGAGTTCTCCTTGCTGAAGGAGATTCGAGGGGAGCCATTGGCGTCGAGTCAACCGTGGAATACGTGCGAGGTGGTCGCGACTATAATATTTAACTGTGCTGTCGACCAGATCGACAATCCCGCGCTCGATCTTCGACAGCAAAGTTTTAGATCAATCTCTCGTCGCCTGTCGGCCGTTGATGAGCAGATAGCACGAAGCCCCGCGCCAAAAGCAAGTACAGCCATGATCCCTATCACCGTGAAAGCTGTTGATGACAGCACCTCGTCCGGAGATGAACGAGTGTTGCAGGAGGAGCTATTCACGATGCTACGCTACTCGTCTGGTATTAAGAAGGTGACGCAAGTGTACTACAATGTGTACCAATTGGCGTCGTGTGTTTGTCCGGAAATTAGACCGAAGTCGACGGCCTGGTTGAAAAAGCGTTGGGAGTCACTAGGTAAACGACAGTTGCGCCGAAATCGTGATAATGAAGGTCAAGAGCCGACCGAAGTGGCGAATGCACCTTCACCTCGTCTACAAGTAGGCCTGAAGTTGTCGAACAGCGAGGCGAGTGGTACCGCGTTGCGCGAGCCTGTACTTCTCGCTGCCAACGCGCAATTGGCTCCAGAGACTAGTTGTAAAAGCGCTGTCACGAACGGTGAAACGATTGCGTCTGTAGTCGCTGCAGTACCAGGGCCCCCTCGTGTGCTGCCCGAAGTCATGGATGCTGGGACCAAACAGCACCTGCGAAGTTATGCGGATTCGTTTGAAAAAAATACACCTGGAAAATGGAGGATGATCTTCGAGGAATTTCAGCGTATCAAACCTGGGTCGACACTGTCCATCAATGCTCTCCGCTGTCGCCTTGAAAATCGGTCCAAAAAGCGGAAGGTGTCACCAGCAGCTCAGTCCGATGCAGCTGCTCCCAATTACTCCGAAGAACCCTCTCCGCGCAAGAAGATGACAATCCAGACACAGCCAAACGCACCAAAAGACTCCCGCAGCAGTGATCAACACAGGGGCGACGTCCCTGCGAAGCACTCAAAACAGTCAGCGTGTAAGAGCTGCTACGAGTTGAGACGAAGATGCGGTCCATCAGGCAACAACAAGTACTGTAAGTACAAAGCTCAGAGTGGGAAATCAATCAGTGCATATTTTACGTCAGCTTAGGAAGGCTCTACATGACCAACAACACAGAACAAATGAATTCAACTGATCAATTAGTCCGCTTAGAAGTATTAGACTACGGTAGTAAATATCACGGTACCTTAAGTGCAGCGAGCAAATCTCGACGTCAGGGCGTCAGGAGCCGAGCGCGCACGTCTGGAGCTGCTTGGTGTACGTGTTGAAGTCCTCGGCTGAGTCGAGGTACAACACGGGACAGTGCTTGCGATTCAGCATTAGCCGCAGCTAGCGACGGCACTCACAGTCGCCGTCGTTAGGCTGGAGGCGCCCTGTAGCGATACTTCCAACCAGGCTTTGCTATCCATCGTTATCTTGGCCATGCGCCTACATCATATAATAGTACAGTAACACGTCATGATGCCGCAGAATAAAGCGATGTAACAGTGAGCTTCTCAACTTCAAAGACTTCACGCTTTCTTCCTCGTCGCGACAAGCGTCTTCTCCTTAGCTTGCATGCGTACGCACGCGTTCTGTGGCTTAGTAGCGCGCCGCCTCTCGTATTGTGGGGCATGCCGACGAGTCCGCCACTTCAGATATGCGGTTAGATGTCATGAACCTCCCCGTGTTGGTTGATTTAGTTAAACTATTAATAGAGGGTGTGTCACTTTAGGACAAGTCGGGACCCACGGGACATTATGAAGGACAGCTGGTAGATGGTCGCCGATGCTGGCATTTGGTGACGATTGGTCGCGGGACAATCCCGAGTATAGCGGTCAAGCCTGCGGCACGGCTGCTAAAACAATACTGTACTGTACTTGAAATCGATGGATATGCAGGAAGCTCGAGGTCGCTGATGGGCCCACTTGAGGGCGCATCGAGTTCGATGCTGAGCCACTACCACCGTCTGAGGACGAATTGGTGTGGAAAAAATCTGAACATATCTGCCACGATCTGTGTTGCCTCCGGTTGCAGCCGTTGGCGCGTTGGCGCATCGGAGGAGGCGTCGCAGGAGCGAAGTGCGGACACCGCCCTGGAAGAAGGCGAAGGAAGGAGCGACGAGGACGTGGGAGGAGGACAGCAGGAGACAGGTGTTGAAGTAGTTCGAGTGGTTGGCAGAGTAGCTGCAGCCACAGTGCATTGGGCAAGTAGGAGCTCAGTCTCAATTCGGCAGGGTCGAGCGCAAGAGGGCGAAGGCAGAGTGAGCAAAAGGAAACAAGTTGTGTATTTGTGCATTTACACTACTTGGCTACTCCTGTCTTCCTTATCGGTGGCGGGTGCGGCAAGAATCGAGCGGCAAGGTCCTCGAGGAAGCGCGCACACCGGATCGACCGGACCTGGATCGTAACAATCTGCATTTTTTTCATATTCAGTGGCGTTGGCACCATCCTTGGTCTCGCTGAGCTGTGAGTCTGAGCAAGGTCGGCCTGCATAATGTCTCACTGTTATCTAGCGCCACCTTTATTGCCCTCCGAAAGCTATCAGTATTATATATTCCTCCAGATTCTTTGATCTACGAATTGGAGGCCAGCAGTGTTTCAGAATCTTGTAGCAGGTACTTGTAAATAAATGTCCCCGACCTGTACAGTAAGGCTATACATTGCTGCACATCGATGTATTCCTGCTGGAATTTACCCGGGTTAAACTAAGGAAAGCATGTGAAGCATGTAAGGATCTTTCATTTTGAACCAAGGTGCATTTTTGGACTGCTCGAGTTCCAGCTCGACTTGTAGCAATGGCTGAAAATGGAAATTCGATGCGATCTACATGCAAACCAAGCTTGCAATCATATACGCGTCAGCATACTCACTTTACTGAGGAAATAACGATAAGGGGGTTCTTCAAGACCTACTTCTCTGGGCCACTTAAGAAACAACATTCGGCATTAAACCTCAATTTGATGTGGACCACATGTCACATATGATTGGGTATAATCAACTGTTTCAGCTTACTATTGGCCAAAATAAATGGGTCTGCGCATGTCGAGATAATCGCGTAGAAAAACCTCAAAACTGTAGCCCTTCTAACTCGTCTCCAACAGGCGCTACAACATCGACAACCGAACATAAGGGTTAAGCAGTCACTCGCGATTACGGTGATATTTTATTTTCTAATATCGCTAATTTTTGACGGCACCTCGCTAAAACACTAAATGTTGCCTAAAACGGTCTTCAGATAAAGGCTGTTTCTCTATTCTTTCTGCTGCTAGATTTTTTAAATCATAGCGTGAAACGGAGCAAATGCGCAGCTTTCGGTTGAGGTATTGCGAGTCGCCAAATGATTTTTTTGTAAATAGTTATGTCCAGAAAACCGATGTGTTGTTTCTTATGTGGGCCAGAGAAGTACTTGTTTACGCAGCAACTATTGTCAAAACCGGCAAATATGTCCAGACCAGATTAGCTTGATTAGGAGGGGTAGAAAATATATAAAAAGGGGTACGCCAAATCCTAAATCGTAGCGTTGGTCGTAAACCGTCCATGTGCAAATCCCTATCAAATGCTAATGAGAGCCTAGCTTCCTGAGCTCAGAGTTGCACTGCATCGTGCAGCAGGCTAGAGCAAGCGTATAAGCAGCCACTCGTGCCAAATTTCAGCCCCGTGAATAGATCAGACGCAGACACATATTGCATGTACCCATCGGGTGTTTCATGTATACGGCAGCATCGAGTTTGCCGTCAACGCTGACATGGGGCACCGTTCATATAAACGAGCTACCCTCATAATGCCCAGTGTCACATGGGCATTCGACATGATTTGATTATAAATCGACGGCAGTCCGCGGGCTGGGGAACGCCAAATCGGAGTAGCCTCCTATTTATATATAACAAAACAAGGTCTCAGTCGCTTAATAAGCACCCAAATCGATCGATTTGCGAAAAATAGGACATAGTGTTCGGTTTTCACAATAATGCCTTGTCATTAATTACTAACAAATAATATTTCTGGGATAGCAATAAAGCTGCTTGTATCTGATTATTTGAAGCCGCAACAGAAACCCCCTCTCCCCGTTGATATCATTAGGATGAGGCATCGCTTACGACTCGGAACTGTAGATCTATTAAGTTGAACAGATTGAATCTTAATAAAATTGTCGGGCCAGAATCAAAGACGAAAATTATCCGTTCGACTAATTAAACGCTGTTGAGTACAACGCAGATCGACTCTTCCAGTATAAACACCGGGCTAAGTATGTGGTATAATCAACAGTCTGACTTTTAAAGACAATTAAAATGGTACTTATTTGCCGATGGACATCTAGCGGCAATTATCTGGACTATTTTCTTAGATCAGCAAACCGACCAAAATTTAGGGTGATTCAATTTTAGGTCCATGTACCCAATTGCCTATATTTTGGTACCTCGAGCTCCGTAACCTCGAGCTCCGTAGTTTTCCCCATGGGGGTTGATCCAACTTGTGAAACAGTAAGGAGACCAAAAGGTGAACAGTACGATCGAGTCAGTTAGCTACTCAGTTTCTTGCACCAAATTACATTACGTTCTGCTGAATGTGTTAGAACTTCTAACTTAGAATTAAAAAGTCATGAAGACTCGCCGTATCATTGTTCTGTGCGTATTCTTTCCTGAGTGTCTGCGCAGTCTCATGGATAAGGACCTGCAAGACCAAGAAAAGCAATGAAAACTGCACTAGCTCAATTTAGTAGCAACAGATTAGATAAAGGCTGAATGACAGTATCTACTACATGAGCAAATGACGTCGAGTACAAATAGCAGAGCGCTTGGTGAATATCAAGGCCAATGTGAGGCTACCTCAACCGACACCCAATTCCAGTTCGACATTAGTTTCAATAACAGGATGTCTTCCGCAGCGTGATGAATTCGAGAGGGAACCCAGTAGAGGACCAAGATGGACTATCGCTCATAATGCACGGGTTCTCCCTGCTCACGTACCACAACATATGCGCCGGGTAAGTCACAGCTTCGAGAGCAACCACAAGGCTTATTCAAATATTGCGGTGGCCGATACCTCAGCCGCGGTCAACACATCTCTTGAGACTATTTTTTCGTGCGAAGAACGTGAACTGTTCATTAAAAAGACGTCGAAGTATTATTTGTCACGGAGTACATCATGCTCGAGGAGTACATTGAAGTGGTTATGCCTATTATTTTCAGTAAGTTTGAGCCCCATCAGTATCGTCATTTTGCATGGCTAACAAAGATTTTTTGTGTGTATTGTAGATCTGCATCAATTGGCATCGTTTTACATGCCAAACAGCGTATACTACCCTCCTCTGGCAGGGCTCACCAGTACTCAATTCTTTTCACGGGTCTACTACAGATTGGCCTACGCTGCATTCGAATTTGTCTCTCTGGTTGTGGTCATTAATGTGTCGAAGCGGACATTGCGCTTTTCTTCATTGCATCAGCTGGGGTTCGTACTGGAAAAGCACGCAGGTACGATTCAGCTGAAGCTTATCTCTATGTTTGTCTACATCATGCAACTGTCATTGAAACACGTTGGTAAGTGGACCCAGATCTTGTGCTCGAACTCGTCAGATCGTCTAATTGCAAAACTATCGCATCGCAGGGGCTGACTTCAGCTTTAAGTTCTCCTGGCTGCACCCTGCTAAGACTGGGTGATGATGTCAATAGTAAAAGTGCCTTCGGTACAGACTAGCACGAATTCGGCTGAGGAACTACTCGACGCTCGTAATTTCAATCCAAACCAGTGACGTTCATCCTACACCCAAAACCAGCTATCCCTAGCTGTGTGAAGTCCTCCGTGCGCCTTGGGGGCGCAATAGATGAAGAACCACTCATTATCCCACTGGACATCGCTCAACGAAACCACCGAGGAGGTTTCGACAGCTAGAAGATGCACCTTAGCTCGCCACTACGGTTGCTGCCAGTCAGCATGCTGACACATCTCAGCGCACGACCACTTCACCAGCCCAAGACATCACCTCAGAATCCAGTGGGCCCTCGCCTTCGAATACGGCACCATCGGCGGCGAAATGGTGCTGACGATTGATCCAGCCACCATCAAATAAGCCGATTCGACTTCTACGACTGCAACGGAGAAAGAAGAAAGAATCGCCCTCGAAGGGCTGACAAACGCGCTTAGGAACGCAGTGTGCAACCCGCACGCCTTCAAACTCGCTTTCAAACACATTCAGAAGGTGTTGACCGCAAGCACTAAGTGAGAGATGACCGAGCGACGGCTACTGCACTAACAACATGATAGTTGGTACAATCTTACACGTTATCAGCAAGGGGCGTAATTATTATCTGTTGCTAATCTACTGACGCATCTGTTGTAAGCAAATCAACGGAAAACCTGTTGCCCGTGTCGGGTTATCTGTTGCGGGTGTAGGGGAGCTAAGCACCAGGTTTTCCGTGATGAAAATGCGCAACATATACTATAAATGAGCCTCCTGGATTATCTGTCACATCGCACTACACCATGTAGTCGAATGACAGCCGGAGTGTTTGCGTTGTAGTATATTTCTATGGCCAAGATATGCTGATACTACATTATCAACGTAATGCCCTTCATACGTCGAGTCGTATCGGGATTTATTTTTGTGTGTATATTTAGATGCGCAGTAGTCCAGTGGTTACAAAGTTGTTGTCTTCTCCAGGTCTCACTTTCCAGCCTGAGGCATCATGGAAGGTAGCCCTTCCGCGGCCGTGCCTTGCACTAGCTCAGCTACAATGTTGATCGCACGCTCCGGGGAGGGCAACGTTGGTGACAGCGCTGATGAGGATGAGCAACTGGACTCGATTTGCCAGCAGCTAGATTTTGGGGGCGACGACGAAGTTGAGATAGACGTGGGTGTAGATCGCGGTGCTTTCGAGTTGGTGGAGGCTACCGTAGCGAAGTATGTGTCGGTGGGGTTCTACGATTCGCTACAGGAGGCGACCGTGGCACTACAGCAGCACAACGAGTTTGAATACACCTACAAAACTCGGTACACCTCGAAAAATGTCACTGGGACTGAGTTCAAACGTCGCTCGCATGCTATGTGCCCCAGCCGTCTCAAAATTGTTGAGCGGAAACTTGGAGCTAACTTAGTTCGATACGAGTTGTTGCAGAAGGGTGAGCACGGTGATGCTTCTGTCTCGCGCACGCGGCATGGTATTGCAGCTGTTCACAAGTCTGAAATTGACTCACTATTGGAGTTAGGCATGGGAGCAAGTCGAGTACGCAATATGTTGTTGCACAAATATCGACGCGATCCTGACCTTTTGAATTTGGTGCCTGAGGTTCGTAAGATCGAGAATAGAAAAGCGACTATCAAGAAAAATATGGAGGAAGGCTGGGATATTGACGACTTCAACACAATTGACATCTGGGCACACTCGCGATTGTGTCAAACCCGTGAAGTTTTCGACTCGGCCGACGAGTCAGACTTCGCAAAGATGAACGAGTTGCTCGTGCTCGAGCGCTTCCAGCACAATTTTGACGACAACGGAAAAACGAAAGCTTCGCTCGGCTTAATCATGACCTCGCGAGCGCTATTTCGTAACGTGGCAAAAGCGACAACCTCTCAGAGAGGCAGTCTTGCGATGTCGACGGACGGCACATACCGAATCCATTGTGGCAACTGGACGTTGGTGGATTGCGGTGGGATCTCTGTCGAATGGGAGACAACTCACCATGTTCAGCGATTTAGGCCCTGGCTGTACATGTTTGTCCGGTCGGAGTGCACTTTTGCATACGAGCAAATGTTCGGTGCGCTCATTAAATACGGACGCATTTTTCTTGACGTTGACGTGAATTTAGCTTGCTGCAGTATCGATCACTGCGCTGGAGACCGTCTGGCCGGAAGTGATCATTTTGTCCTGTTGGGAACATCTTCTGGGGCAGGCCAGAAAGCAGCGCTCAAAGCTAGTCGACAAAAGCTTCTACAAGAAGTACGCACTTCCTCAGCTCAAGTGGCTTCACGAAACGCGCTCCCTAAATCAATTTCGCAATCTCTCGAAGTGCGTTGTGCGGTGGTGGAAGTTAAAAGGAGAGACCGCGTATGCGGAGTGGCTAGAAGATGTTTACCTCACATCGCGATGGGAGCGGTGGAGCGTAAACAGCAGTCCGATACCAGGAGTCTTGCCAACACAGCAGGCCATTGAGAGCCACCACAAAGTGATAAAAGAGGTGATCACAGCCTTTGAGAAGGCCCCGACGATTCACGTATTAAACTCTGCTCTGCCCAGACTCTTAATTCTTGGTTCGGATACGTTATCAGACGGCCCTCAGGGTCATTTCTGCGAATGTGAGTAAATTACATGCTTTGACTTGTGACATTATACTAACGCGTGCTGCTAAATTACACTTGCACAGGCCCTTTGCCGAAGGATGCAGTCTCTAAGGCCAAGTTGTTACTGACGTTGCCAGAAAACCATCGTGAAATAACGGAGGCCGGCCAACGTGGCATTCCCGTTCGAATCGTATTCAACAGTGGTAACGCCATTGTGCGTTCGAAGAACTTAGCTGGGTCTACGGTCACTACCCCGCGCTCGAAAACGTACGTTTAAATATTGAGTTTACTTTATACCAGGTTCATTATGCTAATTGATGATTATATACAGCTTTGTTTCATCGCTAGAAGGTAGTACAGGAAGACGGGCGTCCGTCTTTGACATTTGGACGAAGTTTCTTTCATTGCAACAGGTGTCGGTCAACGTCAAGCGCGCACGAGCGATGCCAGAGTTTCAACTTCGCCCTACTTGGCCTTTATCCGACGTAAGATTCATGTTCCATCTGAATTTATTGTTTCTGAGTTAAATATCTTACGATGACACCTGAACAGATTGAAATGGTTCGAGATACACGCCGATGCACCTGCAAGAGTTACATGTACTCTGTCTGGGTCTGCTCGCATGTGATTGCCTCCCTCAAACTGCTGAAAAAGCTAGATTTGGAGCTTGCAACAGAAGTTATCCAAGCACGGAGGCCTCCAGGCCGACCTCGAGCATCGGTTGGAGCCCGTCAACAAGAGCCGGTATCTACCAACTTTTGGGATCCCGATCGGCTTGAAGCCCTTCTTACCAAAGAGCCTTACACTCCTTTGCAATGGGCTTTCATTACACAAGTTGACGTTCAAAAGGAAGGCCAAGCTTCTACTTTTCGCGAAGATCGTATTGGTACAGTTGGCGGTGTTCGACTGTCGGAGGAAGACGGTGAAGCGTGGCCTTCGTTCACGGCGACGTGCAATACTACCAAGTAGACGACTTGGTGCCCGGACTGATACGTGCACACGAGCAGCGAAAGGTTTAGGCATCTACTCTGTTGCCGCCGCAGCCTCAAATTGCATTTCGATTAGCATTCATGGATACAACACATATACCGACTACACTCTACTTGTAATCTGTTGCGCATTTTCAGCAACCTGTTGCTTAGCTCCCCTACACCCGCAACAGATAACCCGACACGGGCAACAGGTTTTCCGTTGATAAATCAACAAATAAGCAAATCAACTGATTTGCTTACAACAGATGCGTCAGTAGATTAGCAACAGATAATAATATTCTCCCTATCAGCAAAACCGTGTCCGCCTGAATGCTTTTCGTTTCCAGTTTAGGCTCGCGGCTCTTCATTCCCGAATCTGCCGAGGACAAAGCCAGCCATGCAGAAGTTGACGAATGTCGAGTCGCAGCGGATGATGGCGGTCATGGGCGACCTGCTCGACCGCCTCAACTACCTCACCTACGTTCCTCTAGAACCTCAGACCTCGCTACTGGATGATCTGCGTGAAAGTCGTTGTCTCAATTCCGCAGAATTGCTGCGCGAACATTGGCGCTGGGAGCAGCTTTATCTACAGGCAGCGCAGGCCATGGACAGTCGCCAAGACGACATCGCCGACCAAGTTCGCGTGACTGCACGAGCGCTTTGCAGAGATCTCCGAGAGAGCCCCGTGGCCGTTGAAGTTTTGTATCATAAAGGCACAACAGCCCACGATCGGTCTGAGGATCTCCAGATGCTGGTGAAGGCTCTGTCGGAGCTCACCGACCTCACTCACGCTCAACTGGACAAGACGCTGGAAGACGCCAAGTCCAAGAAGGAGCTCATGGCTGTGGCTGAGAGTCGCATGAAGCAGGCGGAGGACGAACGGTTGGCCATCCGTGAAAAACTTACGGAGATGAGGAAAATGAAAGAGGAAGAGGTGGCTCTATTGGATGCTCAAGTGCAAAAGCTTCGTACGGAGCTGCATACGATCAACCAGGTATGGAGAGTTGTAGAGTTTTAGTGCTGGTAGGTTGAGTGTTCGTTGAGCTTTGGGTGTGTGCGTTGTGTTGGTGGATAGACTGCTTCGCATGAGCTCATGATGATTGAGACGGATCTCAAGGAGGCTCAAGCCAAGGCGCACGATCAACACTCGGAAGAGATGAAGGTGTTGCTAGACCAAGCTTCCGCGCTGGAGTTACGAGCAGCCAAGATGGCCCAGGAGCACCAGGAAGAGGAGGACGGACTTCGCAAAAAGAAGTGCAAGATGGCGGCGGAGGTCGCAGCGGTAGTAGAGAAATTCGACAGCGAGATGGAGGCCATGGAGACCGAGTTGCGAGCGCTGGAGGAGACCTTCAGGAAGGAGCGCGAGCAATGCGACCAGTTCAACGAGCATTTCCTCAAGGTTCGTTCGTATTCTCCTTATCATCAACAGCCACGACAGACTCGAACTTACGCCTTCATTTACTTTAACAGATTGACGAGGAGCAGTCTCGAATCGACGCAGAGGAGCGCGTGCTGGAAGAGATCAGAGCACGTGAGCGGGAGAAGCAAATGGTTTGTTACTGGCTTTGAAAATGTGTCAGGAATTGTAAGCTTAACGTCTCCTTTCTTGCAGATGATCTACAACGCTGCCACGAGGATCCAAAAGGTTTACCGCGGCTTACTGTGTCGTCGAGAGTACGCCAAAATGGTAGCCAAGAACAAGAGAGGAGGCGGCAAGAAGGGCAAGAAAGGCAAGAAGAAGTAAACAGCTACGACACGTTAGCAAGACTTGCACAGAAAACTGCGTTGTATACACACGGCGCACTGGTTGCTCCATTTCCAGCTTGCGACTTCATCTGTTGCTGTTCCACTACTACTTCTGCTGCTGCTGGGGCGGCCGCTGCTGCTGTCCTGGGTTCTGCTGGAAGTTGATGCTGTACGAGCCCGTGGCGGGGTCCTGCACCATCTGGAAGTTGTCGGTGCTGAGTCCGAACTTGCCCAGGATCGTATTGCCGAAGCCCTTCAGCTTGTCCAGCATCTCCGCCTTCATCTTCTCCTGGCGCTCGTGCACGATCTTCTGCAGCCGCTCGTGGCCCTTCACCGCCGTGCGCATCGTCGGGTCGATCTTGAGCACGGCGTCGTAGTCGGCCAGCGCCTCCTCCAGCTTGTCCAGCTTCTCGAGCGCCTCGGCTCGCCGCAACAGCGCCTTCACATAGGTGGGCGATAGAGTCACGGCCTGCGTGCAGTCGTCCACCGACTCCTCCGTGCGTCCGAGCCGCAGCAGACACGCTGCGCGGTTGCTAAAGTACACTGCCTGCAGCGACAACACCAACATCAACGTCAGCACGTCATAGCAACACCATGCATACACACTATTGCACTAGTACGCACCCTATTATACGCGTACTCGTCCTCCGCGGGGCAGAGCTTCAGCGCTGTCGTGTAGCACTCGATGGCGTCCAGGAAACTGCCCCGAGAGAAGAACCTAAGCAATAATACAATCGGTCAGCTTCCTGTATCTGATAAATAGTGGACACGCATCGCCACCCACTTGTTGCCGAGCTCCTTGGCCGCCGACGCTCTCTTGACGTCGTCGCTCTTGTCCCTGGCGGCGTCTTCTTCTTCTGCTGCTGCTGCTTCTTCGTCTTTGTCTTCGTCGTCGTCATTGTCGTCTTTCTTCTTGACGCTGAGCACGAGGCGCTCCAGCTGCTGCTCCAGCGTCTCCTCCTCCTTGGATTCTTCTTCTTCTGGCTGCTGGTTCTGCGCCTGCTTCTCGACGCTCTTGGGGTGCGTCGACGGGTAGTGCGTCTCCTCCTCCAGCACCTCGAAGCGATCAGCCATGGTTCAAGTATCCCAGTGGGGTATTGTGGGCTGGGTAACCCCGGGGTTACCCACCCCCGGCCTCCGAATTCTTGGGTTACCGGTATGTATGGTAGACGTTTTGAGATCGGTTATCACGGGTTTTGTGCTGTAGAACGTCCAAATGGGGTTAGGTAAACTAAAACCCATAACCCAACCACCCGCTTGGAAAACCCGGTTCAAGTATCAATAAATAGTGACGTTCTAGAAGCGAGTCGATAACACAAAATATTAGTCCTATAATATAGTAATATAACTAATACTATTTGATGTTTAATATTAGAATAATAATATATTATGCTGGCAAAAAATGTGTAGCCAAACACGAGAGTCATTTTAGTAATATCCTAACCATCTACTAGAGAGATCTGTCTGTGTGTGTGTAATTCCGTCCGTCACACCCTGTCCACTTTAAAGGTGGTCCACATAAGCGTACATAGACAGCCTTGGACGCCGATGGCCGAGCGCAGCGAAGGCGGCACCCGCGTGCGTTCTAGCGGACCGCAGGGCCCGCCCTACAACTATGTACTAATAACACGGCGAGTAGCCGACGAGGCGAGCGGAACGGGGGCGATTACGTCACCCCCGCCGTGACGCTTGGCCTAATATAATACTTTTCGGAACACCTGCTATTTATTAAAATGGGCCCACCGCGTAGTAGCAGTGATAGCAGAGTCCGCTTAAATATATGAGAACACTGCGAGTAGTGCATAGTGGCAGCGATAGCTGGGCTTGCCCTACTACATAGTATAATTTTAATTCAGCGAACTTGGTGAAATATAAGCACATTGTTAGCCATAGCAGCGCATAGTTAGCTATAGCAGCGCGTAGTCAGCGATATGAACGTATAGTTAGCGATAGCAGCGCATAGTAAATGATAGTAAGTAAATGATAGCAGCGTATAGTAAGCGATAGAAGCGCATAGAAGGCGATAGTAATAAGCGTAATAAGCGATAGCAGTGCGAGTACATGTAGCGAGAGGTACAGTAGCTGGAGACGATTGATTAATAGTTTCAGGTTAGTTTTTGTGTAATACTTAAGTACTTTAGGGACGGATATATTATAGCTGCAGCGGTGCTGAGTGCTCATCTATAAAGGCATATAGCTACATTGGCTTAAACGTGTGGCATGTATCTGTAACTTATAGTATTTAGCGGTAAGATAATGGGTTCTAGGGATAGTAAATGCCTAGACATGCATTGGGTTGGAGATTTTATTGTAGTTCATACTGGCATTCCATTGACGCGTTTCCCCACACTCTTAACAATACTGATGAGCCGTACAATACCTGTATATTAACGAATTAGCGTTGCACGCTATATGAATTTTGAACGCGACGGCGATACTTTCGCTACTCAACTATAGGTAGTACGCAAAAGTGTTAATGTACATTACGTAGTAGAATAATTTACGGATACGCACGTCTTAGCTCATTAAAAATGAGAGTTGAAGAGGGATACGTAGAAATTAACGCAGCCCACAGCTCATTACATTCTTAGCGCCGTACAAAATGCTGAAACGATGCAGCACGATATATGCACGTTTTTTTAAAGAAAACTAGCTCGAAAGGTAATGCTGAGAACATGAATAACGAAGCCATCACTTTGGGCTTATCGCCTGATCACAATGTAAATGCTATAGCCTACCAACCGTATAGAGAAACAAACTATAGTTATGCGATAACATGATAAAATAACAGGTATACAGACTTCAAAGTGAGCACACTGTAGATAGCAACACCGTATTGATCTACCCCACCACGACATGCAGCTCATGCCAAAGTTTAATTCTACTACATGTACAACACACAGATTACTTAGGTATGTACTCCGCGGGGACTTTGTAATCGGATTAAGTAGTTGCACCTGTTTGGACCCGGTTTTTTACCTTACTACATTCATCTACTCTGACGTAGGAATATGTATTAAGCTGATTTCAGTCACGTCACACTACTGATAGTACCTCAACGTAAATAAACATTTTTTTACATGCACACAAGCAAAATTTAATAACCTTTAAACTAAATTAAAGCCCACCAGAGCGAAGCGGAGGTGGGCGGCCCTTCCTACTACAACTAACCACAAAACTATCCGCCGCGTAGCGGCGGCGTCGGCTAGTATTATACTGAGATAGCAAGTGCCCCGTAAGAACGCAGACGTCACATAATTACTTCGTCGAACTGTTTAAGTGTTCAGTAAACATTGAAAAATAGTCAAAGTAAATTTTATAAATAACGATTTGTTTTTGGTCGGTCTCCATCGATGCGGAAGCATCCATCGCATTCATTCGAATACTTTCTGGCTCTCACTCGCAAATTCGACCGGTTTGTGCAAAAGGCTAATTGGACGCTTTCGATGTAGTTACCACGAGCGGAAGATCCGTTGCGTGGAAACAGTTCCTATGCCATAAGAACGCAAAGTGCAAGCGATACAAGAACCAACAGCTATACTGAGCAGCAGCTTCCCAGGATACCGACGCCAGTGAGCAGCGAGTGGCTGAGAGAGAGCGTGAACAGGCGGCGACTGAGGTCGCGCTCAGTCAAGTGATCAGTACAGATTTACCAACATCGAAGACAACAGTCAAGCTTTATCAGCGACGAAGACACAAGTCGTGATTAACCTGCGTCGAGCGTTCGAGGACAAGTCAACGCTGGACGTTCAAGCTGTGGCTAGAAGACGTTAAGTACTGTAATACAAAACAAGTGCTCGCGTAAGCGATGCACCGTGGACGAAGGTTGAGTCCTCGGCGGTCAGTGGTGTGTTCGTACTAATTGACTGATGGGTGTCATCTCTCCTTGAAATACCCCACATGATCGCTCCCATGTGGTACACATCGCTGATAAAATTTCGCCGCCACCAAGTTAGTCTGTACGCCGCGTGATCTGTCCTCGGCAAACATCTCTGCTTACTATAGTATGACTTCGGTTTTCTGGGCTTTCTCTTCCTGTCTTGTTCTTATTCTCACTCAAGGCCCCAAATGGCGCTGATTAGTTCGCCACCTAGGACTTTAGATGAACCTCATATCTATCTCTTTGATTAAGTAGCAAACAGAATTAGAAAATTGGATGACTCAAATGTTTTTTTGCTAATAAAATACAAGAACGAACGGAAATTCATGATATTTTCTTCATAAGTTCTTAACCCTTTCTTGACCAAAAGGTGCATTTTGCCCCCCCCCCAATTACTCGGCTTAATATATGTTAAGTACCAATCCGTTGATTTAAACGTCCTATTAAGAATCCCAACAAACTTCTAAACTTTAGATTGCATTATGGCCCGTAGTAATTCAAACTAACTTATGCGGATTTGCCTGGAATTTTGGTTTATAAAAATTTAAACTATTTCCATTAAACCCTTACGAGGATAAAATTTTATTATAGAACAGTTTCATCGCGTACCACCTGGACGTCATTGTCAGACTGGTGCAGATGCTGCGTGGACATCATGCTGCTTGCTTGCTTGGTGTTCTTGGCTTCTTGGGCTTCTTGGCGCTTTTTTTTCAGTTGTGGCGGAGGGTTTCGAGTATCGGTGCCTCGGAACCGCGAGAAAGTGAGACACCTGTAAGCCTCGACCCACGATACCCGAGCTATACGACCAGAGTGCGTACTGTGTAGAAGAAACCTAGCGCTGGTTCTATAACGAATTACGGATTATCTCCCTTGTTTTATTAAATGAAAAAAATGTGCTTTCGAATATTTAGCGCTGCCTGGATAACTGTTCAACCGAACTTACTGGATAACCCGATGAAGCCAGCAATTTGTTTCAAGTTTGATGAGTCACTAGGACTCCGCGAAGGCTGGGATAGCAGGTTTTTGGGATAAATCCCTTTATTAGTTGTTTTGTTACGATCCACGGTCATCTCCTGCGCCTGCTTCGCAGCCACAGCATCTGCCCGGTAATTCACCTCAACGGCGAAGACGCAAGATACGACATGGCAGTAATTATACACAGTTATTAAACGAACCTTGTTGGAGATCTGCTTGTAGCTAGTAGAGAAATGAAAATGCTTGCCTCTAGAGTATTCGTCCGCTTCAATCATTCACTTTACTTCACTCCATCGGTTTCGATATATGTTACTGACTCATACCGGCTCGAACTGCCCACGCATATAAACTCCGAAATTCGGAACCGGGGTCGTACCGGTGTGATGGGTATCCTACCGGCTCGATCTGCGGGGTCATCTTGTACCACGGATATTGCTTACTATCCCAGTAAAACAGAGGTCTAGCAGATTTCGATCGCGTGTAGGAGTAGGATACACCGGGTGTTTGTCATTCGCTTTGACAATGTCCGCCCGGGACTTCCTCTCGCGCAAAAACCCGCGGCGTACAGCGACAACGTAGGAACATTCAAACTCTGTTCGATAAAACATGGTCCAGGTCGCCTGAAGATCTAACAACAACAAAAAACTGTCAGCTTCGATTCGTCCAAGTATGTGGCATTAGGATGATCTGAACTAATATCGGTAACAATGTACTTTGAACTTGTCTTGACAAGAACAGGATTAAGTAGTAGATCATTCTACACCACCAATTTATAGGTAGCAGAGGCAACTGGGACGTCGCAGAGGTAGCAGTTGCCGACGAAGGCATAGTTTCCCAATCAGAAGCGTAGTTTAATTTTTAGGCCCGGCAGGAGGACGAGGAGAGCAAGCGCCAGCTTCGCTCATTATTAAATCTCCTCCGCTGCAGCTAAAACCTCCAAGTTTCCTTCTCGGACAAGCCCCAGGCTCACCGATGGCTCCAAGCTTTTTTACTTGCGCCCCGGTGCCTTTAACCTGGTTGGTTTCGCCTATGGCAGGATTGAGGGGGCGATAACACGAGCCGGAAAGGTCAAGGTCAAGCTGGTGTAGAGTGGTCGCTGGACGGAGGAAGAGGTGCAGACGACGGAGCTGTCCCAAGCGGAGCTGCTCCCTCGAGCGGTATCCGCTGATGAGGCCCAGGACGGAGTGGGAACATTTGTGGGAAGTGCCATCTGCACGTCCAGAGTCCGCGCGGGGGGTGCTCGCGTTTGGGACTATGGTTTGGTAGTTGGCTACAAGTGGGAGTCAGCTCAAAAGCTGGGTTTCCTCGATGTGAACTTCAACGGAACCGAAGTTTCGGTCGTGCACGCTGTTGGGTCGATCGTGGACATCGCTGTCGAGATTTATGCTCTGCAGCCATGTCAGGGTCAAAGTACCAGTCTCGTCATGGCGGCTGAGATGAAGCAACGGCACACACAAGCGTACGACATGTTCAATGGGATCGAACAACCAGCTACTCGCGACTCGAAGACATTACTGGCCGGAGTAAGCGGTACCGAAGTCGATGAGACTAAGTCCATCCCTCTCTTGGACATCACGAGTTTTGAGGTGTCAGAAATGTCCATCCGCCACATCCTCGACTACGTTTACTACAAGGAGGGCAATCGTCCTTCACCTTCGGGGACAAGTTTTGGAGAAACTATTTTCGACACCAGAGCCCGCGAGCTACAGGATGCCCCCGTGACGCCGCGAGAGACTGAAGTGGTGCTAAGCGACGGGCTGAGCGAGTCCGACGACGACGACGCTGCTCCAACACAAGTGGAGAGGAGCACCACAAACCCGAGCCAACAGCCCGCGTCCAAACGCAGACGGTTGGCTGCCGTTGAGGAGGCCACCGATACACAGGGTACGCTCACAGGCAGCCAAGAAGGTACCCCATTGATATTACGGGACGTCGATCAATTGATTGCTCAGCAACGGGATGGAGCATCGTGTTCGGCTGCAGTTGTTGGGAGGCACGAAGAAGGATCTGTGGACAGTCATCAATTTCAGCCCACTGGAACGCAGACTTCAATTCACTTGGCCCTTGTTAATGGTAAGTACGCGGCAATGAGTGCACAGCGATTTATGGAGTTTGTTCAGATTTATTGGGGAAAGTTTGGCTTTTTCCCCCACCCTGCTGTCCTACGTGCACTCTTTGGTTGGGACTTCGGTACAAGAGGATTGTCTGTCCTCCATTTTGGCCGTATAACGGAGCTTGAAAAGAGGGCCAGAGTCCGGGAACATCTCCAGGAAGAACGTCTTGCCGAAGCCTCCGGCACCTGCTAATTTTTCGGTGATAATTGGAGCTGTCGATGTGTTATGCGCGCTCGCCCAACAACTTTACAAACCAGTCGTGTACGACACGCTCACGGCTGCTGCTCGATTTCTGGGTGAGCTCAGAGTGACTGAACTACCGTCGTCACCTGAAGCGCTGGCCGAAGTAGCAGCGTGGATAGACGATCGCCTAGAGCTATTTCGTGTTCTGGTGAGCGGGGAAAACTGGCAGGACGTATGCCAGATCAAGACCCAGTTTAGTGCCTCACATGAATCGTTCGTTCGGGTTCATCAACTTATTCTCCGTCAAGATGTTCTCATGGCGGTCAAGGCGGTCAGTGCAAACTCCAATCGCCCGGCTCATCAAGCACGAGCCGGTCGAAAGGCTGAGGCGGATAAACGGGTATTTATACCGGTGGAAGTCCGACAAGCCTTGCCTACGCAGGGTAAGAAACAGATTTGTCTGCGCTATCTGTCGGCACAAGGCTGTCGGGGTAAGAACGGCAACTGCATCATCAAGAACCTGTGTCACTTTAAACCCGCAGCATTGCCCGAGATTGTCCGGGAATTCATTGAGAATAATTACGGTGGGCTGGCTACGGATATGCAGTGATGGTGCCAGGGTGTGGAAGGAGGTCCAGCCACTCCTGGTACGAAGGACCAGCTTCGGGATGGATGTGGAATTGTGGAACTTGCAAATGAAAAATCGCGCTACGAATATGCGTCTCCGGCTCAACCTATTTCATTCAGAGAGCAGTTAGCTGCGACTCCAACCATCTTCGAATTCTCCGATAATCTGACGTCTGTCGATGGACCGCTTGGGCGACACAAATCGCCAAGCCCGTCCACCCTCGGGCCGCTCGGACGACTCAAATCACCGAGCCCGCCAACCACTAGACCGCTCAAGCGGCTTCACCCTCCCAGTTCGCCTTCTCTTGCTGAATTTACGCTGACGCAGCAGCTCCGGTTCGACACATCCACCCGAGTAAGCCGGCGGCTGCTCGAAGTCCACTTAGAGACAGCCAATGTTGCCTTTAATCGAGCCCTTAGCCGCTATGGACTATCACCTCCCGAGGCTATGCCACACTCCATCACGCGGAACAACAAGGTGTCGTATTTGCTGGATCGGAACAAACAGGCCGTGTACAGTGACTTCATTCGTAGAGCTGGTCTACAGTTACCGGAGTTCGTGCGCCTTCATCGTGGCGAATCCATTCAGGATTCCCGTCCCAACAAGGCCCTCGAGGATCTTTCACATCTTCATGCATGGGAGAAATATAGGTACCGAGACCGATGGAGTCGCATTGCTCAGCACGGTGTAGTCCCAGAGTGGAGGGCCACGTTCAAAGCTCAATCCAAAGCACCGCCGAATCACGGATCTGCTACTCGAGCACTGAACATCATAATCAAGCACTTGCGGGCTGGCCAAGACACCAACCGATACCTGATCCTGGATATCGATTTGCTACTCGCACTAGAAGGTGTGACTTGCAGTCCCTTTGGGGCCGTGCAGAAAGGTGAGGTGGACCTTGAAATCGACGCGCGGATTATTCATGATCTTTCATACCCACCTGGGGAGTCAGTCAACGATAACACCGTCCCGGACGACGAGGTGGACGTATCGTATGATGGTGCTGAAGCTTTAGTCAATCGGATTCTCGACGTCGCAGAAGTCTTTCCCACGCTGCAGCGGATGATGACGGATGACGTTAATGGAGCCTTCCGAAACATACAAATGTCCGCCGATCACGTAGGGTGTTTTGCTGGGACTATACCAGAGCTCGGAGTACTTGTCGTGGACCTCTGCTGTCCTTTTGGATGGAGGAATTCTCCTTCCTCTTACTGGATCGCAGGCGCAGCCATTAGTCATTTGTATTCGAGCTCAGCACCACAGTGGCCTCTACAGCCAAAAGAGGCGACCGACAATTTTGATGCGAAGACGTGGTGCGATGACCATACTGCAATTGAACCCAACGTTGGGACGCGATTAGTAGAGGCGCAACTAGCCCTACGCTCTGCGATGGTTGCAGTCCTCGGCCCCGATGCGTGTAATGAAAAGAAGTTCACCACTTGGTTTGACAAGGGTAAAGCTCTCGGTTTGGAGTGGGATCTTCCAGCAGGAACAGTATCGATGCCGCGAGAAAAAGTATTCATGGCACTCAATCGTCTGCGCACGACCCGGTCTCGCGTTAAAACTACTAAGACGGAGCTACAGAAGCTGTTGGGTAGCTTACGACACGTTGCTACATGCATCAGAACGGCTATCCCGTTTTTCCAACGCATCGCGGCGCTCGCCCGCTCTGCACCGCGACATGGCGGGGTGGTGGTATCGCGCGAGGCAAAGGACGATATGTGCTGGATCGAGGTAATCTTACGGATCGGAAGGTTAAACGGAATCCCGCTCGCACGATTTACTCGCCGTCATGAACCCGACTTCCACATCCATATGGATGCTAGTGACCAAGGCCTCTGTGCCCTCTTTCCAGCGCAAAAGCAGTACCTGCAAGTGCGCTTCACCGATGATGAATTGACATTGATTCGACACTGCAACGATACGGGTGACAGCGACTTCTGCATAAATGTGCGCGAATTGATGAGCGCCGTTTTTGCGTCTATCGTTTGGGGCCCGGCATGGAAGCACATACAGGGTGACAACGACACTCATGTGAAATTCTGGAATGATAACACATCTGCAGTGGCGTGAAGTAATCGCAAGGCGAGTCGCAACAGCTTCGCACAATTACTCTTACGAGTACTTGGGATCTGCGAAGTTCAACATGGGTTCTATTCTACGGCCTCGCATGTGGCCGGAGTGGATAACGAGATAGCCGATGCTGGCAGCAGGGTGTGGGAATCGCCGTCCTTGGCTCGAAGATTTGCTAATCTATGTTGTGGGTGGACGTGTGTGCAGATCCCGACCGGCTATCGCAATCTCTCTCTTCTTTGGGAGCGTTGTTACGCGCAGGAGCGCTCGCTCAATCATCTAGGAAGCACTATTCTCGAGCCTGGCAGCAATGGACCGCGTGGTGCAGCATGATGCGCTACAGTCCTTGGCTTACCGCAACTGATATCAACAGGAACGCGGAACAGCTGGGCGCCTTTGCTGTTTACTTATGGAAATATGGGATGAATCGACACCATCCCGGTAACACCTACTCTACGATTTGCTCGAAGCTCTGCGTTGTCCGCTGGTTTCACCGAAATACGGCAGGATATGACCCTGGTGTAAATGCCAGTCATGCTATTCTACTTCGCGGTATTCGGCGGTTCACGGACCCAGTCCTAAAGCAGCAGCCATTGACCGCGCGTCTGCTTCGTTCCGTTTTCAGCAGTCTCGATGTGACACAGCCACGCGACCAGCTTTTGTGGGTTGTCTGTTGATGGGCTACTTTTTCCTGCTCAGGCGTTCGGAATATTTGTTCATCGACAAAAAGATTCATAGCTACATCCTACGGCTTTCGGCAGTTCAATTCTTCGATCGCAACGAGCAAATAGTAGTCCCCAGGAAAGCCGAAGTCGTTGGAATCACACTCACAGGGGCCAAGAACAACCAATTCGGCCGTGAAGAGGTGCGGTATCACTACAAGTCCGGCGACCAGCTCCTATGTCCGGTGAGAGGAGCAAGATGAATACGGAAGGCAGCGATCGCGCTGGGAACGAGGCCTGAAGACCCAGCGCTAGCTTTGAAAAATGGGGGTATCACATCAGAGGCCGTCGCAAAAGTGATCAAGAAGGCCGCAGCGAGATGCGGTCTGGACCCCATGCGGTATTCAACACACTCAGTCCGGATCGGAGGGGCTACCGCGCTCCTGAATGCGGGTGCAGATCACCTGGTCATCAAACTGATGGGACGGTGGATGTCTAACGCCTTCGAAGACTATCCCGTACTCTCGTCCAAGGGGACAGCAGATCTGTCCAGGCAAATGTGCTGAAGGGCGCGGCGGGCGCCATTTTTGTGTGGGGTTGCCGCCACGCCACTCCCTCCAGTGTGCAAAATGACAAGCGATCATTTTTCCCTAAGCGAGGTCATTGTTGGAAATTGGTGGATCTCTGCGGGTCGCAATGTAGTCTCACACAAGACAAGCTTAAATCATCCCAGTCTTCGTAGATAAAAGCCTAAGCTAGTGCAGCTAGCTTTTAGCCCTTTTTTCCGGAGAATACGTACCACCAGGTGCAGCCCTTTTTGAGTCTCCGCTGAATATATTTGTTCGCCACCGTATAGGACGTCATCGCATTGCCGGCGGATAGAGTTGGGTTTCGATTAAAAATATATGTTGAACGAAAAAAAAACCGAGCTATACTTTCCATCTTCGATCACACAACCTAGGACTTTAATAAGTAGTTTCTTGCAATGTTTTAGTGGAATGTTTATCTGATCCATCCGGATTAATTCCAATGAGTGTTGGGATTCACACAATATCAGTCCGCCGACAGTTTATGTCACGGCAAACTCAGCTGACCACACGATTTTCAATATATATCTCTGAGAAACAATGCATGCAGAAGCAAATCTGTGTCTGAAAGAGGAGGGTATAAGTTATGACTCATAACAGATCGAATCGATAATTTTGGAATGAGTAAGTACAATGTTGAGTGCTTTGAAGCTGCATGTACAGTAGTATAATACGATGCAGTGATCCAGTTTTGTCCAAGGTTAGCACCGATGCCTCATATTGATCGAAAGAATACAATGCTTGCTAATACCCAATACGTTGTTCGTAGTAGTAGTTCACTAATACACAATACGTTAGTAGTCTCTGATGTTTGTGATAGTGCCCCATCCTCTGAGGGTCGTCCTTACTTTCGAGTACATTTCGTACTTCATTTAAACTCGTGCATTACATCAACTTGCAACAACTGGCTTCACTATAAGGACGTTGCTTGTTGGGATGGCATTCATGAAAGCAAATAACGTGCTACCAGCCCTTTAGGGCAATTTTCCTTTTGTTTTCTGCTAGGTAACGCTTAAATTCTCTAGTTGCTCGCTCACGTCCTGATGCGTTACTTCCCCAGATACATTCATAGGGTGCATATCTTCGGTCTCGTTCAGTGGCGATGCCGTATGTAGCATATTTCCTGATTCACAAATAAGACTTCTGTGAAATTACATGGAACTCAGTGAAGTGCACTCGCAATTAAGTAGCACCCATCAATCTACAGTAGAAGGAAAGAAGCTCCGAGGCGAATAGTCATCGATTCAAAACCTGTAAGTGTCATTCATTCGATCGAGTGCTGTATGATGTTGTGTGAATGTTGTTTGATGTCATCCGCACGGGGGTGAAGTGACGAATGTAGCGTGAATATCGTTCGATATCATCCAAAAACCTTCCCCAATCGACAGTTCTTCGAACTGCGAATGTAATAAGACCAAAATATGTTATGACCGTCTGAATGGTGAAGCGTTCCATAAAGCGTTCCAAAACATGTTATTCTCTGTGTTTTTAACGCGACCTTAACATCGTGCAGAGCCTACCCGTAAACTTATAACTGCACATATCAGATCATTACCCAAATCATTAGTTTTACGCCTATCATTTTAAACAGGATGTGTTCATTCTACAATATACTTGATTTTATAAAATCTACTTACCGAAACTGAAGGTTTATGCTTGACAGTGGGGGACACCATCGAAGGGTGTCGACCTCGCCCACAAACGACCATTATATTCGTACTCACGACGAAAAAAATATAAAGAAGCAGCCCAACTACGGCTAGATGCGCATTGGTATTCGCGTCATCAATTGGAGATCGTTACTCAGGGTTGCCGCCAACGATGGCATGAGTTGCCATCTGGTAATGACATGTCAATGTTCACATAATTGTTAATTTTATATACACCAAATGGTGCAAACATTAATCTGAACTTTGGAAGCCAATCAAAAAGTCTTTGATTCTACAATTAGCTATGTTTTAATGTGATTGGACGATAGATCATACCGAGCTGAATCGATTGGTGCCTGGTTTGCTAGAAAATTTCAAGATTGAGTTGGTTTAAAAATGCAAAACACTCCTCGATACTGTCCGGATCTGTGGATAAAACGCATTCACTTAAACTCCTAAAACAGTTACAGTATACCACGCGTTTCAGTTTGTGGGTTTGTAGCCGGGGGCGAAGATTATATGAGTTTTTGACGATTTAGTATTGTGCTTTGCAATGATTTTGGTAATATGAGGCGAGATTTGCTGTATTTATAGCGACCACCTGCTAGATTTCCGATAAATCGAGGTGCATAGTTGGGTGGAGGCCTAGAATTACGCTAAAAGCGTCACAAATACACTTTTGAAAGTGCAATTGTGGCTGTGCAGCTGCAATTCTGTCGGTTTTTATCCACAAGCACCTACACACACGGCAATTATGCATAAGAGGGTGGATGTGCTGGGTATCATGGACGGTGGTGTACTGGGCCAATGCATGGCTGCTGATAGGCTCTCCCAACTCGATATATATGTATATATGAGGAGGTGGATTAATGCATAATTTTAGCAGGTCGTGTATCTTTTTTCACACATATTTAGGAGCAGACTTTGCCATATTTAGCGTCTAAAATGGTCGGTAAAATCATTGCAAAGCACAATAGTGCGAATATTATATCGTTCAGCGACCTCAGCCTCGTTTGATTACTATAATAGTACCAAAAAGTACTACTTGGTGACATCAAAAAGGAAGCACAACAGATAACCCCATGGCGGCGTCGGCACCAGCGACTTGGGGCGCCAGGCAGACCCTCTCAGCGCATGTAAAGCCCATCTCCAGCCTCTCCTTCTCACCCGACGAGCATCTCCTCGCCTCCTCCTGTACGTATGCGCTCCAAAGATGTCTACAGTATCCGCTACAGTCCACTTCATCTAACTTTGGTCCTTGCCTCCTCCTTCAGCTGCCGATTGCTCCGTCAAGATATGGCGCCTGGCACCCGATAGTCAGCTGGAGACGTCGCCCAATACGTCTCTCTACGGCCACGAGGCTGGCGTGTCGGCCGCCTGCTGGTCGCCGGACTCGCAGCACCTGGCGTCGGCTTCCGACGACCGCACGGCTCGGCTCTGGGACGTGGAGACGGCCAAGACGCTGGCCACGCTGGGCGCCACGCATCGCAGCCTGGACGCGGCGCTCACGACGCCTCTGTCACTACTGGAGGGCTCCTCGGCGGCGCTGGGGCTGGACGAGGAGGGGCAGAACGGAGCCGTGGTGACCGCAGACCCGCCCGTCGAGACGCACACGGGCTTCGTGAGCTGCGTGGCCTTCAACCCGCAGGGCTCGTTAGTGGCCACGGGCTCGCACGACGAGAACGTGCGACTCTGGGACGTACGCAGCGGCAGGAGCGTTGCAATCATTGGCGCCCACCAGGAGCCGGTGGTAAGTGTGGAGTTTCACCCGACGGACGGGTCGCTGCTGCTCACAGGAGGCTACGACGGCCTGGTGCGTGTCTGGGATGTGGCCTCGCGACAGTGTCTCCGCACTGTCATCACGGAGCCGGCCGCGCCAGTGGGTAGCGCGAGGTTTACCCCGAACGGCAGATACGTGCTCAGCTCGACGCTCGACGGAACTGTGAGGCTGTGGGACTACATGCGCGATATCTGCGTGCGCTCGTACAGCGGGCACGTGAACCGCAAGTTCAGCATGCAGTGCGCGTTCTTGGAGCAGCACTGGAACAAGCAGCCGGTCGTCGCCTGTGGGTCGGAGGACAGCCGGATCTTCATGTGGGATGTTGGCACGCAGGAAGTGGCGTCCGTGCTGACGGGCCATGATCACCCCGTGCTCGCTCTGGCAGCTCACCCGACGTGCGCGCTGATGGTGTCGGGATCAAACCGCGACATTAAGATGTGGACCCCGGCCGGTGATGCGGAGAGTAATGACAAGAAGTCTGAACGCAACGGCACGAGTCAGCAGGCTGAGTGAAGATAATAAGCACCTTACAGGAGCTCTGCAGTTCACGATATCGCAGTAGAGTGGATGTACGAACGCAAGCACCGTCAAGAGAAACACACAATGAGTCTATTTATTTACTACGATCACATTCCGTCACCGAGTTGCTCTATTGCCACAGATTGATCTTCAACTCAGCGAAAACGACCAGCGATCTTCTGGCGCACTGCCATCTTGTTCCCTCTATTGGGTCTGCTGCATCTTGCTGAGGTTCTTGAGGTAACTGAGCGTGAACTGGTTATCATCGCAACTGCACCACCAACAACGATGAAAATGAACGTTAGTACAAGGAACATGAGTGTCAAATCGCGGCAGGGGCCCAACAACAACGTACATCTTGGCAAGATCCTGGAGGTGGCGAGCGATGCTCTTCTGAAGTGAACGCAGTGTCGGTAGGCACGTAGCACTGCTAGCGGGGTCGTCACGCAGGGTTTGGCCGTGCGAGTTGAGAACAGCGAGACTCCACTGAAGGTAGAACTCGAGGTGCGGACTGCGATCCATTCGCTTGGCCAGCAGCTGCAGCAGTCGCTGCAAGTACATCTCGCCCCGCAGCGTCTGCGCAACAAGCGGAATGCTAGCAAGCGGGACGCCTTCCACACAACGAGCAATGATCGGCTCCTCATTCAAGTGCAGCGCCATCACCAATGCACGCGCATACTCACGGCGTGCCAGCGTCTTCGAGATGGTTTCGGGCGTGATATCCTCGTCCAGCTCGAACGGGTCGAAGGCCAGGCTTTCGTCCAGACCGTAGATCAACAGACCTTCCGTAGTAGCAGCAGCCCATGCGCGACCGGTAGGGGAGAAAAGAACGGCCTTGGACAGCACCTCCATGTTCTTGCGGCGAGTGCCAGGGTCCACAGCGCGTTTGGCACCAACCAGCGCGCTACCGGGGGTGCGTCCAGACGCCTCCGAGTCATCCAAGTGAGCGTCGAGTTCGATCTTGCTCATTCCGCTCTCCGTGATGTTCCTGCTGTTGAGCTTGTCCAGAATGCCATCGAGTGACAGGTTGTGCGAGATCTGGAACTTCTTGAGCAAAATCTGCGGGCCAGCAGCGTAGATGCACACGAACTTGGAGCGTCCACCAGCAAGCAGAAGCGAGCCATCAGCTGAGTAGCAGACGCTGGTAAAGTGCTTGGACAGCTGATTGTTCGCCGCCGTGATGTGGTCGCCTTCCTTGCGACCGCCGGCAATGTCCCGCTTTCCGTCAATCGTGCCAACCTGCTCGCCTTCCTTGACGTCCCAAATGTTGATCGCTCCGTTGAGCGTAGTGGAGGCAAGCTGCTTGCCATCCGGACGGAAGGCCACAGCCAACACGTCCGTAGCGTGAGCGAGAGGCTCAATGAAGCTCTTCTTGCTGGCGAACAGATTCCAGAGGCGCACCGTGTGGTCCCATGAAGCAGAGGCCAGAATGGGCTCGGCAGCAGACGACGGGGAAAATGACAGCGACGTCACGGGTCCAGAGTGGCCGCTGAGGACGTCCGTGAGTCTGCCAGTCTGCAGCGACCAAACGTACACGTTGAAAGGGTCCATCGAACCAGCACACACGACCTGGCCACTCGGGTCCAGCGCCAGAGACAGGAACTGCGTAGGCTCTGGGGTGGTGAGCACACGGAAGTTCTTGTATCGGTTCAGGTCAAACGCGCGCACGGTGCCATCCAGAGACGCACTAACGACAGCCTGACCTGAAGGAGCAAACTGCACCGCCGTCACGGGGGCGGAGTGCTCGGTGAAAGTGACGTAGCAGAAGCCACTGCTGGTGTCCCAAAGCTTGAGTTTGGCATCGTCGGCACCTGTAGCAAGCAGTCGTCCATCGGGCGAGTAGCTGGCCGCGTTCAGGTCGAAGTAGTGTCCCTGCTGCTTGAGCACATACGTCTCGGAGCGCCACTCCCAGACCAGCAGCTGTCCAAGCTTGCGCGAAGCGAAGGCGAGCCACTCTCCGGTGGCATTCACCGCCACAGTCTCAAGCTGGTTTTGCGTGACGCTCAGCGTGTGAATATTCACAAAGGCGGGCAGCTCGTACAGGCCGAAGGTGCCGTTGCCGAAACCCACGACGAGCATGCCCGTCGACGAGTGGAAGGTGCAACACAACACCTTGGCGAAGTCCATCTTGAGCACGTGCTTCTGGCACGTGTACCACTTAATCGCACGCGCGATGTCCGGGATCGGCTCTGTCCGGTCCTCCGAGAATTTACGCTTGCGCTTCTTGCCTGCAGCTTCGTCCTCGCTTTCGTCTTCGCTGCTCTCGCTTTCTTCCTTGTCCTCCTGTTTGTCTTCCTCCTTGTTGTCCTCCTTCTCCTCCTCCTCTTCTTCTACGTTATCATCTTCGCTCTCCTCGTCGTCACTCTCATCGGGCGTGCGTTCCGTCATCTCCACATCCGGCAGCTTGTATTTCCACTCGTAGGCACCACCGTCGCGTCCGACCGTGAAAATCGATTCGTCATTCTCGGCAAAGAAGGCTCCTACCACCACGTCGCGGTGTCCCGAGAGCGTCAGGGGCTTGAAACCCGGGTACGGGTCCACGGAGAACACGCGCGCCGACAGGTCCTCGGATCCCGTGACGAAGAACTTGCCGTCATGCGACCATGACACACTCACAACATCCGCGTAGTGGCCCGTGTACGTGCGGTGCAGCACGAAGGGCGCGAACTCGCGCACGAGCCCCGGGGTGCGCCAGAGTTGCGTCTTGTTGCCCACCGCAACGGCAATGAACTTGTCGTCGGGGCTGAAGTTGAGCGCGCGCACGGGCTGCTTGAAGTGGAAGCGGTAGAGCACCGCGCCGCGCTTCAAGTTGACCAGCAGACAGCGACCCTCCTCGTCCACGGCCAGCAGCAGCCGCGAGTCGTGCGAGACGGCGATGCGCTCCACATTCTTGCGCGCCTCAAAGGCGAAGGTCCGCGACGTGTTGCTGCAATTAATTCACAGCTCGTTAGTCAGTGTGTCATTGCATTGCATTGCATTGCGTCAGGCGTCTTTGAGACTAACTCACTTGACGAGGTCGAACTGGGTGATGCGGTTGCCCACGGGGCTGAGCACGGAGTTCCCATCGGGCGTGAAGACCACGTTGCCCTGCGAGTAGACGCTGCCGCACAGGTGCTGGAACTGGTAGGCGAACTTCATGGCGGCCAGGCGAGTGGCGTCCGCTGCCAGTCGGTCGGAATTGACTCCAATGCAATATGGACTGGTTGGCGAGCAAGAGAGCCATCTTTTCCACCAATCAGAGTCGTGTATTTTGATTTTCGACGAATCGTCGAGTGTCTCTTTGGCCCATTATTGAGGCCAAGCCACGACGCACCAGTCTTTGAGATGGCGGCCGCTTCGACGCCCAAGGGCGGCGCGCCCAGCGTCATGACCAAGTTCCTGGGGCTGCTGCGCAACTACCGTGAGCCCGTGACGGACGCCGAGGTGCGCGACTACTTCAAGTCCGAGGGCGGCGGCGGCGGCGGCTACGAGCAGCTGCCCGACGTCATCAACGCGCTGCTGGGCGAGGGCAAGATCAAGATTTTCAAGAAAGGAAACGTGCTGTCCTACGGCATCGTGGACGCCGAGGAGGCCGAGCGCATCCGCGGACTCACGTGCGTTGCAATGCGTGGCGTCTGGATTGGGGGTAGTCATTGGCTAGCTGGCTGACGGGGTGCTTGGCGGGGTGATGCAGGTTGGAGCAGCGCCTGGTGCTGCAGGAGATCGAGCGCGCCGGCAACAAGGGCATCTGGACGAGGGACATCAAGTCGCACACCAACATCCCGCAGGTGGGCTGCTGCAAGAGAAGCGGGTGCATTGCGTTGCGTGGAGGCTAATGGAGGTTGTTTGGTGACGTGGTGCAGCAAATTGTGACCAAGACATTGCGGCTGCTGGAGACGCGGCGTCTGGTCAAGTCGGTCAAGTCCATCAGCAGCAAGAACAAGAAGCTCTACATGCTGTTTGACCTGGGTAATGGGCTGGTGCGACTTGTCAGCCGAGAGAAAGCGTGGTTGCTAACGAAGTGTTTTGCCTTGTCATGGGTTGTCTTATTGCAGTGCCGTCGACGGAGATTACGGGTGGCCCGTGGTACAATGAGCAGGAGTTCGACCACGTATTTATTGACACGCTCAGCACCTTCGTGTACGAAGTGATCAAGGCCTCGGGAATGAGCACGTTGAACGCGATCACAGACAAGGTGCACGCCTCGGGCATCTCCAAGGTGGCACTCGGCCCCGAGGAAATCCGCTCCATCATCCAGACGCTCATGTACGACGGCCGCGTGGAGGAAGTCCGCTCCGTGCGCCTCACGCCTGGTGTACGTGCCTCATCGCCTGTCGTCGGCATTTTCCGTGCGTCGTTGTCTCACACTTCACCACCAATTGTTTCTGCTTTTAAAGGCGTCTCACGAGGTCAAGTACAAGGTCTCGCAGCAGATCACGACGTTCAACTACCTGTCGGAGACTCCGTGCGGCGTGTGTCCGGTGCGTCAAATTTCGCGAAAAGCAGTTACCTATGAATGTCTCCGGTCATTTATCTGACTGGAACTTGATCGTTTTTTTTCGGTGTTTTTTTTTCGTAATATTTTTCAGGTGTTCGACCAGTGCCAGGAGGGCAACGTCATCTCGCCGCGTTCGTGCTTGTACATGACCAAGTGGCTGGGCCTCAAGGAGCTCGACTTCTAGTCGCAAGTGTCGTGCTAAACCCCACTCATACATAGATTCCACTTCCACTTCAACGCACGCTTTTCGTCCAATCATCTCGCATTTCACCACACACGAGCACTTGGCCCCATGGAGAGGCCGCTGCTCGACGCTCGCCACGGCGCCCACGCGGCCCCGGAGGGCTCGTCGTCCGCCGCGGCGTCTTCCTCGTCGTCTCTAGTCGATGTGAGTCTCTTCCCGGCTCCTGGGGCCCGCGAACGCGCCCTCCCGGCCAATCCCAGCCTTGCGTCTTTTCCCCACGAAGGTGGCGTCTCTAATCCTTTTTCTCTTTGCATTAATGCAGTAATTAGACAGTTCTAATGGTGTACTCTGTGCTGTGCTTGGACTGTGAAGACGTGGAGCCTATGAGGGGGTACCCACCGCCGTCCAACGCGCCGAATTCCAATGCGGGGGCGACTTCTGCGTCTTCTTCGGCTGCTGCAACTGGAGGCTTCCGGTCGGTGCCGTTGCCGCGGTGGTCCCCATCTCCCATGACGCCCAGATACCTGGCAGCGACGACACATCAACCACCGCCGCCACTGGGGGCTTTACTGACAGGTTCTGCCGCTGGATCGGGGAGTACGAACGTGTCAAGTGTCGATGGTTCTGCGGAAGTGGCGAGCCAATATCACCACTACGAAGATGACCACAGAGCTGCTGTGTCGACTAGAGAAATGGTGGTGGAGACTGCTGACAGACACGAGGCTGAGCCTCAGGGCTCTAGTGGTCTGGAAGGTCTGACTGCTGCAGCCGTGGTGGCGGAAAGTGGAAATGCCAACGCTACTAGCTCGATGACAATGCGACCGGCACTGGGAACGCTGCCGCTGCCAATGACACGTCCCTTGGTGGTCCCACCGCCGCCGCCTCCTGCTGTGGTGACCAACACGTCGACAGCTCTCCAGACTAGAAAGCGCAAGCGGATTCCTGGTCCGATGCGGATGCGCAACTTCCTCTGCATGCATCCTGGCTGCGGCAAGTCGTTCACGGACAGCGCGCACTTGCGAGATCATACGGTTGTGCACACGGGTGAAAAGAAGTTGAGCTGTCCGACCTGTGGCAAGCTTTTCGCGCGAGCATCGACGTTGCAGGAGCACATTCGAGTGCACACTGGTGAGAAGCCTTATGTCTGCGGCGTTCCTGGGTGCAGCAAACGGTACGCGTCTCGCGCAGCGATGCGCTTCCATCGATCCACACATGTTCCCCTGACGGCTTACGCCCCAGGGCCAGAGTCGGGAGCATCGGTCACCGTTAACGTGGACGCATCGCCGCAGGTGCTAAGTGCACCACTCACACCATTTGCGTGTCAAGAATGCGGGAAGCATTTTCGGGTCCGTGAGCTGCTGATGGCTCACCTGAAAGTCCACACAGCACATCGCACAGCTGCTGCGGTGTCAGCGCTGACGTCCCTCTCACCTCGAGGCTTGGCTAGACCTTCTATCAATGGGCCTAACGTGGAGTCTGGTGCAGCAGGGGGAAGTCAAATGGTACACGAGGAGGAGGGTGCACACAACAGCATAATTTACCAGGCAGATGACAGCAAACATCTTCACGACACAATCCGAGCGCAGCAGGACGAGATCGAGCGGTTGCAAGCTGAAGTATCACGTCTGCGTGATGAAGCATCCCTTCAGTCTGCTCCCCCGCGCCCACGTATTGAGAAAACTACGAATGTCAGCGCCGTGACTGCGCCGGTCGAGCTGCTCCGAGATGGCTATAAACCGTTCGAGTGCTGCATCTGCCGCAACCGCTTTGCCAACTTCTATCAGCTCACTTTTCACGGCAAGCAGCATCCTGAGGCGCCAATGACGGAGGTGACTGGGGAACAAGCTCCACTCCCTGTGGGGCCAAAGTATTGCCCTGAAGAGGAGTGTGAGTATGCCGAGTCGACCGGCAAGAGCTTGAGGAATTTGCAGACATTGAAACGTCACTGGCAGCGGCGACATCAAAGCGAGCGCCCGTACGCGTGTTCGTATTGCCCGTCCAGTCGCCAAAAGACGTTCAAGACGCGGGAAAATCTCAAAGCTCACGAAAAGGACTGCACGAAGAATGTTCCTGTCCGGTGAGTTATATACATGGCAGGTGTTGTACCACACGCGATAAATGAGAGGCAACATCATATCGAGCTGCTATTTACTCCTGCTATGTGTTACTTGGAAACGTCGAAGACTTGCTCAATGATCCGATGCAGATTGATGCTCTCCAAGTAGCCCTAATAAAGGTCACACACAGAACGCATATTAGCAAGTCGTCGAGATGATGCAGCAACGCACTCAAGCTGCGAGCAACTTACCGCCTTCATCTTCTTCACCGCGTGAAGGTACACGACGATAGCGTGGAAGCAGTTCTCCTCGCCCTGCAACAAACACGTGAAGAAGTGTACAGTTAGCATCCCTGCTATAGATGTCTGGAAATATGCATGCAAAGAGGTGTAGTGAAACACATCTCACCGGGACGATTTCGCGAACCGCACCCTTCACCAGCGCCTTGAAATGAGGAGGACGCCCGACTGTTTGAACGAGGAAGAGGCGACTGCGCACTCGCGGAGTGAAAGGCCGGTTTGGTCCCTTGCTGAAGTAGTAGGACTTCCAGAATGGCCGGTCACGTTCGTTGTCCGCAGGCAGCATGTTATCCATCATGCAGCAGAAAGTGTTCATCAGGATTTCGGCGTCCGTGGGAAGGCTTTCCGTCCACTCTTTTCCCTTCCACGCTGAGCCCTTGTTCCACCTGAACCTGTCAAGACTTCGGTCCTTCGACAGCATGATGAGACGTTCCAAGACATACTGCTGCCGTTCGAGTGACGAGTAGTCAGTGCTGCTCGGGTCACCAACGTTCAGATATTTTTCAAACTGCATGTGCACACATGGAAACATGGTAAGCATGTAGTCGTCACCGCAATAGAATCACGAATAGCATCACGTACACTTTGGTGCTCCTCGAAGAGATACACGCCTCGCTCCTTGCTGAAAAACAGGGGGCTCTTCGCGAGGTTGTGCAGCATATCTGACAGCGACACGTTGGTCATCTGGTTGGTTTGTCCCGGTGGGCACAGCAACGCCTGTGAAGGAACGCGACGCAGCAGCACGTCCGCCATAACACCGCACTCGTTCAGAGCGTTGGCATTCTCCAGGAAAGCCTCAACCACATCCTTCACGTGATACGCAAGCAGGCGGCGAATGTTGCGGCAGTACAGGTGCATGAACATGGCCAGCCCCCACTCCTCCAACTGCTGCCATGCGATGTGGGGAAGCGACGACGTGCGCAGAGGGTCCTCTTCCTCATCCCCAATGCTGACATCGCGAAGGTGAGGGTCGAAGCCCGACGCCTGGTACACGCGTGGAACCATGGACGCGTTACCGTAAATTCCGAAGGCATCACTTTGGTACGAGTTCTCCATGCCGTACGCCGACGCCGATTGCATCGACTCCTCCGCCTCCTTCTGCTTCTGCGCCTTCTGCAGACGACGGAGGTACGCCTTGCCATCCTCCACGGTCTTCACAGGGGCAGGGTCGAAGAACGAGCGCTCCTCCTGCATCTGCGTCTTCCCAGCCGACGAGTCCTTTTTGCCCGACAACCGTCCACGAAGCGAGTTGAGCTTCATCACCTCGTCCACTGCACGAAATGAGCCTCGAAATTAGTCCACTGCAATCCCCACCAAGTTCTTAAAACTCACGAACGCACACTGAGCAGCACGATCCAGCGGCACCGGGGCAGCTTCGGGCTTGCTCACTCGAACCAAGTACTGGAGCCAATGCAATAAAACCGGTCAGCAACATTACTCCTCCCTCTCTCTATATATATATATCCTTCCTCTCCACTCTTCCGCTCACCTTGGCATTGAACTGGATGAGCAGCTCCTCCCCCTGCACTTGCGCCACTCGGAGCACCAGCAGCACCGAGAGCACGAACAGTCCGTGGCCTGCAGCATAACGTATTGCATCAGTTGCCTGCACATCTGCAACCCCCAACTACAGAACCTCCATGCAAGGCGCGCACCTGCAATGGCCAAGAGACTCGGCAGGATGGCGGCGCTCCACTCGCCGTTGACGACGCTCCACAGCGGCGGCAGCGTCAGCCACAGCAGCGCCGCCAGCGCCAGCGCCACCGACCCCAGGTTGCTCGTGTACGTCTCCAGCTGCGTCTCGCGGATCGCGCGCGTCTCCATGGCGCGCAGCGCCTCCGCGCCGCCGTCCGCCATGATCCCAAGCTCGGATTCCCACTCTAATCGCCACCAAAAACCTCATTACACATTTCGGCCAATCCAAATCGTTCTCGCACGGGATTGGTCCACGAATCGAATCGTATTTCAACCAATAGTGGAGCTTGGTATCGTTGCATGACACGAGGCAGGACAGATCAGGCGCACGTCGACGAGCAGTCGAGCAGTAGAGCAGAGCAGACCTCCCGGGACTTCCGATCCGATGGACTCGTTCTTCCCGAGCAACTCGGCGCCGCGCAACCCGTACTACCGCCACTCGCAGGCGCGGCGGCCGCGCGCGTCCACGAGCGACCGCATCTTCGTGGCGGTCGGGACGGTCGTGGTCTTCCTGCTCTTCCTGGGCTACCAGAGCTTCCGCGACGTGGCGCCCATCGGCGGCGCGCCGACGTCCATCGACCAGCAGGCGGCAGCTGCGGCCGCGCTGTCGGGCAACGAGAACAAGCCGCGACTGCGCGCGGCGACGGTGGGGCAGGCGCTGGACGCGGACACGCAGCAGCAGGAGAAGCCGCAGCAGCTGCAGACGCTGAGCTCGTCGCCGCTGAGCCTCAAGATCATGACCTTCAACTTGCGCTTCGCCGGCACTGGCGACGGACTCAATAGCTGGCGCTTCCGCAAGGACCACGTGGCCGACATCATCGACCGCTACCATCCGGCTATCATGGGCACGCAGGAGGGACTCAAGACGCAGCTTGCGGAGCTGGAGGTGAGGACAAGGAGAGAGAGGCAGATGGTTGTGCGCGATTACCCGGTGCTGATGCTGTGCATTGTTTTGTGGTTGTAGGGGCTGTTGAAGCACCCGTACGAACGTTTTGGTGTCGAGCGCGAGGAGAACGGCGAGTTCGAGCAGGTTTTCTACGATGGAGCCGTGCTGGAGCGTCTGGACAACGGAGACTTTTGGCTCTCGGAGCAACCCGACACGCCGGGCACTCAGGGATGGGACGCGGCGTGCGTGCGTATGGTGACGTGGGGCAAGTTCCGTCTGCGTGCGACTCGGCAGGAACTCTTCGTCTTCAACACGCAGCTGGACCATGTCGGCCCGAGGTCGCGCGAAGAAGGCTCCAAGCTGCTATGGGAGCGCATTCAGCAGATCGCAGGTGACGCCCCGCTCTTCCTTATGGGCGATTTCAACACGTATCGCCACACTAGCACGTACAGCTACTTCACCAAGCAAGAGGGAGGGCCGCAGATGCGTGAAGCTTGGCCTGAAGCCGCGAAGCAGATCGGCGACGTGTCGTACACGTACCACGGCTGGGCCGGCGTCAAGAACGACGGCGAGAAGACTGCCGTTCGCGCCGCCAACCACATTGACTGGATCTTCTATCGGCCCCAGATGACGGTGCTCACGACGGAAGTTATCACGGAGGATCGCAATGGCCGCTACCCGTCGGACCACTACCCCATTCAGGCCGAGGTGCTCTTCCCCAGCCCTGCACAATTGCCTCCTCCGCGGACTTATTAGACGTAAGAATCAAGAAGAAATACGCCAACGTGACTACAGCGAGCTGCGTGCCTGCTGCTATCGTTACGGGGGCAAATTGTTGGTGCGTTATACTTCTCCTGAGGCGGCCTAAAGTGATTAGCTATAGCATTTAACGGGCTGTCCGGGGCCGTGTCGTAGAGTAACTGTGTCCAGCGCCACACTTTCGTAGCCACGCGTGAAGTCTCCCAGAATGCGTATCGCCGACAGACCCGAAAGCACGCTCACAAACTCGCACTGCAGTGGTGCTCCCCAAGGCAAAATGATGTTTTTCGGGTCCTTCACCCAACCAGCAAGCTCGTTCAGCGGCAACGAAAACTGTGTGGTAGTTCCGTCGTACGAAAAAACTGGGCTCAGCGGCATGGCGAGTGTTATACCTGCATATTGCGCACAGGTCGCGCACTCCAGCTCTACCAGGTGACCGGAGCCTGCCAGGTTCAAGTTCGCTGCATCAAAACTGCCTTCCGCCGATGACAGTACGAAGTCCAGCGAGCCGCCGTACGCTGCCCACTGGTTACCGAGGAATTTAGGCGGCGCGGTGAAGTACCAAAGCATGGAGTCGTCGCCCGTATCGTCCCGACGGTGGATGACTGCGTCGAGTCCGTAGATGTAGTAGCTGAGCTGCACTCCGCGCGACATTGGCTGGAAGTGCGGTTGCGAGTCGACACCTGCTCCGTTCGACAAGATCCCCCAGTTGTCGACGTCTAGGTCGAAGGTGCTGGACACCAACGGATCGCTGGTGGTGATCACGACAATGCCTTCGCTCGACGTGGTGGCACCATCCGTGACAGTGTACCGGAACTCTGCATACTGCACGAGCAGATTAACAGCACCAGACACTGAGCTCACATCTGGCAACAAATAGCTTCGCTATCTTCCTCCTTCCCTTACCTTGCTATCTCTTCGTGGGCCGCCGAAGGGTGGACGAAGGAAAACAATTCGATTGCTGGAGCCTGTTACTTTCGCCGGTACGGTAGTAATTGGTGACGCTGCACGCTTCGGGTCGTAGCTGAAATTCAAGGGCACCACAACAACACACGTTAGTTGGTTGAGTCAGCTCGATCAACCAACGACGGTAAGTCTTACCCGTATTCACTGTAGATATCCGAGAGCTGGTAGATCTCGCCATTCAGCGGAAGTGAAGTGATCGTGTACGACAACTGCGCTCAAGTAGCGGAGTTGTCAACAGCGATGATATGAACAACTTCAAGGATAGAGGTCACTTGGATACCTTCGCTCCATCAAGATTGAAACCTTTGAGATATAGCACTTGCTCCGTTCCAGCGTCTACGTGGTATACCAAGTTACGCGCAATTGGGCTTTGACAGAATCGACAAAGAGCACGAATCAGTCAGTACGGGCTTTCGTGAGAGTCTTGGTCGCATCTACTTCGTCATCGCAATTTACCTGACTGCGTAAGCCGACGACACCCACAGCACTAGCACCAGCGCATGCAGCAGTGATACCGGACTCCACTTTCGCCTCATAGCGTCGATTCAGGATTTGTGAGTTAGACCAAAGCAGTGAGTGTCCTTTCAGAGACGCGTCTATTGAAGTCATCAACTCGATGCACTTGCTAGTGTAGCGTCGCTCTCTATTATATGCTGCCCAAAATCCTGCCGAAGCTAGGCTAACTACCGTATGCTGCTACTGGTAGTCCACTCGCGTTACTTCTCCGCAGCCTGCGCTTTCTTGAGCATTTTGATGATCGCGTTGGCGGTGGCCTCATTGCGAGGCACTCCACGGCCGACAGTGTACATCTCTGCGAGATTCTTCCACGCCTCCATGGAGTCTCGGTCGGCCGCCTCCTGATAGTAAAGGAAGGCCTTCTCGAAGTCCTGCTCCACACCAATCCCGTTGTAGTAAATCGCACCAAGACAGCAGAATGCGTCAGCGTGGCCCTGCTCAGCAGCCGCCATGTAGAATCCGCGCGCCTGCTCGTGGTCTTGCTCGAATCCGTCGCTGCCATGAAAGTAAATGTCCGCCATGCAGAAGTACGCATCCGCCTCGCCCGCTTGCATTGCCTTGTCCAGATGCTCCAGGAACTTATTATGGTTTGCAGGGAATTTGTTGGCGTCGTCGCCAGAGCGATACAGCTGCGCCAGGTAGAACAGCGCGCCCGGGTGGCCCTTGTTGGCTGCCGTCTCGATGAGCATGAGTCCGCTCTGGAAGTTGGGCTGGATCTCCAGGTCCTTGTCGCCCTGGTGCAGCAGTATTCCCATGAAGAACTGAGCCGAAACGTCGCCCACTTCCGCAGCGCGGGTGAAGAACGGAATGGAGGCGCTCTTGTTGCCCGGGAAGGGCGGCTCAGCGTGCTGCACGCCTTCGAAAAGCATCACCCCGAGGTTGTACAGTGCATCCGGGTGCGGGTTCTCGTCCTTCGTCACGCGGGTGTACCAAGCGCTGGCCTCAAGGGCCATGGGCGGGTCATGGCTCAGGCACAGGTTGCCAAGCTGAACGTGAGCATCGCGGTTGCTGTTGTCTGCGGCACGACGCAGCCACTCTACCGACTTGGTACTGTCTAGCTGCGTCTTCTCAGCGTGGTCATCGTCTCCGTTCTCCAGCAAAGGCTCCAACTTGGACTGCGGGTCCAGCAACAGCTCCACAGTCTTGCCAAACGCGCGGTCCAGCTCGCTCGTCGTCGCGTGCTGAACCACCGACGCTGCACCAGCCGCGCGTGCAGCTTTGGCCTGCTTCTTGCGCTTCTGCTCCATCAGGTACTGCTTGTAGGCCGCACGCGCGCTCTTGCGGATGTCTTTAATATTCTGGGGGTCGTCCGAGCGGCCGGAGCGCTGGCGATTGGCCTCTGCATCTCTGATCAGCTCTTTGTTCTTGCGCTGCGCCTCATCTTCCTCCTCCTCCTCCTCTTCTTCGTCTTCGTTCAGCAGCAGAGAGCCCAGGAGATACTGAGCGTCGGCGATGTTGGCGTGGGCAGCCACCCCCAGGTAGCCCATCGCCTGCCGCAGGTCGTCTCCATCCAGCAGCTTCTTGGCCTTCTCGAACGCCTCGTAAGCCTGGAATTATTCATGCCAACTCGTCAGTATGTCAACAGCGTTAAAGCGAGGGCTATAGACGCACCTCCTTCTCGCTGATGGCGGAGCTGAAGGCGCGCGCGCCAATTGCTTTGGAGCTCCGAGCCGCCAGCAGCGTTCGGCCGTTGGAGGCCGCGCGGGCGACCGCCGCCGCCGCTACTCGCCGCCCCAATCGCTGCATCATGATGTCGGACTGCGATTTGTGTGGTGTCGATCGGTGACAAGCGAGCGACGTGTGCCACACAGATTTAGCGGCTGATCTTGAAGAGACGTTGAAGGCATTGGGCATAGCTGCGATGAATCGCGTCGGCATCCTCGTGGCCGTCAGTGTTGTGTTGTATGGGTGGGGGCTAGTGCATGCAGACTGCCCCAACACTTGCAGTGGCCATGGCACGTGCACGACCAAGGGCAACGGCTACTTCTGCTCGTGCTACAAAGGCTTCACAGGCGGCGACTGCTCTCGACGTACGGCTTACTGTGGATGCAGTGCAGTAGCGAGGAAACATTTATCTTACCGAGTATTGTGTTGCTGCGTTGGTTGTGGTCTAGGCACGTGTCCGACCGGTCCGGCGTGGAACGACCTCGCAATCGCTACCGACCGCGCGCACCAACCGGTCGTGTGCTCCAATCGAGGAACCTGTGACTATACCTCGGGAGTTTGCACCTGCGACGCCGGTTTTTCAGGGCTTGCGTGCAATCGAAGTACGTGTCGGATGAACTTATTATTTCGTTATAATATCGATGCTGAAACCGAGTTGATTGTGTCAATGGTAGTGAGCTGTCCGAACGATTGTGGCAAGCATGGCGAATGCCGATCGATGAGACTCAATGCTCAGCGCAAGGACAAAGGATTGCCTCCTTCAGTCATCTACGATTCGGTCTGGGATAGCGATATGGTACACGGCTGCGTGTGTGAAGGCGGCTATGGGGGCGGTGACTGCTCTCAACGTAGGAATCATGGTATTAGCGACCTGTGGTGTGTGTATTGCTGCTCACAACTTTGTAACTATTTGAATAGGTCTTTGTGCAACTGGGGACGACCCGCTCACGGGAGCCTCTACAGACTCGCTGTTTGGCTTCCAAAAGAATGAGAAGCAAACGGTTTACTGCGCTGCAACGGTACATGATCGTTTGTCGTTTTATTGTTTTTTTTGTTTTGTGTTGTTTTCTAACCCTTACATTTTTCATTGTTGAGCTCTGCAGAGCGGTACACTAACTCTGTCATACCGGGGTCAAACGACAATCCGTATTGATGCTTCAGACAATGCCGATGCCGTGAGCAAAAAACTAAATGTACGTGTTCTCTTTATTTTTTTCTTGGGAATCGTTTGTCTCTTTCTATGATCAACTCATCTGATTCCGTAACACTGTAGGCACTGTACACACTGCAAAAAGTAAATGTACTCTTCGGTGGTACCAGCACAACCATGTGCACTGCAGACGGCAACATGGTCACTGTTGAGTTCACGCAAAACTTTGGACCGTACGTGTTTGCAAAATATGCGCGGTGGTTCTAATGTCTTTGACGTTCAATGAAATGCTTTGTCGTGAACTTGTTCACTTCTAACACCTGACCAGGTTACCGCTTCTCGTCGGGGATTCGTCTCTACTGGTACACGCTGGAATCGGCATGACGCCCAAACTGACGATTTCGAAAGCTGATGTCGGCTCGAAGGAAAACGAGGCATGCTCCAATCGTGGTCGCTGCGACTTGACTTCGGGCGTTTGCACTTGCTACGTCGGCTACACAACGAGTGATGGAGCGGGGAACCCCGGTGACCGCGGAGATTGCGGGGCTACGGATTCGACCATCATTGCATGCCCGGTAAGATCACACCATCAACAGCTCGCAGCTACGTGGAATTGATATTTTTTGCTGTGCTCTGCGTAGGGCGATACTGCTTGCAGCGGCCACGGATATTGCTCAGGAGCCCCTCAGTTCCGCTGTTTCTGCGTAGCTGGGTGGACTTCAGGAGATTGCTCAGTCCGGACGTGCCCCGAAGGGATCGCCTGGTTTGACACGCCCATAGCGGACAACCGCGCCCACTCGATGGCAGTATGTTCAGGGATCGGCGTTTGTGATGTTTCACTGGGTGAGTGCGCATGTCCTCTGCCGTTTGAAGGTGCTGCCTGTGAGCGCCTCATGTGTCCTCCTGGCGGCGGTGACACACCCTGCAACGGCCACGGTCGATGCCTTACGATGGCCGAGTTGGCGCTGGAAGCTCGCAACTTTCTCGGCGATCCGTTGAGCGTCACGTACGGCAGCACTCCAAACAATCCACTCACGTGGGACTTTAACAAGATTCAGGGCTGCATCTGCGATGACGGGTTCGAGGGGCACGATTGTGCTCGACGCTCATGCCCTCGCGGTGATGACCCAAGAACAATAGGCCAAACGCGTGAGGTGCAAACTATCACCTGCGTATACACAGCACTAGCCACTTTCACGCTCAGTTTCCGCGGGCAAGTGTCACCAGTGCTGTCGTCCAATATGTTAGCGTCAGACTTGCAGGCCGCACTCGCCTCCGTTTCGACAATCGGCAACGTGCAAGTATCCTACTCCGCAGGCCCTACTAGCGGCGCATGCACGCTCAGTAGTCAACCGGTGAACACCATCTCCATCACTTTCATATCCGCGCTCGGCGATCTTCCACCTCTGAAAGTGAACGCAGATCGCAACACCGTCTTGCTTCCAGTGTTTACTATCAACAGCGACGGGATCAGCGGCTCCGTTCGAGGCACAAACGAGAACGCGGAATGCTCCAACAAGTACGTAGTCGAGATGATGCTAGCAACCGTATTACCGTTCTCATGTGTTTGCTTCATGATTGCAGCGGACTTTGCGATTACTCCACTGGAACGTGTCAGTGCTTCGATGGCATGGCAAGCAGCAACGGTCTGGGTGGCCTGGGGCTACGAGCAGACTGCGGCTTCCTCGTACCAGAAGTTGACAGACTAGCAGACGTGAGCGAGATTTAGCACACAATACACAACCTCACAGCTATGAAGCGCAAATGGGTTTGTGTATTTCTTTTGCGCTACTCGCAATTATTACAGCTAGATAGATAGGTAATGGAAGACACATACATGCCTGCAGTGCCCCGGTCGATTGCAGTGAACTGAGCTCGCGTATCGCGCACGGTGACATGGGCAGGGACTTCCCTTCTACTCGCTAGTGCTCCCTTGTACGGGATCGTGCTCAATTAGGAGCAGTTACCTCGTCCCACTCGTACCCGAGCACGCGCGCCATGAAGCCCGACTTGGACTCCTTCTGAGCAGACCGCATCTTGAACACGGCGTGGCATGTGCGGCACACGCGCTGCGGGTCCTTAACCTGCTTGCCACCATTGGTCATTCGACCGGGGAATTCCTTCGGGAACCGGTGCATCTCCACCGTGAATGCCGAGCAGTCGGAGCAACAGACACGTCCACAGTGACGGCAGTGGTGGCGCCGGTTGCCAAACTTGAAGTTTGAGCTGCACAGCATGCAGGACTTGCGCTCTTTCTCGTCAATCCACGTAGGGGGCTGCGTGATGGCGCTAAAGAGCTTCTTCAAAAACTTCTTGTTCGCCACCTCGATCACCATTCGCCCCTTCGCGTCAGGAGCGTTCAGAGAGGCGCCGTGCTTGATCAAGGCGCAGCCGATATCGATCAGTTCACGTTCAACAGCGACGTGCAGAAGCGTAGATCCGTCGGCAAGCTGGATGTTCGGGTCTGCTCCTCTTGTAAGGAACAGCTCCGTGATTGCCGGGTCAGTTTGGCGTGTCGTCATAATGTGTACAACCAGTGGGCTCTGGAATCGGGCGTTCACCTTGTCGACTTCAGCACCGTGCTTGATCAAGTAATCCACGAGGCGGTATCCGTTCTTGCGATCGCGGGACACAGCAAAGTGGAGGGCGTTGTTCTCGTTTCGGTCAGTCAGGAGGATCAAATCCTGAATATCGTCGGACTTGCACAGCTCCATCACAATCTGATAGTGGCCCTTGCGGACCGCCAGGTGAAGCGCGGTCTGGTGGTGCTTCAGCTCACGGAAAAGCACATCAGCCTTGAAGTGCAGAAGCAGTTTCACAGTCTTCGCATCACCACGGTCCACAGCGTCAATCAGGGCAGTGCGGCCGTCAGCGTTGACAATGTTGGGGGTGCAACCAGCTTCCAGCAGCATCCGGGCAATACGTGGGTCCTTAGCCAAGTGCAGCGGCGTGTTACCATCGTCGTCTTGGACAAGAACATCAGCCTCCCAGTCGAGAAGGATGCCCACGACCTCGACGTTTTGGTAAAGGGAGGCAGTGTGCAGCGGAGTGCGGCCGCGTCGGTTACGAGCGTTGATGTCTGAGCCGTTTTGAAGCAGCTTCAGCACGTCTTGCTCATTACAGCAGTTGGCAGCAACGTGGAGCACAGTGTCACCCGGATCCATAGCAACCTGGCGAGAAGTGTTCGGCATCGAGTAGTCATCATCACCGTACTCCTTGGTAAAGCGGAAACGAGACACTGCACGACTGCCACGTCCGTCTTCAGTGTCCCTCGACGATCTGCGGAATTTCATAGACGAACCGCGGTCTCCGTCCGATGAGTCATCCGAAACAGGGTCGGACGACGCAGACTGAGCGGTGAGGCGGTTCTGCTCCTCCAGCTCAGCAGCCTTTCGCTTCTCGTCCAGGATGCGCTGTTCCTCAGCGGCACGGCGTTCCTCATCGCGCTGCTTCTTCTCAGCAAGCTCCTTTTGACGCAACAGCTCAGCCTGTTTCTTACGGTGGCGCTCACGCAGGACGTAGAATCTGCAACGAGTGTTGAATCCACGAATCACTTTCTGAAGCACTACTGCCGATTCTTGCATGCGAGCGTACTGACGACGCGCAATCAAGCCGCGGACAGCAGCCTGGATGAGCACCACAAATTCACCGTAGCGCTTCGCCAGCTGAGCCTCAACGAACTGAATCGCCGACCTACGGAAGAACACGCGCGTGAGACCCACTTGGATGCCTGCCACGGCGGTCTCCTGGCTGTCTGACGATACACCAGCCAGCTCCGGATACCGCTCGGCATGCGCCTTAAGCAAGAACTGTACCAGCAGACTGGCCGCTTCCTTGCGCTCAGTGCTGTCGAAGTTTTCCTCAGCTGCCTCTGCAGGAATCCGTTGCAGGTACTCTCCGTTCGCCAAGGGACGGTAGCGCTTGATGAACTGCTGGTGGTTAATACGGACGGGGTAACCTGCCCGGTTGACGCGCACAGCTTCCAGAACACCGCCAGCCTTCAACTGGTCACACACACGCTTTGACACCAGCAAGTTGGCCTTGGCCTTGTCGTTAGGCTTCAGGCAGCGCACGTAGTGGCAGTCCGTGACGTTAATCGTTTCAAGCAACGTCTTCAGCTGAGTTCGGAACTGCAAACCCAGACTCACGCGCGTAGCCACGCTTGATGCACGTCCCTTTCCCTTCCTTGAAGGCGTCTTCTTCTCTGGGGAAACCTCGAGCAGGCCACGCACAAACGGCTTCGACGACCGCTTGATGATAGCAGTAATCTCCGGGTACAGAATATCCTTGTTCTTTTCACAGAACCCAAACGTGTCGTACGTAACTTGACCAGCGTAGTGGTGCACGACGAAAAGGTGGTTGGCCATCTCAGTTTTGCTCGCGCTAAAGTGCACGTTCGAATTATGCTGACGGTAGAGCTTTCGTGCGAAGTTCTGGTCGTTACCCTGCGGAACAATGCACTCCTCGTCAAGAGCCGGAAGAATACCGTACGGCTTGCCCTGGATCAGGTCAATGCACGGGCCGTTGTCAGGGAAGTTGATGAAACTCCACTGAATCTCTTCTTTTTCGTACGTCTCCTGCTCCATACGCAAGACCGTGAGGTTGAAGTGCTGCTGCAATGTCTCGTTGGCGTAGTTGATGCAAAGCTGCTCGAACGAGTTGTGCTCCAGGTCTTCAAAACCAAAGATATCCAGCAGACCAATGAAGGGCACGTCGCGATCCTCATTCTCCACAATCTCGTTAATGCGGCTGACCAGCCAGTCGAACAGCTTTCCGTAAATAAAACGAGCGAGAGCGTCACGTGCGTTCTCGGCAGCATCAGGCAGCAGTCCAATCGAGTAGTGCTCGTCCTTGGTTTGAATGTTGCGGTTGCAGATAGCCTGCTCCAGGCCTTCCTTGTCCACCTCCAGGAAATCAAGCACCATCTTCATCGAGTCCGCACACGAGTTCGAGATCTCAGATCCTTCCGTACCCGAGGCCTGGTGGGTTTCATCAAACTCGAGGTTACCAATGTGCAGCAGAGACGAGATCGTGACAAAAATGCTCTCCATGTCATCATCGCTGAAGCCCATAGTCTGCATAGCGTTCTTCAGGACGCCAAACTGCTCCGCGTCGTTCACGCCATCTTTTCGCTTAATGCACGTACTCTGGTTCAGGTAGTGGAACTTGGTGGGCGCCTTCAGGTTCCAGCGCTTCTTCTCCTCGGCAGTGGCACCAGCAATGATCTCGTAGAAGATGTGGTAGTTGCGTTCAGACTCGGCCTGGTAGGCAAGACGAACCTTCTCGAGCAGATACGTCTGGATCGAGGCACCAATGAGGCTTCCCTGCGGCGAGAACTCCATCTTGATGAACTTGCCGAAACGACTACTGTTGTCGTTGCGGATTGTTCGAGCGTTACCGAACGACTCGAGGATCGGGTTGGACGACAGCACCTGCTTCATGACGTTGCTGTCGGCCGTGGCGTTCTTGTGCTGCGAGATGGTGGCCAGGTAATTCATCACGAACTTGGTGCTTTCGGTCTTACCGGCGCCACTCTCGCCACTGACCAGGATGGACTGGTTGGCGGCGCCTCCGTTCGCGCTGTGTCCGATGGGGTTCATGAGCGAGCGGTAGGCCTTGTCGGCGATGCTGAAGACGTGCGGGGGCATGTCAGGCACCTCTTGGCCCAGCGCGCGCTTGTCGCCATTGCGGATGTACTTGCGCGTGATTTTGTCCGTGTAGATGCCGAGGCTCTGGAAGGGGTTGATGGCCAGCAGGATTTCGCCCGTCAGCGTGTAAATCTCGTTGATCTTGAAGCGCTCGTTGAGCGTGTGGCAGATGCCGGGCTCGTGCAGGTGCGGCAGCTGGATGAGGTCCTCTACGACGTCCTGTCACGATTCAACACACACACACAGGCAATTAGTTCGTTAGTGGCCAGTTCTATCCGCCGTACGACCATCACTCCTGCTTGACAGTCAGTCCTACGCACCATGTCGCTGCTGTTGGCGAGCAGCACGCCGTCCACGAGCTCCTCCTCGAGCGCCTTCACGTCGACCTGCAGCGTCTTCTCCGTCTTGGCGTGCGGCCCCTCCGTGAGGCGCAGCGTCACCTCGCGCTCGTTGGCGCCGCCGTCGCGCGGCTCGCCGAGCTTGACGACCGTGGCGCGGTGCCACTCGTCCGTGTCCGCGTCGCGGAGCCAAACGCCCACGCCCTTCTCCATGGCGCCGAGTCGGGGGGGGGCGAAGAAGCTTCAGAGACCGATCGACCGTCCGATGTGCGAGAACAGTACGCTGCTGCCAGGAGCGAGCGTGTGTGAGTGAGCGCAGTGCGGAATCGAGAGTGCGCGCGCCCCGGCGGTTGGTTTCCTGCTGTCTTGTGGGCTCGACTCGGTTTCTACCACCGCTGCCGACGAATTGGCGTAAATCGGCCCAGCCTCGTACTTTGGCGGCGTGACTGGCGCATCGACCATACTGAAGTCCAGTCATTTCTGACCACTACTGGCTCTTTCTAGCGGACCTAATTCTTTGGGTTCCAGTACGTAAAACGTATCGGTTTGGCGGGGTTTAATTGATTCACTCGAAAAATATTCACACGACCAGGGCTTGGGGCTCATCCGGATGGCGGCGAGCGGAATAGGCCTGCAATGGCGAGTGTGTGGGCCGACGCCGTGGATGGCCCGCCATCCGGTCGTGCTAGCTGGCGGCCAGGACTTCGAGGAAGCGCGGCTTCTCGTGGATGTTCGTGATGCCCCGGCGTCGGTCTGCTCCGCCGATAGCTCAGCGGCAGTGTAGCTTTTCATTTTTTTCTGCATGGCGCGTGGCTCGAAGAGTATCCATCTCGACGGCGGGCGGGTGTGTAAACAATCCCGTGTCAGCCTGCACGGCGTCGCAGAGCTGATCCTCGCAACTGCGTCGGCTTGGATTCACGCAAGAATTCCGGCACATTCTTTTCGGGGCAATCTACGTAAATGGAGATAGGTGCCCCCGGTGATCGCCGCCGGTCATTGACCAGCAAAGGAGCGGTTCCCGCGGTCGTGGGATCGATGGCGCTGAGAAGAAGCCCCTGGCCCGAGAGCGAGCTTCAAGGGCGCGTGGAAAGTGTAGGCTGGAGGAGGTTAAACGAGTCACTGCGACAACTGCACGACAATCAACAGAGGCGGGCCGCATGTGGTCCACCACCTTTATTATTTGTATGGTTCATATCGTCAGATGCCGCCGCCGTTCTACATGCTCGCCACGCGGTTCGTGGGAAGCGGTCGCTCTCGTGCGTCAGTGCGAGAGGCGGAGTGTCGCGTCGGTCTATGGTGGCCTCTATCGCTCTTGTCAGGGTCTTGTCTTGGGGTCTTGGAGAGGGCAGGCAGCGCGGGCTCAGCTCCTTGCGCGGTTCGCCCCGACGGCGGCCTGCAGCACGGTGCCCACAAAGCTCGTCGAGAAGTCGCGGATGCTCGCCTCGCGCGTGAACTTCTGGTTGGTCTTGCGGTCCTCCTCCTGCGCGAGCTGGAGCCGCTTGCGCGGGGTGCACGGCCTGTGAGCAAGCGGAGACGGCCAAAAGAGACTTATTAGTTTAGTTGCCACTGCTTGCTGCGCTAGAGAGCGGCTGGTACCTTTCAGGGATCGCGTCGTCTTGCATGGCTGTTGCTGGCTGGAATCGGGTGCAGTTGGAAAATGCCGCCACACCACTCGCGCGCTGCCCGGCGCATAAGATCGCAGCGCTGCCTCGGATGAGATCAGCAGCATTGGGGGCGAGATGACTACCATCTTTCGCTGGCCCCGCGTTATCTATATCCGTCGTATGGCACCCTCGCCTCAGAACCAGAAGCTCCGCGTGCAGCGCGGATTAATACATGTAATCGGATCGTAACAACTTTGCAGTCTGGGCCGAGCCGCCCTGCAGTTCTACATCCACCACCTCGCAGCCAGCCTCCAAGGAGGCATGTCTCCATAGACTTGAAGTGATTGGCGACCGACCACAGTTTCGCCGCCGCTGGAGTGCATGTTGTAAAATGGCGCCAACGGCCGTCTCGTCAATGGACACCAAACCGTCACCGCTCGGTGAGTGTGTCGTGTACCTCGGCGTGCTCAACTACTTCTTCACCGTGGACGAGGCGACGCCGGTCGTGTCGAGGATCGGCACAGTTATAGGCCACCTGCAGCTCCGCATTACGCCGTACGTGGCAGTGGTGCAGCGCGCCAGCAGTAAGCGGGCAAGTTGAAGTGGCCCTGTTACCCTGCGTATTGTACCAGACCCCATCTCACAAAGTCGTTTCTGCTGCAGTTAGAGGACGAGTTCGTGCCCTACGAGCACACCGATGTAGATAGCACCGAGGAGCAGGTGTATGAGTACATGGATCGCCCGCTGCAGTACCGCGTGGAGCTTCGCCGGCTCAGCCAGCTCGCGCCGCAGCGATTCTCGCATCTTTCGCTGCGCTACACCTTCTTCCGCGAGACGAGCACCCAGACGCCGAGGTTTCAGGTCGACGCGAACGGCGACTCGGGCCCGCTCGGCCTGGAGTTTCGGCACGTGGTGGACGTCAGCGACGCACTGGTCAAGTATGTGACCGGCAGTACCCTCTCGATTGAGGTGCGTGCGTGGGCTTCCGATCATCTCGTGCCTGACACTGACCTCGTCGTCTGCGCGCAGCTTCTAGGCCACACGAGCGCCGAGTGATGCGGGAAAATCTGCGCTGCCCAGCGGATACCTGGCCGGATCCCAAGCACCATCCTCTTTGGATGGCTACACGCACCCGTCTCACGTAAAAGTTCAGTTTGGGGAAGCACACCAACTCGCGAGTTGCAACCGAACGAGTGGCACCGCTACCAGGTCAAGAATCCATGTCAACGTGGCAGAGGTTTCTATTTGGCCTTGCGCTCCCGCAAGACTCGACATCAGGCCGGACACGCTGCCTTTTCATTGCAGCCCCACACTGTAGCTGCCAATTTGGCGGTGCCAAATAATAATCTCACCGAGCACCAACCCCGCTCTTCACAACTGCGCTTGTAGTCTTAATGATCCTGACATACATGGCTCGAATTGGACGAGGTGTTTGCACCGCTGGCATCGTTGTGTAGCCGTCCACGTTCTCAGCCGCTGCGTTGCCGTCCACGGACACTTCAACATCGATTCGTACTTAAACAATGCGACCGTTCACGCTCGACTCGGTCACTTTCAGATACGCCGCTGAGCTACGCCAGCCATGGGGTCACGCGATGTCGACGCGCTGTGGCAGGAGCTGGCGCTGGAGAACGAGTTCCACAACGTCGAAGTCTCTCGGCTGCTAAAGAAATCCATGGCGACGGGCGCCACCTCCAGGAAATTCGCCAAGAGCTCCGGCAACCGACGAGCCGCGCGCGTGTCGGCGACGCAATCGGATCCGGGCGCTTCTTGTCGCTCGGACTGCAAGACAGTCAAGCACGAAGAGGCCTTCAGTCTGCCGAAGGTGCTCAACCGTCTGGCCTCGGAGCAGCGCAGTGTGCGCAAGAAGGCAGCGCTTGCGCTAGAAGCGCACTTCCTGGAGGACGACACCAAAGAGCAGCAGCTGACCCCGGAGGCGGCAGACACAGCCACAGCGCCCGAAGTGTTCGCGGAGATGGCCAAGCCGCTGTTCAAGCGCTTCAACGACCCGGTGGAGAAGGTGCGCGAGATCTGCATCCGAATCACGACCAATTGCATCGCGGAGGAAGAGGATCTGCTCCGCTATCTGCCGTACTTGATGCCAGCTATAACCAACCGCATTAACAGCCAGTACGGTTACGACGAGGAGAACCAGGTATTCTCGCGCGACCAGTTCCTGCATGACGCCTTCAAGCGAGGAAGAGTCTACGTGGCGGAGAACCAAGTCGCTCGGATTAAACCCGACGAGCCATCCGAGGAAATCCGTCTTCTGCTGCTTGGTCTAGTGGACGCTGTCCTGCAGAACGCCTTCGAGCGTCGAGCTTCTTCCATCCTACACGCGTACATTTTTGACATTTTGCTGGTACTCATCAGCGGCGTCCACGACGACTTCCACGAAATCAACATCGCTAGCTGCAGGATCTTGGCGTCAATCAGCAACCACATGGTCTCGGTCACGAAGCACTTCAGCGTAGCAGCCGTGCGCACCCTCATGCCGCTGCTACTTCATCGTCTTGCGCGAGTACGAATCGCTGTAGTGGAGAGCATTCGCGCGTTGGTGACCTGTCCGAACGTCGAGAAGTGCAAGGGCAGCGGTACCGAAGCCATTGTCGATCTAATTGGCCACCGTGACGAAAATGTCATCCCTGTGGCGTCGTTCTACACTACCGAAGTGCGGCTAAACTACTTTGCCAGACTGGATCAAGACAGAAACCCGATGGTGCGCCGCGCCTTCTTCGCAATGATCAGTGACTGGATGGTCAATCTTCCAGATCGCTACGATCACGAATCTCGGTTGTTGCCGTATTTGCTAAGCGCCGTCAGTGACGAAGACACCGCGATCTCCCAAGATGCTTTGAAAACTCTTGAGGTTCTTGGCGAGAGATACGAGCGAGAGCATGGAGAAGAAGTGATTGAGATCAAGCAGTATGGAGTCGACGGGAAAAATCCTACGTACAACTACCGCGCCAAATTACCTGCGCCGTTTGTTGCTGGTCGACCATCGCTGGGTACGAGGCTATTCGTCCGCGGGCGAGCGCGAAGGTTCTTGAACCCAATCTTGCGTGAACTTGCGAACTGGCAAGATGCTACGCGTGCTCATGCAGTGCGACTTCTGAAGTGTGTACTGGTTTACTGCGAGGAGACCATCACTGTAGACGTTCACCTGTTAGTGAACACACTCTTGCGGACGTGGGGCGGTGATCACGATTTACTACCGGAGCTACGGCAGTGCGCTGACCTGACCGGGCGATTTGCGGCTCCAAGAACGTATCTGCCCCTCCTGCTCTCACGTATTCGAGGTGACTCCGACGTTGTCGTGCCTATAGCCGCAACAATAGGAGGCAGTGTCTCCGCTGCTTCGCAGACTTCTATTGCGTTAGAAGTTCTGCACTACCTGCTGGAAGGGTCACCAGACAAAATGGTTCTTCCGCACGTGCCCGAGATCCTGGATACGATTGCGCTCCCTTCCATTCTCGACCTAGAGAGCAAAACCGTGAAGCTAGCATTGGGTCAAGTACTTGTGCAGATAACGAAGCTACTCGAGCGTAAGTCTCTGCGACTAGCGTACAGCTCGCCGACCGATTCTAATCTGACTTGTGGTATTTTCTGTTGTATGTCAGGGAGTGGAAGCGATGCGGTCACATCGTTTTTCTTGGAGCGCGGGCGCTTGACGTCCATGGAGCAGAGCTACTCGAGGCTTTTCGACGTCGGTGTCGTGGTGGTGACCAGCTCGAATTGTTCTGCTGCCGCTGCAATGTGAGTTCACCTGTTTTAACTCGTGGGAGCTAAAACCTTGTCTGTCAGCTAAACTACTAACACGCTCCCGATTCACTAGGGCCGCGAGTGCGCTGCTACGTCTTGTATCCCTTGAGCAGCTTACGACCATGTATCAGCTTTATGCCAAACACAGCGCCTCCCTGTTGCAGCGCGTGCTCCCAGCTCTCCAGGATATGTTGGCTGTTCAATGGTCACCCCACAGCGCTGCACAGCTTGCGTTTGAGCAAGTTCTCACCTCAGCGCCAGTTGCTCTACTGCTGGAGCATGGGTCCGAGCTCAGCAGTCTCTTTCATGCCATCCTCCAACCTGAGCTGCCATCACAAGATCCAACAACCGACATACCTCGCAAGATCAGCAGCCCGATGAATGCTAAAGCAGCAGAGCAAAACGCCATGAACTCACGACGCGCGCGGGCGGAACGATTCGAGAGGGTGCTGAAGGGCTTAGTGGGGCGAGTGCATGTGGAGATTGAGACGCAGACAAATACCCCCGTCGGTGCGACGTACGTAGAGCGCTGGGAAGGTTTGCTATCTGCATGCAAGGCTGCTGCAGCGTGAGGATTCGCCTTCATAGTACATGAGGATTGGCAAACAGACCACAATTCGTCTATATAACTATCCGCACGAAGCGGTTAAGTGTCTCCAGTCCCCCTTTTGTCTTGTCACAGCTCGAGAGCACTTTAGCTACTTGTCTTTCTTGGACTCATCCGCGTTCTCGTCCGTTTGGGGTTGCTGCAGCCAGCGGTGGCGCACCACGAGGCTCCAGAGGAAACAGGGCACGAACGGCACCAGCACAATGTAGAAGCCCTCCAGCTGCGGCGTGTAGAAGTGCAGCACCGATAGCAGAATGCACAGCGCAGTGAAGAAGGCGTACACGCCCGCGACGAAGTTGTAGTTGATGGTCGGCGACGGCGTGAAGACCCCCATATTGGTGACACGGCGACTAACAAAGCAAAAATGGGGAAATTGTGTTTCGGGGCCGTTATTTTGTAAAAAATGTTTATCGGGTGCGTTATTTTCAAGGAAACGTTTTATGGAATAATTCATTTTTTGAAGGGATATAACCCGGTAGGTCAGCCGATAGTGCCGAAATCCGCTGGAGCTTTGCCGTAGCGAACAGACTATTAGACATTTCACAATACAATTCTTAACTGAGCTCGTCTTGTGGTCACCAGAAACGTCATCATCTCGGTTGGTGCTGCCAACATGCTGCTTTAGTACGTCCTGCAAGTGGTGGTACCAAATCGTAATTTGCTGTATAAGGACACAGAAAATTGCTTTATTTGTCCAATCAAATTCCGAGTACCGATGAGATTCAGCCAATTACATTCATTGCGACTCTTGCCGTCTATGCTTGTCGGCAACACGATGAAGGCGGACTACCGTGACCCAGCTTAGTTGACCTCGACGGCGCTTTCTCGCGCGGGTAGTGCTGCGAGAGACTTCGATACTTGGAGCGCACGCTGAGTACACGCTGATGGCCTCCGACACTGTCTGGCCAGCTCGAAGTAAGTTTCTATCTGCTGCATACGTCTCGATCTTATTCATCAGATACCGGGCATCACTGAGGCGCTTCTGGCTGTTTCTATTTGGCATGTCCGCGCCTTCCAGAAGCCGAAGAGGGGGTAGACGCTTCTCAACATTCCCGCAGCGCCATAGCACCCAAAGATGCGCGGCAGAGCACTCAGGAAAAACGAAGTCAGGGGGGACCCGACGAAATCTCCCAGCCCAAAAGAAGGTAGGCAGCGCTGTTCGCTTGTCATCTGGATCCTGCTCGATGTCTTGCTGTACTTCTGACACGTTGTGCTGGCTAACTAGATCGTGAACACCGGCTTCTTCAAGGCACTTCCGTAGAGCGTCATGAAGCCCATCGAACGTGACAGTTCCAGCGCCGATAGCACGCTCTTCCAGCTCATGAATAATATCCTTCACAATTTCGCGGCGGGATTCCTCAATCTTTTCGATAGTTGACAGCGTATTGTCTTGCAGTGCTCTCATTTGGCCTAAAATGGATACATGAGGCGGAAGGCCCGTTGCTTTGAGCTGTGTTTTAGGCCCGGCGTATCCACACTGTACACATGAGCTCAAATTCCCGAGAAGCTCTGGATCCTGAAATAATGCCGTCTCGAAAAGAGGGTGGCGAGGAGGGAGGTGCATTCTGATGTACGACTGATGACGCGAGGCAAAACTCTCCAACAAACAGTAAATGTTCGGGTATCCCTTGAAATACCATTGTAACACCAAGTTTTACCCATTCATCTTGCTCCACAAAATGTGGCGGTAGAATTGCGAGCTCGTGACTACCCGATGGAAGACCAGCAACCGTTCTGCCGACATACATATCTCCAGCAGCCTCATAGCGTAAGTAGGTATTCTGAACACCGCCAAGAGACCACCCAGCACGCAAATGAACCGCGGTTGATGACGGACAAGCTGTCGACCCTGACGCACAGTACGTTGCAGCACCTTTGCGCATCGAATGAGTCCCCAAATCGTTAGAATTGACCCCTCGTCGTTTAAGCTCTGCAGCAACCTTCTCATCCACTAGCAAACGTTGCAGACATTTCCGAAATCGATCATACTGGTCCGACCCAGGGAACAGGCGGTTATCCGTGTCAAAAGAAGTTGTCGCCCAGTAAATTGCAAGCGCCAATACAGGGCAGATACTCGGTTGTAATGGGTTGGCATATACATGCCGCGGGTCTCGCGGACGGTCACCACTCTGATCGTTTTTCATATGAGCAAAATATACTCTTAGCGAGTCTCCACGCCACTCAATGTGTGAGTGCCTTACACCAAATGCGTTCGCGGAGCGACACATTAAATTCCACGATAAAATCAGGTACGTCCGGGAAAAAATGGCGCCAACTCCTGGTAGCGCAAGCAAATGGTCGCAGAGAAATTCATACAATTCAAATGACAGAGGATCCTTCCCCACTTTCACGTTCCCTTCGCCCCGCGCTTGCGTTGTAGCCAACTGTCGTTTCAACCCTTTGAAGAACTGGCGCAACTCGTTTTCCATGAGAGGCCCCATTAAACGGCCGTAGTCTCTGTAGAGATTAAACAACCCAGCGCGATGGGTGTTCAGAGCCGAGTAGCTGAGCGATGAACCATCTTGCTTTCGAAGCGTGAGAAGCCACGTTTCAAAAGCTTCTGCGTCCAAATTATCAAATAGTACGGGAGGGTCGTCGTTTCTTCTGGTGAGCAGGGGTTTAATACGCCGCCGCAATTGCTTCTCGGAGAGTCCCGTCACGTCGCCGATACGGCCTGCAAATGCGTCCGGAATGAGGTTTTGATGGCTCAGAAGAAGCCACGAGATGAAGCGACTGTAGGAGTTGACGTAGGCAGCCCGTGAGCTCGGGGCGACTGTATTATCTCGAATTTGCTCTGCTTGGCGCCTCAGTTCATCGAGTCCGCTGGGTTGTGGGGGATCCATCGCTAATCGACTTATGTAGTGGGCAAGCTGTCCTGCAAAAGAACAAAAGAATGGCTTTGCTTACCCTCTACCACTAATACTGGGTTTTGTATAGGATTTAAAGCCGGAAGATTTCGACGGAGAATGAGAATTTCCCAGTTCAAAACAAGAACTGCTAAGATCAAAACGAGAAAGCCTCTGTGATTTGGTGTGTGCGACAACTTAGAGCGCGCGTAGCGTGATGTTAACTGAAAGAACTGCTTTGTGACCCGTGAGCGCAAGGCGCACACAAAGATTGTCCTCTCACTGTATGGCGACGTGATCGGTCGCTTCGAAACCAACATTGAGACTGCCAATCCGCCTCAAGTATGAGGTGCATTGCTGCGGACCTACGACGGTGCTCAAAGCACTAACGCGGTGTACCTCAAGCAGGAGGATGACGCCGTGGTGACAGGTATGTCCACAGACAGAAAATAGCCGAGAAACCAGTTGTCAAATACTTACTAGGTCGCAGTACTTCGCCAGGTCTATACTATTTCGATCATTTGGTGCATCCTCGTGGCATGGAAGGGCGAGGATTATAGTTTGTTGGCTGAGAGCGAGCGGCTCGGAGCGATAACTACGACGATTTTTGTGTATAGCAATTCAAGCGGCTTGAATGGCTTGAATTATACAGTAAACACTGCTTCCCTGTCAGATCTCAACCAACTACGACATGTAGTCAGGGTTTGGTAGTAGTCTCCAGAATAGTAGCGTTAGTAGGCATATTAGTACTACTATTACTATTACTATTACTATAGCTCTGGGGTTGGAGCAATTAGTAGTACTGTTTATTTAGTAGCCAAAAGAAACATCGATAGTAGTGCTATTATCACTACTAATGTACCCATTTTTCAACTGACTGAAGATCTTCGAATGCCGCACGAGTGAGTGGCTCTCCGGCCTCCCCCCCCCACTCGGCTTCACTCAGAATCCCTCATTCTTCGACTTCCAGACTAAGGTTCACGTGCCATGAAGTGCGCAAAGAGCGATTGTCACTGGAGCGCCATATCGGACTTCTCCGTGCTGTGTATGTGGCCAGCAGGTGCATCACTTATGCAGCAACGAGCAGTGTGATAAAGGTGATCTATCTCAAAGGTAAAGCTGCTGCTTGGGGTTGATTTTGTCGCTTTTGTTGTACTAAGCAAGTCAATATACAGATTCTGCAGTCGTAAGTGTGTTCGCAAGGCTCATCAGCGCGGATGATAGCGACTCTCAGGGACCCACACCCAGCAGCACCTCTGGAATATCGTGTTCCAGCAATGCCACGGTGATCGACCTGAGGGAACCCGAGCTCGAGGAGAAACCAGCTACGGTAAACAGCATCCCGGACCACATCAGTCACGGCCCACCTGCGAATTCAACAGAGTTTAGTTCACCGGCTTGGAAACCCAGTCACGTACAAGAACAAGGAGTTTACGCACATTTGTATTCTGGCTTGGAGACCAAAACCTGGCAGCGATCGCTGTGTCGTGCCAGCCACGCCTCAAATGCCAAGACGCATTTTGTGTACGCCCACAAAGATCATGAGTTGGCCATCCTGGAACTGCAGCGTCGTCAGCATCGTGCGGAGCGCTTCATGGTGGCCCCATCCGCGGAAGCAAAGCGCCCTCCAGCTGCCAAAGGGAGTGAACAAGACGAGAAGCCGACCAAACGCCAAAAGACTTGGTGGAAGGCGCCGGTCAGCCAAGGACAAATCACACGCCATATCGCGCGGTGGCTGATTCGAGATGGTGCGTGTTCAGTTTATAGTTATGTCCAATGTTTTACTGTTGTTTGTTCTAACTCTTGTGTACGATTAGGATTGGCCCACAACCTCGTGACAACAGAGGCCTTTCACGACTTTCTTGTTGGTGTTACAGGTGATATCAATGTCATCATTCCATCCAGCAAGACGTACAACGACATACTTGACAAGCACTACGACACCTTCACCAAGGATACATCCGATGCATTCGCCGAGGAGTTTCAAGAGCTGGACGAGACTCCGTTCATGACGGTCGAGCACGACTTGTGGACGAACAGCTCGAAAAACAGTATAGTTGGCGTTTCCGGTTCCTATATCAATCGTCACTGGCGTCCTGTGCGGCTCGCCCTGCTTGCAGAAGTGAAAAATGATGGTCATGATTCCGAAGGAGTGGCTGCGGTGATGGATGAGCAGCTGAAGGCTCGTTACGGTGTGGATATCAAGAAGATGATTCGATTCACGATCTCTGATACCGCACCTGGAGCCCGAAAGATCTCTAAACAATTTGATACGACTTTGCAAACAGATTGCGCGATGCACGTTCTTAACCTTTGTATTGGTTATGGAATTGGGCTGAGAATGTGCGCAATGAATACGTGAAGGATCCGAAGACAGACGTGTTCGTGAAGAAGCGCGTTGTAGTGACGGAAGGCGGCGCATTTCCCGAGGGTGGTGCTCTCATCAGAAAGCTGCGTGCTCTCAACAATTTTTTCGCGTCGAGTAAGTCGCCTGAGCGTGTTGCCCGACTTAAAGAAGTCCAGCTCATTCTCAAACTACCCCAGTTGGCTGCGCTAATCGATATCGACGTCCGAGTGGCGTCCACGATCAAGCTATTTCAGCGCTCGATCATCAACTACCCAGCTTTCCACGCATTCTTTCAGAATTCGAACTTGTCCAAGAAGGAGAAACGCGTCTTCAACCGTATTACGGAAGCTGAATGGGTTCTAGCAGTGCAGATGGAGGCAATTATGCACCGCGTATCGGAACTAGCTCTCGTCGAATCCCAGTCGGCAACCATGCTTTCGTCTACGATGGGATCTTTATCAAAAGGGGCCACAAATCCAGGACCTTTTAAAGCTCTCCCACTACAGAGTTGATGCAAGTGTCAAATTCCGCTACGACATTTATTCTGCTCAATATCTTCCTCTCTTCGATGCCTTTGCGTCACTTATTGCGCGTTTTAGCTATAAACTAAACTTATTATAATACTGCAAGTAGAAATGGATCCGAGGAATGTTTTGTTACATGAAGGAGCTTCATAAAGCTCATAAGCGGAAGATCACTGCAACGCTGTACCGGTCGCCTGGACAGCAATCGGCTATCGACGGTACTTCTTACGGTACTGCGCTAAGTCCAAGTCTTTGACAGGTTTGTGGCCGATAGTGAAATACCTTGCACAAAATTATTTACGCCGGAACCTGTAGATATCTGTCAACCGGGTCTGCTTATTTGGCCAACAGTTTGTATCTGTGAAACCGTTCCTATACTGCATGACGACTGCTCCGAATGAATGCAAGAACAGCAACAAATCAACTGGAATTACTTACCGTCTATATTTGCAAACTGCATGCACGGCTAAAGGTTGAAACAGTTGATCAAGCCAGTGGGCAAAGGCTTTTGGCAAGCTTAGACTACGGCAATGTTATCTGCAACTTATCGCGTAGTAGTTAATGCAATCATAGATGACTCGAACGCCAGACCGGTCTTAATTTTATTTCCTGAATCGATGGCGCCTTGCTCTGAGTACCAGCACAACACACCCTTTGGCAATGCTTGTCACTGGCAACTCGATCTACACTTGCGTATACAGGGTGTATTTAGATTAATTACACAACGCTCGTAAGTGTTATCTACCGCGGAACTTTTACCGTAGACGAGTGCCTGGACGAGCACACCATCGACATGTTGGGTTGAGCTGCGGGGGTACATAACGTTCTAAATCGCGACAAATTCTAACTTAGATTAACTACCGCGTCTACAACTTGGCAGCGCCTGTTAATCTTGAAAAACAATTAGGACGGCACACAAGCAGCGCTAGTTTATTTTTTTGCTGACCGCGAAGGCATGAGTATGCAACCAACTGGGTGTTGTCTTGTGGCGAACGTTCCACACCGGTAATTCAAGCCATTCTTCGGAGGCTGCACAAGTTTTTTCGGATGCATTGCTGGTTTGCCATAGCTTATTTTTAATAATTAATTTACACTATGCATGCTCAACGTACCCCATATGCTGACTAAGGTCTCGAATCTAGCAAACTCGATGGCGATCCAATGGGTCGTGATATTTCTTTGAGGTCGTACGAAGTCCTGTAAGTACGTAATGGACTACTAGCCAATTGGTTTGATACATGTACGTATCTGCAGCAGCTCTGTAATGAAACCGCAAAACGTGCCTAGCTTAGACTTCGTTGCGACGCGTTCCGCTACTTGAGTTGCGTTGCAGTTTGACACTTGTGCTGCAACGTCCCGGTCGCTTGGACAGCAATTGGCTATCGACGGTACTTCTTACGGTACTGCGCTAAGTCCAACTCTTTGACAGGTTTGTGGCCCCAAATGATAAAGTGCTGATGGATTTGTGGTCCCTTTTGATAAAGATCCTCTACGATGTTCGTGTTGCTTCGTGTGGCATCGGCTCGGATGAATTCATACAAGTTTATGACCTATTGCTTGCACGGAGCCCGTGATGTTGAGACTAACGAGCGAAACTTCCCTCGAATCGAGCTATAGCTTACGAATCTCTCGGACTTGGCGCATCGGTGCATTAAACGAACCCTGCATCAAATTTCCGAGAGGTTCCCCAAGCCGTCCGTGCCGATAGGAATGACGTTGCTGCTTGACCCACGAACAAAATCGTCCGCCAAAACTTTTCTCCAAGTTCCAGACACTGCTGAGGCGGTGACTACCGATATTTTGGAGGAAACAAAACGTCTGATGCGCATTGAGCACCACCGTGTGTTCTACAAGGGGCTGTACGCAAAGGACGACCAAGGAGGTAGCAAAGCAGCTTCTGCCACGAGTTCACCGCCTACAGAGTGCTGCAGCAGTTCTGACAACGAAGCTGACTTGGTTTGCGGTGAAGATGTTTCAGAACCGGCCGGGGATAAATCAGCAGAGGCAACGCTGAATTCCCAGGCGATGCACTATTGGACGAGTGGCTAAACTTCCGGATTGAGTGGTCTGACGTAGCGAGAACGCAGTATCCAGCCAAAGAAGAGTGCGAGAAGGTTTTATCTAAGCTGACCATGCGCGATAGAAAACGCAATGTGTATGTGTAGAATGTTGAGCAGCTTTGCGGGAACATCGACGTGTGCCGTTGGTTTGCGGAGGTTGGTGAAAAAAATATCCGTCAATTGCGAAGCTTGCACGCGTCTGGCGGGGACGTGGGTGTTCGACGGCGTTCCAAGAACGTGTGTTCTCAACTGGTTCTTTCGTGATGAGTCCTCTGAGGACGAGGACCGACAACGAGCGTGCGCAGCGGCAGCTCATACTGCGCTACAACCGGCTCGAGATAAGGCGTATGGAGGCCAGTAAGCACCAGATATGGTAGGCCGCTTTTAGGCATATTAGTAGTCATATTAGTAGTCATATTAGTAGTCATATTAGTACCACCGATACCTCACTACTAAACGATATAGCATTCTACTATTGCCAGAATTTGGATAGTAATAGTAGTATGACTACTAGCCAAAATTCCCACTACTACCAAACCCTGCATGTACGTAGGAGTTGTATGCGATGCTAACTACTGTGTGTTTCTACATGCAAATGAAAACATAGTTTTTATCTATCTCTTCTGGTGGTTGATGAAGCGGAGGCAAAACAGCGCCATCAGCCGTAAGACGACAATGAACAGGAGGACGATGCCGAAGTTGCGCCAGATCTCGTCGTGCTTGTACTCGAACGTGGACTCGACGTACTCCTTGATCGTGGTATGGTCGATGTTGGTCGGCGGGTTGGTCATCGGCTGGCAGCCGAGACTACTGCCAACGTTCACGTACTGCTTCGTCTCAGTGTCGTAGCTCAGTAGCTCGTCACAGTCGCTGAACACGAGAGAAACTAACACACTGATTGAGTATCGCTGAGGTGTGATCGTGTAAAGCCATCGGTACCCGGCTGGGATATCGCTCGCAGGCGGGTTGAAGCCGTAGAAGAGGATCGTAATGGAGTAAATCATCACGCCCACCAGCGCCGCCACGTCGATGCTGGACAGCGAGTGCTGCAATACTTTTGCATCGATCACTGCAAACCGTGGTGTTGGCATGTGCGAGCGAAGCCGAAGGTCGCTCGAAGGTCGCATGGCTGAAATCTCAACTAGCTGTAACCGTAAGACTTATCACAAAGATATTCCTCCCTTGGCGGTGACCATGGAATGCGATGCGTTCCGCATGGAGAGGATGCTGAACTTTACAGGAGCTAGCGAGGGCATGCGCTTCGGCTTCATCAAGTGCCGCTTGGACAAGGCCTTCGCGCTCGAGCTCCAGTCGGAAGACGAGTACTTTAACGCGCTAATATCGCTCTCGGAGTACTCGTTTGGGGCGTTCAAAAAGGACGCGAGCAACCCCATCCCGGGCACTGACATGAACAAGAGCGATGGATCCTTCAATAACCTGTTCCACTACGACTACTCCAACAACGTTGACTACACCTTCATCTATGACTGCCTGGCCAACCCGCTGATCCGAACGCCAGTCTACCAGCAGTACTGCGGCAAGCACAGGGATGAGCTTAATGGGATGTCTGGAGCGCTACCGAGTGGTCACACGCAACCTCATCCCGCTGATGAAAACGCTGCGCAAAGATTTGTGCAGCATCTACTTCGTGGACGTTCTGTACGACCTCATCCGCTTCGAGAGCCGCGATCTGTACGCCTTCATCGCCTATGTGGTCAACCAGTTCAGAGATGGTTCCAGCTTCAAAAGCTTCATCACCGACTTCGGAAAGAAGAGAGCGCGTCAGCTGCTGAAAACCATGAACCGCTCATTCCGCCGCATTGACTTCAAGTTTGTTCTGAAGAAGTATATGCCGTTGCTCTACACGGTATATGCTTACTGCGCCGACGCGCGAGTGGACTGTCTGGACCGTGTGTACGACTACATGCTGAATGAGGGCCTCTCCGTCTTCAAGACGGTACCAAGCAAGCAGGTAGTGGTGGGCTACAAGGTGAACGATCAGTACCGCATCGATGTCCTCGAAACAAGCGCAGTCCTGGATTTTGTGGGGGATCGCCAGTTTCAAATTGCTTCGCACACGCTGCTTGAGAGTCTGAACTTCGGGTTTCACGATGCCCGACTCAAAGCGTACCAGGACATTAGCAGCATGGATCGTCGAATTGGTGGTCAGTTGCGCAAAATGTACGCCAGCTTCAGCTTCAACGGACGCTCAGTTTTCAGCGGCGAAATCATCTGCTCCGAAGATGCGATCGTCGTGGGGTGCTGAAAGAAGAGTGTGAACACTTTCCAGAATTTCCGCTTGGATATTCATATTGAGTCAATTATCCCCAGCAGCAGCAGTGCCGACTCGATGCGATTCATCAAGCACTCGAAATGGAGCTTTGAAGACAATGAGGCCGACGCTTGCTACCTGCAAGACGGGGAGTAACACATGGATGCCGTGAAAACGCGAAGTACTGGGCTGCCTCATTAAAACGCCCGCGACTCGCCATACAAGTCGCCACGTTGCGCTCCATGTAAGTCGTCTTCTGCAGAAACTCAGTGCCTGACCTGCTCGACTTGCGATTAATCTTTTTAAAATCTAAGCAAAATCGGCCATGCTGTGCATTTTCGCGGAGTGAATCAAGTCATCAAGTTGAATCAGTATTCATGGGCACCTAATGGTACAGGCCCAACATGCCCTTCCTCGGTAGCTTCAGCATCACCTAGAGGAACAGCACCTATTTCGAGTTATTTGGCGCGTCCTCATGCTATGGAAGCTTTTCATTGAAAGGCGAGGCTTATAGTTTGTTGAGTGAGAGCAAGCGGCTCGGAGCTACAGTAATTTTTGTATAGCAATTTCAAACAGCTTGAATGACTTGAAATATACAATAAACACTGCTTCCCTGTCAGATCTTTACGTGGGAGTTGTACATGTATCCGATTGCGTGTTTCTACATGTACTAGTAAATGAAAACATAGCTTTTAAAAAAATCAAGTTTTCCGTCAGAAAACGCAACTACATGTAATAATACGTAGTACTTAGTTTTAACTAGTACCGTTAGTAGAGGAATCAAAAGAGTCTGCACCAAACCAAGGTTAGAGTTGACCGTTAGCCTTCTTATTTTATGGTTGCTGTGCTTTCGTCGCCGAAAAGCGCAAACCCTCTTACTTCTTCTGGTGGTTGATGAAGCGGAGGCAAAACAGCGCCATCAGCCGTAAGACGACAATGAACAGGAGGACGATGCCGAAGTTGCGCCAGATCTCGTCGTGCTTGTACTCGAACGTGGACTCGACGTACTCCTTGATCGTGGTATGGTCGATGTTGGTCGGCGGGTTGGTCATCGGCTGGCAGCCGAGACTACTGCCAACGTTCACGTACTGCTTCGTCTCAGTGTCGTAGCTCAGTAGCTCGTCACAGTCGCTGAACACGAGAGAAACTAACACACTGATTGAGTATCGCTGCGGTGTGATCGTGTAAAGCCATCGGTACCCGGCTGGGATATCGCTCGCAGGCGGGTTGAAGCCGTAGAAGAGGATCGTAATGGAGTAAATCATCACGCCCACCAGCGCCGCCACGTCGATGCTGGACAGCGAGTAGATGAGCAACTGACCCATGTAGGTCTGCAACAGCACCATCAGCGACGTGTTGATCCAGTAGAGAACTGCAGTTCCGAAGCCACGGAAGGCCACCATCCAGTAGAAGATGACCGTGTACAACAACATGGAGAAGAAGACGTAAGGAATCTCGACAACGGTGGACCCGAAGAAATACCAGAACGCTCCGTAAGTTTGGGCATTGCGTTCACGGTAGAACGCTGGTCGATCTTCGGACGTGATTGGCAACGCACTGTTGAACGACACCACTCCAGTGAAGTAAGACGTGATGAAGACCATTCCCACGCCAGCATTGATCCCTTGGTATGAAGTGTAGTCCGTGCCAACGTACACAAGACCAAATACAAGTCCCATCAGGGGCATGATCATTAACCGTGTCAGATTCGTCGATGGAGTCCGCCAGTACAAGTTCATGAACCGCCCCACCAACGCCGTCATCTGCGTCCACGAACTCGCCGCGCGCTTCTTGGCGAACACCAGCTCCGTCGATCCAGGCACCGGCACAGACACACCCTCCGACGCCAACTGCGCGTCCATCTCGCGCTTCAATGCACTCGAATTGAACACCTCCACGAAGTCCACTGGGTTGTCGTGCACGTGGTTCACGCCCGCACCAATGCACTCAAGCATCCAAGTCGCAGGGTTATATCCCTCCGGAAGATGCGGCACACCTGGAATCGCCTCGAAGTAGTCCACCATCGTCTGAGCGCGCTTGCCCAAGTCGCCGAAGTACACCGTCTGGCCACCGCGCTTCAGCAGCAGGAGCTTATCGAAGAGCATGAAGACCCCCGTGGACGGCTGGTGAATAGTGCACACAATGGTGCGACCCGTGTCCGCCACCTTGCGCACGCCGTCCATGATGAGCTTGGCGGAGCGTGCATCCAGTCCGCTCGTCGGCTCATCCAGAAACAGCACTCTCGGGTCGGCGGCTAGCTCCACTCCAATGGTCAGGCGCTTCATGCGCTCCGTCGGACTGCCGCGCACAATTTCATCCGCCACGCTCTGCAGATCCAGCAGCTCGAGGCATTCCTCGACCGAGTCGTACTTCTGGCTGTCGGGAACGGAGCTGTCCTGGCGCAGGAAGGCGCTAAACACCAGCGCTTCACGGATAGTCGACGCGTCCGAGTGGATGTCCATCTGCTCGCAGTAGCCCGTGCAACGACGGATGGCCAAGTCGCTGGCCTCGTAGCCGTTGAGCATGATCTTGCCCTGGATGGTGCCTCCGGTCTTGCGTCCAGCGATCACGTCCATGAGCGTCGTCTTGCCTGCACCGGTGGATCCCATGAGGGCAGTGATGGAACCTGGCATCGCGTATCCGCTGATACCCTTGAGCAGCGTGAGGGATTCCTTGGGGTCGTGCGGGTCCGGCACGGAGTACCACAGATCCTGGAAGGCGATGACGATGGGCTCGAACTTCTTGGTGGTCTTCACATTGAGTGTGACGGTATCATTGGTCTGTGCTACCACGACTGGCGTTTTCCTTCCGCTGGTGGGCGTCGTGGCTAGCACATATTCATCCTGATCCGTGGATTCTGTGTCCTCGTCGGTCAATGTAACATGTTCGGGGCTCTCATAGCGCTTGTACTCCAGCACAGCCCAGCCGAGCACCATGAACAGAGCGTAGATGGCAAACAGAACAACAATTCCAATCCAAACCCAGTTCTCGCTGGACGGCACGTCGTACAGTGACAAGAAATACTCGCCCATACTCATCTTGTACTGCGCGCAGTAGTTGACTCCAGCGTATTCACACACGTCGAATGCTGGCGATCGATATTGGCTCACAGCGACAGCGCGCAGACACCAAGCGATCGGGTCCAGCCAGTAGATAAAGATGAAATAGTCGGGAATCTCACTCTTCGGCACAACGAAACCCGCAAACGCCACGAACGTAAAGATCGACATCATGGACACAGGCTTGGCGATGTGCATATCGGGCGTCACGGCTGCCATGAAGAAATACCACGCCGCAAACGCCATCAACGTCTGGAACACGAGCAGCTCATACAGCAAAAAGTTCGCAGCGGTGGCGACGAAGCCGCACATCCAGTACACAATAGATCCAAAGACGATCGTCTCGCCTAGAGCCCACGGGATTTGGCTCGCTGAGCACGCCAGCACATAGGTAGCGGTGCGGATGTAGTTGGCTCGCCGCTGCTTGTAGAAGATGGCGCGGATGCTGCAGTAGCCTGGAACCTGGGCGTATTGGCCGAGGCCGAGGAAGAACAGGCTCTGGAACAAGACGCCCATGGTCACTTGGACATTCGTCGCTTCCAACTGGTAGAACAAACTGCCGTACAACAGAGCGATCACGACCACCATGAAGCCGCGGACGCGGATGAACGCCTTGTTTCGAATCGCCACCAGCATCTGGCGCCGTGTTACCGTGATGACATTCTCAACAAAACTCTGCTGGAAATCCAGCGTCGGCATCATGAAATCGGCCGCAGTCGAGACCAGATCGGCGTTCCAGGGCTCGTTCAAGCGAGCAAGAATATCGGGATAAATGCCTGACCGTTGAAAGTGCTGCCCAAACTCGACCGGCCAACGAGGGTGCCTTATCGACCCTGCAGGGAGGGTGTCCTGGTACTTCACCTGCTGGTTGGTTCCGAGATCCAGCAAGAAGTCGGCCACGTCACGATGCGGAGGGCAGCGGAAGCCCAAGCTCTCGAAGTACGAGAGAGCCTGGTCGCGAGGACCATGGTACATCACCTCACCAGCGTTCAAGAGAATCAAGTCGTCGAACAGCGCGAAGATCTCCGGCGACGGCTGCAGCAGCGAGATGACCACCGTCTTCCCGAGCGTCTTGGCGATACTGCGCTGCGTGGAGATGATGTCGAAGGCCGTGGCGCTGTCCAGTCCCGTGCTGATCTCGTCCATGAGCGTCATGTACTTCATGCCGAACTCCATCTCGCCCGTCGTCACCCGCTTGCGTTCTCCGCCAGACACGCCACGCAGCATTCCATTGCCAAGGATGGTGTCCTGGCAGTTCTGCAGTCCGAGCTGCTCGATGACGATGTCGGGGTAGTGCTGGAACAGCGTCTGCACCGTCTTGAGAGCCTCCAGGTTCTCTTCAGCAGACCCGTGCGTCAGCAGCTCCTCGCCTCGACGCAGCAGCTCGCCGCCAGTGAAGGCGTGGGCGAACTCGAGCGTCTCCTTGACTGTGAGTGTGGGGAAGTGCACGTCGTGCTGGTCCACGTGCGAGACAAACTGCGGCAAGCGGCCGCCGAGCTCCTTCTGCGGCACGCCGTTGTACGTGACGTCTCCGTCCAGCGTGACCCTCTTCTCCAGTGGGAAGCGGCCGCTCAGCACCTTCATGAGCGAAGACTTGCCGGAGCTGGGCTGCCCCAGCACGAGCGTGATGGTGCCCGGCTCGAAGACGCCGCTGAAGTTGCGCAGGATGGTCTTGTGCACCACGTGCTTCTTGGCCGAGAGCTTGAGCGCCGCCGTCTTGAGCGTGTGCGTGAGCGTGGGCAGCTCGCTTCCATCCTCGTGGCGGCCCACGACCACGTCGGCCGAGACGCTGAGGTTCTTGACGCGCACCTCCATCTGAGGCAGCGGGCGGCCCAGAGCGACCTGCAGCTTGGCCGCGAGGTCGTCATTGAAGGCCTGGGATCCGTTGGCCAGCAGTGTCTTGGCCGACGTATCTTTGTCGACTGGCGACATCTTCGGCATTTGATTCGCTAGTCGACCACCTGCCACACACGCCGCAAATTCAAGACTGAGGTGGGTCTTAGCTCAATTTCCACGAACGGGCTCAGCCCGTTGTGGTGCTGCTTTCATCAAGTTGCTCTGATTGGATGATTAGTCGAGCATTTCCGATGGCGTCAGCTCTCGAAGGTCGCCGCTGATTGTGCGCCATGTTGAAGTGGACTTTTGGTGGGCTGTCATCAAGGACAAGATGCCACCATGCACCAATTGGGGTTTTATTTTTACCACGCCCGCTAAGATGACTCGGGGCACTTCGAGATATTCTTCTGGTGGTTCAGCGATCCCTCCGTGGTCCGGAGACGCCGCGATCTTCTAAGGTTGTTCAGCGATCCCCCCGCGTGAAAGCCGGCGCGAGGCGTAGTTTCCTCACCCAGGCCGGGACCTGAAGGTGAGATGTACACGGTCGCCCGAAGCCTCCGTGCGGGACACTTCGAGATATTCCTATGAAGCTCAACGGCGGTCAAACGGCACACGGAGTACTTCGAGATAAACCTCAAGATGTTCAACGATCCCTCCGACATCGAAGCATGGCTGGGGGAGTGACTTAACGACCTGTCGGCGTTGTAAAGGCAACCGCAGATTCGACAAGCAAGAGATCTGCAGCTTTCCTCGATCCGACTTCAAGATGGCGACTTTGTTCGCTAGGTGATTCGGCTGAATCCGCGAGGTGACTCGAGAACCAGAGTATCGAGAAGAGCCCCCGCGTGAAGATCAGGGTTCACCAGCAGAACGAGACACCGTCAAGAACAACAAAGAGGAAGCTGTAGTTGGATGGCCTGTCACGTGACGAAGGGCCACGAACAGGCAGCGCCAGACGATCGCGCGCTGGTGATCGACTTGACTGACGAGTAGTGTGGTGGACATCGGCCAGATCGGGTCGTGGTGTACGGCAGGAGGCGTGTGGTGAAGAGGGCAAGCCAGTGGACTAGTGCCACCGGCTGAAGGCGGTCGTTTAGCAAGCAGTGGGAGGTTGAAGTTGGCGATGGCGACGACAGAAGATCGCAGTGCGTGGGCGACACGCCGGGACAAGGGCGAAGAAGTATACGAGCGAGGAGAGGCGAGATCAAGGACAGGAACGCGAGGCTATGAGGCCACGAGCATGGAGAAGGATTCGAAGAGGGAGAGGTCCAGTAGGTAGGCAGGCGCCCGTGCGTAGGAGTAGATACAGCGGGGATAGGATTGAGTAGGAGGATACCGAGCGGCGGTCGGCCGACTCGACCCTCAGTTGCGGTTTTTCACAGGATTGTGGTGAGTCAAGACTAATATACACGAGTTGCGCCGAACGCACGGGTTTCCGGTCTTTGGAGCAGCGACGAAGAGCGTCGGCCACAGCGACGGCAATAGCGAAGGTATGGCAGTGGTAGGCCAGTGCACAGATGAGGGCAGTGTTCGAGTAGGGCGGCAGGACTGTGGAGAGAGACCACGGGGGCTGTGGTGTTGGAGCACCTCGGCCGAGTGGCGCGGAGCTCGCATGTGCCAGTGTGCGAAGGGCTCTTGCTGCCTGCTGTATATAACCGGGCTTTACGAGCTGGAAACAGCTAGTGGGGCTACCCGACCACTAGTGCTTATAACGTTTCCTCCTAGCCATCCCTATCCTAGCCATGCGTGCAGGCCAGTAACGTCTGGTCAACACTGAACGGCCTCGCACTGGAAGAGACCCTGCTTACCGAGACGCTCCCTACGTGCTTAGGTGAGCAGCTTGTGTTAACGATCTCCCTCCGACGCGGTGCAAGAAGAAGGGCACTCGGAGTGGAGATAACGACATGGTGGTCATGACAGGAGCCTTCCGGGCAGTGTCCATGAGTGGCGCTGGCGGCTTGGCTTCAGTGGGCTGAGCCCGTGGCGGAAAGAGAGGAAACGGAAACGATAAGGAGACGAGAAGTATACGATAGGCTAACGATCTTTGTATTACGGTAACAGAGTACTAGCGACGGAATGACGACCGAGGGAATGATGGCACGTGACGAACGAGCTCAACGCCGAGCTGGGTCGGCGGAGCGAGCGGCGACGGAGGCGGCGAAGCAACAGCGGCTCCCCCAGCAACCGACGACGGTGACGACTTTGGAAACGGAAGACGGCGCCACGGTGACGTTGAGTACGGAGGAGATACGCCGTCCGACGGGCAACACGCCCGTGGCAGCAGGCGGCGCTGGACAACGCGACCTTGGCGGAGGTCAAGGCGGCGACCCTCCAGCTGGACAAGGCGACGGTTCGAGCGGCGGTGGCAGCGGTCGCGAGAACACGAGTACGGCTGGTCAGCAGACCAACACGAACACGAATACGAACGCGGACACGACGATGGAGGAGAGGACGGTGGACTTGACGGGGAGTGGCGGTGCTGGCGGTGCCGGAGCGGAACACCCACCACCACCTCCACCTCAACCACGTCCAGCAGCGGCGGCAGCATCGAGTGGGCATGGTACGTCGCGTGAGAGTGCTCCTCAGCGGCCGATCATCGTCCGCGAGAAAGCCAAAGCGCTGAAGTTGAAGAAGTTCAAGGGCTTGGATGACTCCATGCCCGTGACGATGTGGCTCAAGACGGTGCGCGCGGAGGTCAGGCGCCAGGCTGTGTCGATGGGCGTCACGTGGCAAGAGAAGCAGCTCTACCACGAGGTCGCTTCGCATCTCGAAGGCGAGGCGCAGCGCTGGTTCGCTACGGTGATGGAGTCCGTGCCGGAAGACGAGGAGAACATCAGCACCCTGGACGGAATGCTGCGCGCCAAGTACATGACGCAACGCACCGGACCAGAGGTGGTTGACCTACTCAACGCGAGACGACAGATAAGAGGAGAGCGGTTGATCGAGTACGCGCAGTCGCTGCGCGAGATCGGCGAGCGCGGCGACGTCGGAGAAGATTGGCTGGTGAATGCCTTCTTGAAGGGGATGAGCAGCCCCGAGGGCGCGACCCATGTGCGAGGCCACAGGCCTCAGACGCTGGATGAAGCAGTGAGCCTGGCGGTGCCCCACATCGGCGAGTATGGCGAGGGGTACGGCGTCGGGTTGGAGACGGTGATGGAGCGCTGGGATGAGCGCGAGACGTCGAGCGGACGCGGGCCCGTGCAGGGGGCCGCGAAGAGAGCCGGCGGCCAGGAACAGTCTGGGCTGGCAGGGAACTACGGGAGTGTGGTGACTGGCTACGGGCCCATGTGGGGCACGGCGGCGAAGCCGCCTAGGTACGACACAGAGGGCAGGCAGGTGAGCTCTGGAGGAGCCGGTGCGACCGAGTGGTGGAAGGCGATACCGCCTGGGTTCCAGCTGGTGCCCGCGGGAGCGGTTGGTACACCAGTGGGTACACCAGTGGGTACACGTGGCAGTTTGGGAGACGGTTCAAATTTCGAACGGCCAGCAGTGACCAGTACGGGACGAGGGGAAAACGGCCAGCAACGGCTGTGGACCAGAACACGAAGCGAGCAGCCAAGACGCTCAAGGTTGAGGGCAAGTACGGTGGCGATGGAGCGAGTGGCGGGCAGTCCAACCCTGCGCTTGCGACGCGTGAGGGCAGGATGATGAACCAACAGCGCTATCTGCAGCGGCAAGCACAGCCACGGCGCGAGTTCACGCCTCGGCCGGGCACGGAGTGCTACTACTGCGGACGCACTGGGCACTTTGCGCGGCACTGCGAGGTGAAGGCAGCGGATCTCAACGCCAGCGGCGTGAACACGGCCGCTGACGCGACGGAGAACACTACGGAGGAGTCGGGATACGGCCCGCGAGCGAAAGGGCCCCGGCCTTACTGCTCGCAGGCACAGGACCGGGTAAGACGGCGAGGAAGCCGTTGGTGGAACGACAAGGACGGCGGCGAGATGGCGGTCGAGACGAAGGCCGTGGTCGAGGACGCGGACGACCCCGAGGACAGCGAGGACGTCGAGGACAACGAGGGCGCTTCGAGTCTGGGGATGGCGCGGCGGAGAATGGCGCGCGGGAGCGCGGCGGAGAGACCGACGGTACGAGCGGAACTGGGGATGACGCCGAACGTCAAGTGGCGGTGGCCTCCCATCCCGACGCCAAGGACAGCAACAGCGGAGCGTCGACGAAAAAGCGCGTGCAGCTCGCGGACAACGCGGACGGCGTCGACGAGAAGCCGTCGGCGAAGGACGCGAAGAACACCACGGAGGCGACAGGCAGCTGCGCCGCGGTGGCGAACCACGGCGGTGGGGCTGTGAACGCGATGGTGGTCCAGCGCGCGGAAGGGAAGCGCGTGGTGATCGACTACGGCAAGTTGAGGACGACGGACGGCGGTCGGATCGACGGCAGGCCGGACGAGGAAGAACTACGGAAGAAGGTGGACGCGCAGCTGGCAGCAGCTCTGGCGGCGTTCGAGCAGTCAGTAGATCGGTCGACGCGGGCGGCTATGAGTACGAAGGGCTCGAAGGACCCCGCGGACGAGATGAGTGCGGGAGGCACGAGCAGGGGAGACACCAACAGCGCGACAGACGACACGCTGAAGGCGGAGCTGCGCGTGCGTGGCAAGGAACAAGGGCTAGTATTGCTGGTGAAGGCCCGGCAGCAAGCGCGTGACGAGGCGACGAAGCAGGAGATGGAGCGGCAGCTCCACAAGCGACGAAAGCGGCTCGATCACACCAAGGCGCGTCGAGAGCGGCGTGCTGAACGTGAACGGATGGCGGCTGAGCTGGCGAAGAGCGGCGCTACGGCGGCAGCGGTGCGACTACAGGCTCCTCAATGCAATTACGAAGCGCGATGTCTACCCCTTACCTCGCATCGATGATACTCTGGACAACTTGCACGGTGCCAGACGTTTCACCAGCCTGGATCTACATGCCGGGTACTGGCAGGTGCCGGTAGCAGAGAAGGACCGAGACAAGACTGGCTTCATCACGAGGAAAGGACTCTTCAGATTTGTGCGGATGCCCTTCGGGTTGGCGAATGCGCCGGGGACATTTCAGAGGATGATGGACGCAGTGTTACGGGGACTGACATGGCAAAGCTGTTTGGTCTATTTAGATGATGTTATTGTCTTCTCTAAAGGAGATGTGGCACAGCACGTCGTGCACTTGGCGTCTGTGCTGGAAAGGTTGTCGAGCGCGGGTCTGTCGCTGAAGGCAAGCAAGTGTGCCTTCGCGTCGACACGTCTGAACTACCTAGGACATGAACTTGGCGGTGACGGAGTGAGGCCGATGACGAGTTTAGTGGACAGCGTCGTACGGTTTCCAACACCGACAGATGCTGCTGCAGTGAAGAGATTTGTACACATGGCGGGCTACTATCCGCGCTTCGTGCCGGATTTCGCGAGTAAGGCAGCGCCTATGACACTATTGCTGCGGAAGGGGGTTGTGTGGCGATGGGCAGAGCCACAGCAAGAAGCATTTGAGCGGCTGAAGATGGAGTTGACGCAGAGGCCTCTGTTGGCCTACCCGGACTTTTCGAAGCCCTTCCGGTTGGTCACGGACGCGTCGAAGGTAGGCCTCGGGGCCGCGCTGACCCAAGACCAGGGGCAGGGCGAGCAACCGATCGCCTACGCTTCTAAGATTAATTCGGAGACGGTGGCAGCGTACACGATCACAGAATTAGAATGTGCAGCGGTGGTTTGGGCAGTCAAATTGTAGACCTTACCTGTACGGACGCAAGTTTGAGCTCGTGACGGATCACGCGGCGCTCAAGTGGTTGATGACGTCGAAGGAGTGGACCGGGCGGCTGCACCGCTGGGCTCTACAACTTCAAGAATACGACTTTGAGATTATCTACAGGCCGGGCTCGAGCAACGTCGTGGCTGACGCGTTGTCGAGGGCGCCGGTAGGAGCAGTGGTAGGAGCATCGGAGCAACGAGCAGCGGTAGCCGACGGGGCAGCCAGCGACGAGCAGCTGACTGATCGTTTCATTCGTGACGAGCAGGCGAAGGATCGCACGGTGAAGAACCTCAGGCGGAAGGGCAAGTACCGTGACAGGGCTATTGTGGTCGAGGACGAAGTCGTCCACATTGTCCAAAGCGATGGCAGTAAGAGAGTGGTGGTACCTACGGCGCTGTGGACGGCAACGTTGAGAGAAGGTCATGACTCGATCTACTCGTGCCATTTGCACACGCCTCAGACGTACGAGCGTGTGGCAAGGAACTACTGGTGGCCAGATATGCGGGCCTACGTAAGGAGATGGGTGCAGTCGTGCAGAGACTGCGGGTCGAGGAAGACGAAACCGAAGGAGGTGATTCCCCCGCTGAGAAGTCAGGGCGTGGGGAATGCAGGTGATCGCTGGGCGCACGACGTGGCGGGGCCGTTGCCCGTCACACAGGAGGGCAATCGGTATGTAGTGGCGGCGGTAGACTACGCTACGAGGTACGCGGTGGTGGCGGCTGTGCCCACGCACACCGCGCCGGACATCGCGAAGTTCATTGCGAACAAGTTGGTGTTTGTGTACGGCCCCATGCGTGAGGTCGTCATGGACGGTGCGCCGGAGTTGAACGGCAAGGTGTTGGACGCGCTGGTGAAGGCTCTACAGGCTAAGCAGATCACGCCTGTACCCTACAGACCGGCCTTGCTGGGGCTGGTGGAACGCATCCATCGGTCCTGGAAGGACATGGTGGCGATGTATGTGGCAGAGGCTCAGGACGATTGGGATCAGTGGCTGCACTGTGCAGCGTACGCGTACAACGGGGCGATACACTCGGGCACAGGCTACAGCCCGAATGAGCTCATGATGGGAAGGAAGCTGCGCGCGCCGAGCGAGCTGCTTCGCAGCAGCGGCGTCACGCAGACCGGGCCGTTTGCGGAGTACTACCGCAAGCTGGTCGACGACATGACAAGGGCCACGGAAGCAGCGCACGCAGCGTTGGCGAAGGACCAACTGCGTCGCGAGAGGTACTACAATCGACGTGTACGGCAGGATACAACGTTCGAGGTTGGAGACTTGGTGTGGGTGCTCAAGCCTCCACGAGGCCAGGGCATCACGAAGTTGGCCCATCAGTGGGTGGGCCCGACGAGGACCGTGCAGTCGGCAGGGTTCGACAACTGGGAGGTCGTGCGCGACGACACGGACGAGCATTCGATCGTCCACTGCAGCTTTTTGGTGCCGAGCCGCTGTCCGAGCGACTCCTTGGGCGTGATCGCGGAGAAGATCATCACAGAGCTGGAGGACGACGACGCAGAGCTGCGGAGGAGCGACGGCGGCGACGAGGAGCCAGTCGCAGTGCAGCCTGGTGACGGACAGGACGAGGGACAGCACGATGGCAGAAGTGCTGTCGCTACAGCGCACGCGGGCGCTACAGGCGACGGAAGAGTAGTGACTGAAGGCCGAGAAGAAGGCCAAATGACGTCGCAAGCGGAGGAGAGCAGTTTCGCACGGCGAAGTACGAAGGAGACGACTGGTGGCGGAGAATCCACTCCGGGCGGAGCAGGAGAGCCCGTGCCGACCAGTGCAAATCTGGCCGGACAAGACGCGGAAGAGAAACGACACGATGCAATGGGTGATGTGACCAGTGGAGAAGCGTGTGCTCCAGCGGTCCGTGCACCCAGTAGTCGCGAAACGGCGAGGACGACGCCGGGAATAGCAGCGGCCGCACAGGACGCTGAAGATGTGAGGACGAGCTTGGTGGCGCAGCCAAAGCTGCCAGTAAGGAATCGAGGACGGAAGTGCAAGGTGGAAGCAGATGTCGAAGCCAAGGCCAGTGAAGAGACGAAGCAGCGACGACGACGAGAAGCCGACGCTCGTGAAGCTTGAGCAGCTCGACGGCGGGCTGCGCGTGACGAGTCGGAAGCCACAGAAGCGAAGGCGGCTGGTGCAGACAGAGCTACTGGGGTTCATGCTGGTAAAGAAGCCGATGGTGACAAGGGAGGCGCTGCGCGACGAAGTGGCGAAGGGCAAGACGAGCACGTGCGCGTCGGAGAAGCTGTCGGCGGTGGCGAAGACGCAGAGGGTCGCGACGAACAAGGTGCGGCGGTGGATATGCTGCGCGGACGAGGACGAGCACGATGGCAGCCGCCAATGCCGGAGCTCCTGCAAGTGGAGACCGCTGGCTACATTGTTGAACGAGCACGCCAGCGAGTGCGCAACCGCGCAGGACGCTACGTGCGTGAGCACCAAGTGGAGTACAGCACTGGGCCAGGACGACCAGCGGGACGGCGATGGCTCACGGAAGCAGAGTTCGACCAGTTCGAAGATGCTGCCAAGGTCGAGGACGACCTTGGAGCCGGGGATGGCGTGTAGTTGGATGGCCTGTCACGTGACGAAGGGCCACGAACAGGCAGCGCCAGACGATCGCGCGCTGGTGATCGACTTGACTGACGAGTAGTGTGGTGGACATCGGCCAGATCGGGTCGTGGTGTACGGCAGGAGGCGTGTGGTGAAGAGGGCAAGCCAGTGGACTAGTGCCACCGGCTGAAGGCGGTCGTTTAGCAAGCAGTGGGAGGTTGAAGTTGGCGATGGCGACGACAGAAGATCGCAGTGCGTGGGCGACACGCCGGGACAAGGGCGAAGAAGTATACGAGCGAGGAGAGGCGAGATCAAGGACAGGAACGCGAGGCTATGAGGCCACGAGCATGGAGAAGGATTCGAAGAGGGAGAGGTCCAGTAGGTAGGCAGGCGCCCGTGCGTAGGAGTAGATACAGCGGGGATAGGATTGAGTAGGAGGATACCGAGCGGCGGTCGGCCGACTCGACCCTCAGTTGCGGTTTTTCACAGGATTGTGGTGAGTCAAGACTAATATACACGAGTTGCGCCGAACGCACGGGTTTCCGGTCTTTGGAGCAGCGACGAAGAGCGTCGGCCACAGCGACGGCAATAGCGAAGGTATGGCAGTGGTAGGCCAGTGCACAGATGAGGGCAGTGTTCGAGTAGGGCGGCAGGACTGTGGAGAGAGACCACGGGGGCTGTGGTGTTGGAGCACCTCGGCCGAGTGGCGCGGAGCTCGCATGTGCCAGTGTGCGAAGGGCTCTTACTGCCTGCTGTATATAACCGGGCTTTACGAGCTGGAAACAGCTAGTGGGGCTACCCGACCACTAGTGCTTATAACGTTTCCTCCTAGCCATCCCTATCCTAGCCATGCGTGCAGGCCAGTAACGTCTGGTCGACACTGAACGGCCTCGCACTGGAAGAGACCCTGCTTACCGAGACGCTCCCTACGTGCTTAGGTGAGCAGCTTGTGTTAACGATCTCCCTCCGACGCGGTGCAAGAAGAAGGGCACTCGGAGTGGAGATAACGACAAAGCTGTAGAAGAAGAAAAAAACAGTAAGACCACCACCAGGATTTTAATGGCCGTAGAGGGTTGGACTGGTAGTGCTTTCTTTAATAATAAAAACAATACAAATCTAGAAAATACTAAATAATTACGGGTTGACTCGCTGGTCATTTTCTCTCAGTAGCAGAAAGGAAGGGACAAACTTTGTTGCTGCACACGAAAAATAGAAGCTTGAAACCGGGCGAATATGGTCTGTGGGCGTTTTGCGCTGAAGAGCGTGCCCGGCGTGCGCCGGAACACCGGGTTAGTGTTACAGGTGGCTGTGGCTAGACGGACAGAACAAGTTTGGTGTTCTGTCCAGTGTTCTGTCATAGCCGGACAGAACATTGGAGAGAACACTTTGTTGAAGCCAGCACAGAGTGCTACGGATTGGCATGCACTCCCACTCGTGTGATGACCAAAGCCACTTTGCTTTCACTGCTGCATGCGCAATGACAAAGTGTCTCGTGCGCCTTCTACTAACATGCAAACACAGCAAGAAGAGTCTAAGTTCTGTATTTGGGTAGCTGAGAGCCTGCCAACAACAGCATGATTTACATCAAAATGAGCTACGGCAGAACATAACAGACGTGGTCAAGCTCGAAGACCCACACAAAATGCAATACAATCAAAGAAATCATTGAGGTTTAACACGCATTTATTCACTGTTACACCCGTGAACATCTCTGCTGCACCACACTCGCAAAGATCAAGTAAGGGACGCGGTCACTTGGTCAAGGGCTCATCTTAGCGATCATATTGGCCTGGGGTCACAGCGAGGGTTTCCGCAAGGCGTTCTGCAGTTCGTGTCTTCTCCATTCTGTGATCGCTGTGTCCTTAGTTCACACAAGAACTTCCGTTTTCGTTGACGAGTAGCCTTCGACTCTACCAGAAAGCCATTAGATCATGCCGCTGAACTTGTCCTTGGTTACCGCCGCCTTCGCCAACGCATCACTGGGATCGAGCTCGATACACCACGGCTTCCGGGGATGATACGTTGAACGTAGCCCTTACGAGCTTAGCCTTGGCACACTCGCAGACACCGAGAACGCCGTGTGCTCTGGTTCGGGCACTGCGACCGAAAATATCGCAGCTGTAGCCCACAAGCAATGCAGGAAGTACCAGAGCCGTCGGACAGGTTCAGCGGTAGCTCATTCTGAAAGCCAAAACACTGGACGAGCGTCAGACATACTTTGGCCAGCCAAATTCATCCGATTCGGAGGACATTTCATCCGATACGAACGAGCTTCACGTCCCGCCCACGGTTCCTCGTTTAGTCGGTGGGTACCAGCACCTTTAGACGCTCTGTGTACCGCCTGGCCCGTGATATTTAATCCGGACGTCTCGAGAACACGGCCCTTGAGTCGTAAAACTTCACATTGTGAGGTCGCGCATCCGCACATCCGCTGGACGCGGCTAGCGTGGCCTGAAAGGCTGTGTGATTGGATCTCGAGCATGCATTGTTCATTGATCAGGTCTTTCGGGTCGTGGTCGCAGTCAACGCGAACGCGTGCTTAAAGCGCAGAACTGCGTTCGCTTCTAGTAGCGATCGGCAGCCAGCGACGCGTCGCGTAGCTAGACGTGCTCACTAAAGAAAGGTCAGGGGAACTTTAGAACACACCTTGAATTGTGTCTGAGTATATCTATAAGGCTACTAGGCGGAGTAGATTTGATTGTGTAGTACTAAGTGGCGGGTTTCCCGGCGACAGTAACAGGTCGGTCAATCGACAGCACCCGCTTCTAGCTTTAGCGGCGAAATAGACTCCTTATCCACAACGAGGTTCGGTGCTTCTTGCCATGTACGTCTTCCTGGTACGAGTAAAGAGAAACCCTGGACGCGGTATGCCAACGGATATGTACAACGCTGTCGTGTGTTGTTGATTCGAGTTCGTAGTGCTTAATGGCAAATGTATAGCTAGACGATCGGCTCGAACGATAGCACCAGCTTCCAGCTCTACTGCGTCACATAAACTCCTCATCGCGTATTAATGACTCTATCAAGCTCAGGTTAGCGGATGGTCGTGTCTGCTCACCAGTGGCAAGCTTTCATAGGCACCAACACGTTTAGCTTCGAAGGCTGCGGCTGTGCGGCCACGCCGTCATGCCGATCCACGCTGCTAGACATTACGTGAATAAATGAACGCTTTAGGCCATTGAAAGACTCAATCACTGCGGTGTAAATAAGCACATGATATTGTGTCAACTACAAGGTGGCACGATACGGCAGCTCGGCATCTTACCGTGTTACGGTAACTCGGTTACGATGACCGAGTTATGGTAACACGGCCATGGCAAAATCTTGAGCGCTATGCGACACCATCGCCCTCCCTGATCCTGGTGGTATTAAGTACTCTATGAGCGTGGGCCTCACACGTTGGTGCGGGTCCTATGCCTCTCGATTGAGCGCAGTGATGCCAAACGCACTAGCCCGTGGTTACATTTCGGAGGAACAACGCACCAGTTGCTACGAGCTACCCGCTATCAAAGAGGCTGCAGCCGAGGAAAATGACTTTCAGGGAGATCAGATCCGGGCCAGAGCTCGCGCCTGTGTATTTCTGACGTCGCAAAAGCAACCGGCACGTCTAGCGAAGCACGTGAGGGCGGAGTATAATAAAATGGAGGTAATCTATTATTTTACCGAGGTAATGTTCTGTCCGACTAGTCACTGTCGTTACAGGTGGACTTCAGCTTTTACCGTGTGCTGGAAATGTCCCCGTCGATGTGTTTGGGGCTGATGTTCCAGCGGTCTAACTTCAGCAACTTGATCTGCTTGAAGCGGCAGCGGGGCATGCTTCAAGCGTAGTGGGAAGTCGTTGACTGCTTTGAAACCATCTAGCCCATACTTAATGTACGGGCTAGAATGGTTGCTGAAAGCAGAGCAATGGTGCATGCATGAGAAAGCAAAGCAATAGGCAAGCTATAAGCTATAGAAGCCATAAAGAACCCCGCCCAAATCGATACCGCAAGATATCATCTTCTGCCTTCATTTGCCCCCTGTATAGTTTTATAATTTAAATACAAAGTCGTAAAACACCTGCAATACATAGAAAATCTGCGATGTCTATGCCAAAAACAAAAAATATAAGGAGGTTGTACTTGAAATTTGTATTGAATCGATACCTACCTTTTGTGTGGACACACATATTCCGGTCCAGGGAAAATTGCCTTCAGCATCAGGGTTTGGTAGTAGTGAGAATTTTGGCTCGTAGTGATACTACTACTATTATTCGACTGTGAGTCACTATCACTACTACTACTATTAGTAGTGAAGAAATGAAATTAGTAGTTATCACTACTAATGTCACTACTATAGCACTACTATCCAGACTGTCGGAGCTTACCAGATCCTCCACGCGCGCGAGCTCGAGACGATTGTGGCGCAGTATCAGCTGCCTTTGTGCTCGCTCGTTGGCACTCCGCGTTCTTAGTGGACTCATCACAAAGGAGCCTGTAGAGAACACGCGTTCTTGGAACGCAGTTGAGCAGCCCCGTCCCAGCCAGACGCGTGCCAGTTTTGCAACTGACGGGAACTCCTTCTGCCCAGCCTCGAGAAACCAGCTTCAGACGTCAATGTTGTTGCATACTTGCTCAACATTCCACACACGAACACCTCGTTTTTTGTCGCGCACGCTCAGCTTAGCCAGCACGGTATCGTACTCGTCTTTGGCGGGATACTGCCTTTTAGCCACCTCAGCCCAATCGACTCGAAGGTCAAACCACTGGTCTAGCAACGCATTCGCCTTGGAGTTGATCGTGGCATCAGCACTGGCCTCCTCAGACGGCTGAGATACCTCTTCACCATACAGCAAGTCGGTCTCAGTGTCTGAACCACTGTTAGCCTCTCTTGGTGGAGAACCGCCAGTGGAAGTGCCTGGAGCTCATCGCCTCGGAGAACTTCACGTCGCGCGCCGTCATGGACTGCCTGGGACCATTGACCATTGGCCGTAAGGTCTTGTCAGCACTAACTCGCATGCTCAACCCCCCTATAAATTAACCGGTCGCCACCTTGCGCTGTCCGTGCTGCTTCCACGCCAGTTGCTTGTCGTAGATGGTTAATCATGCGTTTTCGACAGCAACAGGCGCACAGTTTTCGACGCACCATCTTAGCTTGGTGGGGAGCTTGATGCAGACGCTGCGTTGTGGACGTTTTCCTTGTCACGTGCATGCAGGCCCTTGAAGAAAACCCGGTGCTCAACGCGCATTAGCTCCTTCGCATCCTCCAATATCTTGTCCGTGGCAGCCTCCGCTGTGTCAGGAACGCGAAGGAATTGTTTGGCAGATGACTTCGTGCGTGGATCGAGTAGCAAGGCCATACCCATAGGCACGGACGGCTGTGGGAGACGCTCAGCAATTTGGTGAAGCGTTCGCGTGATGCATCGCTGAGCGAGCTCCGATAAATCGGGCAACGTTAGCTGGACCCGCGGGAAGTTTTTCTCATTCGTCCCCGTGTCACGAGCACCATTTAGACAGTCTTGTACGAGTTCATGCGAGCGGAAGCCACACACAGCAGCACATACATAGTCGAAGAAAGCATGGACGCCGACTGAGCCTCCACGAGTGCTAACTCTGCCACGTGCATGATCGCCTCCATTTGAATCACTAACGCCCATTCTGCGTCGGTGATTCGGTTGAAGACATGCTTCTCGTCCTTGGCCACGTTTGCGCTCTGGAAAAATGCCTGGAACGCAGAAAAGTTGATGATCAAACGCTGAAACAACTTAATCGTGGACGCCACGCGAACGTCGATGTTCACCAAAGCTGCTAGCTGGGGTAGCTTGTGAAACTTTTGGACGTCCTTGAGGCGGGCGACACGCTCCGGGGACTTGCTCGAAGCAAAGAAGTTGTTCAGAGCACGTAGTTTTCGAATCACATTGCCACCTTCTGGGAATGCCCCACCTTTTGTCACAACAGTCCGCGTCTGGACGTACGCCTCCGACTTTGGGTTATTCTTGTACTCGTTGCGCACATTCTCCTTCAACCCGATGCCATAGCCAATACAGAGATTGAGTGCGTGCATCGCAGAGTCCGTCTGCAGGGTCGAGTCGAATTGCCTCGATATTTTTCGCGCGCCTGGAGCAGTGTCCGATATCGTGAAGCGAACCGTTTTGTTCACATCCAGATCGTAGCGTGTCTCCAGTTGATTATTCATCAGTTTGCCCACTTCTTTGGAATCATGTCCATCGTTCTTCACGTGAGCAAGGAGAGCAAGGCGTACAGGTCGCCACTGGTGGTTGATATATCTGCCTGAACTCCAACAATGTTATTCTTTGCGCTGTTTGTCCATAGGTCGTGCTCCACCGTCATGAACGGCGTTTCATCCAGCTCTTGAAACTCTTCGATGAACATCTCAGCTGCGTCCGCTGTAAACTTCTCGAAATGGTTGTCCAGAATGTCGTTATACATCTTGGTGGAGAGTACAGTGACATTCGGGTTGCCCGTAATGCCGACGAGCATTTCATGAAAAGCAGCAGTCGTCACCATGTTGTGCGCATGCCCTAGGCACAGATACACATAGCAATAATGAGATTTAGCAGCTTTCAAAGTCATAAAAGTTTTTAAAAACGCACCATCACGAATCAGCCACCGTGCTATATGGCCCGTTTTCTGCTCCCCGAAGTTGACCACAACGTTTTCTGGCGCTTTAGGGGGTGATCTGCTTGTGATCTTGCTTTTGGAGTAACTTCCCGCTTGGCTTCATTTTTGGGCCCCACCTGCACCATGTAGCGGTCTGCACGGGTTAGCCGGCGTCGCTGCTCTTGGATAGTCAACTCATGGTCCTTATGAATGGACACTAGATGGGTCTCAGCGTTCGATGCGTTGCCAGCGCGGCAGAGTGAGTCCTGCCACGTCTTCGTCTGCACGCAAAGCAGACAAATATGCGTGTACGTCTTGTCCTTGTAGATAGAAGGTGTATCCAAGCGGTGGATAAGCTCCCACACCGGGTCGGTCGAGTTTGCTGGCGGCTTGTGGACGCCATCATCGGGGATACTGTTAACGGGCTCTTCTTTTTCTTCGGCGTCATCTTGGGCGAGGTCGATCACAGTGGCGATATGCCGGATTGGCTGCTTGGCGTGAACTCCTGGGAGTCGCTGTCCGTATTGAAGAACCTGCTCACGCAAGCGTGGCTGCAGAGCCTGCATGTAGAGCATCAGTAAGCAAACGTTATGTGCAAAGACCACTAATGGTAGCGCTACCTTTTCGCGAGGTTGACGTCGGGCTTGGTGCAGAGTTCATTGCTGCACAAGTGATGCACGGGCCGACCACACACACTGCACGGCGAAGTCTCCTCTAGATTCCCCCAATGTCAGTCTATATTAGCACACTTCATCAGTCTGGCTTTACCTGAGAATCGAGAAATGAACGAAAGAGCTCGAAGCGCGGGGGGGGGGTCGGAGAACCACCAATTTGCGCGCCTTTTGAAGATCTTACGTGGGTTGAAGTTCGGGGAATTAGTAGTGATATTAGCACTACTATTATCACTACTAGTGACCTCTTTTCTCGCTACTATAGTTTTATCACTACTATGAGGCCCAGACCCCACTGCTATAGCACTACTATAGTAATAGTAGTGATATTAGTACTACTATCGCTACTATTCTGGAGACTACTACCGAACCCTGTTTCATTTTTTACCAGGAACCGCAAAAAATGTTCCAAGATTACCTCGTTTTAGTGACAAAGTTTCAGGCAGCTCTGGGGCTCCCTGAAGCTTGGAACTTTTTAATCGAATAGAAGGTCGTGTGGGCCACACCACCAAGGATGGCGGAGCCTGCATGCATCGGGCTCTGCTGCAATAACAGCACCACGAACTCTGCGTGCGCGCACAGGGACTTAAGCACCCGCGTGCCATCGAGAGCTCTCGAGCACGGCCATCACACGCTCTGTTGAGCCCCCTCCCGCCGCCGCGCGATCTCTCGCGTGCATGCCGTCGTGCGCACGCGATCAGGCAGCCCGCCACGTGCGCTGCTTGGCGCTGCTTGTCGTAGGCAATCCTTACTTGGCAGTGACCTCTAGGCAGTGGGAACGTCTCTCTCCCTCTCTCCTCTCTCGCTGCTGGCGTTCATGCCGCACGCCGGCGCTCGCGTGGCCAACGAAGGCGTCGGAAAGTGGAAAAAAATGAGGGAGGGCACTGCAAAATTTTATGTACAGGATGAATGTTGTAAAAGTGTGCGGTTCCAGGTGAATTTACCTGAAGTGCCTCGAAAAACTGCATCTTGGAACTTTTTCCGAAGAGGGCCATTGGGCTGTACGTACTACTGGCAGTAGTCTACTACCGTAGCACTACCAGGATAAAGTCACTTACTACACTACCAATTGGGGTTTTGGTCAACGCTGTACGGGACTGATGTGGGGTGACCTCATTTCTGTTTCGAGAGCGTTGAGGCCATTTCTCGGTCGACCTCCGCGGGAGGAGGACGCCCGCACGTTCGTCGCCACCGCCGATTCAAGCTGCGATGCAAGACAAACTGTTCCCTAATCACTTGTTAACGCACAAGCGGCTTTGAGCGGATGAGTCTAAAGACGACGATTCTACCATGGATCCGAAGAAACGCAAAATGCACGAGGTGGATGATGATCTACATGAACGCGACTCCACTAGCGCCCGCTATTTCGTGATGCCTGGATTTCCGCCATTGATGCACCCGATGACCAAGTACAAGGCAATCCTGGAGCGATCTGCTTATGCCACGATCTTCGACGAGCTGATGAGCAAAGTGAAGCTGTGTTTCGATCGCAATCGGGACGCCAACATGGTTCTGACGGGCAATCCGGGCATAGGCAAGAGCCGATTCTACCTGTATTGTATGTTTCGGCTCGCTCGTGACGACGGAGTGGACGCACAGAAACTCGATCCTTTTGACCTCGTGCTGAATTGTGGACGCGATTTCCAGAAGTATCTCCCTGAATCGAAGGAGTTCGTCGAGTTGGACGACGCAGACGTCAACTCCCTCATGAGCAAACCTCGTGTGCTTCGGCTTATCGAAGGAGACTCATCGAAGCTAAATGGCTGGAGCGGGGTGTCGATTCTGTTCGCGTCTCGGAATCTCAAGGGGATGAACAATTACGCCAAAGTCAACTCATACACGTACATCATGCCAGAATGGACCTTGGACGAGCTTCAGGATTGCAACTCGATACTAAGCGACGACTTGAAGCTATCGGACGAGCTGTTGATATCAAGATTCAACAAGTTTGGTGGGGTTCCGAGACGTATTTTCACTACCACAGAGATGGAGGCGGAGCAGAAGCTGGCGACGGCAATTGAGTCGTTCACTGCGGAGGACGTCATCTCTTACGCTTGGTGTAATCGTCGACCGATTGACAGGATGCACGACCACAGCAGCATCCTCAAGATGACGCCCTTCTCGAAAGATTTCCGAGCCACATCACACACGGATTTCCAGTCGGACTACATTGCCGAGAAGGTGATTGACAAGATGGATGACAAAAGTCTGCGCAAGTTATCCAAGATCGTCACAGCGCAAGAAGAATGCGGTTTTTTTTAGGAAACGGCCGCATTTCGAGGCACAATTTACAGGATGCTGTGTCACCAATGGGTTACCCAGCAACAGAAGCTGCAATTCCGTTCGCTTGGCACGGAAGCGCCATTGGAACTCATTCTGGGGAATATGAAAGATAGAGGAGTTCCCACATCTTCCGGTGGCGTGGTTTTGTCGAGGGATATGGAGATTAGACAATTCTCTACTCTCAGCGGGATTCACGCAGCTCAGATCGGCCGGACGTACTTCCGACCGGCGTCGCCCGCATTCAAGCCGCTGGATGCATTCATCTTGGACACCAACAAATCCGAATGCTATGGCCTAGTGACGACTCTCCACTCAGATCATGAAATTGAAGCTGAGCCGTTGGACCAGTTTATAAAGTGGCTACAGCGCGTCGGAGTGCCCGCGGACCGGTTCAGCCTGTGCTTTATCACGCCAAGCGATTTGGAGAAACAGTTCAAGATGCAAACCGTGAGAACGGATACGGGCCAAGTTCTTCAGAGCCTGGAGTCTTTGGTTAGCGTGAAGCAGTTCGTTGCTGCGTTCGATGCCTTCATTTCGCCCACCCACTCCAGTTGATCGACGTCATTCAGAAATGGATCTTCGAAGATTTTGCCGAAGCAGTTCAAGTGTGTGTGAGTTTTTTTTGCTGCGTGGAACTAACTAAGGGAATGACATGAATTCTTGGTAATGACTAGCTAGCAAACTACTGACCTACGGGCCCTACATCTGTAGCTTAGGGGTCCGTCACACAGGCCTCGCAATACTTGTCGGGGACGTTGACGACCGTCTCGGTGGACTGAATCACGTTGAACTGCAGAGGCTCGATGCTCTGGTTCATCGTGTGGTACGTGCGCGCGTTGATCTCCTCGTACGGCATCTGCTTGTACGCGCCCAGCTCCAACTTGGGCAACAGGCTGATGCCCTTGAGCTGGTACTGGAAGTAGTCCAGCATGCGCGCGAGTTGCGGGCCTTCCGTCTTGGGGTCGAACGTCACGGTGCAGCTCACCTGGTTGTCCGCCCAGTAGCGCTGCAGGAACGCCGACAGCGCGAACTGTTCCCACGCTGACACATCGGACAGCGTTCGTACGCCCTTGCCCACGTCCACAGGGATGGATACAACCAACGTCGAGTCTGGGGCTTCATGGGCAGGCTCGATCTCGTAGCCCGCACGCTGAAGCGCTGATAGCAGGTCCGAGTGCTTGTCCAGCCGCATGCGGCGGATGTAGAATCGGCTCTCAGGGTAGTGCATGCCCGGCGTAGCACCGGCAAGCAGTGACACGGTGCCGCTGGGCTTGATGGAGGTGGTCTTGATGGACCGCGGGATGGCAAAGCGAGCCGAGATCTGTTTGTCCACTTCTTGGATGCGGTCGTAGCCAGCCTCGCACCAGCGCTGGAACTCGTTCAGGCCTCGGTTCGAAATGAACTGCGCGATTCCCGACATGCTGCAGCCAATGCGGCGGTTGCGCTGCATGACTTCGTTGGTCCGTGGCCACTGCGTTTGGCCCAACGTGACCGTCTTCGCGTACATGTAGGCGTATTTGAGGGTCTCCAGGAAGTCCTCGAGGCTGTCGTGGCTGTACGGGAAAGTCTCCACGAGGCAGCACATCTCGTACGACTCCAGCGTCTGCTCCAAGCACGGGTTACCACCCGAAGCATTGCGGTCACGGTCGTCCTTGAACCCGTTCATGCGACCGTAGTTGCGCATGTTCTCGAGCCACGCGAACCCAGGCTCACCGTTGCGCACGATACGCTCAGCGATGGGCTTGTAGTCCATGCCAATGTCCGCGAAGATGCTGTTGTTCGACGTCCAGCCGTACGCAGCGCGGTCCGGGTTCTTCTCGTAGTTCTTAAGGTCGACGTACTCCTCGTCGTTGTAGTTACCGAAGGCGATCTCCGCAGTGCGTCGCACATTACCCGAGACCACGCACACGCCCATTTGGTTCATGATGTCGACGATGCCGCGCGCAGTCAACGGTTTGCCGGCCAGCGGCTTGAGGATCGACTCAATGGCCTCGTGCAAGGCGATCAGCGAGCCGGCACCGGAGCTGATGCCACCGAAGCCCTTGATCGGCTCACCGGCAGGGCGGATCAACGAGTAGTCGAATTTGAGCGCGGGCTGGTGCAGGAAGTGTGCCTCGAGCAGCATCTTCACCGACTCGACCCAGCCCTCACGAGAGTCCGGAATAGCGTACACGTTCGCCTTGGTCTCGTCACAGCCCTGGACGAGCAACTTGCCAGCTCCCTTGGTGTCAAACCCCACGCCAACACCCAGCATAGCCGCCTCCATCAGGAAGCAGAAGGGCTCCGCGGGCGTCTCGAGCTCGAGAATGTCCGCCGTCGAGACGAAGGCGCAGTTGTTCAGCGCCGCGTAAAGCCCGCGCTCTTCCGTGATCGGCGATCCCATCGCCCAGAGGCCGCGTCCGGGCGGCGTGAACTTCATCTGGAACACGCGCGTGTACATCTCCTGGGCGACGCGGGTCATCTCGTCCTGGTTCCAGGGCTGGCCCAGCTGCTGTAGCCACTTCTTCTGCATGGTGAAAGTGCCGTTGATCACGCGCTCCACGGTCTCGAACCAGCGCTCCTTGGTGCCGTCGGCCTTGACGCGCGAGTACGTGCGCATGTACACGAGCTCGCCCAGGCCGTTGAAGCCGAAGGGCGGTGTCTGGCGCTCGAAGCCGGCCACGAAGCCCTTGTCCAGCGTGAAGGGCGAGTAGCCAGGCCCAGCGTGGAACTCCATGCCCGTGTTGATGGCCGACGCAGTGTTCGGGTCCGTCGCGGCCTCGAAGAGCAGCTTGGCGCTGGACTCAGATGTCCTGGAGGTGGAGGAATCCACGACGCTGCCCACAGCGGCCGACGTCGGGTAGGAAGTGGTGGGGGCCATCGCCGATGAAGAAGTACTGTACTGACTGTAAGCGGCTTGGCGACTGGAGCGCAAAATGCACAATGAACTCAATGGCAATCAATGGCAATCGACTGCAATGGAGCAGCTCTATGTAGGCTTAGTGACCAAGGCTGGCTGCTGGTCTTTGGAGCCTGAAAGTGTCGCTTCGCTGCATCCTGCTTACGTACTTGGCTGCAGCTCCCGAACCGTCCCAGCTTGCACAGTACTTACCACCGAACGGGTATCGTCACACGTCGCAGATTTCATTCTGCGCGCGCAGAGCTGAGCCAAATCTGCAGCAGCGCGGGGACTGGCGGCTCGACACTATGGCGGACGATGCGGAGCCCGCGGGCGTCGAGAGCGACGCTGACACCATCGCCGGCCGCACGCGCACCAAGTTCTCGCTCGTGGACGTGCCCATCGACACGCTCGAGGCCTCGCTGCCGGACGCCGCGCTCGAGGTAAGGCAAGGACAAGGACCCGTTTTGGCGCCAAAAACTTTGAAACCATCCCAGATTTGGCGCCAAAAATAGTCAAAAGGGCAACTTGCAACTGAAGTTGATGACGTATCGGTGCTGCGGCGTGTGGCATGTGGACTAATCATTGACTGGTGTCTATAGGCACATGTCGAGACGGAGGAGGACCGCGAGTACCAGCGCTTCCTGTCGAGTCTGCTGCCCAACGAGCAGGAGAATCTGTCCTTCCTGGACGAAGAGGACGAGGAGTACCGGCCCGACGAGGAGGAGGACGACCATGAGGACGAGGACGCCAGGAGAGGCATCTCTAAGAAGGAGCTCACGGACCTGCTGCTGGACTCGACGCTGACGTTCACCAAGGTCCCAGCGGCTGCAGCTTCTGGAGCTTACGGATCTGCTGCTGTTGCCGTCGCTCCAGCGCGGGAGACGATCAGGGACGACTTGCTGACGCTGGAGAGCAGTGACGCAGCTTTGCCAAGTGTTTCTACTACTGCTGCTGCTACTGCGGTGCCTGATGCTGCGGCGACGACGCCTCCGGTGGCGATGAAGCTGCCGGCCATGCTGAGAGGACACAGGGGAGCGGTCACGCAGACGCAATGCATTCAACTGGCGTCGCAGATGCACAAGCACCTCCAGTTGCTGCTGCAGAGCTACCACCTTTTGTCCCAAGGCAAGAAGACCCCGGAGCTTGCCGAGTGCCGCGCGATGATCGAAGAGCTGCAGCAACGAGGTGAGAAGGCGCTCAAGTACAAGAACGCATTGCTGTCCAAGTTGAATCCAGCGACGACGGGTGGTGTAGCTGGAGCTGCTGTTGCTGGACCGAGTGAAGTTGAAGATGTTGATGCCAGTGAGGATAAACCCCCTTCGACGGATGAATCGTCAGGCGCGGAGGGTAACAGTAACACCACCGAAAACCTCCTGGCGTTGAGACGTGTGACGAGGTCGCTGACGGCGGCCCACGCGGCGGTGGCCCACCCGTCGATGTTCGAGCTGGTAGGCTCGCAAACGGTTGATGAGCTTTCGGCTGGCTTTGCTCGTGGCTGTTCAATCCAAGACCGTAATCGGGCGATTCAAGAGCAAATGCTGCAGCTGGATATGCACTTAATAGCGGTCAAGAAGCGTCGGATCTCCAAGAAAGGGTATACTGTGACGGAGGACAATCTGCTGGCTCATGGGATCAAGCGCTTTGGCACGCAGCTTGAGTCGTTTGAGCAAATCCGGCAGCACTTCCTCCCGACCAAGAAGCCGCATAATCTCCGACACCGGTACAAGTACTTGATCAGCTCGAGGACCGGCATGAGCGCAGTGAAGGCGTTCCACCAGAAGGCCTCTCCGCCGCACCCTCGGAACACTGGCTGGTTACTCGAGGAGGATCTTCGGATAGCGCGTGGTCTCGTTGAGCTGCACAAGGAGAAATACCATTTCGCTCAGCTAGCTAAAAGTTACCTCCCTCATCGGAGCCGTCTCGAGATTCGGAAGCGCTGGGAGCGCATCGCGACGAGATTTTGCGCCGATCTTGCTGCGAAGGGCTTGACAGTGCCCGATGAGGACTCGCTGGATCTCGCCGTTGCCATGAAGGATTTTTTAGAGGACAAGTTGCGAAATCGGATTCTGAGGCGGCGACGCGAGGCGGAGAGATCAAGGTTAGAAGCCGCAATGCAGTTGCAACAACTTGGCCAAGCAGTGCGATACGCTTTCCTGGCTCAACCGGTTGGTGGATATGTCCCGAGTGGCGTTGGAGCTGGTAAAGCCCGTGCGTCTGCGTTTGGAGCTAGTGGACAGAAGAAAGTGCCGGACGCGGCGTTCTGCAAGATCAAGAATCTGCATCCAGCTCTGTTTTTCTCGTCATGGTCGTTCATCAGCCCCGCGACGCTCCTTAACTCGACGTGCAAGCATAACTGGCCGTCATTTATGGACGCTGAGAAGAACAGCAAGGAGAAGCTACAGCAGAACCAGCTGAATATTGCTGCTGCGGAGGAAGGAGTGCGTCCGGCTGTGGATGCAAATGGCGAGTCAACGACTCGTGATGGCGAGCAGACGCAGGAGTTTATGTCGACTGCGATGCCGTCCGACCTGGCTGCCACCTCCACGGCAGAGTTGGGCCTGACCGGGCAAGCGAGGATTCTGATGGATGCGCGCATGACCCAGAGGGAGAGTGAAGAGGAGGAAGACGATAGCGATTATGAGCACGATGAACTGCTCTCGTCCGAGAACGAAGAGAGCGACTCTGAGTTTGAGCAGATGGAGTTCACTGACGACGACGACGATGAAGACGCCGGGAGTGCAGGCAATTTCGAGGAGGACGCCTTCATGTCCGACTCAGACGCCCATTCTGTTGAAAGTGCGAACTCACTGCTCACACCGTCTCAGTCTCCACAGTCATCGCCGTCACGCCTCGTGGAGTCCACCCCAAGACAGGCGGGTACTAGACGCTCTCCGCGCCTCCATCATCCTCTTCGTCTGCAGCATCTCGGTCAGCCAGGCAATGAACGTACGAAGATCGCCCTCGCTGCTTTGGAGCGACGCATTGTGGGCAAGAGTCTCAATTGTTCCGCTGCATCTTCAGCCCCCAGCTCGCAGACTGGTTCAAGCACCCGCGTGAAGCGCAAAGTAACCTCCACGCTGATTGCACCCCTCGGCGCAAGCGAGATAACCCCTAACGCCGCATTCCGAGCGGACGAAGATGAGTTCGCGCTTGCTGCAGTCGCGACGGCCAACAGCGAAGAAAATGAAGAGGACGAAGATGACAATGACGACGAAGACTGGGAAGACGAAGAGTTTGAAGTTGTCGAGCTCCCATCTAGCTCCGACGAGTTCGCAACCGCAAGCTCAGACGAAGAGAACCACGAGGACACTGTTCCAGCGTCTACCGAAGCTCCTGGCAGCACTGAGCCCCCTAACAAGAAGGCCAGATTGCAGCAATGTCCGACTTGTGGCCACGCCTCGTGCACCTGCTCGTCTAGCGAGCGCATGCAGCTGCTGCTGCGCCGCATGAAGGAGAAGCGTTCGTCGTCGTCCTTGCAGTAAAGTGGAGTGAGCTCTAAAATACCTTTAATTATCATATCTAGCAACACGGGCGTGTCTTCTATTCGGTGGGGATGGCCACCCTGTTGGTTCTCGTCTTCTTGGCCTTCTTGGCCTTCTTCGTGGGCTTGGGCGACGCGTCCACGTCTGCGTCGGAGGTGCTGCGTCGCTTCTTCTTTTTCTTCTCCTCCTTGTCCTTGTCCTTGTCCTTCTTCTTCTTCTTCTTCTTCTTGGGCTGCGAGTGCGCGAACGAGTGCTGCGAGAGGCTCTGGAGAATGAGGTCCTCCTCGTCCATGGCCTGCTCCTGCTGCTGGCTCTGCGAGAAGCGGTTGGCCTCCTGTCTGCCCAGCAGCAGGTCCTTCATCTCCTCGTCCACCTCCAGCCGCGGCTCCCCCCGACGCATCGCCAGTGACGCCTGCATCCCCGTGATGGTCGCGGGGTGCACCGCCTTCCTGGACTTGGCGTTATACACTGTCAGCCCCACGACCTTGTCCTTCACGGCCTCCACCGCCGCATCTGCCTCCTCCTGCTCCTCGTACTCCAGGTACATGAACCCGTCCGGCTCCATGTCCACGAAGTTGTGGTGGATCTACCCACAGAATGAATCAACTAAGTATTAGCGCCTCTTTGGTCTTCAAGAGTATAAAAGACCGATGCATTGGCGTTGGCGTTGGCATTGGGCACGCACCGAGACGGACAGCAGCGTGCCGTACTCGCCGAAGTAGTTGCGCACTGCGGGCTCGCTGGCGCACAGGGCGGAGGGCACGCGGCCCACGAAGACCACGTGGCCCGTGCGTATTACGTTCGCGCCATTGTGCTTGAACGCTGCCGGGTCCCTCTTGACGCCCTTGCCTTTGGTCTTCTTGGCCTTCTTCTTGGGGCGCCTCTCCTTCGCTGGTGCCATTCGTTTACTGTGGATAACAGCGACTATTGGTCACTATTGAAGCAAACCTAATTAGTCTCTAGATGTCGCTAACTAGAGGTAAACAATAAGATAAAGCATACAGATGGGGATTACACTTAATGACAGCTGAGACCACGATGGCGCAGCCCAAGCGCGAGGTGCAGCTCCACTCGCATGACTTCGAGTGGGAGGAGCTGGCGGAGCAATGCCGGACGCTGGAGGACGACAGCGTTGAGTTGGAAGAAGAGGAGGACAAGGAGGGACGCATGGAGACGCAGCAACTGGCCGAAGAGGCCAAGAACAAGTGGGACGTCTTCCACCAGCGCAACAACGGTAGGTTTGACTGCCACTACGATAAGAACAGTACCAGTGGTCTTGAGGCTGAGTCAATGTCGTTGTTGATGCATTGGTTCGTGTAGGCAAAGTGTACAAGCCGCGCAACTACCTGGTCAAGGAGTTCCCGGAGCTTTACGCGCCGGAGCGGGAGGTGGTGGTGGAGGTTCTGGAGCTCGGGTGTGGCTACGGCAGCGCCATCTTCCCCATTCTGGCCGAGTGCCCGAACGTGCACGCCCAAGTGTGCGACTTCAGCGCACACGCCATCGATATCTTGAAGAAGAATCCGGAGTACGACGCCACGCGGTGCCGAGCTTTCGTGTGCGACATCGCCCAGGAGGAGCTGCAAGGGGTGCAGCTCGAGTCCGTCGACATTGTGCTCATGGTGTTCGTGTTGTCGGCGGTGCCGCCGGGATCGTTCGCCCGTGCTCTGCAGAAGATCTACGCGGCACTGAAGCCCGGTGGAATAGTCTGCTTCCGAGACTACGGACTGTACGACCTCGCGATGCGGCGCAACGCAAAGAAGCTGGGGCCGAATCTGTACTACCGCAGCGACGGCACGCTAGCGTACTTCTTCTCCAAAGAGAATCTGGAGGAGCAGTTCGAGGAAGGTGGCTTTCAAACGCTGGAGAACGAGTACTGCACTGTGCGTCTGCGGAATCGCAAGAAAGGAGTCACTATGGACCGCGTCTGGCTGCACGCCAAGTTTCAAAAGCCCCAAGTGGAGAATTCAGCTGAATGAATCAATAAACTTGCACGCCATGGCATTCACATAGATACTAGGGGAAACTCTAACGCCTATCTACCTACCTACATCTATTGGTCGCACCCATCGCCGCCAGCAATGACGAGGCATGCGGTGGAGTCGAATATGCTCATGACGTTGGTCATAACGGACCACAGGAGGGAGAACGTGAGATAGATCACCGTGATAAGCCCCATCATGTAGCTCGAGCCTCCGATGCGCTTCATGAGTTGCGTTTGCTCCTTCTGACGCGGGAGCAGGACGAGGAACACGAGCGAGAAGAGGTTGGCGGCCCACATGATCACGACGGTGATGGTCACGTCGTGCCTCACGCCGTAGCTGTCGTTCTGGATCCGCTCCGTGGACAGATCATACACACCATTGACGTTGCGGGTGATTGCGGTTGCGAACGGGGTCGAGAGGTTGAAGACCGTCGTGAGGAGACCGTACATGGCTCCTTCGTGGCCTTCAGTTGATAGCTCCACCATAATAAACGAACCCACGATGAAGCTGATGCCCTGGGGAATCTGCTGAAGAATGGGGACTCCGAGCCAAAACCACGGCGAGCGCTCCACGTTCCAGATCGTCAGCAACTTGCACACCGCGTCCAGGCTCACATTCGCGATCATAGTCACAACGGTAGTGCGTCGCCAGTCCCAGTCGCGGCCATGGTTACCGGCGAACCAGACCGAGGCGGCGAACACGCCCGTGGACACGAAGCCTGCGATTTTGTCCTCGACCGGCGTGACGTTCGCCCACGTGGTCTGGATGGGGAAACTCGACACGTACGTGAACGACGCGAAGATGCCCGAGAAGAACTGGTAGGCGATGTACTGGTACACGGCTCGGGTCTGCACGACGTCCCAGAGCTCGCACATGTAGTGCTTGAAGCTCTTGTGGTCGCCCGGACGCTTCTCCTCGTAGATGAAGAACCACGTGACCGGGACAATGGGGACGAGCGCGACGGCCACGATCAACATGAGGATCGGGAACGTCAGCGAGAAGTCAAAGTCGCCGCCGTAGTCTTCACCATTAAAGCAGAAGGCCACGAGGATCAGCGCCAGGATGTTGAACACGAACCGCGTCGTGTAGATGACCGTCTGCGTCCTTCCTCGAACCTCAAGCGGCTCTCGCTGCGCCAGCTCCACCACGATGCCATCCGCACACACGTCGGCCATGAGGTAACCGAAGGCGGACCCCATCATGGGGATGACGTAGATGCTTCCGTCCTTGGCCGCGTCGTAGTTGATCGTCGCAATGATCTCGGGCGTGTAGTCCTCGGGCTTCACATCGCGGTAAGACGGGTCCGTGAAATAGGGCGAGCCCTCGGGTGTACAAACCATGATCAAGAGCATAGCCAGCGTAACGATCCAGCCGATGACCATGTACGGCCGACGACGGTATCCGCGGATTGGGAAGCAGTCTGATAAGATGCCGTAGAAGACCTTAAAGCTCCACGGAAGCTGCACCAGCACCGAGGCCGTAGTCGTCTGCGAGCCCGGCAAGTTAAGGTAGTTCTGCAGGAACGGGTAGATGACGTTGGGCAAGACGCCGTCGATGAAGCCCACAGCCGCGTACTGCGCCACGAGTCCGATGTATTCCCTTGAGAAGAGCTTGGGCGCTCCTCCGCTTCTTAAGGCGCCGCCGGCAATGTAGTCGTCGTACACGTAGCGCATCTTGGCGTAGCCCAGGGACGCGTCCAGCGGGGAGAAGCTGTCCCTCGAGTCGCCCAGCATTGCCGCCGAGTTGGGGTTGAACTGCTCGATCTGCTCCGGTAGCGGCATTTCGGTCTCTGTCGGCCTAAAATCAGGCAAACTCATGTGCGTAGGAGGCTGAATAATGAAGACTACCGCACTGTATGGAAGAGATAGTCGTGCCGGCGGGCAACACGCCAAGCGGTCAGGTGAACAACTTGCAATGCAGAAGCCAGGTCGGCCTCTCCTCGGGATGTGCTAGCGGGTCAACTCCATAGTGGTCTCTATATTGCTCTCAAACAGCAGTCCATAACAGCGGGTCAAGCCCACACGCAAGTGCTTTGGGTAGGTGAGCATCTCCGACTTCTGTCCGTACGGTATAGTCCCACGCGCGCGCTCTCAGTCACATGGTTGTCTGTATTTCGGCACGGGACTGACAGGTGCAATCGTAAGGGTAGCGTAGAACGATCTACAGTATCAGCGATCGCAAGGTCGGACGGACCCAAGCGGTACGTACGCCGCGATTGATGCGATCTGCTGCAGCTGGTGTGTACACCGTGCACAACCTCGCTGAGGCTGAGCGTGTGAGCTTTGCTGTTGCATGCCTGCTGCAGAGTGCTGAAACTCCGCCAGACATTCGTCCTTCGGCGTGTACTCTTCACACGGCCCGCTTCGTTTCTCACTCGCCTTCTGCTTTGCCTCATACGCATCTACGAGCTGGTTGCAGCGCTCGCGGCAACGGCGACCGTCGACGTCCACTTCCAAAGCTGCAGCTACATCAGCCCAAGCCTGGGTCTTCTTCCCGTAGTCTTTCCCATACGGATTTCTCGCTTGAGCTTCCTGGATCAGTTGGAAGTCAAGCTCATCCGTAAAGCGGACCATCGTTTTACGACGCTTCGTCGGTGGGGCCTCCTCCACGGGGTTGTTGTGCGTTTGGCTTGGCTTCTCCATAGTAAAGATTGCTGGGAGATTGTAAAATGCTTACCCGTATCTCCTCAAGTACCAACGTGTACAGGGCGTTCTAGACGAGTCGAGCACAACTTGTAGACACACGTCTCTATAGAGGGGTAGGGAATGTATTGTCGCTAACTCCCACAAGTTGCTTTGCGAAACCTCTCGGGTGCGCGTACTATAGGAATACTTCAACTACATGCGTGCAAGTAGCCGAGTGTTGTGTCCACCACCGTGGATGCGTGTACTTGTACTGTAGCCAGGGACGCTTGAGGAGGACAGAAGACAGAACTGCAACAAGTAAGCTTGCCGTAGCTACGAACCATTTCTTTATATACAAATATCAAGAGGTTAACGGATACTTAGTCCTCCGCATTGATTTCCAAGAGAACGATCATAACTGGCCCAGCAACAATCGTTCTCTTGGAAATGCTGGGGGTGCTGGGGGCTGCACGATACACGTCTCTGGGGCGCAGAACGTGACCACCGATGGGAAAAGACCTATCCATTGCTTGCGGCTACGACCCCAACATCAACTTGCCATCCTACAGTACTGACCTGCTTTGGAGCAGGTCTGGCATATCGATCTTGAAGACGCACACAGGAAGATGATTATTTTTCTCGATTGGTCGTGATACTGCTTTCTGGCAGGCATTCAGATGGCAAAAGTAATCCTCAGGCCATCCGGAGATCCAACGGAGTGGCAGATTGCTTGCTGTTGACTTCAACTTGGCAGCGGAAACATCGACGCGTGCTAGTCCGCTCAGTGCATAGAGATCCGCAAAAAATAGCAACTGCAAACGCGAAATAGAGAGAAAGAGAAGATATTATCTTCTTTCTATGGACTTGTCCTTACCACCTTAGATCAAGATTTCGCAGACACCACAGACACCACCCCTGCCTCCGCTCCGATAAGAGCAGCTACTGTATCGCAGCGATGGAAGCTTCTTCACATTTCGGTTGAAATTGATCTGCGTGTGTCCGAACTGCTCGCACGGCAATCTACAAGCGAAATATTTTATCGCCGACAGCATCGGCACACGCGCATGGGTCCGTTCTTGCCTGGCAGTAAGCTGTTGCTGAGATCGTGCTGTGGGTTCGTCGACGTAGCTGACCCCACCGGGTCGTACTGGTATGACTTTTTCCCGTTCACCCAGACACTCTCCACGAGGTCACGTGACACAAGCGCTGCATGATCTTGAGTCACGTCTCGTCGGAGAACCACAAAATCAGCTCGGAAACCTGGAGCGATCTCGCCGAGAGCGTCTTCTTCCATTGCCGCAAATGCACCACCCTTAGTGTACAGCGCCAGAGCTTGGTCAAATGAGAGCTGCTCTTCTGGCAAAAATACGTCCTGGGGCTGGTTGGGCTTGTAGCGGTAGATGGCGTCGTAGATGCCTTGAAACGGATTGCACGTCTCGATGGGCGCATCGCTTCCTCCTGCGCACACGACGTCGTTCTCCAGCATCCGCTTCCAACAGTATGAAAAGGGAATGACGTCGTCTTCCAAGCGCTTGCGCACATAAGCGGCGTCCGTCACAGTGAAGGATGGCTGGATGTCGCCGATAACGCCTTGATGACGCATCTGGGAGATCAGATCTTCACCAAGGATCTGGCAGTGCGTGAGAATGGGGCGTTTCTCCGGCCCAACATTGGCGGCCCTGAGGGCTGTCAGAACTTGCTCTGCAGCGCGATCACCTGAAGTGTAGTGTTTCGTCAGATAAATGCTTCATGCAGTTATTATTGCAGACTATAACCCCAAGAGAGCGTACCAATGGCGTGGATTTCGACGCGGTAACCAGCATCGGTCGCATCGGCAATCTTTTTAATGAGTTCTTCATCTGAATTCATGAGGATTCCCTTGTTGCTCGTGCCCTTGTACGGAATGCGCAATGCCGCTGTTTCCTGGTAACATAACGACAAAAGATGAGCACCTTCGTATTTGTGTGCGTTTTCAGCCTTACCGCTCCCAGGCTGCCATCGCTGAAAATCTTCATGCGGTGGCACGACAGTAGTCCGCTGCAATCACCAGGCTTCGGCGTCGTAGGCTTTCCCAGTTCGTGGATCGACGGTGTCAGGTACACACGAACAGGCAGTCCCTCTTCCTCTTGCAGCTTGGCATACACTCGCCACGCGTCCTCGTCGTTTGTATGAACAGCAGTTAGACCCGAGATCACGCATCTCGCCAACGCGTTCCTCAAGTACTGGACTCGAAGATCTGCACGATCCACAGTGAAACGACCAGTCAGTCACTCAAACCTAGAGCTCTCAACACACAACCACCGCCATTGACACGCACCCAGCGACGGCTCGTTCGCATGCTTCTCCATGATCTGCACGGCCTGCACTCATAACAAAAACACTGGTCTTTCAGTCTTCCCCCAGTCTTCAAGAATTGCATTAATCAATGAACACATTACGTCTTCTCTCAGGACGCCCGTGGCGCCCTTCTCGTCGACGTCAATGGCTCCGTGCTTGACGTTGTGACTCGTGGCCGTCAAGTCCACGCCTGCGATCTCCAGAGCTTTCGTGTTCACCACTGCAATGTGCCAGCAAGCTCGGTGCAGGATGACGGGGCGGTCCTTGATCACGGCGTCGATGTCGCGGCGACTCGGGTACCGCGCGCTGCTAGAGAGCTCGTCCTGCGCCCAGCCGATGCCGACGACCCACGCCTTGTCCGGGTACCGGGCGTCGTAGCTCCTCAGCCGCGCCTGGAACTCGTCGAACGACGTGCAGCCCGACAGATCGAGCCACTCGGCGCTCTCCCCCAGCATCGACACGTGGATGTGCGCGTCGTGCAGTCCCGGCAGCACCAGTGCCCCGTGTAGATCCTCCGTCTCGTTGGCGGGGGGAGCAGCGCCGCTGCCCACTGCGGCGATGCGGCCGCCCTCCGACACCGTCATCCACTCGGCGAACGGCCCCGCGACGGAGCTCGAGCCCTCCCCCCACTGCCAGATCTTGCCATTCACGAACGCCTTCACCATCGTAATCAGGTTATGCCCCCCTCATGTTACGTTTGAACGAGCAACTTTACGTCTTCAATTTGGTGCAGTTATTTGAAGACAAACAAGATGACATGGGTCCACGAGTTTACCGATGCCGAGTTCGCAGCAGCCGACGACGCATCTCTTGTGTGAAGCCAAGGAAAATATTCGGACACATTATGAAAGACGGATGTCACCGTTCACGTTGTCCTCTTCGGGGTGTCGAATGCGTCGTGGAGCCGGAATGAGGAAGACGACAAGCTGCCCTGGGGGGGGGGCGGCGCTGCACGACTGATAGATTCTCGGCGCACTACCGGTAGTCGTGTGCATACCATTGTGCAAGTCTGTAGCCTGGTATCTTGGTCATTGTATTGTTGCACGTGGCGCTTGCGACCAATACTGTGGATCGCTACATTCGAGACGGAGCCCACGCACAGGTCGATGTCGGGTTGTATAACTATCTTCGGCAAAGTGGAGTTGTTTTCGCTTGCTACTGCACAACCCCACCCGATTACATTCCCAGTAGGTTGCTACAGTAGTTGTGCGTTTTGCAGACTCTGCATGTTCAACGAGCGGCTCTCCAACAACTCACTGCCGCATCACCTCGACATCCCAGAGGGACCACCACAGAGCAGTACTTTGCGTCGCCTGTGCGGCAAGTGCAGAAGTGAAGATAGCCAAGCGAAAAATACCGGGAGAATGGTCGTCATGACGGACTTAGGGGGGGGGATCCCACGGTTTGCCGTGGCTCGCACAGCATAGCTGCCAGCTGTAAAGGTTAACCAGCGTACGACCTGTAGTGTGAGGTGGTTATTCAAGCCATGCTCACACACATTGGGGTCTTGCAGTGCATTACCCCAGCTGGCATGGACTACGTGAAGAGTCAACTAGGAGTTGGGGAGAACTATCTGTAGAAGAGAACAATCCGTAGAAGAGCAGAAATCTAGAAGTAGACACTGACAGGCATGAGCGCTGGGGCAAGCATGCTATGATTCCCCACTTTTGAATCTACTCGGCGATCAACACTTTAGGAAGTGCCAGCTTCCCTATCACAGTGTTCAAGTTATTTTCTTAAGCGGAACGCGTTACAAAGTCGACTTTAGTGGGATTCGTTTCACTGAAGAAGATGGAGCCAGGACCCAGCAAGGAGAAGATCCCGATGAAGGAACGAGAGTACGATGGTGCTCACCCAATCTTCACGCCGGTGCTGGCCCCTAAAATCACGTCGACCTCGCACGCCGCCCTTGTCCAGTGGCGCAAGGAACGGAAGGTCTATGAAGACATCATGAGAGCGCGCTGCCAGACCTCGGGAGAGGACTACGCTGCGGTGACGAGATCCGTGAAGGATTCTTTCGATCGGAAGCTGCTAGAGACATGGTGTCGGCTCCGGTGGCAAGTTGCAGTGACTGAAGTCGATGACGACAGACTGCGTAGCGAGATCGACAACATTATCAACTCCGTGAAGAACCACACTCTGCCCGACGTGCAAGCTCTGTTCAAGAAAGAGTTGCATTTCAACCTGAAGGCGAGTGACGTTAGCGAGCGAGTGCTGCAATATTTCATCTCCTGCGAGCGCATAATTGAAGAACACGGCCTGCATGCCTGTTTTGAGTCGGAAACCGGGCGGAAAGAAAAATGCAGTTTGCTGGTCAACTCGATTACCCCGGAAGGATTGAAGGAGGAGGTGAAAAACGCCTTGCGGTACCAATCGCCTGGAGCCAAGACGGATGAGTGCAAGTTGCACGATGTGATACTGGCCAAGGCACTTGAGCAGGACCGAGACTTTCGGCGATCAAAGAAGAAGAGGGTCTCGGATGATGTTCAAACGCCACGTCAGACACACGAGCGCGGCGGAAAGAAGGCCAAGCTCAGAGCCGAGTCTGGCGTGCACGGACAGCGAAAAAACCATGACTCACGCAAGAAAGAAGGTGCTCCTGCGCGAAATCAACCACGTCCGGAGGCAAAAGGAAAACCTACTGCTACCGCACCGAAGAAAGGATGCCTAAAATGCGGAGGACCTCATTGGTTTTCTAAGTGCCCTGAAGCCAGTGACGCTGAGAAGCGAGAATTGCCGAAGCAGTTCTACAAGAACAAGGACAAAGCGTCCAGCGATGTGAACATGAAGCGACTTCGCGAGGAAAACTGAAATAAGGCGGGCACCGTTCTGCTGAATGGTGTCCTCCGAAAGCCTTACTGCGCAGATACTGGGTCGAGTCGGTGTCTCATCAACGTCAAGACGCTAGCAGAGCTCAACGCAGTAATGGGGAAAGAGATCTCGATAAGGAAACGGGAAAAACCGATCAAGGGCCGTGCAGTTGGGGGGCATTGGGTCGAGGCTGTGAAAGCTGTAGACCTGGTCATCCAAATTGGCACAGCCGCTGGCATCGTTGAACACCAGAAACCTGTCGAGTGTCTGCTAATTGAAGATGATGATGATGAATTTATCGTGGGTAAGGACTTGTTGAAGTCATTGGGAATTGATGTGGACAGGTTGCTGGAGCAACTTGCACAACCTCAAGTCAACGACGACTGTGATCCATACGACAGCGTTGGCGATAAAAGAACTGAGCATCCAGATCTGGCAGAGATCATGGAGCAGTTGATCAAATTGGTTGACGATGCGGTAAAAGCGGGTTTCCCCGTAGCATATCGGCATCAATTGGAAGAATTAGTGAGGAAACACGATATTTGGCGCATCGATCTCCGGAATGACCCTCCTGCGAGAGTACCGGCTTACGAGATTCGATTGAAGAAGGGTGCAAAGCCGTACAGATGTAAGCCAAGGAAATACTCACCAGCCCAAAGCAAGTTCATGAGAGAGTTCAACGACAAGCTTGTGAAGCTGGGTTGGGTATACCGGAACCAGGCCAGTCGATGGGCGTGTCCTGCGCTACCAGTGAGAAAGCCGGGAACGGAGGATTTTCGACAGACAAGCGACTACAAGCCTTTGAACGCTTTGACTGAGCCTATCGCCGGAGTCATGCCAAATCTCGATGCAAAGCTGCAACATGCCAGGCACAAGAAGCACTATGGACTTTTCGATTTCATTAAGGGATTTTGGCAACTACCGCTGGCTGAGTCGAGTCAAGAGATGCTATCCTACGCGACCGACGAGGGCGTCTTCACACCAACTCGAGTACCTCAGGGTAGTTGCGATGCGGCCTTGCATTTTCAGGCTACAATGGAGAAATGCTTTGCTGAGCTGGTCTACAAGTCTCTGCTGATCTGGATTGATGATCTGCTCCTGTTTGCAGACACCATCGAGGAATATCTGGCGGCACTGGAGACTTTGTTTGACACTATGGATCACTATGGGTTGAAGTTCAGTGTAATGAAGACTTGTTTGTACCAGCAGTCAGTGACCTCGTGCGGCAAAGTAATTTCAGAGAACGGCATCACGCATGATCCCAGACGGATCAATGCTCTGTCGAACATGCCTCCACCGTCCACGGCAGGTGAACTACAGCAATTTATCTGTGCATCTAATTGGATGCGCGATAGTTTGATCGACTACGCCCGAACTATACAGCCACTACAGCAATGCTTGGATCGAGCGCTCGAGGGAAAACGAAAGACCAAGCGAGTCGCGGCTGGTATTGCGCTGCAGCTGAACGAGTCGGAGCTCGTGAGTTTCGACTGTAAAGAAGCTGTTGGCGAACTCATCAACGCTAGCCCATCCGAAAGACAGCGCAGCCTTCGCATTAGTTTGTGATGCGTCGGATGTTGGATGGTCGGCCATTTTGACTCAAGTGGAGAGCTGGGATGACGCAAAGCCTGTGACTGAGCAAAACCACGAGCTTTTGATCTGCAAAGGAGGGACTTTTACAGGCGCGCAGCTACACTGGTCGGTCACGGAGAAAGAGTTGTTTCAGCGTGTGACGACTTGAACTACCTGTTGCTGCGGCCTGGGGGCTTTAAAATCTTTTGCGACTATCGCAATTTGATTTACATGTTTGCACCACACCCGGAAACGAAGAAGCATGTACGAGGGAAATTGCTTCGATGGTCACTCAAATTGACGGAGTATCGCTACACTATCGCACATATAGAGGGTGAGCAGAACGTCTGGGCTGATTTAGTTTCTCGCTGGGGTGGTGCGCCGCCTACATCAGTGATGAGGTTCAAGCGAGTGACGCGCATGCAGACGCAGGCAGAAAAACGACCATTGTTGAGACTTGACAAAGACTCGTTCGTCTGGCCAACACTAAACGAGATTGCCGCCACGCAAAAAGCTCATCTACAAGACAGACCAGAGGCCTGCACGCAAGGCGACGATGGAGTGTACCGATCCGACGGCAAGATCTGGGTGCCGGAAGGAGCAAGTGGCTTCATCCAGAGACTGGTTATCGTGTCACACTGCGGTCCTCAAGGTCATCGAGGTGAGGCAGTGATGCTAAACCATATCAAGCGAATCTTTAAATTCAAGGAGATGGCGCAAAGGGCTCGGCGGTTCCTGAAGAGCTGTCTGCTCTGCGATCATGTAAAGGGTGGAGGAGTGATACCACGTCCATGGGGACCTTGTTTTCGCTCGGACGTTCGCAATGGAGCTATCAACTGGGATTTTCTTTTTCTAGGGGAGAGTTTCGGAACAAGCAAGTACCTGCTGATTATCAAAGACAACTTCAGCCATTTTTGTGAGCTCATACCTTGCGATGCGCCGACCGGTCCAGCAGCTGCAGAGGCAATGATGTGGTGGCACAGTCGCTACGGAGTGCCCAAAACATGGGTCAGTGACAACGCTACGCATTTCAAGAACCAGGTGTTGGCTCTACTTAGCAAGTTCATGAAGGCGAAGCAGGAGTTCGTCGTGGCATACAGCCCGTGGTTGAACGGCTCTGTAGAGCGCGTGAACCGCGATGTTTTGCAGGTGCTGCGAGCAATGATACTAGAGTACTCACTCTCATACCAAGACTAGGTTCATCTAATCCCGCTCGTCCAAGCTAATCTCAATCACTCACCGGTGCCGTCGCTGGCAGGAAGAGCTCTTCACGGGGCTGCCATGCCCAAGTCCGATATCGACCATTTTCGTCCCTGGTTATGCTCCTATCAGTGTGGACACCTCGAGGCAGACCATGGAGGAGTCTTTGGCAGCATTGAGGAGCAGCATTGAGAAGATGCATCAAGAGGTGACAGACCAACGTGAACGGCGGACGTTGTTGAACAAGAAACGTGCCGAAGGCTATCAGATGGTGAACTTTTCTATCGGAGACTATGTGCTGAGATCTCGCGTAGATGAAAAGAACCAGAACAAACTCCTCGTGACGTGGGTCGGCCCTTACGTCGTAACGAAGTGCAACGCCCATTCGTTCACAGTCAAGCATCTCGTCACCGGGAGGGAGAGCAACGTGCATGCCTCCCGGTTGAAGTTCTTCGCAGAGTGCGATCTGGAGGTGACTGAAGAGCTGCGTGAGCATATCGCAGCCCAAGGCATCGTGCTAAAGGTGGAGGCTATTCACCAGCACCGTTGGAATGAAGACATGCACGACTATCAGCTGGCCATCAGCTGGGAAGGTCTTGAGGCTATTGAGGACTCCTGGGAGCCTTTGAAGGTCATGCATCAAGACGTAAAGGTGTTAGTTGACGCCTACGTCGATAGAGCAAAGGATGAAAAGCTCACGACGTACTACAATTTGCTGAAAGCGTGATTTGGCGGCAGTGCAGTGCACTAGCAGCCGAGCCGCTGGATAGCATCGCGACTAGAGTACACAGTGTGTGCTAGAGTCATGTCTGAGACTAAGTAACCACGTAGGTGCTTAAGTCGTTGACGTTGCATATAGTTATGCAAGCTAAACAAGATACTTTGTTGGCATGAACTGTGGTCAGTTGGCCGCATGTTAGCTTATATCTCTATGGTGGCAGTGCAACCTAAGAGACTTCCCAGAGAGCTTTTGAGTGAACATGGCTTGGGAGGGAATTGTAGTGTGAGGTGGTTATTCAAGCCATGCTCACACACATTGGGGTCTTGCAGTGCATTACCCCAGCTGGCATGGACTACGTGAAGAGTCAACTAGGAGTTGGGGAGAACTATCTGTAGAAGAGAACAATCCGTAGAAGAGCAGAAATCTAGAAGTAGACACTGACAGGCATGAGCGCTGGGGCAAGCATGCTATGATTCCCCACTTTTGAATCTACTCGGCGATCAACACTTTAGGAAGTGCCAGCTTCCCTATCACAGTGTTCAAGTTATTTTCTTAAGCGGAACGCGTTACAGACCCCAGCCGAAGCGCAGCGACACTGGACGCGAACCCGCAGCATCGCGCTGTCTTCGTGGGATTGCCCTTGACGCTAAAATTGCAGAACGCGCTTTCCGAATCGGAAATGGCGCTGGCACCTCAGACCTCCACAAGAGCAACGGATGCACATTCGACACAGGAGGCCAGGGTGCTTGCACCTCAACAAAGGCAACGTCAACCCGCTGCAGCAGCATGAAGCGCAATGGGATGAACGGCAACGGTTGGCCCGGTACGTCCCACTTGACCCAGCAACGTAGCGTAGCAGAAGTTAAAAGAGCGAGGAAGCCTCGTCAACACCACCGCGCTCATACGAAGCTCCACCTTCCCTCATCGTGTGTGTCTAGCTGTCCACGCGGATCCGCGAGAAACCCGAAGTGAAGCGCAAAGCAGGACTTGCGGCCAGCAGCTCCCGTCGGGCCGTCTCACGTCCGTTGCAAGATACGCGCCACGTACCCCCGAAGCGTCACGGCCGTGATGACGCGCAGCGGTGCTTTACCCCTCTACTTTGCATACGCTGGCACCAGGAGCGTTTCTATGGGGTCCCCACTGTCGCATCGGAATCTGAGGCCAGCACCAAGCAGCAAAGCTGGAGCGCGCCAATCGCGGAGCGCAGCGACCAACATTGCCGGGGCTCGCCTCGCGAGGACCGTCGGACGTGCCGGGTGAGAACGCGACAACAACCGGACGCTGCCTTGGGGACCATTCGCTGGATGCGAAAACACCTCGGCGAACTCCATCATGGAGCTCCAGGTCGATGGAGCTCCAGGCCGGGGACTTGGCGTTTAGCAAGCGCTTTTCGCTAGTGCTCCAGTTTGAAGTTGGGATGCATCCAATCGGGCGATTGGAAGCTCCGATGTGCTGCAAGTGCTGCTGCCGTCGAGGTCCAATCCGGGGTTTGGACGTTCGCCGACGTTTTGAGCCCAAGCAGCACTCGGATAGGGGAAGCTGTTGTTGTTGTTGTTGCTGCTGCTGCCGCTGCTGCTGCTGCTCAGGCTCAAAATTCGCCCGGGATCGTCGGCGAGAGAGCGGCCTCGAACCCTGCACGACGAGGACGATGGGGAACTCGACCCGTGCTGTAGTTGAATGCTCACTGGGCAAACGTCAGGCGCTGGTTCGTTCCGTCCTCCAAAGCTGCTGCAACACTGAAGAGATTGCCGCCGTATCCATCCTTTCCGTAGTAAAGTGAACGGAGGTGTTGATCGGCGTCAACTTTCTTGTAACTATGCCGCGTTTGATCGGTGCCTCAGCGCATGCACCATGCATCAAAGGACCACGGTCGTAGCTAGATAGATTTAACGCCCGGCCCCGCCTCAGCCGGCGCTGCTGACTGCGTTCAACAAGACCACACACCAGGAAGCTCAAATCCTTGCCCACGTCTGTGGTCAGTACCGCGCAAAATGCCGGCGTATGGCTGGAAAAGGCTCGGCTCGGGTTGCTGGGTATGCGTCACACTGGAGCAACAACAGCAACAACAGCATGATCGCTTCACCCCTCCAGCTCGCATACTTGGACCGCCAGAATCTATTTTCGGCCAATTGCCGACGGGATCCCCTCCGATTGGCCATTTCGCTTGTAGGGTGTGGCCCTTTGGGTGTGTGACGTGCACGCAGGCGGACGTGAGGGTTTCATTGCGGAATTCCCGAGCTCGCGCCCAAGTGGCCCAAGAAGAAGCAGAAGCCCCGAAGCATGTGGCGCCGCTCGCTGTCGCTGCGCTCGCAGCTCAAGACGTTCCCGCGCCGGTCGGCCGCGCACTCGCGCTGGCTCTCGTCCGCCGCGCTCACGCCCGAGGACCAGGAGATGCTCAACGAGCCGCGCGAGGGCATGGACTACGACGTGCTGCTGGTGAGAGAGCTGTGTGGATACAGAGTGATGGTCGCTGGCATCTATTAATAGATAGACTCACGCTTTATATGACGAACTCCATCAAGGTCGGCGCCGGCCCCGCGAGTCTCGCGGCCGCGATCCGCATGAAGCAGCTCTCGGCCGAGAAGGGCACGGACCTGTCCGTGTGCGTGGTCGAGAAGGGCGCCGAGGTGGGCTCGCACATCGTGTCAGGCAACGTGTTCGAGCCGCGCGCGCTGGACGAGCTGCTGCCCAACTGGAAGGAGCTGGGCGCGCCGCTGGACACGCCCGTGACCAAGGACCAGTTCCTGCTGCTCACGGAGGACAAGTCTCTGGGGTTGCCCCACTTCCTGCTGCCCCAGGAGGAGGTGAGCGTTGCGTCCGTTTCTCTTTTCTTTTGCGTGTTCTGGTGGTTGCGGATGCAGCAGACGCGAAATATCTTGGACTAACAATGCGTATCTTTTCCTCTGGGATTTGCCAACCCTTAGCACAACGACGGCAACTTCATCATCAGCCTCAGCAAGTTCGTGCGATGGATGGGCGAGCAGGCCGAGGAGGCCGGCGTCGAGATCTACCCGGGCTTCTCGGCCTCGGAGGTGATCTACCGCGAGGACGGCTCGGTGGGCGGCGTTGCGACCCGCGACGTCGGCATCGGCAAGGACGGCAAGCCCAAGGGCACCTTCGCTCGCGGCATGGAGCTGCGTGCGCGTGTGGTACGTTTGCCGCTGGAGTGAGATGGAGCTACAGGGTTGAACTTTGTGCTAATGGTTGCTTATTGCTATTGCAGACGCTCTTTGGTGAGGGTTGCCGCGGCTCGTGCAGTGAGGAGGTGATGGAGAAGTTCAACCTGCGCGAAGGCGTCCAGCCGCAGACGTACGGCATTGGTGTGAAGGAGGTGTGGCGCATCCCCAAGGAGAAGCACCAGGCTGGCCTCGTGCAGCACACGCTGGGCTGGCCGCTCCAGCGCTCGCTGATGGACAAGACCTTCGGTGGATCGTTCATGTACCACATGGAGGACGACCTCGTGCAGATTGGTGTGGTCGTTGGTCTGGACTACGAGAACCCGTACATCAACCCGTACGAGGAGTTCCAGCGCTTTAAGACGCACCCGGCCATCCGGAAGTACCTGGAGGGCGGTGAGTGTGTGCAGTACGGTGCTCGTTGCCTGAACGAGGGCGGCTACCACGCTATCCCGAAGTTGACTTTCCCTGGCGGTGGTCTGATCGGTTGCTCGGCTGGTTTCCTGAACGGCGTGAAGATCAAGGGCACGCACACTGCTATGAAGTCGGGTATGCTGGCTGCTGAGGCTGCGTACGAGGCTTTGACTGCCACTGGCGCCGAGCCTGTGGCTGAGACGGCGGAAATCAACCCTGAAGAGCCCGCGATTGACATCTCGAGCTACGAGGGTGCTGTGGAATCGTCGTGGATTGCTGAGGAGCTGAAGGCTGTTCGCAACGTTCACGCTGGTTTCCACAAGGGCTTCCTGCCTGGTCTGCTGCACGCTGGAGTGGCGACGCACGTCCTCAGAGGAAAGGAGCCGTGGACCATTCCAAACACCGTTGCGGACTCGGCGAAGACGCGCCCGGCCAAGGAGTTCACGCCCATCGACTACCCCAAGCCGGATGGCAAGCTGACGTTCGACTTGCTCTCGAATCTGCAGCGCAGCGGCACCAACCACAACCACGACCAGCCTGCGCACTTGCGGATCAAGCCGGAGCTCGCGGAGGTCCCCTCAAAGGAGTCGTTCCCCGTGTACGCTGGCCCGGAGCAGCGGTTCTGCCCTGCCCGCGTCTACGAGTACACGGATGGCAGCGAGGCCAACGGCGTCCCGCAGCTTGTGATCAACGCTCAGAACTGCGTCCACTGCAAGTGCTGCTCCATCAAAATGCCGAAGGAGTACATCAAGTGGACCGTGCCCGAAGGCGGAGGTGGCCCTGCCTAGTAAGTTTCTCTCTGCTGTTACTGTGTTGCATGGCGCCGAGCACCCTGACTAACTTTACCCCTTTTGTGTCTTCTTGTGCCTGTGCAGCGAGCTCATGTAAGGACCTCTTCGAGAGTACTTTGGTCATACATAGTCGCCCGGGGCTGTAGTAAATATTCAATCAATGATACACGATACCGGTTGGTACAAACTAGACAACGAAGAGCTCGTCCATCCTGCCTGCAGGCATTGCGATCCAGCGCAGCAGCACTTCAACATGAAATTGACAAGAAACGATTCCACGTCACTCTTTCGAATCAACAACATCCTCAACTTTTTTGCATTTTTTGATGTGCGGCGGGCAGCTCACTTCGCGATTGTATCATTCGCCGGCCATGCTGCGGCTGCGTCGCTCCATCGCGCGCCCGCGCAGCAGCCTCTGCGCGCGGCTGCAGTCGTCCGCGTCATCCGCGTCGTCCTCGCCGGCCAGGCCCAGCCAGACCTTCATCACCACGCCCATCTTCTACGTGAACGCGGCGCCGCACATCGGCCACGTGCACTCGGCCGTGCTGGCGGACGCGCTGTCGCGCTGGTTCAAGGTCAAGCGGCACGACGTGCTGTTCACGACGGGCACGGACGAGCACGGGCTCAAGGTGCAGGAGGCGGCGGAAAAGAGCGGCACGACGGACTACAAGGCCTTCTGCGACGAGGTGTCGTCGCGCTTCAACGCCATCTTCGACGAGGCCAACGTGGACTGCTCGCGCTTCATCCGCACGAGCGACGAGGACCACCACGAGGCCGTGGCCGCCTTCTGGAGGACCATCCGCGACAACGAACACATCTACCTGGGCAACCACGAGTCGTGGTACTGCAAGTCGGACGAGAGCTTCCTCACGGAGATGCAGGTGGAGGACAGGGAGGAGGCCGACGGGACGGTGATTAAAGTGTCCAAGGAGAGTGGACACCCCGTCGAGATGCTGCGCGAGGAGAACTACAAGTTCCGTCTCTCGGCCTTCCAGGGCCGACTGTTGCAGTGGCTGGACGAGAACCCGGACGTGATCGTGCCCAAGTCCAGGTACAACGAAGTGCGTGCGGCGGTGACCAGCGGACTGAGGGACTTGTCGGTCTCACGCTTGAGCGAGAAGATCCAGTGGGCAATTAAGGTCCCAGGTATTGTGGACTCTATTAGTGGTTGGGCGGGTTAGTTTTGAAGGGCTCATAGGGTTTACTGTTTGTTTTGGGTGCAGATGACGACAAGCACTGCGTCTACGTGTGGCTGGACGCGTTGACCAACTATCTGACAAGCGCTGGATACCCGGGTGACGTTGACCGCGCCTGGCCTGCGGACTATCACATCGTGGGCAAGGATATCCTGAAGTTCCACGCGATTTACTGGCCAGCTTTCCTCATGGCGGCAGGACTCCCGCTGCCGAAAAAGGTGGTGGCGCACGCGCACTGGACCGTTGGCAACGTCAAAATGTCCAAGAGTCTCGGCAATGTGGTGGACCCCCACGAGATGCTGTCCAAGTACGGATCGGACTTCGTGCGCTTCTTCTTGCTGAGAGAGGGGGTGCTCACGAACGACGGCGACTTCAACGCCGACACCCTTGAGGACCGTGTCAACAGCGAGCTCGCTGACACGCTGGGTAACCTGGTTTCTCGTAGCACCGGCAAGTCGGTTCTCGTGAAGGGAATTGTGCCGAAGCGTCCTCAGCTTGATCGCCTCACACCTGAAGACAAGGAACTTGTGGCAAAGGGCCAAGCTCTTGCCGCCAAGGTTGAGCAGCTATTCGATACGCCTGATGTACGTCTTGGAACCATGCTTTTGGTGGTGGTCTCTTGCATTTTTTAACACTGCGCTTGATGTACACTGACAGTTCGCGCGCGGTCTCGAAGAGATCGTTTTCTTCCTCCACGACGTCAACCGGTACGCTATGCCCTTCCTCGGAGGAACACCACTACAATTCTAACTCCTACTATCACTTGCTTCTCATGTCAAGATATTTCACGATCATGGAACCGTGGGTTCTGTCGAAGACCCTCAAGAACTCGGAAGATGTGACTTCCGACGAGTATAAGGCCACAAAAGCGCGTCTCGACACTATTCTGTACCTTGCTATCGATGCAGCACGTATAAGTGGTAAGTGCTCACATGGGTTTAACCTGCTGCTATGCTTATATGCCTAATGATTGTTTGTCGTGTTTTACGTAGCAATCTTGTTGCAACCTGTCGTTCCAATTGCAGCCACGAAGATCTTGGACTACCTCGCAGTGCCAGAAGATAAGCGCTCTTTGGCCGAGGCAACTCTGCTGTGCGATGATGAGCAGGTGATGGGTGCCGTGCTGAGTAACTCGAAATCGTTCGTGACGTTCCCCAAGGTGGACAAGAAGCGCAAATAAGTGTAGATGCAGTTGTCATAGCCTGACAGCGTGTGGATTGAGCTGGCATCAATAGAGACTTGACGTCACCTTGAATCTCAAGTTTTTTTTTAATCCACTCTAGAACTTAGCCTAAGATCTTCGCCAGTGCAGTTTTCTGGAGTGTCGTGAGATGGCGTGGGAAGACAATGTCGAATTTAATTCGCAGGTCACCGCGCTCGCCAGGCTGGCTGGAAATCGGCATTCCCTCCTTCTTCACAACCTTCTCAGAACTCGGGCTAACCACTTCGTTGCACGAAATCGCCAGCTTGCGGCCGTCCAGTGTTGGCACCTCCACACAGTAGTCGCCAAGTGCCTCGCTAAGCTTCAACTTGGCCGTGAACACAAGATGGGCACCGTCGCGGTTGAACAGACTGTGCTCCTGCTGCGCAACCTGGAAAATCACGTCTCCAGCTTCGTTGGTGCGAGTCTCGTTGCCCTCGCGGTCAAACGTGATCTTAGTGCCGGCCTTCCAGCCAGGCTTGATCCTTATCACGAAAGTCTTGGCGTCGTTCACCAGCTCGTCGTTCTGCAACCGCTTGCGCTCAACAACCACCGACTTGGAGGTTCCCAGGAAGAGCTCTTCCAGTGTGCACACGACTTCCTGCACAATGGGCTCGGCCTTCTCGGGGCCCTTCTTGCGCAGCGAGCTGGCAAACGGCAGCGTATCCCCGAAGCCGAAGTCCCCGAACGGATTGTTGGTACCGAAGAATTTGTTGAACACGTCTTCGGACGCACGCTCGTTGAACGCGTAGCCGTCGCGCATGTCGCCATTTTCGTCGGGCACTCCGTTCTTGAGACCGTCGTAGCCGTACTGGTCGAAGATGGCTCGGCGTTCCGGGTCGCTCAATACATCGTAAGCTTCCGAGATCTCTTGAAAACGGTATTGGGCTTCCACGAGATTGTTCTTGTTCTTGTCGGGGTGCCACTTCATCGCGAGCTTGCGGTAACTACCAACGACCAACATATCGCAACCGATTCAGTCAGTCAGTCCGTGCTCATCCACACAACCATCAACGCTGGTACTTACGCCTTCTTGATCTCCTGCTCGGTGGCACCACGCGGGACTTGCAGCAGCTCATAGTAGTCCATCTCGCTCGGCGATCGTCACGGAGAAGCTTATGAAGATCGAACACTCGTCGTTTCGAGAAATGGAGAGCAGACGGCTCGAGACGTCGGCGATCAACTAAAATTGGTGTGAACACAGCAACCACCTCGAGGCGCCTCCAGCACTGGAGGCAGTAGAAGTGATGTTTGTAGCAGATATATTACGACTGTCGGCTGTCGGCTGCAGTTTGTCAACTGTCGACTTGCTCTGACACGCATTTATTCTGGAAGAACTAGAAGTCGCGGTAGAGCATGAGCATACCGTCTAGGTGGATAATGGCACGGTCGAGACGGTCGAGCGAGCGGCTGAGCTTGTCGAACTTGTCGAGATCGTTGGCTTCAACCAGTTGCTCCGACCGAGCGATGAGCTCCTTGTTCTCCTCCGCCTCGAACTTACGCCGGCGGCGGAGGCGACACAGCGAGTCCTGCACGCGCTCCGTGATCCGCGCCTGCATCTGCGGTACGTCCACGGACCAACAGAAGAATGTGAATGCGGGGTTGTGGTCTGCACGCTTCGGAATTTCCTGCATTTTCAGCAGCTTATCCGTGTACAGCTCGTACAGCCGATGCCGCGCGTCGTTGGACGGCAGCAGCGCCAGCTCGCCGATAGTTTTCTGCTCTAATTGGCGCTTCTCCATCAGCAGGCGCACGATACGAGCGCTCGCGACGCCATACTTGTCCTGGATGTACGCGTGGGTGGTGGCCTGCTGCAGGAACTCCACAATCTTCTGCATGTGCACCACGTACTGGCCGCCGTCACCTGCACGCGTCTGGGTGGGGTCGAACGCCTCCTGCGCCACCTTCATCACCATTCCTGACTTGTCACGGCACATGACCATGATGTAGTTGAGAAGCAGGCGCCATGGGTTGTTAGCCTCAGGAGGCAGGGCCTTCTTCACACTCTCCATGTCAAACAAATCGCGCGCCGACACGGGGAACGAAGTGGGCTCGTCCTTTTCGCGCTCGCGCGGCGACGAGTGCTGCAGCATCGCCGCCACGATGACACCAGCCACAGCGTTGATGTTCTCCGTCGCAAACCTAATGCAAGCCTTGTGCCGCAGATCGCGCAGGAGCTGCGTCACGCCAAAGCGCCACACGAGCGAGCGCTCGTCGGTGTGCGCGCCCGAGCCGTCCGGCGCATCCTCGCCGCTGGTCTCACCACCGGTAGTGCCATCTCCAGACGACGTACCACGACTGGGAAGCTTGGCGCGCTTCGAGTTTTTCTTCCGCTTATTGCCACGTCCAGACGAGGTAGAAGAACTGGCAGAGCTGGGTTCCCACTCGGCCTCCGAATCATCCTTTTCCTTACGAGCCGCCTCGTCCGCGTCCAGCATCATCTGCAGCTCCACCGGAATCGCATTACCTGAGGACGGTGCCGGCGCCTTCCGCTTCTTTCCACGCACTGTGATTCCGTCCTCGTCGGCAGCTTTACCATTTTTGTTCACGCCGTTTGCGCTTAACGCGCTTCCAGCCTCCGCATTGGACGCGGCAGCAGCAGCCGATTTGCTGTTCAAGTTGCTGGTGGCGCCCTTCTCATGTCCGCGCATGATGCAGGCCGGGAACTCCGGCGCCTCCTCCGGCTCCGCCACCTTTAGGTCGAGTGGGTGCACGCGCGAGATGTAGCGCTTCTTGGCCATCTCCACGAACGTCTCGCGCACGAGGTGGCGGCACTCGTCCAGCTCCTCCTCGCCGATCTCCTCGTCCTCGGCGGCTGCAGCCTGCTCTGCGTCGGCCTCCTGCGCCGTCTGCTTCTGCTCCTGGCGCCGCTGCTCCGCCAAGTTGTAGGCCATCGTCTCCAGCGACTGGTCCATGCGCACGCGGCCCTGCACCAGCATCTCCTCCATCACCACTTCGCCCTGCACGCCGAACGTCTCCTTGGCCAGCTCGATGAACTTGGGGAACCGCAGCCGGTACAGCGCCTCCTGCACGTTGATCTGCCCCATTGCAACACAACAAGATCAACGTCAGCACAACAATAACAATAACAATAATGCGCCACTCGTACGTTGTAGGCGACAGTGGGCGCGCCGCCGCGAGCGCCAGCCACGGGCGTCACGTCCAGCACGTTGTGCTGCAGCAGCTTGAGCAGCGCGCACTTGATCTGCACAGGCAATTAATTGCAAAAACACATAAACAGTTAGCAATTAATTATGCATGCAATTGCAATTATGGCGGGTGCCCGCCTGAGTCGCCAGCGCAACGCAACGCACCTCGTGCACGGACGGCGGCGAGGCCGCGGAGCTGCGGCGCTGCAGCTTGTGGGCGAGCTCGGCCAGGCGCAGGCCCTCGGAGCGCAGCAGCGCCTCGGCCACGCGCTCCGCCACGTCGCCGAAGTCCTCGCGCACGATGCTCAGCACCAGCGCGCGCTCGGAGCGCGAGGCGAACGCCGCCTTCCTCTCGGTCGAAGCCATTTGTCCGCAAATGTGGCAATTGTCCGCCATCCAACGCCCGTTAGATCGGAGATGTTGCGCCAGTGTCGTTTGTTGTGTGCACCACACCAACACTAAATATCGAGAAATCTACGTGTAACATTCCTACGACCTCCTACTCAGGAATTCATTACATGTAGTAAAAAAAATACTAATAGCAACAACTAACACACAAATGGCGGGCGAAGATGCGAGCCGCAAGCGGCCGGCGGCCGACGGCTCCGACTCGGACGAGCGCGACAACTCGGAGCCGTCCCAGACGGAGATGGAGGAGCAGCTCTGCGCGCACGCGGCCGAGGCGCTCAATCACTTCATCCGCAGCCACCACATCGCCGCCAGCGTACGCGTTGATTGGCTCGCGGCATTGCAGTTGATCATCGACGTAATTTATTTTTTGACGCAGTAATTTATTTTTCGTTGTCGATATGACTAGACGGAGGTGGCGCGCAACCGACTCAAGAACTCGCTGTACCTGATCGAGCAGCGGCGGCGACGCAAAGAATACCCGGCACGGGCCAGCGAGGTGTTCCATGAAGCCATGCAAGGCTTTGGAGTCGTGCAGAGTGAGTGAGGTGTCGTTGACATATTATTCTAAATGAGAGTATGATGTACTAATATTTATCTTGTTTATTGCAGCGTCGGAGCTGCCGGTGTCTCCGGACCGCCGCGTGAAGCACACGATCAGGATCCAGCTGAGCAATCCCAGCGAGATGCTGGTCAAGCGCGCCGTGATTCTGCCGAAGGTGCCGCCGATCCCAACCGCCACCATGTGGACGGCGCTCGCCAAGAACTACGAGGTGGAGGACGAGCCGCAGCTCAAGTTCCTGCCCTACTTTGGCGACGACGACGAAGAGGACGTCGTGTCCGAGTTCTACCAGATCAAGTGAGAGTTTATATTTTGCCTTGGGAGCGATATTTGCATCGGACCTGACGGGGATACTTTGTCTTGACTTTAGACAGCAACGGACGAGTGCGTGTGAAGTCGAGTTTACCAAGGAAATGTGTGAGGCCGTGCTGAAGACACTTCAGTCCACGTGGGACCTCACGCCGAGTGATCTCAAGCGCGTGGCCAACGTTATTCAAGTGGAAGAGGAGGTCGGGCAGCTTGTCTTCGTGTTGCGTAGAGTATGCGCTGGACTGGTCTATTCACTTGCTGTCGTTATTTGTCAAGTAGGTGCTAGTTGAGGTGCACAAGAACTTGCGCTTGATGCAGCGCGCAGCGAAGAAGAAACGGCGCACAGAAGCGATGGCCGCTGCAAACGGGCACAGAAATTTGACTCCTACTGGTGAAGAAAATGGATCCAAGGACGAGCTTCAAGATTCTGCCGACGAGCCCAATATCTCAATGGAGAATTACTTCGAGCTCTACGAAAAGTCCGCTGATTCGTTTCGCAGTACGTGCTCTTTATCGTGGGGTTGACTTCGCAATTTAAACTGTAGCACTGACCATTGCGTGTGCTGTGTTCTGGGTGCAGGTCTTTTCTGTCGACGTTGTTTTGTGTACGACTGCGACTACCATGGGTGTCTCGAGCAGCCAAAACTGGTAAGAATGTATTAGACGAAAACTTTTGTATTCGAAACTCATACTCTGTGTGCTGCGATCTACAGAGCATTGCAGAGCAAAATGCCGTTGCGCTCAACTTGAAGGAGAAGGACACGTTGATAAACAGAGGACGGAACTGCGGCAACGATTGCTTCCTGGGCCGAACAAGGTCTTCGAGCGTGAACGGATTCTCGAAAGCTCGTGCCATTTCTGCCACGTTCGGGTGGAACAAGAAAACGCGTATTATATGTGCGCGAGCCTACTTCCTCTGCTCAGGCAATTTCTGCGAAATGGCCAAAATACTCGGTGACAAGACCTGCATGGAAGTGTCGGAGTTGTGCGAGTACTACGACATCAACGACCGCACCTTACCAAAAGAGGTACGCCCAGGAGAAGGCGGTCTTTGTCAGCGCAAAACTAATTGTTCTTTTACTTGTGCACTGCGTAATAGGTCCAACCTCCGTCCAAAAGTCGTCGCTCGAAGAAGAAGAAGAATGGACGGATGTCAATTGCGCATTTACAGAGTACGTTGGTATTATGCATTTTGAATTCTGTATGTTTCATTGTCACCCTAGATACGCTGCGGTGCGTGAAGATCTTAGCATCGCGGCCGCATGGAGTGACATATACTGAGCAGAGATGCATGCGCCTTTCATATTCCTCCTGAGACTGGAGAGACTATAGTTGCCGGGCTTTTGTTAGGCTGCACATTATTGTCGTATTTATTTGGTTGTATACGATTTCAAAGCTGACTTTGTTCGCTTTATTTTGTACGTACTAACCACGACAGACTCCCAGAATGGGGTGGTGAACTCGGTTCAGATCAAGTACGTTTCAGTTTCGTCCATTATTGCTGGAGCCGCTTCATGTTGTCTCATGCGATTTAATTATTCATGTTTTGTAAATCTAGAATCGAACCATGCTCGCACGAGGGGCCTTGTGAGCAAGGCGTGTGCTCATGCGTCGAGGACGGTATCTTTTGCTCTAAGCACTGCCACTGCGCTCACGATGAGTGCAAGATTTTCTTCCCAGGGTGCCAGTGCCAGCGTGGTCGTTGCCGAACTAAGGCATGCCCGTGCTTCTGTGCGGGTCGGGAGTGTGACCTCGACTTGTGCAAAGTGTGCTGCGCAGACGAAATTACTGCGCGTGAAAAGGGCGAGGCGTATGATTGCAACGCGGACAAAACTAAGGACGAGAAGCAGCAAACGTCTTGCCAGAACCGCAGCATCGCGCTAGGCAGACAAAAGCATGTTCGAATGGGCCGCTCTAATCTGGGCGCAGCTGGCTGGGGGCTTTTCGTGGACGAGTTTGTGGCCAAGGATGAGTTCATTATCGAGTACATCGGCGAGATGGTCACGCAGGAAGAAGCTGATAGACGTGGATCTGTCTACGACAAAGTCGACCGCAGGTAGAATGAGCGTTCTGTTTCCATCATGACTACCCCTGGCTAACACGTCTTTGTGTAAATTGCTAGCTACCTGTTTAACCTGGACACCAAGACTGTGATTGATTCGACGCGAAAGGGAAACAAGACAAGGGTATGTGTTGGGGCCAACTAGAATTATCTCGTGTGTGTTGGAACTGAAGCTGACCTCAAATGTGTCCCTCCAGTTCATTAACCATTCCAAGAAGAATCCAAACTGCGCATGCAAGATCATGAATGTGAGCAGCGACTTTCGGATTGGCTTGTATGCGACCCATGACATTCAACCACACACAGAGGTACGAATTCTCTATCTACGTCAGGATGTAGTCGACGTCTAATGGTGATGCTGCTGCAGCTTTTCTTCGACTATGGATACGACAAGGAGCTCTATCACGCGGAGCTGCTTAAACAGCCAACAGTCACTGACTGGATGAAATAGGGCTGCGCGAGCTACAGCTAAGTCCAGCGGGCGTCGCCAGCCTGTCTTGCACACGTGTGGTAATCTGCGTGCGGAGTTACGTTGGATGTTTGTAGGGTTTCAAACGGCAGTGGCATTGGCAAAACGCGATCGCCAATCCCCTCCAGAGCTGAAGGAATTAACAATGCGCTCTTTTGGCTCCTAATTGAACGCGTGCAATGTTGGGTTCAGAAATTTACTGAAGATCATTTTGAGCTCGTTATTTGCTTTTGATCCGGGACAGAAAGACTCCAAAGAGAAGAAATGACTGATGAAATTGACTGGCACCACCATTACTTCTGAAAGTGCTTCATGGATATCCAACCACTGAAAATACTTGGTGAGCAGATATGATAAACGGTGCACTGAAACGTTTTCCATTACTGACCACGATTGCTGTGGAAAATGATGCTACAGATCAAGTCTTGCTGTAACTAATGCTCGAGTTGATCAAGTTGGTAAACCACCAATCGAGCAGAGCGGTTTACACTTGTCGAGTGTGTTTAACCACCAAGTGTCTCCATCACGTTCGACTCACAAAGTCTACGGGTCAAGTTCAGTTGAGTACACGTAAGTGGGCGGTGCTGCAATGGGCGGGACACCGAGGCGGTGCTGCGTTATCCGTTCGCTCGATGCAGAACGATCTACATCCACTTTTCCTTTTGATCTTCGGGTCACCAGTCTATCTGATCCCGGTCTGCCACTTGAGAGGTTCGCCTGAAGCTACAGCGCTATGCGAGCATTACAGCTCATTATCACGCTGTTCAACTGGGTAGCGGTGTATGGTGACGCAGATTTCCCGCGCGCGTGTGTGGGCAAGACCAACCAAGAGTTGCCGTTCTGCAATACGTCACTATCGACTGCCGACCGAGTTGAAGACCTGCTATCCCGACTGCCCCTGCAGGAGAAGGCGACGCTACTCACGGCGCGCGCTAGTCCTCGAGGCAACATGAGCAGCATCGGACTGCCGGAATACAACTGGGGCGCCAACTGCGTGCACGGAGTGCAGTCGACGTGCGGCACCAACTGCCCCACGTCGTTCCCGAACCCCGTGAACCTCGGCGCCATCTTCGACCCGCAAGTGGTGTTCGACATGGCGCAGGTCATCGGGTGGGAGCTGCGCGCGCTGTGGCTGGAGGGAGCGACGGAGAACTACAAGGGCGGCCCGCACCTGGGCCTCGACTGCTGGTCGCCCAACATTAACATCAACCGAGACCCGCGGTGGGGGCGCAACACGGAGACCCCGTCGGAGGACCCGCTCGTGAACAGCAAGTACGGCGTCGCGTACACTCGCGGGCTGCAAGAGGGCAAGCGCCAAGACCCGCGGTTCCTGCAGGCGGTGGTCACCCTCAAGCACTACGCCGCGTACTCGTACGAGAACTACGGCGGCGTGAACCGCATGGAGTTCGACGCCATCGTGTCGCCGTACGACTTCGCGGACACGTACTTCCCGGCCTTCCGCTCGTCGGTGGTCGACGGCAACGCGAAGGGCGTCATGTGCTCGTACAACAGCGTGAACGGCATCCCGATGTGCGCGAACAAAGAGTTGGTCGAGACGCTGCTGCGCGGCACGCTGGGCTTCGACGGCTACGTCACGAGCGACTCCGGTGCTGTGGAGGCCATCTCGGACATGCACCACTATGCCGACTCGCAGTGCGAAGCCGCTCGACTGGCCATTCTCGCGGGGACGGACATCAACAGCGGCAAGTCGTACGAGGCGTGTCTGAAGACGCTGGTGGACGACAACCAGCTGGAGGAGAAGGCTCTGGATGACGCGCTGCGCCACACGCTGAAGCTGCGATTCGAGCTCGGACTCTTCGATCCCATCGACGACCAGCCGTACTGGAACGTGACGCCCAGCGAGGTGAACACGGCGGCGGCCAAGGCGTTGAGCCTGAACGCGACGCGGAAGTCGCTGGTGATGCTCCAGAACAACGCGTCCGTGCTGCCTCTGCAGAAGGGCGTGAAGCTGGCGGTGCTGGGCCCGCACGCCAAGTCGAAGCGCGGGCTGCTCGGCAACTACCTGGGTCAGATGTGCCACGGCGACTATGACGAGGTGGGGTGTGTGCAGACGCCGCTGGACGCCATTCGTGCCGCTAACGGAGCGTCCAACACGACTTTCGCCGAAGGCTGCGGGATCAGCGGCAACTCAACTGCGGGCTTCGAGAAAGCTGTGGCCGCCGCGAAAGAGGCCGACGCCGTCGTGCTGTTCCTGGGCATCGACAAGTCGATCGAGGGTGAGGTGGGCGACCGCAACAACATCGACCTACCAAACATCCAGATGCAGTTGCTACAGCGCGTGCACGCCGTGGGCAGACCCACCGTCGTGGTACTGATCAATGGTGGCGTGATCGGCGCCGAAGAGATCATCGAGCGGACGGACGCACTCGTGGAGGCGTTCTATCCTGGCTTCTTCGGAGCGCGGGCGATGGCGGACGTGCTCTTCGGCGATACCAACCCGAGCGGCAAGCTGCCTGTGACCATGTACCGGTCCGACTACGTTGACCAAGTGGAGATGAAGAGCATGGACATGACGGCGCACCCGGGTCGGACGTATCGGTACTTCAAGGGGGAGCCCGTGTTCCCGTTCGGATGGGGTCTGAGCTACACGACGTTCTCGCTGTCTGTGGACAGCGGGACCAACTCGAGCTCTCACAGCAACAACGCGGCGTTCTCGGGCGGAGAGGTGTCAGACACTGCGAACGTGACGATCTCGGTGGTGGTGAAGAACGACGGCGAGGTGGCGGGTGACGAGGTGGTATTAGCGTTCTTCCGGCCAGTGAACTCGAACGTGACAGGTCCTGCTACGTTGCTGAACGAGCAGCTTTTCGACTACCAGCGCGTGAGTTGGGACCGTTGGACAGCACCGAGGTGAGCACGCTGGCTTTGCCGGATGAGGAGGGCAACTTGGTGAGTTTCCCTGGGTCGTACGAGGTAATCGTGAGCAACGGTGTGAAGGAGCGGTTGAGATTCAGTGTGGAGGTGGCTGGCGGTGAAGTGATTCTTCGAGACCAAGTGCAGCCGTTCCCGTTGTCAGAGGATTCAGAGACCGCTAGCCCGGCTAGTAAAATACCTCGAGATGGGTTGCTGACTACGATTTTGATGCTACTCTTCCTCTTGATAAGCATGTGAGCTAAGGAGTGGCAATTCACATAGGTTGATACGAGAACAGAAAGATGTTTAAATGTTGATAATATGCTTGGGAATATTAGCGTTCTGATGACGGACATCGTACTGTATTTAAGCTATCGGCAAACTATTTTTCTGGGATAGCAGTAACCCCGGAGGGAGCGCTGTGGCCAGCCCAACACAGGTTAATTCGGCGTCACCCCGGTAGCTGGCTCCAGTAAACTGAAATAAACTGAATATTTGCGTTAAATGAATTCTGGTCAACAACTATAATGCTATTTGAAGAACAAAAGACGTAGTGGTCGGCTCCAGCTTTGGGCTGGAGGACACTACGGTCGCGCGTGCAAGCTGACGATGCTGCAGGGCTTCGACGATTCTCTCGACGTGGTCTATGGGTGCTTTGGAAAAGGACTACAAGGGGTAAGGCCCGAAACAGCCTACGATGCCCGTAGTTAAAATCAACTTATCGTGCGTCTTGACTCGAGTTCTGTGTTAGATCATATTTTATGCTGCAAAACCGCTATCATGATAACATGGAGACCCGAAAACGAGTCATTGTGCCCAAGTTTATCCATTAGAAAACGTACTTGCAGGTACAACCTCTTTACCGAGTCTGTATTGTTGATCAATAGTGTGGAGCTGATGCAGCCATACAACGAGTACGAGGGATTGTCCATCCAAACAAAACTCCGTACTCAATGTGTCCTTTTTTTTCGACTGCAATGCGCCAAAACGTTTGATTATTCATTTAGCTTGCCCTACGGACGTATAATTCGAAATCGAATGTCGAGGACACGCCAACAATTTAACCTTTTTTTTAATGCACCGCCTCGTCGAATAATACACAAATACACTGGACCGCAGTCCCGAGTTTGCCTCACCCAACGTTCCTTAGCTATCCCAGCTACTCAAAGCTCTCGTAGGGAATCACACTTCATATTCCCAGACGTGCTAGCTGATCTTTCTTTTTGGTTTGATTGATAGCGCCATTGGCAGAAGTATTAACCCACGTCGTAAGCAGTGAAAGACAGTAGCAGAGTACCAGGTAAGTTATACTTGGAAGTAGGCCCTTCACGCAGTCGTCGACGGGACCCAACGGCTGAAGCATGATTGCGTTTGAGTATGGTGCAATTAGCCGTAGACAGTTTTAGGATGAAGGTGGGTAGGTCGCTAGCATTCGTAGTTACCCTTTTAAATGTATGGAAGCGCATTGCCCAAGTTTCGGACGCATTGTGCAAATATTAAGAAAACGAGTATATCGACTTCTCGGTACGCGACGCCTGTCAAAATGACAACGTGAACACTATGAAAACTTGTCCGTGTTTCAACGATGCAGCAATTACTATAATGGAAAGTGTTTGCGCACTTATCAAAAGATCGCGCTGATGCCATCCTGGGGAGTTCTGGATTTCTACCATGTCGATCACGTCTGTCTATACAGTGGACGGCCATCGTTGTCGCGACCGCTGCCACTTCTGATTTCCTAGGCCCTATTGCATCCCCCCCGCCCTATGCTTATGTACTTGCTCGCTCTAAATACTACCGAGTGGTTTGCTTAGTGGTGATGCGATCAGAAACATGGTATAATGTCCCGGTTGTTGAAGTTGACTATGGAGAATGCGCTCGTTCGAGTCCTCTCTCGAGGTCTCTTCGTGCGCGAGCTCTTCCGGCCTCCAAGAAGTAAAACTTCTCAGCGATTTCTTGGACCCTCATCATTTCCTTAGCGGAAATAATTTGGAGGGAGAAAATCGATCGATTTCTAAGATAGAGAGGATATACATGCATACACTGTTCAAACAGTTTTCATCTATGCTACACGGCGCTTCCGCCTTCAAGTCTTTTTTGCATGGCGCCTTAGTGACTCAGTTACATGTACTAAGTATTGTACTAGATAGATATCTTTGAGGGTTGGTATATATCACTACCTAAGGTTTTTCTCATACTAACATTTTTTTTTAGCAAGAGGCGAAGAGTTCAGGTTCGTACAAGGTGTAGATGCCGGCCTGCTGAAGTTGACCATGAAAAATTGCTTTTGACTGAAATAGATTCAAATTAACATCAAAATTATATACGCTTTCAATTCTTTTTGGTGCCATGAATGCACTCCATCGGATAATGTCTACGATTTTTCAACATGAGTGTCGAGCTCCAGCTAGGCTAACAGCGAAATTGTTAGCAGCAAGCACACAATAATACCGCATGGTTGAGCCTTGCTCCCAACGGAAACGGAGGCCACCGACTTACCTGACAACGGGAACGGCTGCACTTGGTCTCGATGAATCACTTCACCGCCAGCCACCTCCACACTGAATCTCAACCGCTCCTTCACACCGTTGCTCACGATTACCTCGTACGACCCAGGGAAACTCGCCAAGTTGCCCTCCTCATCCGGCAAAGCCAGCGTGCTCCGCTCAATCGTGAAGCTCACCTCGGTGCTGTCCAACGGTCCCAAACTCACGCGCTGGTAGTCGAAAAGCTGCTCGTTCAGCAACGTAGCAGGACCTGTCACGTTCGAGTTCACTGGCCGGAAGAACGCTAATACCACCTCGTCACCCGCCACCTCGCCGTCGTTCTTCACCACCACCGAGATCGTCACGTTCGCAGTGTCTGACACCTCTCCGCCCGAGAACGCCGCGTTGTTGCTGTGAGAGCTCGAGTTGGTCCCGCTGTCCACAGACAGCGAGAACGTCGTGTAGCTCAGACCCCATCCGAACGGGAACACGGGCTCCCCCTTGAAGTACCGATACGTCCGACCCGGGTGCGCCGTCATGTCCATGCTCTTCATCTCCACTTGGTCAACGTAGTCGGACCGGTACATGGTCACAGGCAGCTTGCCGCTCGGGTTGGTATCGCCGAAGAGCACGTCCGCCATCGCCCGCGCTCCGAAGAAGCCAGGATAGAACGCCTCCACGAGTGCGTCCGTCCGCTCGATGATCTCTTCGGCGCCGATCACGCCACCATTGATCAGTACCACGACGGTGGGTCTGCCCACGGCGTGCACGCGCTGTAGCAACTGCATCTGGATGTTTGGTAGGTCGATGTTGTTGCGGTCGCCCACCTCACCCTCGATCGACTTGTCGATGCCCAGGAACAGCACGACGGCGTCGGCCTCTTTCGCGGCGGCCACAGCTTTCTCGAAGCCCGCAGTTGAGTTGCCGCTGATCCCGCAGCCTTCGGCGAAAGTCGTGTTGGACGCTCCGTTAGCAGCACGAATGGCGTCCAGCGGCGTCTGCACACACCCCACCTCGTCATAGTCGCCGTGGCACATCTGACCCAGGTAGTTGCCGAGCAGCCCGCGCTTCGACTTGGCGTGCGGGCCCAGCACCGCCAGCTTCACGCCCTTCTGCAGAGGCAGCACGGACGCGTTGTTCTGGAGCATCACCAGCGACTTCCGCGTCGCGTTCAGGCTCAACGCCTTGGCCGCCGCCGTGTTCACCTCGCTGGGCGTCACGTTCCAGTACGGCTGGTCGTCGATGGGATCGAAGAGTCCGAGCTCGAACCGCAGCTTCAGCGTGTGGCGCAGCGCGTCATCCAGAGCCTTCTCCTCCAGCTGGTTGTCGTCCACCAGCGTCTTCAGACACGCCTCGTACGACTTGCCGCTGTTGATGTCCGTCCCCGCGAGAATGGCCAGTCGAGCGGCTTCGCACTGCGAGTCGGCATAGTGGTGCATGTCCGAGATGGCCTCCACAGCACCGGAGTCGCTCGTGACGTAGCCGTCGAAGCCCAGCGTGCCGCGCAGCAGCGTCTCGACCAACTCTTTGTTCGCGCACATCGGGATGCCGTTCACGCTGTTGTACGAGCACATGACGCCCTTCGCGTTGCCGTCGACCACCGACGAGCGGAAGGCCGGGAAGTACGTGTCCGCGAAGTCGTACGGCGACACGATGGCGTCGAACTCCATGCGGTTCACGCCGCCGTAGTTCTCGTACGAGTACGCGGCGTAGTGCTTGAGGGTGACCACCGCCTGCAGGAACCGCGGGTCTTGGCGCTTGCCCTCTTGCAGCCCGCGAGTGTACGCGACGCCGTACTTGCTGTTCACGAGCGGGTCCTCCGACGGGGTCTCCGTGTTGCGCCCCCACCGCGGGTCTCGGTTGATGTTAATGTTGGGCGACCAGCAGTCGAGGCCCAGGTGCGGGCCGCCCTTGTAGTTCTCCGTCGCTCCCTCCAGCCACAGCGCGCGCAGCTCCCACCCGATGACCTGCGCCATGTCGAACACCACTTGCGGGTCGAAGATGGCGCCGAGGTTCACGGGGTTCGGGAACGACGTGGGGCAGTTGGTGCCGCACGTCGACTGCACTCCGTGCACGCAGTTGGCGCCCCAGTTGTATTCCGGCAGTCCGATGCTGCTCATGTTGCCTCGAGGACTGGCGCGCGCCGTGAGTAGCGTCGCCTTCTCCTGCAGGGGCAGTCGGGATAGCAGGTCTTCAACTCGGTCGGCAGTCGATAGTGACGTATTGCAGAACGGCAACTCCTGGTTCGCCTTGCCCACACACGCGCGTGGGATGGTTGCTGCGGTTGGTGTCACCAAGCTTGCACTTGCAATGGCGAGTAGTAGGGGTAATACGATCATCGCCTAGTGTTCTCCGTCTCCGAGTACTGGTTGAGGTTGAGCTCTGTGGGGATGAAATGGAAAATGGCCTTCCCTTGCTGCCAAACTCCTTGACTTGCGGCAGTGCCTTCAAGAACAAGTCGGTTCATTTGGCTCGGTCGAGCGCAGGTGACCACAGGAATCCTGGTCTAGTTGAGACGAGTGCACGGAGGAAACGGATTTTCAGAGGAGTTTTTGGATAGGCCTGGCAGTTTGTCGAACAGGGCTGGGCGAAAAATGACATCGAATGAAAAACGTGGCGTACCGTGTCTATTTTTTTTGGCTCGGTGCATGTTTACCATCGAGCCGATGGATGCACAACCGTCTCGTAAGCGAAATATAGCTGGCAAAAGCTTGCGGTGCAGCTTCGATCGGCGCTACGAGAAGGGCGCCTATACCCACTTGGATCTGGTCGTGTGGATTCGAATGAGAATTCTCTGATTAGGAGACGGCAGTTCACTGTGACGTATATCGTGTAAGCGTGTTGGCGGTGTGTGTGTGTGTGTGTGTGGTTCGCTGGTTCACCAATATATTGTGCACCAATGAGCAGGCTCCAGCAAAAAGGAAGTTTGTCCTTTTTCCTACTTTTCTTAGAACTTTTTGAAAAAAGAGACTTTAACCCCATTCTAAATTTGTCCTAGGAAAAAGGACCAAAATGGTTTTTGATGTGGCGTACATAAGCCGATTTGTCCTACCTCTAGCCCGGACAAAAAATGACTTGACATTTGTATGTCCGCCTTATGACCCAAGAAGAATAGAGACTGCCGCTTCTAACAAATCACGCATTTGTATCGGAGCTAAAAAAAGCAGTGTTCATACTCAGATCCAGTCAAATCCTCAATTTTGTCCTAGCAGCTACGTCAAAGTGATATGTTATTAGAGACAATTTTCAGATTGCCTTTATGTCTACAAGGACAATCGATTAAGTGAGCTGATCTGTCAACAGAGAGATTAAGGAAAGGGTTTTCTGCCGATGCTAAGAAAACTTCATATTCATGTGTCGTTTTATGACAACAGGGCACCAAAGTTTTGGTCCTTTCGTTTGTCCTAGGAACGATCTGAGGGGGGTTAAGCCACGATTTGACTTAACCCTATCGATAACGCCATACATTTCTGTTTGAAAGGACACCATACAAATTTTAAGTAAAACGGGGTAAAATGATGCATGAGGTATCATTTTGCTGTATTAGGTTTGCGAGGCCAACTGATCAAAAGTATACGTGATGGGAGGTTTGAAGCGACCTTTCGATCAAAAAGATACATGAGGCATCATTTTACTGCTTCTCTGTGATTCGCTGCGAATCGACAAAGTATCAGTGGAAGCAGTACCGTGAGAACAGCACCCTAACAAAATTTTAGTAAGAGCAGTACCGTGGATCACAGCGCCCTCTTGTGGATTATGTGGGGTTTTTCCTAGTTGTGAAGCGGTGGCGCCGTGGTCTCCGACGCGACGGTGGCGGCTGTCCTGGGCCTGGCCGGAGCGTCTTCGCCGGCGGCGACAAGCACGCGATGACTGCGGGCGTCTCGGGCAGCGGGCGCAATGGCTACGGGAGCGCCGTCAGCACCGTCAACGGCATGGTCTCGGAGGCTGTTGGACGTGAGTGGCCGTGTTGGACGTGATCGGGGGCGTCTCCGCTGGCATGGTCACGAACGCGACGGTGGCATTCAGCTCGAGCAGCGAACGCAACGACAGCGGCAGTCCGCACGCAGGTTGCCGTAGGTAGTAGCGGCAGTGGCGTCGCCAGCGACATCGACAGCAGGGTCTCGGACACGATGGAGGTGACCGTGGCCTTGGTGGACGTGGTCAGCGGCGTCTCCGCCGACATGGACACGGACACGGACGCGATGGTGGCGGGCGACTCGGGCAGCAAGCACAACGGCGGCCGCAGCGCCGTGTGTGCCGTCAACAGCATGGTCTCGGAGGCTTCCGCGGCGACCGTGGCCGTGTTGGACGTGAGTGGCCGTGTTGGACGTGATCGGGGGCGTCTCCGCTGGCATAATCACGAACGCGACGGTGGCATTCGGCTCGGGCAGCGAACGCAACGACAGCGGCAGTCCGCACGCAGGTTGCCGTAGGTAGTAGCGGCAGTGGCGTCGCCAGCGACATCGACAGCAGGGTCTCGGACACGATGGAGGTGACCGTGGCCTTGGTGGACGTGGTCAGCGGCGTCTCCGCCGACATGGACACGGACACGGACACGGACGCGATGGTGGCGGGCGACTCGGGCAGCAAGCACAACGGCGGCCGCAGCGCCGTGTGTGCCGTCAACAGCATGGTCTCGGAGGCTTCCGCGGCGACCGTGGCCGTGTTGGACGTGAGTGGCCGTGTTGGACGTGATCGGGGGCGTCTCCGCTGGCATAATCACGAACGCGACGGTGGCATTCGGCTCGGGCAGCGAACGCAACGACAGCGGCAGTCCGCACGCAGGTTGCCGTAGGTAGTAGCGGCAGTGGCGTCGCCAGCGACATCGACAGCAGGGTCTCGGACACGATGGAGGTGACCGTGGCCTTGGTGGACGTGGTCAGCGGCGTCTCCGCCGACATGGACACGGACACGGACACGGACGCGATGGTGGCGGGCGACTCGGGCAGCAAGCACAACGGCGGCCGCAGCGCCGTGTGTGCCGTCAACAGCATGGTCTCGGAGGCTTCCGCGGCGACCGTGGCCGTGTTGGACGTGAGTGGCCGTGTTGGACGTGATCGGGGGCGTCTCCGCTGGCATGGTCACGAACGCGACGGTGGCATTCGGCTCGGGCAGCGAACGCAACGACAGCGGCAGTCCGCACGCAGGTTGCCGTAGGTAGTAGCGGCAGTGGCGTCGCCAGCGACATCGACAGCAGGGTCTCGGACACGATGGAGGTGACCGTGGCCTTGGTGGACGTGGTCAGCGGCGTCTCCGCCGACATGGACACGGACACGGACACGGACGCGATGGTGGCGGGCGACTCGGGCAGCAAGCACAACGGCGGCCGCAGCGCCGTGTGTGCCGTCAACAGCATGGTCTCGGAGGCTTCTGCGGCGACCGTGGCCGTGTTGGACGTGAGTGGCCGTGTTGGACGTGATCGGGGGCGTCTCCGCTGGCATAATCACGAACGCGACGGTGGCATTCGGCTCGGGCAGCGAACGCAACGACAGCGGCAGTCCGCACGCAGGTTGCCGTAGGTAGTAGCGGCAGTGGCGTCGCCAGCGACATCGACAGCAGGGTCTCGGACACGATGGAGGTGACCGTGGCCTTGGTGGACGTGGTCAGCGGCGTCTCCGCCGACATGGACACGGACACGGACACGGACGCGATGGTGGCGGGCGACTCGGGCAGCAAGCACAACGGCGGCCGCAGCGCCGTGTGTGCCGTCAACAGCATGGTCTCGGAGGCTTCCGCGGCGACCGTGGCCGTGTTGGACGTGAGTGGCCGTGTTGGACGTGATCGGGGGCGTCTCCGCTGGCATAATCACGAACGCGACGGTGGCATTCGGCTCGGGCAGCGAACGCAACGACAGCGGCAGTCCGCACGCAGGTTGCCGTAGGTAGTAGCGGCAGTGGCGTCGCCAGCGACATCGACAGCAGGGTCTCGGACACGATGGAGGTGACCGTGGCCTTGGTGGACGTGGTCAGCGGCGTCTCCGCCGACATGGACACGGACACGGACGCGATGGTGGCGGGCGACTCGGGCAGCAAGCACAACGGCGGCCGCAGCGCCGTGTGTGCCGTCAACAGCATGGTCTCGGAGGCTTCCGCGGCGACCGTGGCCGTGTTGGACGTGAGTGGCCGTGTTGGACGTGATCGGGGGCGTCTCCGCTGGCATGGTCACGAACGCGACGGTGGCATTCAGCTCGAGCAGCGAACGCAACGACAGCGGCAGTCCGCACGCAGGTTGCCGTAGGTAGTAGCGGCAGTGGCGTCGCCAGCGACATCGACAGCAGGGTCTCGGACACGATGGAGGTGACCGTGGCCTTGGTGGACGTGGTCAGCGGCGTCTCCGCCGACATGGACACGGACACGGACGCGATGGTGGCGGGCGACTCGGGCAGCAAGCACAACGGCGGCCGCAGCGCCGTGTGTGCCGTCAACAGCATGGTCTCGGAGGCTTCCGCGGCGACCGTGGCCGTGTTGGACGTGAGTGGCCGTGTTGGACGTGATCGGGGGCGTCTCCGCTGGCATAATCACGAACGCGACGGTGGCATTCGGCTCGGGCAGCGAACGCAACGACAGCGGCAGTCCGCACGCAGGTTGCCGTAGGTAGTAGCGGCAGTGGCGTCGCCAGCGACATCGACAGCAGGGTCTCGGACACGATGGAGGTGACCGTGGCCTTGGTGGACGTGGTCAGCGGCGTCTCCGCCGACATGGACACGGACACGGACGCGATGGTGGCGGGCGACTCGGGCAGCAAGCACAACGGCGGCCGCAGCGCCGTGTGTGCCGTCAACAGCATGGTCTCGGAGGCTTCCGCGGCGACCGTGGCCGTGTTGGACGTGAGTGGCCGTGTTGGACGTGATCGGGGGCGTCTCCGCTGGCATGGTCACGAACGCGACGGTGGCATTCAGCTCGAGCAGCGAACCAACGACAGCGGCAGTCCGCACGCAGGTTGCCGTAGGTAGTAGCGGCAGTGGCGTCGCCAGCGACATCGACAGCAGGGTCTCGGACACGATGGAGGTGACCGTGGCCTTGGTGGACGTGGTCAGCGGCGTCTCCGCCGACATGGACACGGACACGGACGCGATGGTGGCGGGCGACTCGGGCAGCAAGCACAACGGCGGCCGCAGCGCTGTGTGTGCCGTCAACAGCATGGTCTCGGAGGCTTCCGCGGCGACCGTGGCCGTGTTGGACGTGAGTGGCCGTGTTGGACGTGATCGGGGGCGTCTCCGCTGGCATGGTCACGAACGCGACGGTGGCATTCGGCTCGGGCAGCGAACGCAACGACAGCGGCAGTCCGCACGCAGGTTGCCGTAGGTAGTAGCGGCAGTGGCGTCGCCAGCGACATCGACAGCAGGGTCTCGGACACGATGGAGGTGACCGTGGCCTTGGTGGACGTGGTCAGCGGCGTCTCCGCCGACATGGACACGGACACGGACGCGATGGTGGCGGGCGACTCGGGCAGCAAGCACAACGGCGGCCGCAGCGCCGTGTGTGCCGTCAACAGCATGGTCTCGGAGGCTTCCGCGGCGACCGTGGCCGTGTTGGACGTGAGTGGCCGTGTTGGACGTGATCGGGGGCGTCTCCGCTGGCATAATCACGAACGCGACGGTGGCATTCGGCTCGGGCAGCGAACGCAACGACAGCGGCAGTCCGCACGCAGGTTGCTGTAGGTAGTAGCGGCAGTGGCGTCGCCAGCGACATCGACAGCAGGGTCTCGGACACGATGGAGGTGACCGTGGCCTTGGTGGACGTGGTCAGCGGCGTCTCCGCCGACATGGACACGGACACGGACGCGATGGTGGCGGGCGACTCGGGCAGCAAGCACAACGGCGGCCGCAGCGCCGTGTGTGCCGTCAACAGCATGGTCTCGGAGGCTTCCGCGGCGACCGTGGCCGTGTTGGACGTGAGTGGCCGTGTTGGACGTGATCGGGGGCGTCTCCGCTGGCATGGTCACGAACGCGACGGTGGCATTCAGCTCGAGCAGCGAACGCAACGACAGCGGCAGTCCGCACGCAGGTTGCCGTAGGTAGTAGCGGCAGTGGCGTCGCCAGCGACATCGACAGCAGGGTCTCGGACACGATGGAGGTGACCGTGGCCTTGGTGGACGTGGTCAGCGGCGTCTCCGCCGACATGGACACGGACACGGACGCGATGGTGGCGGGCGACTCGGGCAGCAAGCACAACGGCGGCCGCAGCGCCGTGTGTGCCGTCAACAGCATGGTCTCGGAGGCTTCCGCGGCGACCGTGGCCGTGTTGGACGTGAGTGGCCGTGTTGGACGTGATCGGGGGCGTCTCCGCTGGCATGGTCACGAACGCGACGGTGGCATTCGGCTCGGGCAGCGAACGCAACGACAGCGGCAGTCCGCACGCAGGTTGCCGTAGGTAGTAGCGGCAGTGGCGTCGCCAGCGACATCGACAGCAGGGTCTCGGACACGATGGAGGTGACCGTGGCCTTGGTGGACGTGGTCAGCGGCGTCTCCGCCGACATGGACACGGACACGGACGCGATGGTGGCGGGCGACTCGGGCAGCAAGCACAACGGCGGCCGCAGCGCCGTGTGTGCCGTCAACAGCATGGTCTCGGAGGCTTCCGCGGCGACCGTGGCCGTGTTGGACGTGAGTGGCCGTGTTGGACGTGATCGGGGGCGTCTCCGCTGGCATGGTCACGAACGCGACGGTGGCATTCAGCTCGAGCAGCGAACGCAACGACAGCGGCAGTCCGCACGCAGGTTGCCGTAGGTAGTAGCGGCAGTGGCGTCGCCAGCGACATCGACAGCAGGGTCTCGGACACGATGGAGGTGACCGTGGCCTTGGTGGACGTGGTCAGCGGCGTCTCCGCCGACATGGACACGGACACGGACGCGATGGTGGCGGGCGACTCGGGCAGCAAGCACAACGGCGGCCGCAGCGCTGTGTGTGCCGTCAACAGCATGGTCTCGGAGGCTTCCGCGGCGACCGTGGCCGTGTTGGACGTGAGTGGCCGTGTTGGACGTGATCGGGGGCGTCTCCGCTGGCATGGTCACGAACGCGACGGTGGCATTCGGCTCGGGCAGCGAACGCAACGACAGCGGCAGTCCGCACGCAGGTTGCCGTAGGTAGTAGCGGCAGTGGCGTCGCCAGCGACATCGACAGCAGGGTCTCGGACACGATGGAGGTGACCGTGGCCTTGGTGGACGTGGTCAGCGGCGTCTCCGCCGACATGGACACGGACACGGACGCGATGGTGGCGGGCGACTCGGGCAGCAAGCACAACGGCGGCCGCAGCGCCGTGTGTGCCGTCAACAGCATGGTCTCGGAGGCTTCCGCGGCGACCGTGGCCGTGTTGGACGTGAGTGGCCGTGTTGGACGTGATCGGGGGCGTCTCCGCTGGCATAATCACGAACGCGACGGTGGCATTCGGCTCGGGCAGCGAACGCAACGACAGCGGCAGTCCGCACGCAGGTTGCCGTAGGTAGTAGCGGCAGTGGCGTCGCCAGCGACATCGACAGCAGGGTCTCGGACACGATGGAGGTGACCGTGGCCTTGGTGGACGTGGTCAGCGGCGTCTCCGCCGACATGGACACGGACACGGACGCGATGGTGGCGGGCGACTCGGGCAGCAAGCACAACGGCGGCCGCAGCGCCGTGTGTGCCGTCAACAGCATGGTCTCGGAGGCTTCCGCGGCGACCGTGGCCGTGTTGGACGTGAGTGGCCGTGTTGGACGTGATCGGGGGCGTCTCCGCTGGCATAATCACGAACGCGACGGTGGCATTCGGCTCGGGCAGCGAACGCAACGACAGCGGCAGTCCGCACGCAGGTTGCCGTAGGTAGTAGCGGCAGTGGCGTCGCCAGCGACATCGACAGCAGGGTCTCGGACACGATGGAGGTGACCGTGGCCTTGGTGGACGTGGTCAGCGGCGTCTCCGCCGACATGGACACGGACACGGACGCGATGGTGGCGGGCGACTCGGGCAGCAAGCACAACGGCGGCCGCAGCGCCGTGTGTGCCGTCAACAGCATGGTCTCGGAGGCTTCCGCGGCGACCGTGGCCGTGTTGGACGTGAGTGGCCGTGTTGGACGTGATCGGGGGCGTCTCCGCTGGCATAATCACGAACGCGACGGTGGCATTCGGCTCGGGCAGCGAACGCAACGACAGCGGCAGTCCGCACGCAGGTTGCCGTAGGTAGTAGCGGCAGTGGCGTCGCCAGCGACATCGACAGCAGGGTCTCGGACACGATGGAGGTGACCGTGGCCTTGGTGGACGTGGTCAGCGGCGTCTCCGCCGACATGGACACGGACACGGACGCGATGGTGGCGGGCGACTCGGGCAGCAAGCACAACGGCGGCCGCAGCGCCGTGTGTGCCGTCAACAGCATGGTCTCGGAGGCTTCCGCGGCGACCGTGGCCGTGTTGGACGTGAGTGGCCGTGTTGGACGTGATCGGGGGCGTCTCCGCTGGCATAATCACGAACGCGACGGTGGCATTCGGCTCGGGCAGCGAACGCAACGACAGCGGCAGTCCGCACGCAGGTTGCCGTAGGTAGTAGCGGCAGTGGCGTCGCCAGCGACATCGACAGCAGGGTCTCGGACACGATGGAGGTGACCGTGGCCTTGGTGGACGTGGTCCCATGGTCTCGGAGGCTTCCGCGGCGACCGTGGCCGTGTTGGACGTGAGTGGCCGTGTTGGACGTGATCGGGGGCGTCTCCGCTGGCATGGTCACGAACGCGACGGTGGCATTCAGCTCGAGCAGCGAACACAACGACAGCGGCAGTCCGCACGCAGGTTGCCGTAGGTAGTAGCGGCAGTGGCGTCGCCAGCGACATCGACAGCAGGGTCTCGGACACGATGGAGGTGACCGTGGCCTTGGTGGACGTGGTCAGCGGCGTCTCCGCCGACATGGACACGGACACGGACGCGATGGTGGCGGGCGACTCGGGCAGCAAGCACAACGGCGGCCGCAGCGCCGTGTGTGCCGTCAACAGCATGGTCTCGGAGGCTTCCGCGGCGACCGTGGCCGTGTTGGACGTGAGTGGCCGTGTTGGACGTGATCGGGGGCGTCTCCGCTGGCATAATCACGAACGCGACGGTGGCATTCGGCTCGAGCAGCGAACGCAACGACAGCGGCAGTCCGCACGCAGGTTGCCGTAGGTAGTAGCGGCAGTGGCGTCGCCAGCGACATCGACAGCAGGGTCTCGGACACGATGGAGGTGACCGTGGCCTTGGTGGACGTGGTCAGCGGCGTCTCCGCCGACATGGACACGGACACGGACGCGATGGTGGCGGGCGACTCGGGCAGCAAGCACAACGGCGGCCGCAGCGCCGTGTGTGCCGTCAACAGCATGGTCTCGGAGGCTTCCGCGGCGACCGTGGCCGTGTTGGACGTGAGTGGCCGTGTTGGACGTGATCGGGGGCGTCTCCGCTGGCATAATCACGAACGCGACGGTGGCATTCGGCTCGGGCAGCGAACGCAACGACAGCGGCAGTCCGCACGCAGGTTGCCGTAGGTAGTAGCGGCAGTGGCGTCGCCAGCGACATCGACAGCAGGGTCTCGGACACGATGGAGGTGACCGTGGCCTTGGTGGACGTGGTCAGCGGCGTCTCCGCCGACATGGACACGGACACGGACGCGATGGTGGCGGGCGACTCGGGCAGCAAGCACAACGGCGGCCGCAGCGCCGTGTGTGCCGTCAACAGCATGGTCTCGGAGGCTTCCGCGGCGACCGTGGCCGTGTTGGACGTGAGTGGCCGTGTTGGACGTGATCGGGGGCGTCTCCGCTGGCATAATCACGAACGCGACGGTGGCATTCGGCTCGGGCAGCGAACGCAACGACAGCGGCAGTCCGCACGCAGGTTGCCGTAGGTAGTAGCGGCAGTGGCGTCGCCAGCGACATCGACAGCAGGGTCTCGGACACGATGGAGGTGACCGTGGCCTTGGTGGACGTGGTCAGCGGCGTCTCCGCCGACATGGACACGGACACGGACGCGATGGTGGCGGGCGACTCGGGCAGCAAGCACAACGGCGGCCGCAGCGCCGTGTGTGCCGTCAACAGCATGGTCTCGGAGGCTTCCGCGGCGACCGTGGCCGTGTTGGACGTGAGTGGCCGTGTTGGACGTGATCGGGGGCGTCTCCGCTGGCATGGTCACGAACGCGACGGTGGCATTCAGCTCGAGCAGCGAACGCAACGACAGCGGCAGTCCGCACGCAGGTTGCCGTAGGTAGTAGCGGCAGTGGCGTCGCCAGCGACATCGACAGCAGGGTCTCGGACACGATGGAGGTGACCGTGGCCTTGGTGGACGTGGTCAGCGGCGTCTCCGCCGACATGGACACGGACACGGACGCGATGGTGGCGGGCGACTCGGGCAGCAAGCACAACGGCGGCCGCAGCGCCGTGTGTGCCGTCAACAGCATGGTCTCGGAGGCTTCCGCGGCGACCGTGGCCGTGTTGGACGTGAGTGGCCGTGTTGGACGTGATCGGGGGCGTCTCCGCTGGCATGGTCACGAACGCGACGGTGGCATTCGGCTCGGGCAGCGAACGCAACGACAGCGGCAGTCCGCACGCAGGTTGCCGTAGGTAGTAGCGGCAGTGGCGTCGCCAGCGACATCGACAGCAGGGTCTCGGACACGATGGAGGTGACCGTGGCCTTGGTGGACGTGGTCAGCGGCGTCTCCGCCGACATGGACACGGACACGGACGCGATGGTGGCGGGCGACTCGGGCAGCAAGCACAACGGCGGCCGCAGCGCCGTGTGTGCCGTCAACAGCATGGTCTCGGAGGCTTCCGCGGCGACCGTGGCCGTGTTGGACGTGAGTGGCCGTGTTGGACGTGATCGGGGGCGTCTCCGCTGGCATAATCACGAACGCGACGGTGGCATTCGGCTCGGGCAGCGAACGCAACGACAGCGGCAGTCCGCACGCAGGTTGCCGTAGGTAGTAGCGGCAGTGGCGTCGCCAGCGACATCGACAGCAGGGTCTCGGACACGATGGAGGTGACCGTGGCCTTGGTGGACGTGGTCAGCGGCGTCTCCGCCGACATGGACACGGACACGGACGCGATGGTGGCGGGCGACTCGGGCAGCAAGCACAACGGCGGCCGCAGCGCCGTGTGTGCCGTCAACAGCATGGTCTCGGAGGCTTCCGCGGCGACCGTGGCCGTGTTGGACGTGAGTGGCCGTGTTGGACGTGATCGGGGGCGTCTCCGCTGGCATAATCACGAACGCGACGGTGGCATTCGGCTCGGGCAGCGAACGCAACGACAGCGGCAGTCCGCACGCAGGTTGCCGTAGGTAGTAGCGGCAGTGGCGTCGCCAGCGACATCGACAGCAGGGTCTCGGACACGATGGAGGTGACCGTGGCCTTGGTGGACGTGGTCAGCGGCGTCTCCGCCGACATGGACACGGACACGGACGCGATGGTGGCGGGCGACTCGGGCAGCAAGCACAACGGCGGCCGCAGCGCCGTGTGTGCCGTCAACAGCATGGTCTCGGAGGCTTCCGCGGCGACCGTGGCCGTGTTGGACGTGAGTGGCCGTGTTGGACGTGATCGGGGGCGTCTCCGCTGGCATAATCACGAACGCGACGGTGGCATTCAGCTCGAGCAGCGAACGCAACGACAGCGGCAGTCCGCACGCAGGTTGCCGTAGGTAGTAGCGGCAGTGGCGTCGCCAGCGACATCGACAGCAGGGTCTCGGACACGATGGAGGTGACCGTGGCCTTGGTGGACGTGGTCAGCGGCGTCTCCGCCGACATGGACACGGACACGGACGCGATGGTGGCGGGCGACTCGGGCAGCAAGCACAACGGCGGCCGCAGCGCCGTGTGTGCCGTCAACAGCATGGTCTCGGAGGCTTCCGCGGCGACCGTGGCCGTGTTGGACGTGAGTGGCCGTGTTGGACGTGATCGGGGGCGTCTCCGCTGGCATGGTCACGAACGCGACGGTGGCATTCAGCTCGAGCAGCGAACGCAACGACAGCGGCAGTCCGCACGCAGGTTGCCGTAGGTAGTAGCGGCAGTGGCGTCGCCAGCGACATCGACAGCAGGGTCTCGGACACGATGGAGGTGACCGTGACCTTGGTGGACGTGGTCAGCGGCGTCTCCGCCGACATGGACACGGACACGGACGCGATGGTGGCGGGCGACTCGGGCAGCAAGCACAACGGCGGCCGCAGCGCCGTGTGTGCCGTCAACAGCATGGTCTCGGAGGCTTCCGCGGCGACCGTGGCCGTGTTGGACGTGAGTGGCCGTGTTGGACGTGATCGGGGGCGTCTCCGCTGGCATAATCACGAACGCGACGGTGGCATTCAGCTCGAGCAGCGAACGCAACGACAGCGGCAGTCCGCACGCAGGTTGCCGTAGGTAGTAGCGGCAGTGGCGTCGCCAGCGACATCGACAGCAGGGTCTCGGACACGATGGAGGTGACCGTGGCCTTGGTGGACGTGGTCAGCGGCGTCTCCGCCGACATGGACACGGACACGGACGCGATGGTGGCGGGCGACTCGGGCAGCAAGCACAACGGCGGCTGCAGCGCCGTGTGTGCCGTCAACAGCATGGTCTCGGAGGCTTCCGCGGCGACCGTGGCCGTGTTGGACGTGAGTGGCCGTGTTGGACGTGATCGGGGGCGTCTCCGCTGGCATGGTCACGAACGCGACGGTGGCATTCAGCTCGAGCAGCGAACGCAACGACAGCGGCAGTCCGCACGCAGGTTGCCGTAGGTAGTAGCGGCAGTGGCGTCGCCAGCGACATCGACAGCAGGGTCTCGGACACGATGGAGGTGACCGTGGCCTTGGTGGACGTGGTCAGCGGCGTCTCCGCCGACATGGACACGGACACGGACGCGATGGTGGCGGGCGACTCGGGCAGCAAGCACAACGGCGGCCGCAGCGCCGTGTGTGCCGTCAACAGCATGGTCTCGGAGGCTTCCGCGGCGACCGTGGCCGTGTTGGACGTGAGTGGCCGTGTTGGACGTGATCGGGGGCGTCTCCGCTGGCATGGTCACGAACGCGACGGTGGCATTCAGCTCGAGCAGCGAACGCAACGACAGCGGCAGTCCGCACGCAGGTTGCCGTAGGTAGTAGCGGCAGTGGCGTCGCCAGCGACATCGACAGCAGGGTCTCGGACACGATGGAGGTGACCGTGGCCTTGGTGGACGTGGTCAGCGGCGTCTCCGCCGACATGGACACGGACACGGACGCGATGGTGGCGGGCGACTCGGGCAGCAAGCACAACGGCGGCCGCAGCGCCGTGTGTGCCGTCAACAGCATGGTCTCGGAGGCTTCCGCGGCGACCGTGGCCGTGTTGGACGTGAGTGGCCGTGTTGGACGTGATCGGGGGCGTCTCCGCTGGCATGGTCACGAACGCGACGGTGGCATTCAGCTCGAGCAGCGAACGCAACGACAGCGGCAGTCCGCACGCAGGTTGCCGTAGGTAGTAGCGGCAGTGGCGTCGCCAGCGACATCGACAGCAGGGTCTCGGACACGATGGAGGTGACCGTGGCCTTGGTGGACGTGGTCAGCGGCGTCTCCGCCGACATGGACACGGACACGGACGCGATGGTGGCGGGCGACTCGGGCAGCAAGCACAACGGCGGCCGCAGCGCCGTGTGTGCCGTCAACAGCATGGTCTCGGAGGCTTCCGCGGCGACCGTGGCCGTGTTGGACGTGAGTGGCCGTGTTGGACGTGATCGGGGGCGTCTCCGCTGGCATGGTCACGAACGCGACGGTGGCATTCAGCTCGAGCAGCGAACGCAACGACAGCGGCAGTCCGCACGCAGGTTGCCGTAGGTAGTAGCGGCAGTGGCGTCGCCAGCGACATCGACAGCAGGGTCTCGGACACGATGGAGGTGACCGTGGCCTTGGTGGACGTGGTCAGCGGCGTCTCCGCCGACATGGACACGGACACGGACGCGATGGTGGCGGGCGACTCGGGCAGCAAGCACAACGGCGGCCGCAGCGCCGTGTGTGCCGTCAACAGCATGGTCTCGGAGGCTTCCGCGGCGACCGTGGCCGTGTTGGACGTGATCGGGGGCGTCTCCGCTGGCATGGTCACGAACGCGACGGTGGCATTCAGCTCGAGCAGCGAACGCAACGACAGCGGCAGTCCGCACGCAGGTTGCCGTAGGTAGTAGCGGCAGTGGCGTCGCCAGCGACATCGACAGCAGGGTCTCGGACACGATGGAGGTGACCGTGGCCTTGGTGGACGTGGTCAGCGGCGTCTCCGCCGACATGGACACGGACACGGACGCGATGGTGGCGGGCGACTCGGGCAGCAAGCACAACGGCGGCCGCAGCGCCGTGTGTGCCGTCAACAGCATGGTCTCGGAGGCTTCCGCGGCGACCGTGGCCGTGTTGGACGTGAGTGGCCGTGTTGGACGTGATCGGGGGCGTCTCCGCTGGCATGGTCACGAACGCGACGGTGGCATTCAGCTCGAGCAGCGAACGCAACGACAGCGGCAGTCCGCACGCAGGTTGCCGTAGGTAGTAGCGGCAGTGGCGTCGCCAGCGACATCGACAGCAGGGTCTCGGACACGATGGAGGTGACCGTGGCCTTGGTGGACGTGGTCAGCGGCGTCTCCGCCGACATGGACACGGACACGGACGCGATGGTGGCGGGCGACTCGGGCAGCAAGCACAACGGCGGCCGCAGCGCCGTGTGTGCCGTCAACAGCATGGTCTCGGAGGCTTCCGCGGCGACCGTGGCCGTGTTGGACGTGATCGGGGGCGTCTCCGCTGGCATGGTCACGAACGCGACGGTGGCATTCAGCTCGAGCAGCGAACGCAACGACAGCGGCAGTCCGCACGCAGGTTGCCGTAGGTAGTAGCGGCAGTGGCGTCGCCAGCGACATCGACAGCAGGGTCTCGGACACGATGGAGGTGACCGTGGCCTTGGTGGACGTGGTCAGCGGCGTCTCCGCCGACATGGACACGGACACGGACGCGATGGTGGCGGGCGACTCGGGCAGCAAGCACAACGGCGGCCGCAGCGCCGTGTGTGCCGTCAACAGCATGGTCTCGGAGGCTTCCGCGGCGACCGTGGCCGTGTTGGACGTGAGTGGCCGTGTTGGACGTGATCGGGGGCGTCTCCGCTGGCATGGTCACGAACGCGACGGTGGCATTCAGCTCGAGCAGCGAACACAACGACAGCGGCAGTCCGCACGCAGGTTGCCGTAGGTAGTAGCGGCAGTGGCGTCGCCAGCGACATCGACAGCAGGGTCTCGGACACGATGGAGGTGACCGTGGCCTTGGTGGACGTGGTCAGCGGCGTCTCCGCCGACATGGACACGGACACGGACGCGATGGTGGCGGGCGACTCGGGCAGCAAGCACAACGGCGGCCGCAGCGCCGTGTGTGCCGTCAACAGCATGGTCTCGGAGGCTTCCGCGGCGACCGTGGCCGTGTTGGACGTGAGTGGCCGTGTTGGACGTGATCGGGGGCGTCTCCGCTGGCATAATCACGAACGCGACGGTGGCATTCGGCTCGAGCAGCGAACGCAACGACAGCGGCAGTCCGCACGCAGGTTGCCGTAGGTAGTAGCGGCAGTGGCGTCGCCAGCGACATCGACAGCAGGGTCTCGGACACGATGGAGGTGACCGTGGCCTTGGTGGACGTGGTCAGCGGCGTCTCCGCCGACATGGACACGGACACGGACGCGATGGTGGCGGGCGACTCGGGCAGCAAGCACAACGGCGGCCGCAGCGCCGTGTGTGCCGTCAACAGCATGGTCTCGGAGGCTTCCGCGGCGACCGTGGCCGTGTTGGACGTGAGTGGCCGTGTTGGACGTGATCGGGGGCGTCTCCGCTGGCATAATCACGAACGCGACGGTGGCATTCGGCTCGGGCAGCGAACGCAACGACAGCGGCAGTCCGCACGCAGGTTGCCGTAGGTAGTAGCGGCAGTGGCGTCGCCAGCGACATCGACAGCAGGGTCTCGGACACGATGGAGGTGACCGTGGCCTTGGTGGACGTGGTCAGCGGCGTCTCCGCCGACATGGACACGGACACGGACGCGATGGTGGCGGGCGACTCGGGCAGCAAGCACAACGGCGGCCGCAGCGCCGTGTGTGCCGTCAACAGCATGGTCTCGGAGGCTTCCGCGGCGACCGTGGCCGTGTTGGACGTGAGTGGCCGTGTTGGACGTGATCGGGGGCGTCTCCGCTGGCATAATCACGAACGCGACGGTGGCATTCGGCTCGGGCAGCGAACGCAACGACAGCGGCAGTCCGCACGCAGGTTGCCGTAGGTAGTAGCGGCAGTGGCGTCGCCAGCGACATCGACAGCAGGGTCTCGGACACGATGGAGGTGACCGTGGCCTTGGTGGACGTGGTCAGCGGCGTCTCCGCCGACATGGACACGGACACGGACGCGATGGTGGCGGGCGACTCGGGCAGCAAGCACAACGGCGGCCGCAGCGCCGTGTGTGCCGTCAACAGCATGGTCTCGGAGGCTTCCGCGGCGACCGTGGCCGTGTTGGACGTGAGTGGCCGTGTTGGACGTGATCGGGGGCGTCTCCGCTGGCATAATCACGAACGCGACGGTGGCATTCGGCTCGGGCAGCGAACGCAACGACAGCGGCAGTCCGCACGCAGGTTGCCGTAGGTAGTAGCGGCAGTGGCGTCGCCAGCGACATCGACAGCAGGGTCTCGGACACGATGGAGGTGACCGTGGCCTTGGTGGACGTGGTCAGCGGCGTCTCCGCCGACATGGACACGGACACGGACGCGATGGTGGCGGGCGACTCGGGCAGCAAGCACAACGGCGGCCGCAGCGCCGTGTGTGCCGTCAACAGCATGGTCTCGGAGGCTTCCGCGGCGACCGTGGCCGTGTTGGACGTGAGTGGCCGTGTTGGACGTGATCGGGGGCATCTCCGCTGGCATGGTCACGAACGCGACGGTGGCATTCGGCTCGAGCAGCGAACGCAACGACAGCGGCAGTCCGCACGCAGGTTGCCGTAGGTAGTAGCGGCAGTGGCGTCGCCAGCCACATCGACAGCAGGGTCTCGGACACGATGGAGGTGACCGTGGCCTTGGTGGACGTGGTCAGCGGCGACTCCGCCGACATGGACACGGACACGGACGCGATGGTGGCGGGCGACTCGGGCAGCAAGCACAACGGCGGCCGCAGCGCCGTGTGTGCCGTCAACAGCATGGTCTCGGAGGCTTCCGCGGCGACCGTGGCCGTGTTGGACGTGAGTGGCCGTGTTGGACGTGAGGCTACATGAAGCAAGGTGTATGCTTAGAGAAGCATATTGTCGCAGCTAGTTGGGTGGATGGCTCAATTGTCAATGTCGTGTCTAATGCCGATGCTTCGACCACATCAACTGTGCATCGTCGTATAAAAGAATCGAGTGTGGCTTTCACTGCTCCTACTTGCGTCGGGGAGTATAACTCAGCGATGCAAGGTGTTGATCGGCTCGACCAACTGCGTGCACGATTTTCTCTAGCCGATGACCACTCATTTCAGAAGTGGCATAAAAAACTAGCGATGGTCATGCTTGATATAGCCAGATGCAATGCCTACATTTGCGATAGTTTGGCGCGTGGTGAGAGCGAGGAGTCTCGTTCGACGGGAGGTACAGCCCAAACGAGGTCAAGAGCCCGCGATAGTCATCGCGCATTTGTGGCATCACTGGTTCGAGAACTGTTCAACGGGGACTGGAAGAAATCTCTGGATAGGGAACATGGAATGGTGTATGCTGCGAAGCCGACAACGACAACAATGCCGACGACGACCCAAACCGCGGCGTCGGCAGATGTATCCGAGTCTTCGGGCGATCACGTTCAAACGTGTGTTGCAAGAGCGTCCTCGGAGGTGCTTCAGGGAAGGAGTCGCTCAATGCGGAAATGCACTGTGTGGAAGTTCGAGGGCAGAGATCCTACCGAGAAAACCGACTACTGCGAGACCCATCGAGTTGCGTTGTGCAAGCGCACATACCCTGTTGACCCAACGAAGCAGCATCTGTGCCAACAGCAAACTTGGACTTGCTGGCAGAAATACCATTTGTTTTACTTGCCGAAGCAAGTGTACACTGTCGATGGCAACTTGCGACGAACCTCTCCAATTTATGTAGCTAACCGTCCATTTCTGAAGGCCCGCCAAGAATAAAAGAAGGCTAACGCAGCCACCAAGGCGTAACCTCACATCATTTTTTCAAGATAGTCAAAGTCAACTAACCATTTATACTTCACTGCACTAAGTCACACCTATTCCATCTGCCCCCGCTAGTCTTGATGCCGTAAATGCGAATTTAGCTCGTGGCTGACAACATACTGTTTTACCACTGGTGCACCATAGCGGCAAGCTAACCACACTCCACTGCGTATAATCCGACAGGATACTGTTAGAAATTCCACCCGCCTCCAACCATAACAATAACTCCCAACTATGTATATGTCAGCGAAGACGCCTCAGACCACATCCAGCACGGCCACGTTCGCCACCACCACGTCTGAGGTCATGCTGCTGACGGCGCTGCCACGGCCGCTGCCCGCGCTGCCCGAGTCGCCCGCTACCATTGCGTCCGACTACATGCTGACGGAGTTGCCACCGATCACCTCCAGTACGGACACGATCTCTACAAAGGACGTCATGCTGTTGATGCCGCTGACGGTACTTCTGGCACCTCTACAACGGTCTCCTTCCGCACTGTCGATGCATTTGCGCACGCTGTCTGGTCACCGGTCACATTCTTGCCAACCTCCGTGCCGGTGGAGGCACACACGACCACCCCCAGCACGACAACGGTCACGCCCAAAGCTTCCGTGGTCATGATGTTGCCGGCGCACACACGGCGCTGCGGCCGCCGTTATGCTTGCTGCCTGAGTCCCCCGCCACCATCGCGTCCGTGGCCGTGTCCATGTCGGCGGAGACGCCCCTGACCGCGTCCTCCAAGGCCACGGCCACCTCCATCGCGTCCGAGACCCTGCTGGCGATGTCGCTGGTGGCGCTGCTGCCGCTACTACCGGCGGCGACCTGTGTGCGGCTGCCGCTGGCGTTGTGCTCGATGATCGCGTCCGTGCCCCTGGGGACACAATAGTGTTGATAGAGATACTACAGAAGACACAATAGCGTGGGGTTTTACCTATCCCTCTTACCTGTATGATTGGTCATAAACGGCGAGGATACTGCCGTGGCTTAGAAAATTGCTGTTTCAGTTATCTAAGTAAAAAGATACTTGATGTATCATTCTGGTAACGATAGGGTTAATAAGGGGTCTCTTGAAATTGGAATAGGAACACCTATGATAAAAACTGATTATATTTCTAGATAAGGTAGAAGAGATTGCTTACACGTATTATGATGGATGTCCCCGACTTGGACTGGATACCGTAGATGACAGAAGCGAAATATGCTGTAATTAGCGGATGTTAGCAACTTCGTAAATCACGACTCAAATTTACGGTCAACATTTTTATGTGTTTAGTTAAAACGAAATCGTCCACAGTGTTAGCATTCGCGTATCTGCCCATTTACGAAATCCAATGACTCCCAGCGATAGAGGTCGCCCTGCTGACACGAGATCCTGGCATGCGCAGCACTATTATACATTGCGCGTCCGGGCGGGTGCACCCGGGGGAGATCACAGTTCGTTAGGCACTGCTTTGTTGCACTTTGCTTTGCTTTGTTGTGCTTTGCTTCGTTGTATTGTGTTTTGTTTTGTTCAGTTGGGTTGTATTGTGCATTGTCATATTGTATTTTGTCGTTCAGGGCGAGACTTTGCTTTATGTTTGAATAACTGCGTATATTTACTTAGAGACCATTCATCACAGTAAACATATAGTCGGTCATATCTTGGCAGCCGATATACCAACCTCATTATAGTCTTGGAGTTTGGTAAGTCACCCAGCGAGAAGACGTCACTGGAGATGAGCCTGGAGAAGGGCGACCACTCACAGGGTAAGTGGACGGGATACTGTTCAGAGATGATGGAGGTGTTCCCATGGGAGATGGTGAATATGACCCATCGCCGACGCGTGTGCTTGATTTGAAGCAGGTCGAGAAAGAGGTACGCCGCCGATACCATGGTTATCTGACTAGGCAGAGAATGGAACTGACTTGATGGGGGGGGGTCGATGACGCTTCGTAGTCACCGTCACCAACCTTCACGGCATCACTTTGGTCTTCTTCGCCTTCTTCACACCCGGCGCGGTCTTAATGTCCGTCCGGAAAAGCTGACCACCGGGACGGGCAGGGTCACGGTCTGTCTTCACCGTTGGGCAGGACTTCTTGAAGTGGCCTGCCTCAAAGCAGTAGAAACACTCAACACAATCCGTGCCCTTTCGCTTCACGCTGACCTACTTGACGGAGCAGATTCTCGTTGCCTTCTTCTTTTCGATGTACGGGACCACCTCTTGACGCGGCTTGTCGCCGATCACACGTCGCAGCCTCATCTCCACATTGGCGACAGTGAATATCGCGTTCGTCATCGAGACAGAACTCGCCCAAAGTTCACTCGGTAGCTGCGACAGGACCTCGATGTATAGCCATGCCTCGTTCACCATCCCCTGACCTACCAGTACCTTAGTCTTCCAGTTGATCTCGTTCCTCAGCTTCTTCAGCCGAGCAAACAGAGACCCAACATCCTTCGAGTTGGATGCCAACACACGGCCCCACTGCTTCATCAGTTCGTTGATGTCGCCGCATCTCCCAGACCATAAGCCTGCTCTAGAAGCCCCCACACCTCACATGGGTCCATCATCGAGACAGTGTCCGGGAGGGTGGACAGGAACCCATTCGGCAGCGACTGGTTGAACAGGTTCTGTATGGCCGTGCGGGCCCGGTTCCAGTGCGCTAGCTCCCAGCGCCCATCATGCACTACCTCCGCTGTCGCATCATCCCCAGAGAGGACGACTGGCTTCTCAGGTCGACCATCGAGGAACGTAGCCATGAGGACCCTGGCGTCCGGTAGCTCCTACTCCAGCAACTTTCTAAGGTACGCTTGACCGAGGTCGTCGATGTGCGTGCGCACCTTATCTTCCCACATAGTGAACTCTTGCTTGTTGCCGGAGAAGCGCTCCAGGCCCAGCGAAGAGTTGGGCTTCAGACTTTGAGTCATCTTGGGCGAGGGAGAGAGTCTTGGTCGTAATTGAAATGTTGCACTTGTTGTTTGGCTGTCCGTTTTGAACTGAGAGAGGCGCGGGCATTGGGCTGTCCCGATACCTATCTCTCCTCCAGTCATTGCATCCCTCGGCAGATAGTTTTTCGGATGTGCAGCTCCTTTCGGCTGATTGGATAATATGAGGCGAGGCGGGTGAACGCCTTTATCATCCAGGATGTATAGCGTTCGTCCGGTAGGCTTAGACCCGGGAGGGTTTAGCTTACGGAAATCCAAAACGTACAATGAATATAAGCTCCGGCTGGCGTGTGATCTAGTGGAATCTGTGAAAAGGCTCGGTGGATTTCGCCACCAAACCCATGCCCAGCTGACCCATATCAATCAGGCAGACTTTAAGTGCGTCATGGCCGCGATGGATCTGGACCGCCAACTGTCGGGCACGAGCCGTGTGACGAAGGAAGCTGAGACCGAGGTCTGGGCGGAGCGCCGCTCAGATCCTGGGCTTGAGCGAAGTTTGTCTGGGACCCGAGATGTCTGGCGTTGGGTATCCCAAGTCCGAGCTGAGTCCGGAAGCTGAGAGAAGCTACGCGGAGTCTGAGCTGAGCCTCGAGTGTGATGGCCGGAGTCCCCGCTCAAGTCGAGAAGCTGAGCGGAGCCGGGTGGAGTTTGAGCCCAACCCCCCCAGTGGTTATGGAGCCGTCGTCCACGATGCCGAGCTGAGTCAAGGAGCAGGTGTCCGGGCGAGGTGGTGCCGAGCCCGAGTCTAGCTTCTACTGTGGTCATGGAGTCTTCACCCAAGTCGACAAGCTGGCCGAGGACGAAGGTCTGAGCGGAGGGACGTGGGGTCCGAGCCCAGCCTCGAATGTGATGTTTGAAGTCTTTGCCCAAGTCGAGAAGCCGAGTGGAGTGGCATGGGCCTGAGCGGAGTTGTTGGAGTCCAGTTGAAGTGCCTTGTGACGAGTCGCTGAACTTAAATCCAGACCGTGGTACTGACGGCGAAGTTGGTGGTACCGGCGAGTACACTCATACGGTGTATCATCCAGGAGCCTGCCTACATTGGGTGCGACCGCTCAAGATCGCGGACACTTCAAGCAGATCTCAACAGCCTGCAGCAGCTACACGATGACGCGCACCGGCGTGGAGCCGCCGCATTGGCCAAGACCAAAGATTTTGGACGGATCTGCAAGGACGCCCGGTAAGTATACAACCGACGCTCTTCGCGCAGCAAGTCAGTGTGTACCCAGGAGGATATTGCGCCCAGTCCTAGTTTGTGCATGTGTAAACATTTAAACAGAGTTCGTTTTGCCCCGAAGGACGCAATTGGTGGAGGTCTTTGGCCAGAAGGTGTCTTGGCGATCATTCACACAAATTCAAGCTAACATATCAACGTTGTCAGAGTACTTCGGTGCGACGGCAGTACAGTTATTTCATCTTACTGGTACATCTTAGGGTGTATTTCATATTTTCGGGTGGAAGGTGATCCATTCTGAGGGTTTTGCAGGGTAATTGTATTGTGTGCTTGGGGACATTGGTGTACCCCGGTGCATTTTCTGATTATTAGTATCGGTTCATTGTGGGCCTGGTGCGCGGGTAGTCCCAGGGTTTGTGCGAGTGCCTTGGATCTAGGCTCAAACCGAGTCACTAACTCCAGACCGGGTCGTTGATTGACTCGACGAGAAGAAAGGAGAAGCTGGTACGATCCTCGCCCAGGCTCAGAGAAATAAAGGCGAACTCGGCCCAGACCCAGGCCGGCCGAGAAAGAAGGGGTGTTGTGATTATGAGCCGGAACCAAAGAGAGGAAGTGGAGGCTATATTCTGTGTTGTGTCGTGTTCATTACGGAAAACCCGGAGCATGTCGGGCTGTGGACACGTGCGGACTGGGGCTTGCCAAGTGGAGAGCAAGTTTCGTCTGGGAACACCTCCGGAGACCTTCAACATCGACAGCAGCTTGTGTGGCCGACGCAAGTCTGGGCCCACAGCGTAGCCGTGATCAAAAGAACCGCCAAGGGGATCCCAGAGTGAGGAACACACGCCTCGCCCGACCCGAGTCGGAGCTGAGCCAAGCGTTCAAGCGGCTAACTCCAGCGAAGTGGGTGGGAGTGCTCGCTCAGTGGAAGGAGCTCTTGCAGCGCTAAGCAGGGCTGAGCCAAGTGGTGCAGGGCTGAGCGAGGGCCAAGGTCGAGCGGTCTAGTAACCTGAGAAAAGAGCACGGGCGCTTCGTCACAAATCCCTATGTGGCGAAGTGGATCCGCGAAATTTGCAGATCGCGGGGGTCCTCTTGCACACGGCGCCCGAACTGCCGACTAACGGAGGGGGTACTCCGATCTCCCGTGAAGTTGCTGATCCTCACCTTGTGTACCCGTCGGTGGGCTGGATCGCTCTTCGGGTGATCTCGAGAAGACGCGCTTGGGGTTGAGTCTTGGACTGTCTGGTGGACAGCGGGAACTTGTGGCAGCAACGCGGATATGCTTCACGCTGTGCCGGAGTAGTTGTGGCGGTTTCGGTCTGGGGTTGTCTAGATCGACAGGTGTGATCTTGGCCTGGGGTTGCCTTGTGGTCGGTGTGTGACCTTCCTTTCCTTTCCTTGCTTGCCGCTTCCTCTAGCGGTGGGTCATCACAAGATCACGACCTTCATCAGAGCGCTTCGATGGCGGGCAGTAGAACAGCAATCCAGCTTCGTCGACCTCGTAGTCATCGACAATCTTGGCACACGCTTTAGTTTCCGCCGAGGTAAGGTCCTGCACGTCCCCACGTAGATACTTCTTGAGATCGGCAATCCACTTCTCTTCATCCTGCGCCTGGCAGATGCGCTCCGTCCGCATTCGTTGTACCATCAACTCATCCAACACTTGTGGGGCTGCTCGTCTCCTCGATCTCGTAACCGCCGCGATCTTGATCACCGCCGCGTCAGATCGAGGAACCAATAATTCGTCGAGTCGGTTGAGCGTCCCCAGATCTTCGCGTTCTCCGTCTGCTGAAACGACTGATCCACCTTCCCGTTGCAGTGCTGCGCTTGCAAGTCGATCTGCACTCTGGTTCCAGTCACGCTTCATGTGAAGAAATGCGTGGTTGGGCCAAGATCGCAATCGTTCCATGGCCTTCTGACGTAGTAGTACCAACCTCGGAGCCTTGCACTCGATCTCTCCACGCATCTGACGGATCACCAAGTTGGCGTCGCCACAGATAATTAGGCGCCGCCCCCTGCCCAGGTTTGCTAGAAGATCGAAACAGAGGAGCAATCCATGGTACTCCGCCTCATTCACCGTTAGATCGATCTTGTACTCAGATGCGGCGGAGATTACCTTCCAGTCGGGCAAGCCCCACACAATCGCGCTGTAAGCCCCCCACTTCGCTTTACACGAGCCGATCCATCAAAGCTAACCACCAACAGTTCTTCATCAATCTCCACCGTAGGAGGTGGCATCGTGACAGCTTGTCGCGGTCGTTTCCGAGGAGAGATCGACGTTAGGATTGAATCGACATCTTATCGGGGCGTGATACTTGCGGCTATTACTCCCAAAATCTCATCGTCTCCTTTCGTGCATTTCACGATTTCCAATGTCCACGACGACAGTAGCGCCGCCCACCGGCCAAGGCGTCCCTGCAAACCGGAAGAATGCACCAGCCACGCCAATGTTGAGTATCGGGTCAGGACCTTGATCGATCTGGTAACCAGTTGCGTGTAGCAGACATCCAACATCCGGAGCAGTGCCAAAACCTCCTTATCCACCATTCCATAGTTGATCTCGTTCGGCTTGAGCGTGCGGCTGGTAAAGGTGATTGGCCTGTCCACCCCATCGTGCTCCTGCATCAACGCCGCAGAGATCGCCCACTTGCTGGCGTACACTACGACCACTGGTTCCCGATCTGGGTCAAAGTGCTGCAGGATCGGCGCCTTCACGATCGGCGCCTTCACGATCTTGTCCTTCAACACCGTAAATGCCGTGATGGCTCGACCCCACTTGTCACTGTCAGCTTGGCGTTCACCAGCTTCGACTTCATCTGCGCCGACCTCGATCTTGGCTTTCCGAGTGATCTCATAGAAGTCGGCCTCACGAAGTTCGTACAGCACTGAAGCGTAGATCGCGAAGTCCTCGATGAACCTGCTGTAGTAGTTGAGACTGCCTAAGAATGACTGCATCGATCTCAGGGTGGTCGGAAACGGCAGATTGGCCAATGCTGATAGATCCTTCGGGTGAACTTCCAGTCCTTCCGCAGATACTCGATGTCCCAAGTAGTCGACCTTCTTCAATCCCCAAAAGCTCTTGGCCACGCTGATCGGCAAGTTCCATTCCTCGCAGACATCTAGCGGCTTCTCCACCTTCTCACACAGCGTATCCCACGAACCGGCCGTGACCAAGATGTCATCGATATAAGATCGACGGCCCAGGACAGATGTCTTCTGCTCTACGTTTGGTTCTCCGTCCTTGACCAGATCGATCTGTCCCTGTCGATCTTGGTTGTCCGTGATCTTGAGGAAGCCGTAGAGTGCGTTGTCGATCAGCCGCTGATAGATCTGTGGCGCGTTCTTCAGTCCAAATGGCATTCAGTTCCACTCGTAGAGTCCCCATGGAGTGATGAACGCGGAGATCGCACGAGCTCGATCTGTCATCGTTACCACCCAGAAACCGCTAGCCATGTCCAGCGAGCAATACCAGAGCACCTTGTCGAGATCCTCGAGGAGATCGTTGATCAGCGGCATCGGGTAGACCATTAAACGTGTCAGACTGTTGACCAGACGGTAGTCAATACAGAGTCTGATGTCGACCCCGTTCTTCTTGACGATCACCACGATCGGTGATGCCCAAGGGGACGTTGAAATCATGATCATCTTGGCCGACAGGAGCCCCTTGATTAGCTGCTCCAGCTTCTCGCGGTACTGTGGCGCCACTTTACGGCAACGCTGAGCGACTGGCTTCGCGTTTCCGACGTCAATGTCGCAGATCGCACCTTTTGCGGCCGGTGGTAAGGCATTTCCCTTTCCAATAAGCAAGTGCTTCCGGCGCCAGATGATCTTCCGCAGCCGGTCGATTTCCTCCGGCGTGTTTTCGCCAGGATCACCAACTTGGATATCCGTGATCACGACTTCGTCAGTCGCGGTGAACTCCGGGAGCACTGCCATTTGACCTTCGATATCTTCCGCGTAGAGATCACCGCCTTCCGTGATGCAGACTTCAGGATCTTCCGGGTCAACTGCATTTGGACGTGGATCAGCTTCAAGATCACTTCCCGACGCGTGTTTACGCGTCTCGTGACTGACGCTGGGGCTCGCTGGATTTTCGTTCGTTTCGACCCGTCGATCTCGATTAGACGCCTGATTTACGCCTGTCGCACCACCGTAATCATGATGAGACGCCTGATTTGCGCCAGTCGCAACCACTCGATCTTGATGAAACACCTGATTTCCACCCGTCGCAACCACTCGATCTTGATTAGATGCACCATGTCGCACCGACTGGGGCCGATCGCAGCCTTGATCTTCCAAACAATCCGTGTCGCACGCTGTATTTCCAGCGTCGTAATCACCCGATGGTCTCTCCGCCCCCTGCGAAGTGGCGAAATCATGGCGCGTTTCTCCCGTGCCGAATTCATCGCTGTTCTTGGGCTGCTCGTCCCTGCCGGGCGTCGAGTAAGACGCGGTGGGGTTGCCGTACGACTCTTCCGGGTTGGAATCGTCGGGGCGCTTGGACGCCACGCACTCGGTGTGCACAGTGGCCACCTCTACACTTTTCGCTGGCCGGGTCAAGATCGCCGTCGGCGTTGTGTACTGCGGCCGCTCCACAGCAGACCCCTGCACGTCGGCGGGCTCAGGCACGTCCTTGGTAGCATCGGTGGTTGCTTGGTACGCGAAGTTCCGCCACTCCGCGTACCTGCGAGATCCAACGGAGACATACCCAGGTAAGCGCGGCACTCGATCTCCGGCCAGCCACATCGCGAGTCGCGTACCCTGATGCAGCACTAACTCGCGATCGCTCACGTTTGTCAGTTGCAGGTAGCGGATCTTGCCCGATCCACCAGTCACGGTAGGCACCCACCGATCGCCGCGCGTAACCCAGAGTTTCTGATGCTCTGTTGATCTTGTGCGCCGCTTCACCTCAACGGTTCCCGCTATGTCGATCTCGCGGTAACCGGTCAAGGTCACCTGCTCCACCTTGTCTCCGTAGAGCGGACGTCTCCCAGCGAGCTGGATCCGCACTTCGTCAGGCAGGCAGATTGTCCCGTCGGCAAGATCGAGGCGGATACCCGCCGGTACCATGAAGTCCATGCCGATGATTAAGTCCTGACCGCCGGTCGGCGGACCCACCCAATCATCGAAAAAATACACAAGTGATCCAGCGAGCGTGATCTTGACCCGTGCACGTCCTTCCGCCATGTATGGAGATTTTCCGACGCCTTCGCACTCCAATGTCTGACTTTCGTCAATGTAGCACCCCACCTTACGAGAAAAGGCGGTGTCTAGGATAGACACTTCGGCACCACTGTCAAACAACAGAGTAGCTTTTTCGTTGTTGATCTTTCCTACAGCTTTCGCTTGCTTGAACTTCTTGTCAGGCACATGGTATTTCCAGTAACCACGCGACTCCCCCAACGCAATATCCAAAGCCATCTTCACGCTCGATCTTGAGTAGTCATCAACTTGGTGAAGACTTGACATGGCAGCCGTAGGTTTCTTTTGAAGATACCATGTATTGTCGATGGGTTTGCTTACAGTCGACTGCGACTGCTTCTCGACATACGCAAAGATGCAGAACTGAGAACGCTCGTCTCGTACCGGATTCCAACCCGGCGAGCGTCCTAGTTTAACATCTTCTCCGCGGACTCGGGCAACATGCCCCCGTGCTTGGTGGGATTGTACCACTGGCGGATCAAATTGTAAAATTCCTCCATCGGACAGCTTCCTTCGTCGTGGATTTTGCCGCAGGCCTTGCAGACAAAGAGACAGCGATCTGACGGGTGACCATGCTTGCCACATTTTTCACACGTCAGCTGCTTCCAGCATCCCAGATCGTCGTGTTTGGTAGACCCGCAATGAGTGCACCGCTTGAGGGGCGGCCCCATGTCGATCGATTTAGAGAGATGTCCCGGTCGACGATCTTGACGGCCTCGATCTTGATCCGGTGGACGCCGATCTCGGCCGGCCGAGCGATGTTCAGTCGTTCCATGATCGTTACTGGCTGAAGTCGCGTACACTCGGCGCAGATCTCCCTCTTCATCCGAGTCGCTGGATCCTGCATCCAAGTCACTGCTGTCGCTCTGCACCTGAATCGCTCGTACCGCGCGAGCACCGGCGGCGGCTTGCGGCTTCGGGCGGGGCTCAATCGAGCCGTACACCGTCTTGCTCTGTCGCGCTTCGGCACGCTGGCGAGATCGCAAAACTTCTTCCAGAGTGTCCGCGTCGGGAATCCGAAGCAGGGCAAGCTGGTCCGCTAGATCGCGATCATCCAAAGTCTCGATAAAGTGTTCCACATGTTCCCGGCGCACGTCCGGCGGTCCGTCCTTGACTTGTAGACGTGTCCGCAGGCCTACGACGTTGAACCTGTGGAGGTACTCCAGAGGCGACTCGTCAGATCGTTTCCGAGCATGGTAGTACTGGCGGGCAACCGAGACACCACGCCCACAATACTGGACCTGGAAACTCTGGAGCAGGTCTTTCCACGTGGTACGAGTTGTTCGGCTCAGCTGCCTATACCAGGTTCGCGCTGGACCAGTGAGCAAATCACCGAACGCCAGACACTTCTCATCATCAGGCGCTTGATCGCGGACGAAAGCCGATCTTACCTTGCTGACCCAAGATCGAGCTCGATCTTCGTCGCCGTCCTTTCCGGAAAACTCCTTCAGTTCCGACATTGCACACACACGAATGCGTGGTGCGGTCCCAGTTCCTCCAGGCGAAGCAGTAGCCGTTGTTGCTACCGCCGCGCGGATAGGCCAACTGAGATCGAGGTCGTCAGGATCAAACTCCCCTGACGCAGAGTGTCGGTTTGGTGATCCAACCGACTCCATCTCGACATCTTGATCTTCGGTCGGTCGCGACTTCAGCGCGACACCAAGTAGCTGCTGCTCCTTCAGAAAACGTTCCATGGCCGCTTGGAAGAACGACTCGAGTCTTTCCGGGGAGTGTCGCACTGAAGTTGCTACGCCCTTCGGCTCTCGCGTTGGCACAACCACCTCACGCTCAGCACGTTCAGCTCGACTTCTTAACATAGCGGCACCGGAAGGGTCTAGCGTCATGCGCGGTGGCGGATCATCGACACTGTCAGATTCCACGTCTTCTGTTGCAGACACGTACGGAGATGACGTCGGAGTTTGGCCACCCGGATTGGGCGCAGGCGTCGATCTGGCGGGTGTCGATCTCGATAGCGTCTGGGGCGATCTTGATGTTTCTTTCAAGGATCGACTCGACTCACCGACCAACGGCTTCAGTAGCAGGAACAGCCTCTGGGCCGAGTTCTGGATCGTACTGAGCTTCAGATGGAACAGGCTTTCCACATCCAGCACTCCTGCGATGATACCAACTTCCTTGAAGAGCCGTAGCAGCGTCTGAACGGCATCCAACTTGTCCGATCCAGGGGTCGGCTGTGACACCGGTCCCGCAAGATCGCCGAGGAGGTTTGGCCGGAGGAGCTTCATCACATCGTCCTGAAGCAGGAAAGCGTGCAGCTCCTTCTTGTAGTACGTTACAGCGAGTTGATCCTCAGCCACGGTCAGTGTGAGATCGGCTCGATCGTCAGTATCGGAGTCTGGAGCCTTCATCTTCTTCCGCGACGACTTCGATCTTGCTGGCTTCTTCTTGGTCGATCTAGCGCGGTGTGGTTGGGTTCCGGCTTGCGCCGGTGGACTTTCGTCCGGCAGGCCACGATTCCCATCGTGCCCTGCGGGGGTCCCCGAGGGGACCTGGGGAGGAGGTTGAGGCTTTTCTTTTAGGTCCGTTGCCGGGCCTTCCTCTGTTCCGTCGGTAGAGCTCCTCCCTAGGCTCTGCTGATCCGCGGATCGATCATGTTTCAGCGGTGTCGACGCCTATCCGATCTCTGTAGACGCTTCATTCCCTTGTCCAAACTCGGCTTGCGCATACTCTTGGAGGGACTCACGGTGAAATCCCGAGTCACTCAAAGATCCGGGCACGCGCACCATTGTGGCGAAGGGGATCCGCGAAATTTGCAGATCGTGGGGGCCCTCTTGCACACGGCGCCCGAACTGCCGGCTAACGGAGGGGGTACTCCGATCTCCCGTGAAGTTGCTGATCCTCACCTTGTGTACCCGTCGGTGGGCTGGATCGCTCTTCGGGTGATCTCGAGAAGACGCGCTTGGGGTTGAGTCTTGGACTGTCTGGTGGACAGCGGGAACTTGTGGCAGCAACGCGGATATGCTTCACGCTGTGCCGGAGTAGTTGTGGCGGTTTCGGTCTGGGGTTGTCTAGATCGACAGGTGTGATCTTGGCCTGGGGTTGCCTTGTGGTCGGTGTGTGACCTTCCTTTCCTTTCCTTGCTTGCCGCTTCCTCTAGCGGTGGGTCGAAGTGAGGGTTGACGGACGCTGGGCCAAGCTATCCTGGCGTCCGAGGTTCCTTGATCTTGGGGTGTAAGTCGACTTGCATAGCGTCGGGTGGGCCAAAGTATATCCCGTGCCCGGTATTGCGAAGGCGAAGACCACTTGTGAAGAAGGAGGTAAAATCAACTCTGTTTAAAATGTTAGCTTGTCCTAAGTCCTTGTCCTATCGTTCTCCTGCACTCCTGCGCTCGTGCGGTCTGTGCGCGTGCTCTCTAGCTCCCTTGAACGTTGGTGGTGTCGCTGGCTCTCTGCCCGGTGTCTGCGCAATCCGTGCGGTCGAGATCATCACTCTTTCTCCAAGATCGCGTCATCCCCGCCAAGATCGATATCGTCGACTTGGATCGATTACGCCGGGGTTTGGCTCTCAAGCACCTCCAGAGATGTTGTTCACCTTGATGTTGCCCCCTTGACCTTCTTGCTGGTTACTATCGTGCCAGACTACGCGTCGCCACGCTTTGCCGATCTTGGTCCACACTGTCGATCTTGGCCATCTTGTTGATCTTGGGTATCCGCGCGAAAATATCTCCATCCACTACACCACACCTATAGGTGTCGTTTATCTTCGTCGGATCGAGTTTTAACCTTGGAAATCGCAATTGATCAAAGATACAGGAATACAGAGAACTTCCGGACTCGTTCCGGGAGGCCAGAATGGGAGTGAGATCACGAGCAAATACCTTCTCCAAAATAACCAGTTTGAAATCCAACGAGAACCGGGACGTCGACAAATACAATGTGGAAAGAACGCCAGCTACTACTAGTAGCTCCAAGAGCGAAAATGGCTTCAGCAAGCTCGTCCGACGGCATACAAAGACTTACACTTCATGCGTGGGACGTTTGCTTCTGTCGCGCGATTGTTCCCATGACAGACCGCAGACGCCGAATGTCACCAGTAATCTTCGAAGCGATGATTTTCTGGAGTCAAACCGTGATTTCTGGGACTCGCGGCTTGCCGCGAAGGTTACTAGCAGCGCCAACACCGAGTGAAAGGCTCATGTAATCCACAATTGAGTAGTTCGACTTTTACTGTATATTGTACTGCAATACCCCGTGTTCATGCAATTGGGTATTTTGTATTGCTATCGTACTGCAGATTTGCATTTACTTGCAGCACTTTCCGGCAGTATAGACCAATATATTTTTTCCAATCACTGATTGGTTTATCGAAAATGTAGCAGCTGGTCGCTACAAACCCAGCAAATCTCGGCTCGTTTTGTCAAAATCATTGCAAAGGGAAATGGGTTTAAATTGATCTGTATTTGCACGTGACATGTAGCGACCGTAAATCGATGACAAAACTCGCTTAAGTGCGAAATACTTTCCGGAGTTTAGTCATAAACTCGCGAAAAAGGACCAAAATAGACTTTTTGGTGAGTGCAATCACGCCCGGGTAAGTACGAGAAGTCATTTGTAGCATGTACATAACGTTAGATTGTATGTGAGGCGGCTGAATGTTGTGAGCGGAACATGATTGGCTGTCCAAAGATACCTGATAAAACGGAAATCAGCCAATCAAACCCAGATCTTTCGTTTCTGATTTTCCCACCGGAAGATCGACAAGTCTCCGATGCAGCTCTTCCTACTGCCGTCGCTGCTGCTCTTGCTGGCCTCCGCGGGCCATGCCGCCTCCATTCCCCGGGCGTGCTCGGACACCGAGCACCAAAAGTTCCCCTTCTGCGACGCCTCGCTGTCCACTTCCGAGCGCGTGGAGGACCTGCTGCGTCGCCTGCCGCTGGACGAGAAGGTGACGCTGCTCACGGCGCGTGCCAGTCCCAAGGGCAACATGAGCAGCATCGGCCTGCCCGAGTACAACTGGGGCGCCAACTGCGTGCACGGCGTGCAGTCGACGTGCGGCACCAACTGCGCTACGTCCTTCCCGAACCCCGTGAACCTCGGCGCCATCTTCGACCCGCAGGCCGTGTTCGACATGGCGCAGGTCATCGGCTGGGAGCTGCGCGCGCTGTGGCTCGAAGGAGCCCGAGAGAACTACGCCGCAGGTCCGCACCTGGGTCTGGACTGCTGGTCGCCCAACATTAACATCAACCGAGACCCGCGGTGGGGACGCAACATGGAGACCCCGTCGGAGGATCCGCTGGTCAACAGCAAGTACGGCGTGGCCTACACGAGGGGCCTGCAGGAGGGCAAGGACAAGCGCTTCCTGCAGGCAGTCGTGACGCTGAAGCACTACGCCGCGTACTCGTACGAGCACTACGACGGCATCGACCGCATGGCGTTCAACGCCCAAGTGTCGAGATACGACTTCGCAGACACGTACTTGCCGGCCTTCCACGCCTCGGTGGTGGAGGGTAAGGCAAAGGGGGTTATGTGCTCGTACAACAGTGTGAATGGGATGCCCATGTGTGCCAACGAGCAGTTGAACACCAAGTTGCTGCGTGAGGCGCTGGGCTTCGATGGATACATCACCAGTGATTCGGGTGCGATTGAGGGCATCTACCGGCAGAGACACTACACAAAGTCGCTGTGCGAAGCTGGTCGGTTGGCGATTATGTCCGGAACGGATGTTAACAGCGGCAGCGTGTACAAGAAGTGTCTCGCGGACCTCGTCACCAGTGGTCAGCTTCCTGAGAAAGCTGTGGATGACGCGATGCGCAGGACCCTCAAGTTGCGCTTCGAGCTGGGCTTGTTCGACCCCATTGATGACCAACCGTACTGGCACGTTGCTCCTAGCGAAGTGGGCAAGACCGAATCCAAGCAGCTGAGTCTCGAGCTGACGCGCAAGTCGATCGTTTTGCTTCAGAACCACGGCAACGTCTTGCCCCTAAGGAAAGGAAAGAAACTGGCGGTGATTGGACCCCATGCGAAGGCCAAGCGTGCTCTGCTGGGGAACTACCTGGGCCAAATGTGCCACGGCGACTACCTGGAGGTCGGATGTGTGCAGACGCCGTTGGAGGCGATCACCGCTGCCAACGGCGCTTCAAACACTGTGTACGCCAAAGGTTCCGGTATCAACGACACGTCTACCGCAGACTTTGACGCGGCTGAAGCGGCTGCACGTGGAGCGGATGCTGTGGTCTTGTTCTTGGGGATTGACACCTCCATCGAGCGTGAGGCGTGGGATCGCGAAAACATCGACATGCCCAACATTCAAATGCAGTTGCTCAAGCGAGTCCGCCGTGCAGGCAAGCCGACGGTGGTGGTGCTCTTTAACGGCGGCGTGGTCGGCGCAGAAGAGCTCATTTTGCATACCGACGGTGTCGCGGAGGCGTTCTACCCCGGCTTCTTTGGTGCACAAGCTGTGAGTGACATTCTGTTTGGCGATGCCATCCCAAGCGGCAAGCTTCCTGTGACCATGTACCCGTCCAACTACATCAACAGCGTGGACATGAAGAGCATGAGCATGACCAAGTATCCGGGCCGCTCGTACCGGTACTACAAGGAGGTGCCTGTGTTTCCGTTTGGTTGGGGGCTCAGCTACACTAAGTTCACGTTGGCTCTCGACGGTGAGATGCCGGACGATCCCATTGTAATCACACGTGACTTGGACCAGACCGTCACGGTTATCGTGTCGAATGACGGTGATCTTGTCGGGGATGAGGTCGTGTTCGCATTTTTCCGTCCACTGAACGTCAACGCGACTGGCGACGCTGCTCTGCTGAACGAACAGTTGTTTGACTACCGTCGCGTGAGTCTTCGCCCCACGCAGTACCGCAAACTGACCTTCCGCATCCAGCAAAGTACCCTTGCGATGGTTGACGACTCGGGTAACAAGGCCAGCTTCCCAGGCTTTTATGAGGTCATCATCACGAATGGAGTTCACGAGCGCGTGACCTTCGCCATTCACTTGGTTGGCAAGTACGAGACGCTGAATGTTTTCCCGACGGATGAGGGCTACATCTCACCGCAAACCCAACGTGATACGGAAACCTTCAGTGACATCCAGCTTGATGCGGCTTTTGATAACGTCCCTGTGCGCCCGCGCGAGGAGCAGCAGCCTGCTGTCGCTGTCGCGATGGCATTTGACTAACTCAATGTGTCACCCGCACAAGTAGCGACGCTAATAAATGCATCCAATGCAGAGTTGTTTTACATGTTTCGATCTCCAGTCTTGTCTCGCTAGTCTCCTCGTATGGTGCAACTTGGTCACGGGTGGTGACTGTGCACAGTGTTGAAGTATCGATCTCCAAAGTCGCCGATACCCGGCGTCAGATACTTCGCATTGTTCAGGCCTCGATCCACACCGGCTGTCACAACCTTCACATCTACACAAGCAGCAACAGGGTCAGCACAAATCGGCATTACGGGTCGGATCAAACGCTTACCGGGGTGTGCAGCGAAGAGGGCGTCGAGGCCCTCGGGACAAGAGAGGACATTCAGAAAGGTTATGCGGTCCTCATCGACGCCTGCATCGAGCAAGGTCTGCGAGTCGGGGGGGGTGAGTACTGCAACGTTGGATTCGAGCTATTTGCTCTCTCTCACCTTGATAGCCATCGTGATGCTTCCTCCAGTCCCGAGCATAGGATCGACCACCAGCACATTCTTAAATGTCGCTACATTGGGAGGCAGCTTCGAGTAGTACATGACTGCATGCTTGTCCTCGGAACTCTCATCACGCTGAATCAGGATCTTCCCTGCAGCACGAATTGAGAGGTACATCTGCAGTTGAGAAATACTAAACACCAAGCTTTAGGACCGTCCGATTATCGTACCCACAGCGATGGTCGGATCACACGAGATCACCGCTTGCAGAAGGCTACACCCAGCTCGAATGATGGACACCGCACACACGCTCTCCGCTGGAGCGACACCGGTGACAGAGTCGCCCGTAGGGGTCACGACTGTCGTTGTCGTACTCGCACAGGACGCCAAGCCTTCCTCCGCTAAAATTCTGCGATTTCCTCGACAACAAGTTTTAGTAAAATCTTCTCTAAGCTAGCAACTGAAAAGCAAGGAAGTACCTCATGAGGCGGTCGGAGTAGTGCTTGAACTGCATGTGCGTCGTAGCCCTATCGCGGATCTTGGTCAAGAGCGGCTGCAATGCCCGGCTATTGAGCACGTAGAGGCTCGGGTGCTTGGCTTCCATCTCCTTCGCTAGTTCCTGGCTCCCCATGCTTCTGCGATCTATTGCACTGAAGTCGCAATGCCGAAACGACCTTAATGATCCCTGGAAGGCTAGGATTTATTACCGTAGTCGCATCATGATGTAGCATCACACGGCTACGACCAATCCGCTTGGATCTGAAGGGGGCACGTCGCTTTTGTCATCGCCCAGCGGTGTGCCGTTTAACGGGCCCGCTGGAGCTTCCAGGTATGCAACATTACCACGATGAATGCGAACGCATGGCGAAGCCTTGAATTCATTCCAACGGCAATGCCGGCGCGGTTAAATAGATGAAAGGGGTCAAGCCATTCAAGGGCAAACTATGGCGCACTAAAACGTCTCGAATATGCTACGCTAACGTTATTGCTATCAGTACTACCCATCTACACTTCCCCCCTCAGCATTAGTCGGTCCTGCAAATGCACTACACAGTGTTGTAGTAGCGGTCACCGTAGTCGCCGAGGCCGGGTAAAATGTACTTGTTGGCATTCAAGCCGATGTCCAGACCGGCAGTCACAACCTTCACATCTGTACATTCGAATAAAGAGCACACGCACGCACGCACAGCATTAGGAAAACCCCATCAACACCATACCCAACAAACCAAGCAGTACGTTACCTGGGTACGCGTTGAAAAGCGCCGCGAGTCCCTCTGGGCAAGAAATGACGTTCAGGAACGTAATCTTCTTCTGCTCCACGCCCGCGTCAATCAGAGTCTGCAACAACGCACCCACACGTAAAGTCCAAACAGTTAGCAACCAGCTCCATCAAACCGTTGTCACAACTGCGCTGCAGTCCGTCCACACTCACCTTGATCGCCATGTTGACGCTGCCTCCCGTGGCCAGCATCGGGTCCACCAGCAGCACGTTGTCCAGCGCCTGGACGTTGGGCGGCAGCTTGGAGTAGTACATGATCGGGTGCTTGTCCTCCGACTTCTCGTCGCGCTGGATGAGGATCTTGCCCACGGAGACCGTCGGGTCGCACTCGATGATGGACTGCAGCAGGCTGTCGCCCGCGCGGATGATGGACACGGCGCAGACCTTCTCGGCCGGCACGAGGCCCGTGAACGAGTCGCCCGTGGGGGTCACCACCGTCTGCGTCTTGTTAGCGCAGGCCGCGAGCCCTTCCTCGGCCAGGATGCGCATCAGGCGGTCGGCGTAGAACTTGAACTCTGTCGGCGTCGTCTTCTCGTCGCGCAGCTTGATCTGCAGCGGCGCCAGCGCGCGGTACCGCAGCACGCTCAGGTTCGGGTACTTAGTCTCCATCTCGCTGATCAACTGGGCGCTCGCCATGGTGTCGGAGGGTGGTGGGTTGCTCGGTGGAAAATCGCAACTTGCGCTGGTCGACTGGCTGGTCAAGCGCAGCTTCAAACCACCGCGGGCCTGTTTTTCCTCAGATTGGAAGAACACGCGGGGACGGATGTCATGGCACAGAAGGTATATGAAAACCGGAAGGGGGGTCACGCACCTGTGCAGATAGAAGCGCGACTGGCGCTTCAACCACAGTATCAGTTGCCCCATCGTAACATGTGAACACCTTACTTACAATTTATACTTATAGGTCGCTGGGATCTAGTACTTGCGCTCCATCCAGTAGCTGAGCGCGCCGACGAGGATGTCGTAGCTGGCGGCCACGGCGATGTACGTGACGACGTCGCTGCCGCCGCTCACGTTCAGGCGCTGGACGTGCTTGTAGCGCTCGCACGGAACGCTGAGCGTGCTGCTGCAGATGGAGGCGCGCGACGGCCCCGAGACCTCACTCAAGGTCATGTAGTGGAAGTTGGGGTCGCCCGGCGGCGACTTGGGCTTCTGCAGCGAGATGGACGTCGTCACCTTGCCCTGCGAGATGACCTCCGACATGAGCAGACAGCGGTACCCCTGGCTCTTGGACTTCTTGACGAAGCACACGTTCTCCTGCCGCAGGCCGCCGTTCTGTACGTCGGGCACCATGCGCTTGACCGCCACCATGTGGTGGACACCGCCGGCGTACTTCTTGAGCGACAGCGTGAAGATCTCGCCGTAGTTGACGTGGCGCAGCGACCACTGCTTGCGGGACACGCGCTCGATCTCGAACAGCTTGCGGCGCCCGAAGCCGTACACGTTGCACCTCTTGAGGCCGTGCATGGGGCGAAACTCGCGCTTGTCCAGGATGTAGATCGTGTCTGTGTAGTAGGACAACACGCCGCGTGACCTCATGAGCGTCTCACTCGCGACCGTGGACTGGCGCGGCTGGTTCCTTGTTTGGGCCTGTTCGCGGAAGAACTCGCCGTAGCGCTGCACCGACTTGTAGTAGGTGTCGCACATGCACGGCGCGTCGGACGCCGGCGTCTTGTTGTGCGACTGGAGGAGCTTTTCGATCTCACGACACAGCGTGGACCCCTTCGACGCGCCGACCAGATCCAGATACGTGGGGCTCATGAGCACCGCGTCAACGTCCGAGATGGCCTCCAGCACGTCCCTGACCTCAGTCGAGATCTGCGCAGGCAACGCGTACATTCGCTTCAGCGATCCAATGAAGCCGCCCTTGAGGCAGTTCATCTCGATGAACCGCAGCTGGTCGGCGCACTTCTTGTCCCTCGACAGCTTCTTAAATACTTCCGACGCCCTGGACGGCGAGCACTCGAACGACTGCTGCGCGCGCCCCACCACGATCTCGTAACGGAACAGCAAGGCGTCGGACGCGCCTTGGTTTGCATTGCCCGCCTCGCACGGCTTGATATCCACGCGATTGCACGGGATCTGTTCGGCTGTTCACCAACGCAACGCCCAGTTAGAGACCACTACCATAGCTAGACTTCCCTCACCCCGCCACTTGAACGACCATTCACTCACCGACAAGCACCGGTTTGGGGTCGTGCAGCTCGCACACGTAGGTGGGTATGACGTCCTGCTGCTCTTCTTCCTCCTCGTCGTCCTCCTCGTCGTCATCGTTCTCGTTCTCGTCCTCCGACTCGGGGTCCACCTTGGAGCTCGTAGACACGTCGTCGCCATCCGAGCTCGGGGTCTCGTCGTTGCCGAGCTCCGAGCTGCGGTCGGTCTCCGTCCTGGACGAGTCTCGGTCCGTGTCGTCCTCCGGCCCGGGCTCGTGCACCTTCATGACCTCCATGGACGCCTTGCGCTTGGCCGCGGCCGCCCACTTGCGCGCCAGCAGGTCGCTGGCGGGCGCCGAGTGCGAGCCGCGCTGGCTGTCGGACGCCGCCGTGGGCGTGAGCGTGATGTACGAGTCCGTGAGCACCTCCGCCATCGGGGCCAGCAGCTCCGCCACAGCGTTCGGAATCGGGAATGTCTCGCTCTGACAACGGAGGTCGAACACTGATGATGCTCGCGGCCGGCGGCATACTGAAGTCAAGTCAAAAGCCACGTCTCTTTGGCTCCTGTGGCCTCTTTATCTTCGATATCAACCTATAGAGATCAAAAAGCGGCCGTGTATATGCAAATGCAAGCTTACTGCGGGCGAAATATCGCGTTACAGAGGTCAAGAGCCGGTTGCACTTTGATTCGGACAGAGAAGGGGCGGAGCTAGAGCGACCGACTCGCCGACTCGGGCGTGTGCTGGCCAGGCAGATGACGGGACGTCGGCTGCGCACTTCAACTGGTCCAGCAATCCACTCACCTTTGTCGGCGGTGAAACGTAAAGAGAGCATGCGCTCAGCAGCGATGTCACGAATTGCGGTGGAGTGTGCACACCCTCGATGCTGGACGGAATCACCTCTTTTGACACCAAGAAATGGCCTTGTTGTCAGCAGCTGCGGCTGCTGCAGTCCATCCTAGTGCTTCACCGCTTCTTGCGAGACAGTCGGTCGCACCAGCACTGGTCGAATGTGGCGCGAGTGTGCAGTTACGCCACCGAGCGCATCAGCTACAGTGGGAGGATCGCGCAAAAAGATCAACTCGCGTCGGTGGCACTAGCCGGCACAAAAGTGCAGGTTGAGGTTTGAGCGGATCCAAAAGCGCGGCTGTGAAAAGTGAAGGTGGAGGTTTGAAACCGTTTGAGCAGAGATCGGAGCCACAGGACACCGTGCAGTAGCGAGGGCTGTGAGCGACGTGCTTCTCTGCGAAGTCTTTGGACTGAGACCCAAAAGTTGCTGTGTGTGCGCGCGCCTGCTCAAGATCGTCGTCACTTGATTTATTTTGGCTGGTGGTGCTTGCTTCCGTAGACGAATCCGCTTCAACTTGGCTCCGGCGCCCTTTGGTGGCAAGCTGTCCGGTGGTTTGCGAAGGAGGCTGCATGAGTGAAGCGCTCCTGCGTGCCCGCCGAACACAAACTCGTGGCGCCGCTCCTCACTTGCATGGGGGAGGTGGCGAACTTCTCCTACTCCGCCATCCCAGAGTGGATGACCCCAGCGCTGTTTGATGGCGGCAAACACTACGTCCAATTCCATCCCACGTTCTTCGGTGCATCTCTAGCATGCGTGTGCTACTCGAGAAGTAGGAAGGCTTTTAGGGTATTGTCGACGAGAAGACGGAATTTTTGCAGAGGAGCAAGAACGCCGCCGACAACGACGACGACGACAACAACAACAACAACAACAACAACAACAACAATAGTAGTAGTAGTGATCTTCAGTGGTCTATCGTTTCGTGTCCTATACGCAGTGATGTTGTGGCTCAACGGCTACAGTCTTCTCCTCACACCCCAGCAAGTGTGGCCAAGGCCTGAGCGAGGTAAAGTATCTGAAAGTTCGGTATCGGAGACTCTGTCGAACGCGCTTCAATACCGTTGCCAATCACCACAGCTCACTGGTGGGTCGATGAATCGGAAAATCTATCAACGGCTGCAACCATGGTTTGGTGTATTCAGACAACCCTATCAAACTAAAAGTGCACCCATATGTTAATATAAAGGCTTTCCACACGGGTGTATGCTGATCCCCTTCATTTCCGATGAGCATCTTCACAAATATATCAGTTATTGGAACTTCAGCTAGAAAATCAGAAACCTATATTTTGAGTGTCTCATTTTCTAATCGACCAAGAGACGCCAGGTTACTAGAGGCCATGCCCAGCGGCGCGCCAGACTACTGTGGCTGGGGCGCCAAGCAGGGCAGCAAGGTGCGCACATGGAAGAACCGCTACTTCGTTCTGCGCGGGCGCGAGCTCATCTACTACTCGGGCGCCAAGAGCGACGGCAGCGGCGCCGGGGTCGGCGAAAAGGGCCGCCTCACGGTGGTGAACGTGGACTACTCGCCCGACCGCAAGAACGGGCTGCTCATCCGGGGCGAGGGCAAGGACCTCAAGATGACGACGGCCAGCGCGCAGGAGAGCCGCGTGCTGTTCCGGAAGATCAAAGAGGCCATCGGCGAGCAGGAGACGAGCTTCCGAGACTCGACGCAGAAGAGGAGGGCTCAGCCGCCGCCCAAGCCCAAGAAGGTTGTGGAGAAGGAGGGCTGGCTGCTGAAGGAGGAGACGCAGCTGCAGGCCTGGAAGCGCCGATACGTGACGCTGAGCGGCAAGACGATGGAGTTCTGCGCCGACCAGAACACGCCGCCACTGGAGTCGCACACTCTGGCCCGGGTGCAGGCGGACGAGACCAGTCCGCTGTCGCTGGAGGTCGCAGCTAGAAGTGGCCGAAGATTCCACGTTGCGGCGGAGACGAGGGAGGAGATCGAAAGCTGGGACAGAGCGATTGCCGCTGCTATTGGACAGCCGCTGGCGCTGCGTCAGGTGATCGAAGTGCAAGAGGAAGTCGATAATCAGGAAACGGCGACGGTGGGGGACACAGAGCTAGTAGCGCGGAAATACTCGACGGCAGTGTGTGAAGGCTGGCTAGAGAAGCTTGGACAACGGAGCCAGATGTGGAAGAAGCGGTACATGACGCTGTCAAACGGGATGCTGGAGTACCGCAAGGGGCCGATGGAGCAGCTGTCGGCCGAGCTTTATGTCACCGATGTGAGATACAGCAGCAAATACTCGGACACGCTGGAAATCGAGTTTGGGTCAGATAAATCACTCAGCGATAGCGACGTGATTTTCGTGCGCGCCAAGTCCATCCGTGAGCTGGACAAGTGGATGTATGCGCTTTGCGATGTCGTTGGCAAACCGCGGTTGGAGCCTGCAGAAGCGACTTTCGACCCTTTGTCACCAACGAGCAGTGAGCCAGCAGAAGACCGGCAAAGCAAGACCCAGTTGCCGCCATTTCCGAGGAACGTATCCCATTCGCAAGGTAGTGACAATTCTGGAACGACTTCAAGTAACACCCAGCCCTCAACTCCTGTTAACGGTGGTCGCCCGTCTGGCAAGCAAGTGGTGGCAGCTACCTCCGCTCACCGCATCAAACGTGGATGGCTGCACAAGCAAAGCGAGCAAAGTTTGGCTTGGAAGTTGCGGTACTTCGTTCTTGATGGGAATACCCTTCATCACTTTGAACACATTAACGGGACGCCCAAGACGCTTGGAAATGTGACGAATGTCACTCGCAATCACGAATCAATTGGATGCTTAGGTGTCCAATTTGAGAATGGGAGCAAATTGAAGGTATATGGGCAAACGAAAGCTGACACCGAGTCGTGGTTTGCTGCATTGTGTAAGGCATCGTGGAACTCAGCAGAGAACCCGGCGGACTTGGTCTCATTTTCTAACCAAGAAGAGGAGGAGCTCAACGATAATGGCTTCCGAGGGTGGCTTCTGAAGAAGGGGCAAAACTTTAAGACCTGGAAACGACGCTACTTTGTGCTCGAAAGTAGTCGGCTAGCCTACAGTGCGAAAGCTGGAGGTGACGTCCTGGGTTCCGGCGTGGTGTTTGATGTGGATGTTGGAGATCTTCGCCCATTTTGCCTGAACATTCGCTTCCAGAATGGTCGGCTGCTTCACGTCGTCGCTCCGACGCAAGAATCTTTCGCAAGATGGTTTGACGTGCTTCGAACAGCGTCTAACCTGGCTGAGTCGTTTATGTCGCAAAGCAAGGGGGCCATTGTTCTTGACGAAGAGTTTGACAATGATGCTGGCGACAACGCTGATGAAGCGGATGTGGATTTTACCGAAGAGGACCTCGCTGAGTACGAAATGACTCTACGCGATGGTGAAGGGGCTTCTCTATGGATCGCCGCGATGCAGAACAAACCGGAATACGATGCTTTGAGCTCATCTGCCTCAGAACAAGGCGATGAAGAAGTGGTAGAGCCCAAAGATGCTGACCTTGTGCCTCGCGAAGGCAACGAACGTCTTAGTGAGTCTCAAGGATGTGTCGGATGGCTAAAAAAGGAAGGAGGCAAAGTCAAGAGCTGGAAGAGGCGATACTTCACTTTGTACGGTTCAAAGCTAAGCTACTACAAGACGGATAAGGGCTCTCTGCTGCGCTCCGTCAAAGTGGTCAATATCGCGGCAAATCCCTCGGTCGCCTTTGGTCTTACTGTATCCACTGCCGGTGGTCGCAAGCTTGTCATTCAAGCCGATTCAAAAGAAGACTTTGAGATGTGGCTTGGTGCAGTTCGAGAGGCTGTAGCTGCGGGGGAGAAAGAAAGGAAGTCGTCTGTGATTGAGCCACCAAGTATGGTCAGTGTCATGGAAAATAGATCGAGCGACGACCTTAAAGCCTCAACCAGCTACAGCGGTTGGCTTCAGAAGGAAGGCCAGAGGTTCAAGACGTGGAAACGGCGATACTTCACAGTGAAGAACAGTGCTCTGATCTACTACAACGAGATCGGCGGTGTGACACGCGGTCACGGCATGGTAAAAGGAGCTCGCCCCGATGACTCAAAACCTCTCACCCTGGTTATCGAGTTCCGCAGCGGAAAGAGCATGCGCGTGACAGCTGCAAGCGAGGCGGAAATGAACTCGTGGCACCAAGTGCTGTCCAGAGGCCGCTCGTCGAGTAGCAGACCGACTGCGGTGTCGGATATTAGCGACGACGTCGTTGATTCAGAAGAAGAAGATGGCAACGGCGATGATAACGGAGAACGCGCAGCACGAATCAGCCGATTCGACTCGAAGGATTATCTGAACGACACAATCACCAACGACACGTTCATGCGCCTTCAAGACCAAGAGGGAAAATCGGCCCTGCTGGAATCTCGCAATGGCGGGGTCACCGGTACTATGGCCGCTGGTCACTCTTTCAAGGGAGAACTCAAGTTCAACGACGAAGACGAAGAGAAGGAAGACATGCAACTCAGCTCCACTGGCGGAGAGTATTACTATCGAGAGCTAGTTGCCGAAGAGGAACGGCTTCGGCAGCTGCAGTCGGGTGAGAGGCTCGTTAAGGGTGAGCCGCCGATCGCTGGGTGTGCTCCATGCTGCACCGTCATGTAGAATACTTAGTGATGGTGCGCATGGTCAGCTAAATATTTTTCATATCGTCGTTTTGTACACTAAAAGGAATGCTTTTGGCTCCCATCGATATTCACTCATTTTTCATGCCTGCAGTTACCAAGACTAACCAAGAGTCCGTGACGGTTGACGAGGGGTCTCCATTTTCCATTGTTGTGGCTTGCAGCAGCGATACCAACGGGGTCTCTCTGACGCAATGGACAAGAAGTACGACTCCTGCAGCTACAAGGCGCGCCGCACATTCCTCGGCGGGGAGTTCGAGGTCCGGTTGTTTGAGGTGGACGACGCTGGCATCGCTGCGGTGGTTTTCCAGATATCCACAGAGCATGGCTCACCACTCAAGTTTTCGCGCGTGTTCTCTCGAGCCGAGCTGGACAAAGCGGGGATCACAAAGACGCTAGAAGGACACGTTGCGCTCGTGGATTCGCTTGAGCTGGTTGAAGACGCCTACTTTACGGGCAATGACGCAGTCGGAGCCGGGCAAAATGTACTCGCGGCCTACCAGTTATCGTCCACGCTTCCTGGCATCAGCTTTCCGCCGCCCATCGTTTCACACCAAGCCGCTCTCGCCTACTTCGCGCGGGCCCCGGTCGGACTCAGCACGTGGAATAACAGCCGAGTACCTGAAGAAGACAATTTGCTGTTGAACCTCGTAGTGAAAGGCCTGACCGAGCTGTGTCGAGAGAAGCCGCCAGGACTGGAAGCTGTCAAGTGGCTCGGGAACTGGTTCCTCAACCACAATCCGGCGCAGCCCAAGGTGGAGGTGGAAGACTGATCAAGGGGGAGCTGGTGCAGGTTAGCAGTCGAAGTTGAAAACGCCACTTCCAAAGATACTTTTGCAATGGTTTTGTAGTTTCGAGGGTTAATATCTTATAACCGAGCAATGAAAAGAACCCCTAGCAAAGCAAGGAAACAAGGCAGGGCTTCATTCACGGTGGTGAATGGAGCTCTGTGTGCTGCTGTAGTCGAGATATCCGATATGTATTGCGAACTATGCATTGTGAACCGTCGCGACTGCTGACGTTGCAAATCTATCTGCTCTGCTCACTCGCTGGCTGACCCGAAGACGCCATGGCGGACGAGTTGCAGTCGTCGGAAGAGCTCGCGTTCGTCGCCGAGGAGGTGGACCGCATCATCCTCACGTCGATCGAGAGCTGTCTGAAGGACGAGGTGTACGACGAGCAGAAGGTCTCGCAGTGGGTCGACTACATCTGCGAGTCCATCATGAAGGGCCTCAGCGAGCTGCGCAAGCCGCTCAAGTACATAGGTGAGCGGCGTCTATAGCCCCATTGCATCCAGCGCTGCCTACTAACGCCTGGTATGCCCAGTGAGCTGTCTCATCATGCAGAAGAACGGCGCCGGCGTGCACGCCTCGGTCTCCTGCCACTGGGACACCGTCACCGACGGTAACTATGCGCCGCACCTCAATGAAGCTCCAGCATCTACCTGAGCCTAACTATCTAACGTTATTGCCCAGGCGCCCACGTCGTCAAGTGGCCGGGCGACAAGCACAAAGACCACAATCGATCCATGTACTGCGTCATCACCGTGAGCGGCCTGAGCTTCTAGCAGATCGAGGACCTAGATACTTCTGATTTAGGTGTTGTAGGTTCACAAAACTCTTTAACTAACGCGCGGCGTCCCGTTTCCTCTTGCGCCCACTATACGCTCCCTTAAGTACGATCTTCATATCATCTGAGTTCTAGCGAAATCACTCGCACTCGAGTAAAGTATCCACTGGGGCAAAGGCACTGCCATGGGGCGGGACGACCCGGTGACGTACGCCGGCTGGGTGTTCAAGGAGGGCAGCCTCGTGCGCTCGTGGAAGAAGCGCTTCCTCGTGTGCAAGCGCGCGGAGCTGGCCTACTACAAGAACACGGACGAGGAGAACCACGCGCAGCTGCTGGGCGCGCTCACGGCGGCGCACATCGAGCGGCTGCCGGACATCACGAACGGGCTGCTGATCCACGGCACGGAGGGCCGCCAGCTCAAGATCTTCACGGACACCAAGGCCGAGTGCGACCGCTGCTACGAGGCCATTATCAAGTACTGCCGCCTGCAGAACCCCGCGGACGACTCGAAGCAGCGCGTGGGCTGGCTCGAGAAGGAGGGCCAGCACTTCCGCACGTGGAAGAAGCGCTACTTCGTGCTCAGCGGCACGCAGCTCACGTACTCGGCCACAATGGGCGCGGACCGACTGGGCGGCGGCCGGGTCATCGGCGCCAGGAGGGACCCCACGCGGCCGTTCACGCTGGCGGTGACGTTCGAAGGAGGGCGCGAGATGCGCGTCGGCGGCAAGTCGGAGGTGGACATCGACGACTGGCACAAGGCGCTGAGGCGCGGGCTGCTGTACGCCCAGGAACAGCGCAAGAGTCTGCAGGAAGGCCGATCCTCGGTCGACGACGACCCGAGGAATGTCAGGGACCGGGAGTTCGCCAAACGACAGGCGAGCGCGAGCGCGGTGAGCACGGAGGTGACGGACGAAGAGGCCAGCTCGCTGTTTGGCGCGGCCCCAATCGGCGTAAGTGAAGATGATGCTCCGCCGGCGTATTCGAGCGTGGCCTCGGCGCACAGTGACGAGCGCAAGACGGAGGGCGATTCGCCCGAGAATGGCGAGTTCAAGGAGGGCAGCAGCCCGCCTGAGCTGTATGCGGCCAGCTCGTTCCGACGTCACATTGTGGTGGAGACCATGCCCGACAATACGGCCAGCTTCATCGAGGTGGCGGAGGAGCGCGAGAGCGAGGACAACCCAGAGAAGCCGTACTCGCCCACGGCGCCGGGTACCAGCACCATCCGCCGCATGCGGCTGGCCGAGAAGCTGCTACAGGAGGAGCTGGAGGAGGAGCGCCGGGAAGCCATGATGAAGGAGAACACGGTGCTCATGCGCGCGCCCAGCAAGTCGGACCCGCAAGACGTCAAGGGCTGCTGCTGCGTCGTCATGTGAAGCAGTCCGCAGCGGCGGCTGAGTGGAAAAATGATGCGGGACCAGCTCGCGGATGCATGCAATATATAAACTCAATTCCTTTTTGCCTGCGAGGTGGTGGTACAGTAAAGCGAAGTGATGCAGCCCCAAAGTGTATATACTTTTCGGACGAACACGTTGAAGTGAGCAAGTGAGAACCACGAGCACTGCAGTCCCCATAATGGTGAAGCCATGGGTGCGATTATATGTGCGTTCGTATGCAGTGGCGTATGTGGTCGGAGACTTTTGTGAATACAAAAATTGAATGGATTTTTGAAGTTCGCGTTTGCAGAGAACGGCCATAACGACCCATTTTGAAGGTCGCACATGCCCAATTTGTTGTCTGTTTTTACATCGTTGAGAAGCGTTTGATGCTGCAGAAAATATTCGTTTTTGATTCATGTCAGCCCTTGCCCAAAGCTCTCTGGGCGGAAAAATCAAGACTGCTACTAACGATTCGATGGTCTGGCCCCGGCTGAAGCTCGTGTGAGCGATAAACGACTCGAAATGAGTCATCGTACGTCCATGAATCGGCACTTATTACCGGTTGCTTCACTATGCCTCCCTCAGACTTCGAGCTGATGGCTTTTGGACAGCAGTTGCACACAATACCTTCCCTATTGTCGATCTTCTGTTGTTGACTTCAGTACGTGCGCAACTTCCGGCAAACTGACCACCTCACTCACTCGTCTGCAGAAACATTCCCTATGAAGTGTTGTCCTTCTGCCATTAGCGTGGTGCCCGCAACGACATCGATGCAGTGCTCAGTGAGTGACTGCCTTCCCTCGTGTCTACAGTATTCATGTTTGTGGCGCACTTCCGATCCTCGTTGAGACCTCTTCACCCTGCGCCATTTTAAGGACCCGTCACTCCAGAGCTATCCCTTCATTAACTGTCGCGGATGTACATACACCACCTGCAGATCTTCATTAGCTGTAAGCAAAGGCACTCGCTGAGAGCTCATACCTTTGTCTTTTAGCCACTGCAGTCTCTCGCCATGCAGAAATGTTCGATACACCGCGTAGTTTAGCGGATACCTTTATACCTACACAAACAGGTATTTCGTGCCGCGCATTGGGACATCTCCCCCGGCGCGGAAGCCATTCCCGTCAGCCATCTGTGCGAGTGGTGTTGTGGTGGCAGCAGCACACATCGAGGGACCTACGGACCAGCAGGCTGGCTGACGCCAAGCGAGACACGCCGCAACCGCACCCTTTTTTGAGCAACGCCAAAATTGGGCCCAATTTTGGAAAATGGATCCGCGGTAGGGGCGACAAGCAGTGCCAAGCGACTCACGCAACGGCGCCTGCTCTTCATTCCACGCTTCCCCCCTTTCCGTCCCAGGCAGGCACGAGGAAGCCAAAGCGCACCCACCCACCCACCCCCCGCCATTATACAGCCAGGCGTCGGAGGGACACACACACACACAAGACACTACAGTCCACACGCAAGACACAGACGACGCACAACATGGCGCTCAGCGGCATCGACGGCGAGTTCGCCGGCTGGGTGTACAAGCAGGGCTCGCTGGTCAAGAACTGGAAGAAGCGCTTCATGGTGCTGCGCGGGCGGCAGCTGACGTACTACGACACGGCCAAGGTGGACCCGACGGTCAAGGCCAAGGGCAGCTTCCAGGTCATCACCGTGGAGCTGAGCACCGACATCCAGAACGGCCTGCTCGTGCACGGCCGCGGCGGGCGCGTGCTCAAACTCTACACGGCCTCGGCCGAGGCCACGAGCTCGTGGTACAACATGATCCTGGACGCCACGGCGACGGCCCCGCCGCAGTTCGCGCCGCCCGACCGGTTCTCGACGCTCTCGGCCGCCAGCACGTCCAAGCCCGTGGACGTGGACGACGAGATGGAGCTGCTGGACCGCCTCGAGTCGCTGCCGCTGAGCGAGGACGGCAGCGAGCAGGTGGCGCACTCCGGTTGGCTCAAAAAGGAGGGCGCGCGCGTCAAGAGCTGGAAGCGCCGCTACTTCGTGCTGCGTGGAAACGCGCTGTCGTACTTTAACTCGGAGGACACGGGCGCGGCCGCCAAGGGCTACGGCCACGTGCGCGCCGTGGAGGTGAACGGCACGGTCAAGAACGGCCTGGACATCAAGTTCGACAACGGGCGCGTGCTGCGCGTGTCGGCCAGGAACAGCGGCGACATGGAGGTCTGGCTCTGCAAGCTCAGCGACGCCATCGAGGCGGCCAACACGGAGATGAACAACGTGCGCCAGTCGCTGGCGGCGAGGAACTCGTTCCGAGCGCTGTCCATGGGCGGACCGTCCCCCACGAAGATGAAGCAGCAGTACCAGCAGCAGCAGAGGATGATGCAGTACGGCAATACCGGACGACACTCGCTGGCTACTGTGCCGTCAAGGCCCATGGGCTCGGTGGCAGAGGTACCTGAGCGACGCACCGTGGTGGAGAAGCGCTCGTCTTCGTCCTTGGACGACTCGTGCATCTCGTCAGGCCTGTCGTCCCAGTTCTCGTCCGGATCGTACTCTAGTCACTCGAACTCGCTCCCTGATGGATCAGCGCCCGTGGCAAGACCGACAGTGCACACGAACGCTACAACCAACACGCAGTCGTCGTCTGGCTCTACGTTCTTTGACAGCGACGACGAGTACGACAGCGATGACAGCGAAGGCGACTGGATTTAGGCGGCATGGCGCCAAGATATAGCTGGCCGGACAAATCCGTGCAGCGAAAGCCTCAGATCCTGAAGCAGGTCATTTTATCGAGACCGGTTAGACGCAGCTCCCAAAGTAAACCTCGCGCAACTCTTGACACATCGCACAGAACGAATGCGCTGTGAGATCGTTGGCGGTAAATTCGTCTTGATGTGGGTCAGCGAGCGAGACTTTGGTTCGTGTCCTCGGGGTCTCTGTATCATTATGCGACTGGCGCCCGAGGACACTAAAGCCGGCACCTTCGGAGCTGTTGGTTTTGATTTCTTCTATTGCGTCCTCGTGACTTTTCTTAACTAATATGAGAGCTCGTTGTAGATCACTACATGCTCTCGCTCTTTCCATTCAATGAGTTTGATGAAAGGTGCCGTGGTAGGTTGTTGTGAAATGTGAAATGTTGTGAAGTCGGTATGTCGTTCTGTACTACTCAGACCATGTGTGTTCCGAGGGGAAAAACAGTCGCTACGATGAAAGTCTATTGTACATGTAAGGTGAGCGGTAACAAACCAGGTCTTGGTCTCAACACCCCTCCACATAATACACAAGAGTAGATTACCTACTTCGACCCTATCTAAACCGTCCACTGTAGTTTGGCAAGACCCATTCCTCACAAATGAACGGATTCTACGGTGTGGACTTTGTTTGAAGTTCTCAGCCAAGCTTGGACAGGACATGTACTTATTTGGTCAAGACGTCGGGCGGTAAGCTTTTCGCTTTTCAAAATCGAAACACAATCGACGCAGGCATCACAAGCGAGTGCGCTCCAGCGTCTTGTCCGCTATTTTTAAGTGCATGTAGGTCACTAGGCGTAAGGTGCGTGGCGATCTTCGTTGCTATTCGCTTGGCAAGCGAGTCCACCTCACCAGAATATGAGGACGTCGGCATCAATGGCCATACTTTCTCAAAGAGAACTTCGACTATAAATACTGTCGTTGAACTCCACCTGCTGCCTTACCCGCCGCCAAAAAAAGACTTGTCTGATCTTGAAGCCGACGTCTGCATTCGGCCGCTGGTGCTCTGCGCCCCCGATGGAGTTCATTTTGAAGTCGGCCCCAAAGAACACCTCGCACCCCCCGCCTCAGTCAAGATAGCGAAAGCGGCTGGCTGGCTGATTGATTGATCACCATGGGTGCAGGAGCTTCGACGCCGCGGCCTGACGATGGCGAGGTGACGCCGCGCTCTGGAGGCGACCTCGCCTTGTTCACCTTGATCCAGCAGGAGTACGATCAAATGGCGAGCGGGGACCTGGGCAACGAAGTCATCTTTGAGCGGATGAAGCAGATCTGCACGACAGCATACGCCCCCAGAGACCCCAACGCGCCCAAGTCGACACCCAACGGCCGCGGACTCTATCGTCGTGCGTCTGATCCGCATCGTAAGAAGCGCGAAGTCGTGTACTCGAAAGGCCTGGTACGTCTACCGTAGGTCATTTCTCCGTTATCAGTTGGCCGTTCTGACTATCGTGGTGGTGTGCTTTTACTTTTTCCAGGATGTAACGAGGGACGTCATGCCTAAGCGGCAGTCAGAATCGAAGACACCAGAGTGTGCTGCTATGCTCAAGAATGCGCTGCAGTGTGTTCTGTTCACGGACTCGAGTGACGAAGAGATGGACCGCCTCCTTTTCCTCATGAAGAGAATCAAGGTCGACGCGGAGCAGAATGTGATCAAGCAAGGTGACCTCGGCGACCAGTTCTACGTCGTGCAATCGGGTTCACTTGAGGTGATCGTGAACGGGTCGGTGCTCGGTCGGCTGTCTAGCGGAGACCACTTCGGCGAGCTCGCTCTCATCTACGACGGTGAGTCTCACCTCAGATTTTCCACCAGCGATATGACCGAAGAGCTAACCCACACTTGCATTGCTCACAGCCCCTCGAGCTGCGACTGTGCGTGCGGCGACGAACTCAATCTTGTGGACTTTGGATCGTGACGAATTCCGTATGATGCAAGCCCGGTCATCCAGCGATTCACTCGTCAAGCGTGCAAAATGGTTGCGGCAAGTCGAGATTCTGGCGAGTCTCTCCGAAAGACAACTGGCCTTGCTGGCAGGAGTCATGAAAGCTTCAACCTTCTCGGACAATGAGATGATCATTAAGCAAGGTGACGTGGGTGACACGTTTTTCATTGTTGAGGAGGGCACCGTGTCCTGTCAGATGGAAGGCCCTCGCGGCTTCAAGAACTCCGATGGGTATCACGACAGGACTGAGCTTGCCACGCTCTCATCCTCTGATTACTTTGGAGAAATGGCTCTGCTCAGCGATATGCCACGCAACGCTAGCATCTATGCCAAAGGAAGCGTGAAGTGCCTCAGTATGGGGCGCCAGGATTTCGACTCAATGCTTGGTCCCCTCACCGACGTACTTGACCGCAACAGCCGTATCCGGATTCTGCGTACGATTCCAGCGTTCGCCACCAAGTCCCAAGAGGCCCTGGACTACGCTGTCTCACAGCTTGAGATCAAAGCTTTCCAGGACTCGCAGTGCATCTACCGACAGGGTGATACGGCGGTGGCATTTTACATCGTCAAATCCGGGTGTGTCAAGCTTATCAAAAAGCGGCAGGATGGCGACAACAACCTTGTGACCGAAGAGTTCTTGCTCAAGGCGAACGACACGTTCGGTGGTGAAGTCTTCGAACAGGCTGGCAAATACACCTCGACAGTCATTTCAGCCGGTCGCTCACAGTGCCAGCGACTCAAAGTGTCGTCTCTTACTCGATCAGGTTCCCGCCAGTTCACACAGGTAAATCCATTGCGAGGCCATAGTGAGAAACATGCGAGGACTAACTACTTCGTGTCTCTTTGTAGCGCGTGAATATGGCAGAGCAAGGTCGCATGAAGAGCTGCACTCTCACCCTGGATGACATTCAAGTGGTACGCTCCAACCCCTTCTCTACTGAAACTCCCCCCTTCAAACGCTAACTCGGTTTGTGCACTTCTATAGGCGGGCGTGCTTGGCGAAGGCTCGTTCGGTAAAGTTGTGATGGTCCACGCTCTAGTGGACGGCGAACAAGAGCAACCCATGGCGCTCAAAATTATGGCGAAATCTCACATCATCGAATCAGACCAACAGGTTCAAGTGATGCGTGAGAAGCAAGTCCTGATGACCCTTCCGAAGCACCCTTTCATCGTCGACTTGTACGCCACGTACCAAGTAAGTTCTGTCTTGCTATGCCTCGGCACATTAATCCGCACTGCCAACCACTGACATTTCTCTCGTTTTTCATAACAGGACGCAAATAGTTTGTACATGCTCATGGAGTTGGTGCAGGGCGGCGAGCTCTTCACGCTTCTTCACAACGAGGAATTCATCGAGACTGTTGACGAGTCTTCCGTCCGGTTCTACTCGGCCAACGCGGTACTCGGACTGCAGCACATGCACCGCTTCGACTACGCCTACCGAGATCTCAAGCCGGAGAACTTGCTGATCAGCCGCGAGGGGTATCTGAAGTTCGTCGACTTCGGCTTCGCAAAGAAAATCCCGTTCACCGTCGTCAACAGTGACGGTATCGAAGAGCTCCACTCCCGCACATTCACGCTTTGCGGCACGCTTGAATACCTCGCCCCCGAATTTGTGCTGAACACTGGCCATGACCTCGCCGTCGATTACTGTACGTGCCACTGCCAAAATGAGGACTAGTTTGCCTGAATGATTGAGCTAACAGCACCGTTGTATGCACGGCCAGGGGCACTTGGTATCCTGATCTACGAGATGCTGGTCGGATACACACCGTTTGGCACTGGAGATGGCGACACCACTCAACTCTTCCGCAACATCGCTATGATTCGCACTGGTGCCAACTCGGTCGACTTCCCGTTCCACTTACAGGAGAACTGCCCACACGCGTGCGACCTGGTGCGTCGTCTTCTTCAGGGAGATCCTACCAAACGTATTGGCGTCGGCATCAACGGTGACCAAGAACTTCGTCAGCACCCGTGGTTCAGCAAGATTGAATGGGACAAGCTGTACGCCATGAAGTTGGAGCCGCCTTATCTACCGCCACTCAACGGCAAGTACGACATCTCGCTCTTTGAAGGAGAAATCGGCAACCGGGCTAAGGACAGACCTTTCGACGGCCAGGGAGACGAGTACTTCGTCGGCTTCTAAAACCAGCAGCTTCGTCGCGACAAGTTAGAATGGACAGGCCCCGTACACTGTCTTACGATCTTGGACATAAGCCCAAAGAACTATAAATTAATCACTCATCCAGGTGAACACGACACCATGTCTTCATACACTAGCACTGGATGGTTCCTCTCCGTGGCCTTCGTGCTGATTCATCACACGACTGATGGATCGCAGTCTCGCCACAATTTCTCGCTGCACTTCTCGCGTTTCCTGGTGAATCTGTAAGATAGCCTCAATTTGCTCCATAGGATCCGGTGGCAAGGGCGGCAAGCTCTCCATCATGGGCGGAGGTGGCACCATCACCATCTCCACCGCTGTTTGGTGCTGCTGTTGCTGCGAGTGGCCCTGCGCGACGACAGACTGTTGCGGTCTAAGCCGCCGGTTCTGCTGCGGGTCTGGGATCAGTCCCGCCTGCTCTCTGGTCCTGTCAATGACCTCGATAAGGTCCCGGATCTTGGTGTGCTCTTCCTGCAGTTTCCTCTTCGCGGGGGTGAGCACCGCCATCCTCCTGGGCGTCACCTGGCCCTCCTTGCTCTGCTTTTGCGGGCGCTGCGCCCTTACGTTAATTTCTCGTCGTCGGTTCCGTATAAGCTTCAGGAACTCCGCGTACGTGAGTCGGGGCTCGTCGGGCGCGCCCCCTTCTTTGAGGAACTGCAGGTAGCTCTGCTGCAGGAGCTGCTGCGTCTCGTTCTTGTCCGGGAGGCGGCCGAAGTCGCGCGCGTACTGCGCGTACCGCTGAAGACTCAGGAGCTGCAGCGTCTTGCTAAAGTTCTTGCGCTTGAAGCGCTGCGTCGTGGCGGTCGCGTCGTGTCGGGGGCGCTGCTGAGTGGGGGGCGGTTGCTCCTGGCGCTGGCTCGGCTCGAGTCCCACGGAGTTCGCTGCCGCGTGGGCAGCGTAGCCTAGATCCGCCTCGCTGAGCTTGGCGAAGGCGTCTTCATACAGCTCGCCCTTCCACGACCCCAGCAGCTCCACTTCGTCCTCGCGCGCGCCTCCTGCCGCCGTCTCCATGTGCGCGCAACTGGCAGAGTGATGGTCTCACAGATTTACGTTCCGTCTATTGGTTGAAACTTGGGTGTACTTTTGACCAATGCCGTTCGTGAAATGCATGGGCACCACACGTTTGGTATCCCCTCGCGTCCGGCGTGAGCTTTACGCCATACAAAAGCGCCGTGTGCGGTCAAGATTCAATCCAATTAGCCTTCGTCACCAGTCCACCAGGATGCAGCGAGTGATGGCGACGCGCCTGCGGCTGCTGCAGCGCCCCGTGCGCGCGACGACGGCGGCGGCCTCGCGCTCCTCCGCGTGCAGCTTCGCCACCAAGACGCCGGATTTCAGCGACATCGTCTACGGCCAGGACACGGGCGTGCGCACCGTGCAGTTCAACCGCCCGGAGAAGCTCAACGCGCTGACGCTCCCCATGGTGCAGCACCTGACCAAGCGCCTGCACAAGATCGAGGCCAACAACACGGTCAACGCCATCGTCTTCTCGGGCAACGGAGGCAAGGCCTTCTGCGCCGGCGGCGACATCCGCGCGCTCGCGGACAACGGCAAGGACCCAGCCACGCGCCAGGTGGCGCTCGACTTCTTCCGCCACGAGTACCGCCTCAACTACCTGCTGGCGACCACCGAGAAGCCCATCATCTCGTTCCTCAACGGCGTCACTATGGGCGGCGGCGTGGGGCTGTCGATGCACGGCAAGTTCGTGGTGGCCACGGAGAAGACGGTGTTCGCCATGCCCGAGACGGCCATCGGCTTCTTCCCGGACGTGGGCGCCTCGTACCTGCTGCCGCGTCTGGGCCGCCGTCTCGTCGAGGGCGAGGACTATGTGGCCGACGTGCCCAAGTCGCAGGCTCTCAAGGGTCAGGGCGTAAGTGGTGGAAGATCGCGTGATGTTGAAGAGGACGCCACTAACAGGTGATTTTTGTTTATTTTTGTGTTGTGATGCAGCTGGGCACGTACCTTGCGCTCACGGGCGAGCGCCTTAAGGGCCCCGAGGTCATCGGTCTGGGACTCGCTACCCACTACATGCAGACGAGCGAGTACGAGACGCTGGTGCACCACCTCACGGGACTCGAGTTCGCGGACAACGTGCCGCAGGAAGAGCGTGATGAGATGATCCACGAGGCTCTGGAGGAGCTCGAGACCGACGAGGCCTTCCAGGAGATCGACCCTGGTACGTTGATATTTTTTTCTTCAAATGTGCTGTTGCTTTTTATCTGACTTGACTTGATGCTTTGATAATTTATAGAGTACCTGGAGACGGTTGAGTCTGTGTTCGGTGCGCTGAACGAGAACGACACAGTGGAGGGCATCTTCGAGCGTTTGGAGGTGAGTTCTATGCATCTCGTTGCGCTGAAAGATGCCAATTGCGCGGAATTCTAACTTATTTCGCGGACGCAATTAACAACTTCAGAAGCTGAACACGGAGTGGTCCAAGGAGACGCTGGCGACGCTCAAGAAGATGTCGCCGCTGAGCTTGAAGGTGACGCTGGAGCAGATGCGCCAGGGTGCCGTGAAGACGTGCGCTGAGTGCTTCCAGATGGAGTACCGCATGGCCACGCGTATGATGGAGAACCCGGACTTCTTCGAGGGCGTGCGCTCGGTGGTCGTGGACAAGGACCGCAACCCGAAGTGGTCAAAGCGCGACATTACCAAGGTGACGACTAAGGAGGTGGAGGCATTCTTCCAGCCGCTGGACAAGGACCAGGAGCTGATCCTGTACCCATCCGCGACGGCAGCGACGGAGAAGGAGGAATAAGGTCGTCGCTCAGAACGTCATTAAACCTTCAGCAAATCGCGAGGAACTTCAACAACGAGAAGAGATGCAGGAGCTCTCTCAGTGACTAACTCAGCATATATGTCCACCGTTGTGCAAAGAAAAGTTGGGATCCATTGCGTGTTGTTTGCAGGAGGGATTCCCCAAGCTATTTTCACGAAAGCGGTGCGCGCATCATACGGTTCGTATTTTTAGTGGCTTGCTTGCTTCATCCTCGAGAGCAATCAGAAGGTGAGACAAGGAGGAGCTTTGGTGCTTGGACTTGCAGTTGATGGCCCAGTCTCTGAAGGTGCCAAGTGCTTTGAGTGATCTAGGCTTTCTGCAGCTTCTCGGTTCCGTTGAGCTAGGAGCTGCCGTATCTGGAGCTGTGCAGCATGATGTCGCCGGAGGCGTTCGGGCGTACGCACAAACGCCACGTGACAGACATCGTCCGAGTTGCACTAGAGCGGAAAGGTGTCATCGGCTTTATCGACGTTCACGACGGAATGACGCTGCTTGAGGCTCGAACGCTTATCTGGGAGAATGTGGAGGACGCCCCGGCCGAGTTCCAGTTTGTTCTGGATGATGGTGCGCCGGTGAGTGCGAGGCAGGAAGGCACACAGAAAATCGCGTACTTCTATCCAATGGTGCGAATTCGGGAGCTACGTCGAGGGCCAGCACCGTCACCGTTGGCGTCACCGCGACGAACCACAGCAGGAGTTGGAGCAACCAAGACGAATATGAATCCATCACCTAGCTCGTCTGAGAAGGTGTGCGTCAGTACAGCATCCGGAGAGGAATTTCACGTTTGGATCACCGACGATTACACTTTCCAGCAATTGCGTCGTGATGCAGCACGGTACTGGAATATCCCTGGTGGAGAAGTCGCGTTGGCAGATGGAGAGGGCTGTTTGTGGCCGGAGCAGGCCAAAATCCTTTCGTTGATGAGCGTTGAAGACCTTCACAATAAGGGGATCATTCTGGAGTATAAAGGCGGCACAATTGCGGCCAAGGCTCCTAATAGTGTCAGCTTGAAAGACGCTATGAGCGCTGCCACAGTTGGAAGAGATAAACGACCAAGCGCGCGGCGTGCAGTCTCGGCATCTGCACTGTCGGTATCGCTGCCACCTCCCATTGGCCTCAGCAGAACAGCTCAACCATCGATATCTACCTTTGCGCTAAGACGGACGTTATCGGCAACGGATCCTGACTTGGTTTCTTCGGAGCCACCGCTATCAGCGCCCTCCTCAAACCCAGTCGAGGAACTTTGGCGAATCTTTACGTTCTATTGCGTTAACGGGGATAGTATGGAGCTAGAATGCTTGAAAGCCCACCAGTTTAACAAGCTGCTGCGCGACTCTCGTGTTTTCGGAGGCCATTTGACACCGGCAATGGTCGACATTATCTACACATCGGAGACTAAAGGCAGACTCCAGACATCTGGCAAAATGAACTACGAGGAATTCCTTAACGCGCTGGTGAAGGTCGCACGAGCCGCCCACACCAAAGGGAATCGAGCTAACTGCAGTTCCAGCAAACTATTGTGCGACAGCGAAGAGGAAGATGAGCTGTTTCAGAGATTGGTCATGGACCATATTTTACCTTTGGCATCGAGGTGGCCGACGAGCACTTGGCTGCAGCACACGCAACGCTTGCGGAGACCCGAGATTGTGTCGTTCATTTCGAAGTTTCTCGAGCCGTTGGTTGAGATGTTCATGTTCTACGCGAAGAGCTACGTCTTGAACGCATCGGGAGTGAAGGAATTCTACATGTCGTATGGAGACTATACGAAGTTCATCAACGATTTTTGCTTCGCCAACTTACCACTCTCGAGTGTTGAAGCTGCGCATGTTTTCCTGGCATCCTGCTCAAGTCCGCTCTTTCATGGAGCTCTTTTCGAGGCTGCTGCTGGCGGAAATGATAAGACGCAGACGATGGATTGCAACGACTCGAGTTCGCAGACAGCGGAAAGCGTGTCTGGTTCAACAGGCGCGGGTAATAGTACTAGTTCTGGAATAGCTTCGATTCAGCGAATCCTTGAAAGTGTCGAGGGCGTTGTGGCCTACGCTTTCCCTCAAAACCAAGTGGGGCGCATGTGTATGGGGGTCTCCGCTTTTCTTGACGCTTTGGGGCGCATTGGGCTCACTGCATTCACGAAAACGCGAACTCTCAAAACCATTCACTGCGTGAAGGGGGTGTTTCATCACCTCAGTCGAGGACTAACACGATCAAGAGTCTTGGAGATCCTAAAAAACCACGGCTCCACTTCCTTGCATGCCACAAAGTTTTACTCGGGCAGTGTGGCCTTCAACAACAAATTTGTTGACATGTGGCGATACGAGGGCTCGCCCGATTATCTGACGCTTGACACCATTAATGGTTACCCGGGCTCTCCAGACGCAAAGCTGATGTCCAGTGTACCAGCACCAGTCGGGATATCTACCGGTACTGAAGCCATCGTATGCAGTACAGGAGCTCCATTTGTGGGCAATACGTCTCGTCGGATCTTCTCGGCGCCGTTCTCTTCTTCAACTCTTTTCAACGATAGAGGCGTGCCGAACGGCAGCGGACGGGGCCGTGAAGCTCTTGATCGGCTCGTTCGCAATGCATTTCTTCGCAACGCCATCGCTGCTAATGAGCAAAGTACTGCTGTTGGCACGACGCAGCGAATAAAGGTTTCCAGTGAGGACCTGAACGGACACCACACAGAGCCATCGACCAAGATGGTGGAGCTCGATTTCGCCACTTGTACCATCTCAGAAGAGCTCAAAGCACAGGAACAACGCGTGGTTGAACCAGCGGCTATAGCCTCTGAAAGTATTCCAGCCACGTTGGTGGAGAAACCTGCCCGAAAAGAAGCTATTACTCCTCTAGAGATATCCGCCATCGACACTCGGCAAGCAACTCTTCCGAGCGCAGATCGGTCCGGGTCACCCCCACGAAGTCCAAGCTTACACCTGCGAACGAGCAGCGCTGCGTCACTACCACCATCGCCTCTGAATAAGGTTCCTCTGCGTCACGAAGAGGAAAAAGCTTTCTTCGAGAGCATTCTGCTCAAAGGCGGCGTGTTCAAGAAGTACGGCCAGTGGGGTAATCCTCATCGGCGCTTCGTATGGTGCTCCAAAGACTTCGACGCGATATACTGGAGGCCGTTGAACAAGAAGAGCAACTTGACGAAAGATGGTATCACGGTGACCTCCATGGTCTCGGTTCTGCCCGGAAACTCAGCCCGCACAAGATACGCCTTCATGAAGCACTTGTCTGACGGTAAGCAGCTTGTAAGATGACGATCCTTGTCGGTGAACTCGATCACTCACAGTTTGACTGGGTTCATGTCGACAGATAAAGCGCTCAGTCGGTGTTTCTCTGTTGTTGCCGAGGACAGACGATTGGACCTGGAAGCTGACTCGGAAGCTACGCGTGAACTGTGGACGAGTGCGCTGATGTTCCTGATGAGAGAGAATCGGGCACGATTGATCAGAAAATCTTAACTTATTAGACAGGATGCATACAGATATCGCTGGTACAACGTGAAATGAACTCTCCAAATTTTTTTTCATTCCTACCAGCGTTCAATACAAGTATGGGCATCCAGGTTCTCACCTTGAAGACGGCCATGTGCATGCTCTTGCTACTTCCTACTTCAAACAGCGCACAAGGTTCAATCAGTCTTGAGGCACTTGTCGAGGGACGAGAACTCGGAGTAGAAGGCCGTAAACCAGTCCAGCGACTTGACCAGGTCCTCCGTGCCGCACATCTCGCGGATGCTGTGCATGCTGAGCTGGGCGAGACCCACGTCAATCGTGCGAATGCCCGTGTTGGTCGACAGGATGGGGCCGATAGTGGATCCGCAACCCGTGTCCTGACGCACCACAAACTCCTGGATGTCCACATTGTGGCGACGAGCCAGCTCCTTCATCAAGAAGGCGGACGTGCCGCTAGTGGCGTAGCGCTCGTTGGCGTTGTACTTGATCACGGGGCCAGCGTGCAGAGCGGGGCGGTGATTCTGTTCGTGCTTCTCCGAGTAGTTCGGGTGCACGCCGTGGGCCATGTCGGCCGACACCATGAACGACTTGCGAGCCGCAGCGCCGCAGAGCTCTCCCTGAGCCACGCGCTCCGCCACGGACTGCATGAAGTTGGATCCGGCGCCCATGAGCGACTGCGATCCCACCTCCTCATTGTCGAACAGCGCCGCCACACGGACGTTCTCGTCGTCCGCCAGGTTGTCGAGCGACTTGATGAGCGCCTGCGTGGCCAGCCACGAGCAGCAGAGGTTGTCCAGTCTGGGCGAGAAGATGAACTCCTCCAGCACGCCGCCCACGTTGGCGCCCTGCGTGTCGAACAGACAGAGCTCGAAGTCGCAGATCTGGTCGATCTTGACGTCGAGCTCCTTGGCGATGAGCTGCAGCAGCACCGACGCGTGCTTGGACTTGGGCTGGTCCTTGGCGTCCATGGTGGCCTCGAGCTCGGCGCGCGCGGCCGAGGCGATCACGGGGCGCAGGTGGGTCTCCTTGTTGAAGGTGAAGCCCTCCGAGACCTTGCGGTCCAGGTGGATGGCGAGCGTGGGGATGCGCAGGATGGGGCGGTCCACGAGCAGCAGCTTGGACTGGAAGCTCGAGTCGCTCTCGCGCACGATGACGCGGCCGGCGAGGCCCAGGTCGCGGTCGAACCACGTGTGGAAGAGGCCGCCGCCGTACGTCTCGACGCCCACCTGCAGCCAGCCCTGCGACTCGATGTTGGACACGGGCTTGACCTTGAGGCACGGGCTGTCCGTGTGCGCGCCGATGACGTGGAAGCCGTTGCCGCGCTGGTACTTGCCGCCCACGGCGAAGGCCACGACGGCCGACTGGTTGCGCGTCACGTAGTACTTGCCGTTGGGGCGCACGGCGTCCTTCCACGAGTCCTCCTCGCGCAGCTGCTGGAAGCCGGCGGCCGTGAGCGCCTGCACGGTCTCGTAGACGGCGTGGAACGGGGACGGGCTCTTGTTGATGAACTGCAGGAACGCGCCCACGGTCTGCGGCGTGTGCGGGGACAGCGTGAGCTTGGCCATGGCTGGGGCGGGAGTGATGGTCTTGTGAGCAGGACGACGCAAATGCGGAAGTGGTGAAAAGATCGGCAATCGAGAGGTATCCATTGCAGGTATGCGATCATGAAGGTGCTTATAAAATGTGTGAGGGGATTTTAGACTGGGTAGACGACGTTGAAGAGTTAGATTGGAACGGGTTATAGTTTCTGGGGAAAGCGGATGAGCGCTACCGCTGCATGGCGACGGAGTCTACAGCGGGATGTTGCCGTGCTTCTTCCACGGGTTCTTGACGTCCTTGGTCTCCAGCATGTCCAGGTCCTCGCAGATGTGGCGACGGGTGTTCACAGGCTCGATGATGTCGTCCACGAAGCCGCGCTGGGCCGCCACCTGCAAGCAAAAACACCGTTGAAAGTGCACCGTCAGTACAGAATGCTCGGTCGAGTCGCAACGACACGCTGAGATGGTACACAAACAGCGGCAGCAACAGCAAGCGTACCATGGGGTTAGCGAACTTCTTCTCGTAGTCGGCCGTGTTCTCCTCCACGTTCTGGCCGCGGAAAATGATCTCGACGGCGCCCTTGGCTCCCATGACGGCAATCTCAGCCGACGGCCATCTGCAGCAACGAGTACGAAGAGAGTTAGTATACAACATGGCAGCCATGTACGAAATGACAGCAACTTACGCGTAGTTGATGTCGCCGCGGAGGTGCTTGGAGCTCATGACGTCGTAGGCACCGCCGTACGCCTTGCGCGTGATGATCGTGATCTTGGGCACCGTCGCCTCGGCGTACGCGTACAGGAGCTTGGCGCCGTGGCGAATGATGCCGCCGTACTCCTGGTCCGTGCCCGGCAGGAAGCCAGGAACGTCCACCAGCGTCACAATGGGGATGTTGAACGAGTCGCAGAAGCGCACGAAGCGAGCGCCCTTCACCGACGAGTTGATGTCGAGACAGCCGGCCAGTTCCATGGGCTGGTTGGCGACGATGCCCACAACGCGGCCCTCCATGCGGCCGAAGCCGACGATGATGTTCTTGGCGTAGTCGGGCATGATCTCGAAGAAGTCGAACGAGTCGACGATCTGGTTGATGATGTCCTTCATGTTGTACGGCACGTTCGGGTCGGGCGGCACGATGCTCTCGAGCGTGGGGACGGGTCGGTTGCGGTCGTCATCCGACTTGCGCACGGGCGGCTTCTCCTTGTTGTTGAGCGGCAGGAAGTCGAAGAAGCGACGCATCTCGCGAATGGCCTCCACGTCGTTGTCGAACGCGCAGTGGGCCACACCGGACGTTTTGGTGTGCGTGGCCGCTCCGCCCAGCTCCTCCTGCGTCACCTCTTCGTTCGTCACGGTCTTGACCACATCGGGCCCAGTCACAAACATGTACGACGAGTCGCGACACATGAAGATGTAGTCGGTCATGGCGGGCGAGTACACGGCGCCGCCGGCGCACGGGCCCATGATCATCGTCAGCTGCGGGATCACACCGGACGCCAGCACGTTGAGCTGGAAGATGTCCGCGTAGCCGGCCAGCGAGGCCACGCCCTCCTGGATGCGGGCACCTCCGGAGTCGTTGAGACCGATGACGGGCGCGCCGAGCTCCATGGCCTTCTGCATGATCTTGACGATCTTCTCGGCGTACGTCTCGGACAGACTGCCGCCGAACACGGTGAAGTCCTGGCTGAAGACGAACGTCAGGCGGCCGTTGATGAGTCCGCGGCCGGTCACGACGCCGTCGCCCGGGTACTGTTGCGTCTCCATGCCGAAGTCCGAGCAGCGGTGCGACTTGAGCATGTCGAACTCGCGGAACGAGCCGCGGTCCAGCAGCAGCTCGATGCGCTCGCGGGCCGTGAGCTTGCCCTTCTCGTGCTGCCGGGCCACGCGCTGGGCGCCGCCGCCCTCGAGCGCCCGCTGGCGCGCCTGCTGCAGCTCGTCCTTGAAGGCCAGCTTGCGCGCGGCCGGCGTGAGGATAGGCGACGCGTCGGCCGCGTCCGCCAGCGCGCTGGCCCAGCGCGCGTGCAGCTGCAGCGGCTGGCGCAGCAGGCGGAGCTGTCTGGAGGCCAGCATCGTCTGGGTCGGCAGACGGACGGAGGTGACGACCACGGAGCGCGATCGGAAGTGACGGCGGTCGGATCTCCACAGGCTTCGACAAGTTCAAGTGCGGGTCCGAAGTGATTTGCGATTTGTATGGGCGGATTTGGACCCGCCGACCCGCGGGTCGCAAAAGGCCAACAGCGGCATCGGTCAACGCAAGTTGAAGTTGCCGTGCTTGTTTGACGGGAATTGCAGCCTTGCAGCACAGCGCGCGCCGGCTGCAGCGGCCGAGGCTGCTTCAATCGGAGGGGAGGCCCCAGGAGACGGTGAGCGTTTGATGTCGTAGGCGCCGTCGCGAGGCTGATGGTGTCGCCTTCAAGCGCTGCTTCAGTATGCTACGCAATGTCTGACTGAGCTGCCCTACGGTACGGTAAGCCGCGTCACTCGGCCGAGGAGCAGTCAAGCATTGCAACGTACTGCCCTCGAGCGGGATTGTGTCGTCACAGTTCCTCGTCTCGCCAAAGCAGAGCAAGACGCTTGAGGTCAACTGTGAGAAATGGTTGAGAGGCTCACACCCTCACTGGAGAGCGGAGACTTATGCGCGCAAAGACGCTGTTATCCGGCGCTATATCCACTATGGCGACTTACACCGAAAAGTGAACCCTTCCGGAGCATCGACTGCACTTGACTGGACTGGCCTCAACTATGTTTGGCGAGTCCTTCTCACCCACTCGCGCCACTTGGCTCTCTGGTGGAGAAATCTTCTCCCATTTCTGCAATTGCAGCGAGAACTAAAGGCGGGATGGCTTCAGGTCGCCGTGCGGAGCAGCGCCGCGGAGCCCGGGGTCTCCACGTACTCTTCTTCTGTCTGCTCTACGTCGCCACGACTGCTTCACAGGATAGCGGTGAGTTGCTTGTATCGCTTCGTGCGTCTTGTTTTATCGGTGGTTCTGTTCAGCGGCATTGATATCTTCCTCCTATATACTACGCAGGCCCCGGTTCCGCTGGTTCCACCACCACGTCAACTGCTACACCCCCTCCAACCACAAGAACGACAACAACACCCCCTACGGCGACAGAGGCTTCGACGCCGCCGCCAGAAACAACAGAGGCTGCCACACCGCCACCAGCTTCGACTCAAACTGCTACCCCACCTCCAGATAGCACTGAAGATTCCACACCACCTCCAGCCAGTACTGAAGATGCCACACCACCTCCGGAAACAACGGAGGATGCCACACCGCCCCCGAATAGAACTGAAGGCGCAACCCCACCACCCGATACAACCAAAGTCGCTACGCCACCTCCAGGGACGACGGAAGATCCTACATCGGCTCCGGTTGCAACGCCCCCTCCCACGACGACTGAAAGTGCTACACCACCCCCTGCTCAAACTGAAGACGCGACACCGCCACCCGAGACGACTGAAGCCCCTGCGACCGTACCACCGACCCCATCTACCTCATCGCGAGCCACCACGTCCCCGACAGCAGCTCCAAGCCCAACCGAACCAGCTACAACAACCGAAGTGCCTGTCGTAGAGCACTACAACTCGTCAACGTTGCCTCCCGGGGTGGACTCGAGCCTACTGGACGGCGCTGAACTGGTTACAGTGGAGGTAACCGAAACAACCCAAGAAGACGGCACATCGACGTACAGCTACGTTGTCATCACTAGGACAGGCGAGACACTGCAAAGCATCGCGCTGAGTCCTTCGACCACTCCGTCATCTGGGAGCTCGTTATCGGACGCCAACAAGTCCACCACGACTTCTAGCTCGGTGGGGATTGGGACAATTGCCGGGATCATCGTGGGGTCCGTCGTCTTCATCCTCGTGCTGTTCGGGTTCTTCATCGGACGGCGACGAGGCATCAAGAAGCGACCAAGCGATATTTCATCAAATGACGTCTTGGACTCGCCTGTTGTGGGCAAGCAGGTGTGGCTGCTTGAACAGGGCCAGTCCCTCGCAGAGACAGAGTACGCAGAGATGACGAGAACGACGGCCAACTCGCGTTCCACAGGGAGCTCAATGCCGCACAGCAGTCAGCACCGCAGCTCACTGTGGGAAGACCCAGTCATTTTGGCGTCACGGGTCCCCGTCGACCGCATCGAGATGGGAGCTATGATCGGTCGGGGGGCCTTTGGTGAGGTGTTCCGTGGACGCTACCGAGGGCAAAACGTGGCTATCAAGATGCTCGTGCCGGAGAAACGTAAGGATATGATGCACATTCAGGCGTTCCTGTCGGAGGTGAGACTCATGGCGACCATGGAGCACCCGCACATTGTTCCGTTCATCGGAGTAGCATGGGAGTCGCTGGGCGATATATGCTGCATGACCGAGTACATGACGGGAGGCGACCTGCGTGCATTGTTGAAGGAATATCTGGACGACGGAATTCCGCAAGGCATGGATGCTATCAAGATGCAGATCGCGTACGAGGTGGCCTATGCTTTGACGTACTTGCACTCGCTAGATCCAGTGGTGCTGCACCGCGACCTGAAGTCTCGCAACATTCTGCTGACGGAGTCTCTCCACGCCAAGATCACGGACTTTGGTGCGTCACGCATTCGGTCGGATGCGACCATGACTTCAAATGTGGGGAGCGCCCTGTGGATGGCTCCAGAAGTCATGATGGGTGGTCACTATGGCGAGAAAGCCGACGTGTTCTCACTCGGAGTGGTGATTTCGGAGCTGGACACGCATGAGCTGCCGTACTCGCACGCCAAAGAGGAGAGCAGCAGCAGTGGACGATCTCTTCCGGATGCGGCTGTGCTTCAAATGGTGTCGATGGGCAAGCTACAGGTTCGGTTATCGAGCTTCAAGCATCCGGATATCATTCGCATTGTTACACGTTGCGTGAGTGTGGATCCGCAGGAACGACCGACGGCCGCCGAGTTACTTTACTACTTACAAGTGGCGATCAGGAACCGACAGTACTGATTGTTGTGCGCCACGCGTAGACGGAAGTGCAGCAATTCGTAGTGCAAACTGCGAGCAAGTTAAAACCTTAAATTCCTGGAATTGTTCCTGCGGATCGCCTCACATACAAAGATAAAAATTGTTTCGCTAAAGCGAGACTACGGGCTCATGGTGTGAGCCCGACACTTGTCTTGCGTCACCACTTGGTTGGTGCACCCTGGGTGCGAACATCTCCTCCCTCCACCGTGTTGAAAACATTTCCCTCCCTTGAGAGGCCGCTTCGAGCATTCTGGATGAGAACACACCCTACCTCCACCATGCCCAGTGCACAATCGTCTTGCTATCGCGAGCTTATTACACTCTGGAACAGAGCATCGCGTCCCTCCTCCATGCTTGTAGCACCTGCCCCCTGTTTGAGCCAGCTTATCGCACGCAGCCTCCATACACTTCTTGCCTCCCCCAATGCTCCGAGCATTTACCCAACCGATACGATCGCATTGGACACCCAGGCACCGTGCACTTCTCTCCATGGGCCGAGCACTTGCCCAGACGATAGGATTTCTTTCACAACCAGGCTCGGAACACTTCTTCCCCCACCATGCTCGAAGCATTTTCCCTTCGACACAGCGCGTTTGCCACACTCGGGATGCAAACACATCTTGACCCCACCATGCGCGTTGCATTTCCCGTTCAGATGAGGGTATTGCCTGGGTGCGAGCACGCATTGCGTCCTCCGTGCTCGAAGCATAGCCCCTTTGTCTGATACTTTGACGCACCCAGGGATCGTGCACCGAGTATGGCCTCCATGCTTGAAGCACTTGCCTTGTCGACCAGCGCGTCTCACATCCTGGAAACATGCACGTCGTACCCCCGCCATGTCGGAAGCACCTACCATTGGTCACAGAAGGATTCGTGCACTCGGGTTGAGTGCAACGACGCTTGTTCCGGGTCTTGCCTTGTTGCCCAGCGCTAGGCGAGGAAGTTCTACCGTCCATGGACTCGTCTCCCGTTGGTTGAGTGGTCCGGTTCAATCGATAATGTGCAGTGATATCGTTCAAAAAAGTGATGGCTGAAATTTTTATCGTTTTCAATTTACGTAATACTTATGAGAAACAAATGGATGTACGCTGCAGCAATGCACACAAACACTCAGTATTGCCGATTCTTGATTGCCGTCTGCAAGAAGTAGACGACCTCTGCAGCCGTTGGGCGGTCATCCGGGTCCACACTAACGCATTTTTCAACGAGTCGAGCCATTTCCAGGTGCATGAAGCGCGAGCATCGGACTCGCAGCTTACCCATCGACACCATTTGAAGCACAGCCGCATCCGGAAGAGATCGTCCACTGCTGCTGCTCTCCTCTTTGGCGTGCGAGTACGGCAGCTCATGCGTGTCCAGCTCCGAAATCACCACTCCGAGTGAAAACACGTCCGCCTTCTCGCCATAATGCCCGCTCATCATGACTTCCGGCGCCATCCACAGTGCGCTCCCCACATTTGAAGTCATCGTTGCATCCGACCGAATGCGTGACGCACCAAAGTCCGTGATCTTGGCGTGGAGAGACTCCGTCAGCAGAATGTTGCGAGACTTCAGGTCGCGGTGAAGCATCGCTGGCTGCAGCGAGTGCAAGTACGTTAGAGCGAACGCCACTTCGTATGCAATCTGCATCTTGGTAGCGTCCATCCCTTGCGGGACGTCGTGGGCAAGATAGTCCTTCAACAGCGTGCGTAAGTCGCCGCCCGTCATGAACTCGGTCACACAGAACAAGTCGCTCAGGGACTCCCAAGCTACCCCGATAAACGGCACGATATTCGGATGCTCCATCGTTGCCATGATCCTCACCTCGGACAGGAATGCATGGATGTGTGTCATATCCTTGCGCTTCTCCGGAAGCAGCGTCTTGACAGCCACATCGTGCTCTCGGTAGAGGCCGCGATACACCTCACCGAAGGCGCCATGGCCGATAACATCCCCCAACTCGATGCGGTCGATGGGAATCCGTGACGCTAGAATCACTGGGTCTTCCCACAACGTGACTCGTTGCCGCCTACCGTCCGGCATCGAGCCTCCGGAAGAATGGGAATTGGCTGTCGTTCTGCTCACGTCCGCGTACTCCGTCTCAGCCATCGCTTGGCCCTGCTCCAGCAGTCGGACCTGCTTGTCAACAGCAGGCGGCACGAAGATGTCGTCTGAGGAAGCATCACTTGGTCGGTCCTTGTTACTTCGTCGTCGCTGCAGGATGAAGAACGCAAGCAGCACCAACGTGAACACTAGGGCCCCCGCTATGATCCCAACGACAGTTCCGAGTCCGAGGTAACTGGAAGACTTGGCAGCGTTGGTGGTATCCGACAGAGAGCTGCTCGACTTGGTAGTGTCTGCGCTGGCAGCGATGGGTGCGCTCGTAGCGGGGCTGGACTCGGGGCTCAGCACAATGGTTCTCACCGTCTCTCCAGCTTTTGTGATAATCACGTAACTATACGAGGTGCTGCCGTCCTCCTGTGTCGTCTCCGTCACCTCCACATTGACGAGGTCCGAGCCGTTGAGCATGCTCGAGTCCAGTCCAGGAGGCAGCGTGGACGAGTTGTAGCGCTCCACGACAGGCGCTGTTGTTGGAGCAGGTGGTTCTTCGGGGCTTGGTGCTATTGTTGCTGGAGGCGAGGTGACCGGCGGTGTGGTTGTTGGAGTCGGTGATGCTGGGGCTTCATTCGTATCCAGAGGAGTTGGCGTCTCGGGCGGTGGTGTCGCGACTTCAGTCGACTCTGGGGGAGGTGTAATAGCTTCCGTCGTCTCTGGGGGCGGTGTCGCTGCGTCGGTTGTTTCTGGAGGTGGCGTGGCTGCTTCAGTCGTCTCCGGAGGCGGAGTAGCGCTCTCAGTTGGAGGTGGCGTGGCATCTTCAGTTGTTTCTGGCGGCGGGGTGGCATCTTCAGTAGGATCTGGAGGTGGTTGTGTGGCGTCTTCCGTAGAATCTGGCGATGGTGTGGCAGCCTCTGTCGTTTCTGGCGAAGGCGTCGAAGCCTCAGTTGCCGCGGGGGATGTTGTTGTCATGGTCCTTGTCGTAGCAGGACTTGTGGTTTCTTGAGCTGTTGTTGCGGGTGATGTGGATGTTGGCGTTAGTGTTTCGGTCGTCGAAAGCGACGACGTGGCGCTGGCATCGTCAAAGCCGGATTCTGCGCGTTGACAGTAGCAGCAAGATAGCAATCAGCCTTCCGGAGCATGCGGATCCAACCCTGTGGTGAGCACGCACCGCTCTCCTGTGAAGCGACAACAGCGCAGAGCAGACACAGCAGCAGCCCACAGAGGCGCCAGCCCCCGCTACGCCGCCCTTCGGGGCCAGCAGATCCCATCCCGAATTTCCTTCTACGCTGGCGGAGAAATCAAGCTGGTAGGTTATCCAGGCGGCAAATGGGTGAGTGGAAGGAAGGAGCTCGTCTCACTAAACATAGTTGAGGCCAGTCAAGCGGATACGGCCATGGCGGAAGGGTTCGTAACGCAAGTCTCGAAGTGAAAAACGCTCAATTTTTCGCCCGATCCGTCGCGACAATCCATTGGGAACCGCTGGACGCCTGTTGCGGGTGCGCTGCAGCAATTCATTACATGCCTTGTATTAATACTACTAGTACGACGTTCACGACCCATTGCTTTACCCCACTGGAGTACTCAAGCCAAGAGTTTCAATTTAACAAATCATCGTATGACGTCGTAGATATCTCGCTTATTTCCTCCGAATTGCCGATTCACTTCTCTGATGAACGATCACCGAATAACGCACTATGGCATCCGCTTCAGTTTCGACTCGCTGGCGGAGAATCACTTGCTGCAGCTTGACCTGTTGTCGCCTTTGGGCGCATTCCTCTGAGGATCGAAACCTTGCTCTTCAAGCGCGCGTCCGAGTACAGCTCCGTGGCCTCCGGGAACTTCTTCCGGAACAGCAGCACAGCTTCCTTGCGACCAACTTGGGGCCTTGTGTCTACGAGCTCCTGGAAAAAGTCGGCGTGCTTCGGCTCCATCCGATGCTTCTTGCGCGGCTCAAAGTCCTCGTCAGGCAGACCACGCTTGCGCCGTTCAGCTCGCAAGTGATAAATGGCCGTCCGAACCTCATTCTCACCAGGTATATCGTATCGTTTAGTGTCCCATGAGCGCAACACTTCCACTATCCTCGCCGGCCGCATTTTGTCGTGCCTGTCAACACCACCTCGCTCAAACAGCGCTTTGACATCCTCAATGTGCCGAGGGAGGTATTCGACGCCATACATTCGCTCCTTCGGTGGCCGTTGGGCCCAACCTTGTTCGAGATGTACTTGCAGGTTCTCCTCCTTCCCGCTTGCGAAGCGATGCCTTAACGCGATCATCTCTTTGGAGAGTTTCGACACGTCAACGATACTGTGTGGGTTGTCCTTCTTCATCGCCACCAGATACTGCTTAGCGTACGTTGCTGTATCCTTCTCACTCGTGTGCTTCGGTTCCCGGCTAGCTGGTAAATCGGCGACGGTTCCATCTGAGCAAGGAAACTTTCGTGTCCTCCGACGGATTTGCGCCTCACTGATCACTCGAACGCCAGTAACCAATCCAACCGCACACCGAGGAAGCACGATTTCACTGCTCAGGTCTAATTCACTGCCGTCTTCAGCTTCAATGACATCCTCTTCACCGTTTGCGACCTTATCCCAAGCACTTTCTTGAGCTTCATCATTGCTCTCCACAGCAAATTCGACAGGGGTTACCATGTCATCGTCCTCAAAACCCTGAAGAGTGCATTCTCCGGCCTTTGGATCAAGCTCCAACAACTTTCCAAGACCAACTCCGGAGTAGTTAAATGCTCGGACCCAAACGCTAGGACAACGCGTCATATTGAAACCCATCGTAATGTGACCGTCGTCCGTTACCGGGTGATCATACTCGTAAAATATGTCGTTCACTCGTCCAGCAAGTGCGGTGAAAGCTTTCTCCATTGACCCAATCCGGTCCGCGAAAAGATGCTGGCATCCGCCATTATACTCGACAATCTCAGCTGTTGTGTCCGGTATTCCGCCGTCTGACACGAGACCAGCTACAAGCTCCCTTGGTGTCGACCAACCACGGTCCTGACGTACCCAGGCTTTCACTTTTGTCGCTGCTCGAACGAATTGCGCTTGCAGGAGCGACTTCCCATCCTCCGCTTCAGTCTGCAGAAATCGTGAGACCTCGATTCCATAGGAAAACCCGAGCAGCGGAAGCAAGACCGATACAAATGCGTTCTGGTAAGCGGGGATATTGTCACTGCGAATCACAATGCGCTTGATGTGGGGCAGATCGCGCTTGATGTCAATCACCACAGCTTCCACCAACGCTGCTACAGTGTGCTTCGCTTCTCCGTCGACTGAGTTTGATACGTAGTGGTAGTAGAGCTTGTGCTCTGAAATGCTAGTCCCATCGGGGTCGCTTGCGTCTGCGTCAGCTTTCCAAAACTGAACCATCGCGCCATGCCACTTCATGTTGCTTTCATCCTCAGGCTCACCGATCTTCTCACCAAAACTCAGTGGTTCAGCGTTCAGCTTGAAGTCAATAGTGACGACAGCTTCGTTCAAGCCTTCGTCTTGCATCGCTTGCTTCTCCAAGGTATCAAGCATCTTCGATACCGCTCGCTGCTGATTCACAACTCGTAGACGATGACCCATGTAGAGCTCAAGTTTCTCGAAGCAGTCACAAACAATAGACAAAGCGTTCGCATTAGCGCCCTTCCGCTTCAGCAACTTCTCGATATGGGTCAAAAGGGATTGCATTCCCTGACAAGGGACACAACATGCTACTTTTGTGCTGGACGGGTCAACAGCAGCCAATCCGAACTGAGATTGGTGGCGAGGGCAGCTTACGTCTGCAGCATGAGCTCCCGTTTCGGTGTCATCAGCCAAATCTCCATATTCGAGCCAACTTCGAAGGACGCCAAGGCACCGAACTAACTTGGTACTGTCATCGGAAAGAAAGTCCGAGATAATCCTCTTTAGTGTCGAGAAGTTGTCATCCAACAGCAGAGCAGACACCGCAGTCGTCTGCATCTCCGCGTCTCCGTGAGTAAGAATCCGACACACGCGGAAAAAGGTCGTCCGCGATACATAAGACTGCTGATTCTTGCTGAAATAGCCATCCCACATAGCCGTCATCGGTCTTCTCCGCAGAAGCAACGGCACGTCGTAATATTTTCCATCCAGCACGATCCGCTTCGTCTCCCCAAGACGATTCGCCACGTTATCACACGACAGCATGGACGTAATAGCGCACTCCAACAGCGCTGGGTCCAGTCGCTCCACACTTCTCGTTTGTGTCGTGAGGGCGCCTTCATCCAGCAACTTCTGGTAATCTTGTCGACCTTTGCTAAAGCTGTCATGGGACAGCTTAAAACCTGGCACTTCATCGGCCAAATTGATCAACTCGCTCCGCGTAAACTGTCCACACAGCAGCGCCCGCGCCGTTCGTCTCTCGATCGAGCTCTTCTTCGCTGCAGCCATGACCGCCGCCAACGGACGGAAAATGGCCGACGAATTCCTCATGGAACTGCATGTTTTCTCCTCTTTTGGCGCCGAATCCCGTGCAAACGCAGCGATGGACGCTTCCGCCGTGACTTCTCCACAAAGCGACTCCGCCACTCGGGACAGAATTTTCTTGTAAATCCTGAAAAGTGTGGGCCGTACCCTGTCGTACGCAACGTTATCCTGGATTGGTTTCCAGTAGTCGGTCGACTCTCGGAGGCTTCTGGAGCCGACGTGAGCCAACAGCGTGTGGATCGAGCGCTCGTCCTCTCCATAAACTTCAAAATGTCTCGACATGAGGACAAGTTGCCTTTGTCCGGCTTTGACTCTTCTTTCTCCTCCTCTGATTCCTCTGATTCCTCGTGCGTTTTGCCCAGAGTGGCAGAGCGACGAGGACGTCCGTCCAGGCGCGTGTTAGCGTCACTGCGGTCGACGGTTCCCCCGTCAGGTTTAGCGTTCTCCTTATGCTGTATATTCTCCTTGTACGGACCGTGCTGACCACGTCGCCGATTGAGCTTCTGGGCGAGGGGCACTCCGTCGTGCTCGCAGCCGCAGCGACTGCACGAGAGGCAGGTAGAACAGCGCCCTACTTTGCAGCTACAGGTGAGAGGTGGGGGTGGTGGGGCATCGTGGGGCGCCGCTGCGTCGGACATGACGGCGATGATACCGTTATAATTTTGGCGCGAACTGATAAGGTTCAAAACAAATGTGGTGTACATCGAACAGCAAGTTGAAGTGCTTGACGTTATCCTGACGGGTACAAGTTTTATGCTGTATTGGACGGTTTAGCATCCGCTGCCGCCGGCGATGCGCAGGCAGCTGGTGGAGTCGAAGAGGCTCAAGACGTTGGTCATGAGCGTCCACGCCAGCGAGAAGATGAGGTAGCTCATGGTGAGGACCCCCCAGAATTTGCTCTTGCGGTTCGTCTGCTGCATCTCGTGCACCTCATCCTTCTGCTTGGGGAGCCAGAACACGGCGGCGATAGACAGCAGGTTGAACGCGTACGCGATGAGGTACGTGTAGGTGACTTGCGACCGCACGTAGTGGCTGTCCTGCTCGATGAAGGTGCGCTCGATGTCAAAGTATCCGTCCACCGTCTTGGTGATGACAGTCGCGAACGGGGTCCCGACGGACTCCGTAGTCACTCCGAGACCCAGAAGTGTGGCCTCGAAGCCCTTTTGGTTCCCGATCTCGAGGATCAAGAGCTGAGCCACGTAGTCGGCCGCAGCAAACGGCACCTCGCCCACAAGCGGGACACCGAGCCAGAACCACTGGCTGCGGTAGACGTCCCAAATCGTCAGCAACGTCGGAATGGCATCGATGCACACGACGCAGACCTCGCAGACGATGATGATGTAGCGCCAATTCCACTGCAGGCCGCGCTTCTTGATCAAATAGGTGCCGCTGATCGTCAGGAAGGCGGTGAGCATGCTGGCGATGCCCGAGTTGAGCGGCTCCACCTTGGCCCAGTCGCTTTGAATCGCGCTGGACGCCGTCACCGTGATCTGCGAGAAGACGCTGAAGCAGAACCGGAAGGCAGAGTAGCGGTAGATGACCTCCTGCTGGAAGACGTCGTAGAGGAATGGGAGGATCGGCATCTGAGCGCGCTCGTTCTTCACCTCCTGGATGCAGTACCACGAGAACGGGATCGTGAGGAACGACGCCGCCGCGCAGACCCACATGACGGCGTTGAAGCCCATCGTCCACGAGAAGGTACCGCCGTAGTCCTCGCCATTGAGGCCGATCCCCGTCATGAAGGAGGACACGACCATGAACACGTAGTGGATCACAATGACGTCGCCGATGAGCGTACCGCGCGTGGCCTCCGGCTCGCGCTGCGAGGCGTCCATCAGCGCTCCGTTGAAGCCGCTGTACGCCATGACGGAGCCGAAATTCGCGATCATCATGAGGATGATGAGCTTGACACCGCGGCTTGGGGCGTCGGTGTTGAGGGTAGCGAGCTGATCGGGCGTCATGTCGACCAACGCGATGTCGGACAGCGATGCATCGCCGTAGTAGGGGTCTCCCAGAGGCAGCACCGCCATCAGCAGACACGAGACGAAGGACAGCGACCAACCGATGATCATGTAGGGCCGACGGCGGTATCCGAAGATCGGGCAGGTGTCCGTCAACATCCCCGTGAAGATCCGAAGCGCGCGAGGGAACGTCACGAGAGCAGTGGCCGTTGCGACCAGCGTCGTTGAGACGTGCAGGTAGTTGTTGAGCACGGAATAGATGACGCCGCTCACCGTGCCGTAGACTGTCCCGACGGCCGCAATGTGCGTCAGCATGCCCAGGTTCTCCCAGCTGTAAGCGGACACGGAGCCATTGGCCGGACGCAGGCTGCCGTCTTCGCGCTGGATCTGGTCGACGGGGGACTTGAGCTCGCCATAGCCTGACGGGTACGTCGAGGCGTCCTCGGGCTTGAGCTTCGTGAGACTCTCGACGGAGACGCGGTCGGTCAGGTGCTGCACCATCGTGGCTCGATGCAAATTAAGAAGTGGCCAACCATGCGACTGGGGAGATCGGAGTTCCGGAAGGTCTGCACTGGAACCCGTGCACGCAGCAAGGAATCCGTATCCCGAGCCATGCCAGCAGTGCCCAGCAATTCAAATAATGCTTGATGCCGAGGTGTCAGCATCGCTCACTCATCCAAGCTTCCAAGCTAACACAATGTTCCTCGTGGCCGATTAACGCGTGCGGCGCATGCATGGGCAGCCGTCACCTTAAGCCCAAGAGAGCTGCCAATCCGACATGCCCAATGTCGACGGTCATTCGTACCGCCGGATGAACGCCGTGTTACAGGCGGGCCAAGTTGTCTTGATCTGCAGTAACGACTAAAGCATACCCTAAAGCTTAGTCGCGGTTTTAGTGTTGATGTCTAACGGCTTTGGGTTTGCTGTGGAGAATTGCAAAGAAAATATGTGCATACCGCAACTCCCCTTGCTTTTTAGTCGGATTCGTTAGTTATCACGGATATCGAGGGAGGGAGGGAGGGTCAATGGGGAAGAGCTCTAGGACTTCAAGACTTCAACGGAGACAAAATTCACCAAAACGGTCATTCGTCTGCCGAATCCGTGTGTGTGTGTGGGGGGGGGGGGGCACGCAACGTCATCGAATCGAGTTGCTGTTGACGCATGTTTAATAAGGTGAGTGTTATTAATACCTTTCCTAGATGGAATTGAACTCATGGGGTTTGCATCCTATCTGTTGTGTCAAATCCGCTTCTCTGGGGATTCACATTAACGCTGACGCACTTCATAAGAGAAGTGGGGCAGCTCAACAGGCGAGGAAGATTAACAGCACAGCGGGGGAGGGTATGTGCTACTTCTTCTGCTTGCTGTCGTACTTCGGTGTTAAAAACTACCGCGCTTCTGCCCGTATCCATCGCAACCACCATTAGGTTTTTCCCTGGTTTAAACTCAAAAACCTACCAGTCGATTTTTGCTGGGTTTTAGGTTCAACTTCATCATAGTTACTGCTTACTGCGACTTTCCTCGTTGCTTCTGCACAGGATGCTGGTATATTACATAGATATATTGCGGCGGGGCGTGTTTTAGCTGAGTTTGGCTTATTACGATCGACGTGGGGTTGTTACCATTCCCACACAGGGCATACTGGCCCTGTGTGGGAGAACGCCAGAGGCCCCTGGCTTATGATTGAATGACGCTGCTACTGTGTTATCAGTCAAATGAAGCTTTAATCAGCAACGAAGAACGGGGCTAAAGAGATGCATCCGCACCTGTGTCTCAATCTGGATGAAGACGAATATGGGGGGAAATTGGTGATTTTCAATTGAAATCTGTTATCCATGAACACAATCAGCAATAATTGCATTCTGTGCGTGCATCCATTGCATTTGGCAAAGGCATTCATGAGTTGTGCGTGCGCCTCGATGCGTCAACGAGCACCTTTATCGAGGCTTGCAAAGTCGACGCTAGTGCATTAGCAGCGATGCATACGGGTTCGTCGTACATATAGAAGTGACGATGACGACTAGCCAAGGCGAACCCGTGCATGCGTATCGGACCTAAAGAAACGGATGCTGCATCAGTGATGCACATCGGAACGAACAACAACATATTAAGTAGTAAGGTAAGCACCTTATATATGCGTTGGGGTGAAGAGGGTGATACATCAGAGTGAGTATGACAGTGGACGATGTCTGGTTTAAACCCAGTAAAATCAGTTTAAACCCAGTAAATTCAGTTTAAACCTACCCAAAAACCCAGAACCTAATTCATTTTTTGAAAATCAACAGGTTTTTCCAGCTCTGATCGCAACGTTTCCCAATCAGTCGGCTGTTTTGTTGAACGCCCCGACACATTGAAGCATGCACCAGCGCTACGAGCACGATGGGGAACGGAACCAGGCCGTATAAGGGAAGCCCCAGTGAAAGGTAGTAGCGCAGCGCGAGAGTTGTTCAAGAGCTCGCTTGACCGGAGGAGTGCAGTGAACATAATGGTAGCATGAATTAGGGAAGTGTGGTTTCCCGTGTACTACACGTCGCGTAGTATGGCGATTATGGCTTCTTTTCAAACGGAGAATGATTGCATGCCCAGGGTGTTTACCCCAAAGCTATTCGCGTATCTTGCTCTTGCAACAAGTCATCGGTAGACCTTTTTTCTGCGGTGTCGGCAACTGTTAGTGCAGTGCTGAATTCGATCGGTAGGTAAACATTTCGTCCAAACGAATTACGCTAAGGTGCTGGAAGTGGTTAGTAGACCTACAGTATATTCAAGTTGCATTTAGGCACTCTATTATGTTACTGTAGTTATGTGGCCCGTCACACGGCCAACAGCCGCGTGTCCGAGCTGCTGGACGTGCAGGACTTGACAACGGACGTGATGTGGCACACCATGGCGGTGTCGGTGACGACGATGTTCGGCTAGATGCGGCCGGTGCAGGGGAAAGTCAGCGGGCTGGAGCCACCGACCAACGCTGGAAGTGGGCGATTGAAGTTGAAGCAGCGTGACTGCCGAAGATCGCAGGAGGGACGACGTGTGAAGGCGAGTCAAGGTGGAAGCATGCCAGGAGGCGAGGCGACGCCAGCGGAGCGAACGTGAGGACAAGAAGTGTCGAGTCGACAAGAAGGGGGAGAGGTCCAAGTAGGATAGGAAGGGCGCTGTAGCTAGAGTTAGTATAGGCGACGGAGGGGATACGGTAGATAGGAGGGAGGTGAGCGGCGGCCGTGTCGACTCGACCCTCAGTTAAGATTTGTTGCGGGACGTGCAGCGAGTTGAGACTAATACATTGATCTGCGCCGGAAGCACGGGTTGCTGACCTTCGTACTGCGGCGGAGGGCGTCGGCGAGGAGTCGAGCAGTAAGGGAGAGGTAAGCTGAGGTAGAGCTCGCACATGATGAGGGCAGTGGACAAGTAGAGCGACGGGACCGTGGAGAGAGACCACGGGGGTTGTGGCGGAGCGCCTCGACCGAGGGACAAAGGGTCCACGTGTACCTACGGGTGAAGGACACCTGCGTCCGTTGCATGTAACCGGGCTAGTTGCGGGGAGCAGCCGGCGGGGCTACCCGACCGTCGGTGCCGATAACGCTTCCTCCCAGTCATCTCTATCCGTCATGAGGTGGCGGCCAGTAGCTGTCTGGTTGACCACTGTAAGAACTGCCTCGTGCTGATGCCACCGCGGCTAACCCGCTACCTAGGTGCAGAGGTCTGCAATCGATGACGGCTGGCTGACGACCTGTAATGGATGGGGCAGGGAGGTTGGCGCTAGCTATATGGTGGTCATACCAGTGGCTCTCTGGGCACGTCTTAAAGAGGAAGACGTTGCGAGCTGAGTCATTGTGGGCAATCCCCGCAGCGAGACGAACGAGGAATGAGATTAAGATGGGATACTGATAAGTATGGATGTTGGTTATTGCAGTTTTACGAACTACGGAGATGGCTACAACAGTGGCACGCGATGAGCGCGCGCAACGGCGCGCTGCTTCGGCTGAACGGACGGCTGCTGAAGCGGCGGCTGCTGCAGCGAAACAGCAGAAGCCAAGTGGAGGGATGACGGTCGAGACGGACGAAGGAGGCACGCAGGTCTCCGTGACGCTGGGGATGGCGGAGATCCGAAGCGCGGGTGATACACCGCTGGGCACGAGCGGCGGTGACGGCGCCGGAGGACGTACTGCAGGAAGCGACAACGGCAGTGGACAACCGGGACGAAGACGCGCGCCGGCTGGAAGCGGTGACGTCGAGGGCCGTGGTCGTCCATCTGGCGATGCTGGCTCATCGGGCGGCAGCGGAAGCCCGAGCAGCGACAGCGTAACGCAACCTGGGCCGAGCGTGGACGTCGCGGGACACAGCGGCGCAATTGTGGACCTGACGAACATTGGAGGTGATGGCGGACGGGGCAGTGCGAGGCAGAGCCAAGCGCCTCCACCGCCACCACCAGCACGAGGAACAGGAGTGGGGATGACACCGGCAGGTGGTCCATCACGAATGCAAGCGCCACCACCACCGCTGGTCGTCTGTGAGAAAGCCAAGTCCCTCAAACTGTCCAAGTTCAAGGGACTCAACGACAGCATGCCTGTGACGATGTGGCTGAAGACAGTGAGAGCGGAAGTGCGCAGACAGGCGGCGACGATGGGCGTCCAGTGGACCGAAGAGCAGCTTTACCACGAGGTGGCGGCACACTTGGACGGCGAAGCGCAGCGCTGGTTCGCGACGGTGATGGAGACGGTCGACACCTGCTCGACTTCGACCAGTGCTGTCGGGTCATCATCAGCCTCAAGGAGCTCCACCAGGCTGAGCTCTTCAACGTCCTCCACGTTAGCGGCACTCCGTTTCGTATCCATGAACTGCGGGAACATGCGCTTGCACGGAGCCTTCTGCATTAAAAGTGCTGCAGCTATAGCAAATAAAGGGCATGTTAAAAAGTTTTTCGGGTCTTTGAACAGCGAAATGCCTTGGAGAAGAGCCGTTTTAACTCTCTTGAAGCGAAGGAAGAGTACGCCACCTAATAATACATAGTTTTTATCAGTAGAAACATAAAACAATGGCAATAATTATCCTTTCACGACTTACCAGGAAGAATTGAGAGCTGATGTTTCTCTAGCTGGTCGGCATCAGAGCTACGCCCGTACAGGTACCACATCGTGACGACAACGGCAGCGTCGAGGTAGATGGTATCCGCCGAATCCGACGTATACAGCAGTCGAACTATATTTTCTAGATCTTGTTTGGAACACGGTGGGGTCTGCTTTTCCAGCGCACCGTCCTCGCGGTTGCTGCAATACTTTCCAAGCCCAGACAGGATTTTTTGCAGCTGTGGTTTCATGATTGCCCCCTGTTGTGGATACTGATCCAGCAACCAGTTTTTCACGTTTCCGAAATACGCAAGACACGTATTTGTTGATCCAAACCGGGTCTCTCTTTCTTAATTGTAATGTATAAGCTAATATTTGCCGGAACCGGGTACCCGTCGATAAATGCTAAGATTTATGCACATTATTTACCAAAGGTTGATACTAATCGTTTCTGTCGCCAAACCAATCAGCTCAACTCGACGGTGACACGAGCATCGTTCGACTTTTTTCCCTGCGATGTAGTCACCACTTCCAAGGAATTGGTCCATTAGCGTATTTCTCATCCCACAATTTACCCCCCCCCCCAAGCCCGAAAGTTAAAAGTTTGTTTGTTTGTTATGTTTTTGAATTGAGGATCATTATTGTCACTTAGCTAACATCCTCAAGTTAAAAGGTCAAGATCAGCGTACCATGCGTCACTCCTTCGTTCCGCTACTGTAGCTCTCTCGTCTGATCGTTAGCACACAACATAGTACAAAAATGAGCACAGTATACCTTACCTGCAAAATGAATGAAATAGCTCGCTCGTTGCTGACGCCAACGCAGCCATTGGACGCTTACCAGGGTGTTATGTCACTGATGGCCTCATCAGACCAGGCAACATCAATTGGTGACTTTCGGTTGAGGGAGAGGACCCATCACCAGAGATTTGGAGTACGCCACCACAGATTTAGGCCGCATCACCACAGATTTGGTGCCAAGCACCAGTCGAACGGCTGGCGCCAAATCACCAGATATTCGGGCTGCAGCACCATAAGAAAGGGTCCCATCACCACTTTATTCGGCTACATCACCACCTGCAAATCTTCTACAGTGTAGTGTATCAGTAATGGCACTGCACATTATTGCCACCATTGTATTAGCGTTGTGTATGTGAATGGATGAGTGTGATGCGTACCGATACGAATTATCATGCATTGTTACGCCGCTCCTACAGCAGCTAGCTAAAACCTACGTCGCTTGGTTTGATCGCATGATTCCCGATTTGAATTGCTGGCAGGCCATGTTGCCGGGCACCGTCCAGTGTCGTGTGCAAGTTGACCTCTCGCACCGTCGTCGGAGCCTTCGAAGAGTGGTGCGTCATACAAACCTGTTGGGCTTCGAGTAGGAAAATCCCATGTCGAACCCGACGGAAGTGCAGGAGGCTGCAACACGTCATGTGCAGCAGAGATGCAAGCGCGCTCTTCATCTCTCGGTGTTCTATCGGTGGGCAGTGGCTCACTGTTCGCTGCAATATATGCATCTATTGGTCGGTAAACAAAGGGCGCATCTGGACCCCACGGTCGACTGTAGGTATATGCTGCTTGATGCACTGTCAGCCTGGCGGAGGAACCCACCGGCATCTCCATTGCCTGATGAGCGCTCCAGCTCTGGTGAGCGTTCCAATTTTGAATTCCATCCTCATACGTCTGAAAGGGCAGCATAGTTGCGTGACTGTGGATCCGTGGGCTGATGATTGTACCATATCGCGTTGATGTTGCTGTAGCTGATAGTCGAAATGGAGGTCCAATTGCGCCATCGCATACTCGGATTTGGTTGCTGTTTGTTGATTCTTGCGCCCACGGCCCATACACAGGCTGGTTACCTATAAATCGAGGAGGTTGGAGCTCGTCGCTCGTAGCACCGGCTACACTTTGCCCTTGGCGTTCCGCAGTCTTGTTGGTTCCCCTTCCACGTGGAGCGTGATTGGTGACAAAATCTTGCTCTGGTGCAGGCATTCCAGGGCAAGGTAGACCAAGCTCGCGTGTTGCGTGGATTATATGCAGACACAGACCAAATTTGCCACTGAAGCGACAGCTGCAAGTCCTCGAAGCCGCATTGACAAACCACCCATCTACCGGCATACTTTGCCATTGTATGCGCAGTACATGAATGGACTTGAACGGCAGATTTGTCTTTTTCGGCTCGACGTAAAAATCATTTGCTGCACGACTCTCGGCGTTACCGTATCGGCTACGAGGGCGATGCAAAATCTGAACAAACTGGAGAGGGATATCATCTGCTCCAGCAATCGGTGTTGCCGACAGTTCTTGCTTGCGTACAGCCATGGAATACAGAGCCTTTAAGCGTTGAGACACTGCAGGAGTACTTTGGAACGACACTTGCATCTGAAGAAACACAAGTCGAGACTGGTCCAAACACTCCAGCATTTCAATTGGCGTAGCTTTCTTGTCCTTGTTTACGAGCTTGAGCGTCTTATGGTACTGCTCAAGCGGGTTATTTGTCGCCGCATAACCTGGTGGAGTCCGAAAGGCTTGCCAGTGGCTGAAACGAGGGTGCAAAATCCATTGATCAATGATGTGACCCGCTACTTTTTGGAATGCCACACAAAACTTCGAAGCTGCGCGCCACGCAGCAAGCACGTTCTCCCTCCTCTTCAAATATTCTTCTTCATTTCGGGAGTAGTGGAGGTTGTTGAGGTCGCGAAAAATCATATCAATGATCACTGCTTCCAGTTTGCCTTGTGTGAGGTCTTTCACATTTTGGCAGACATGGAACCAACACATTAAAAACTTGGAGCCAGGTAGAGCAGCTTTGCACGCGTTGTATTGTGCATTATCCGCGTCGGACATGACAAACGCTGGCGAAAAACTGACTAAGAACTTCTCCCAGACGATGCGCTTGGTAAACTTGATGCACCATTCCACATCAACTCCAGTGCGCTGAGAAGTACAAAAGTAAATAATCGGGAAAAACTTACACCGGCAGTCCGAAACCCCAAACACGAAGACGGGATAGCGCTGTTTAACGATGCTATGGGTGCTATCGATGTGAAGCAGCGTCGTGCACCGCGGATCTCGTTGTACAGTGACATAAGTTTCTAACAGGGCGTGGCATGTGACTCCAATACGAAAGGGCGACAACTTGGAGCCCGTGCCAATACTGGGAATCAACTGGTTGTCATCGGTCTTGGTGTCACAGAGAAGAATCATTTCATCACTAGTCACTTGTCTGTCTTCTGCAGCGTCGTACATGTGTGTGCTACACAAAGCAACAACAGATTGTAAAGCTTTTCGCTTGTGAACCTTTCTCCACTTCTTGACGTAGCTTTGAACTTGACTCAACACTGGTGCGGGTCCTGCCAACGTCTGACGCTTTATTTTCTTGCACAAAATCCCTAACAGGTCGACAGGCGTAAACCATACGTGATCCGATAGTCGCTCGTCGATGACTGCCTTCATTGCGTCGGACATCGGGATGGTCTTAGCTGTGGGTGACTCGACGGATGCATCAGGCATTGTGTGATGTCCATCCACGCAGACCGTCGCCAGAGAGCTGGATTCACAAGCTAGTATCCTGTACCGACACTGGCACTTCACCCCGCTCTCACTACAGCGTGCTGACGTACACTCCGTGATGATTCTGCGCATCGGAAGCCGCGTCATCAGGGTCTCGTCTTCATCATAGGTTGCGTGGTCCAGAGTACACCTCGGCACTTTATCGTTCCGTTGACGACTGCGGCTGGGCAGCGAATCCACAAACTTGTCGAGAGTAGCGTCACTGCTCGTTTCAGAATTCCATATTTCCACCCAAGGAACTCTTTCGCCACGTCGGCGAGGTTGACCGCTGCCGACGGAGGTCTGTTTGCATACAATTAACGGCGTAGATAAGTACTTGCCATAGTTGTCGACATACTCAGTACAATACTTACTGTAGTTATCACTTGTGTGGGCGGGCTCCTCATACTTCCAGCCAAATAGCACGGGAATCCCGTGGACCGTAGGAAGAGGGCAACTAAGTGAAGCGAAGAATGCCACGCTCGTGAAGAGACGTACTTGGGTTTCTTGTCTGCGCTAAAAATAATTTGCAAACAAGAACACGACGAGAGCTTCCGCTCTTCTCTTTTTATAAATATTTGTGCGGAATGAATATAAACGTCCCTACAGTGTGAACATGTTTACAAATGCACATAGTGGTGATTCGGCCCAATCCAATGGTGGTTTTGGCCAATTTAATGGTGTGCGATTCCACCCAAATCAATGGTGATGATTTCCTTTTCGGCGCCGTTGGAGGCCATGATTATAATCATTTAAACGTACATGATAGGAAAACATGATTTGTCCAGGATTGGTAAGAAACATTTCTTACCGAGTGAGGGAGAAACAGCGCGACCAATTTAGCACTTGCGACGCTCGCGGAGGAGGCGAATGCGATTGATTCTCGTTCTGAGGAGTCGGCGTTTCCCAATCGAAGGTTTCCCGTGAAGATGCCGAGCAACGCACGCGGAAGTGGCCAAGGCAGTGAGGCCTACTGCGAAGGCCAAGGTGAAGCGAAACAGGATACTGGAAGGCGAGAGCAACGACGCTCATACCGGGGTCCGGGGCTCTGCATGACGCCAACTTCAGACGCGACCAAGAGCACGCTCGACGACGGAGAAGGGTGTGAGGAGAAGAGAGAGCACGACAAAGAGCAAGCTGCGATCATGGGTAACTCTGTGGGCAGTGATGGCGATGATGAGTACGATGCTGCGGGGGCTACTGGGGTCCTGCTAGTGGGGTGTGCGTCTAGCCGCGATGGTGATGGCCACGAAGAACACGGCGGGGACGACAGTGCGGCAATCTCGGTAACCGTGGAGCCTCCTTTGCTCTGGCACACAGACTGGGCTGCATGGAAGATCTATTTGACTGAGTACTGCGAGCGCACCAATCAAGTGTTGCCCGTGAAAGAGACCCTGTCTCGTGCAGAGCGTATCAAGCGCTTAAAGTGTACTAAGAAAGGAAAAGAAGTCTCTATGAAAGAAAACGATGATTCCCTGTTGCTCCCCGAGGCGTTTGACCCGTATCAGCGGACTTACATTTGCACCCACGATTGGAAAAAGAGGAAGTCACGCAGTGAAGGTAGTCGTCCAAAGCAGCATATACGGTTGACGAATTTCCCGTTTAGATTCGTGGTACAGTGGAATTTGTCAAGGGGCGAGCTGCAAGTAAAGCTTGGATGCTTTACCCACAATCACCCGGTATCGGCTGCTGCCTACGCGACGTATCCGACTTCTCGTGGAGTTGACAATCCACTTGTAGAAGCACGTGTGGAAGGTATGTTGGCCGTAGGTGCAAAACGCGCTCGAATCTACGACTATCTTCTGGAACACGATCAGAATGTCATCCAAGTTGATGTGGATAACATGGTGCGTGAGCATAAATCGTCGGTGTCAAGTGTTGACGATAACGAAGCTACCGCGAGAGAAGTCGCGACTTTCGCAGCAGCTGATCCAGAGAACGTTGCATCTATTGCAGATACTGATGCAGGTGAAACGGGTGTCATATCGCTGGCGAGTGCACACAAGCGCCGTGTATATGACCGATTTAGCGAAGTGCTGCTAGTTGATTGCAGCCACAAAACGAATCGATACGTGGATTTGTCTCTCTACTGAGACTATGTAACAATGATTTATAACGTGCCTTACCTGCCATTGACGTCTTAGCTACAACTACCAGCTCCTTACTTTCATGGCCATGAACGAGTTCGGCGAAGGCGCTGTGGTGCAGCAGTCGCTGCTCGAGGCGAATGGAGATTGGCACATGGAGAAAGCTATCGCCCACTTTAAGAGGGCCCACCCGACTCGGATTAATTTGGTGCGCGTTATAGTTGTCGACAAAGATCTGAACGATATTCGTGTCCTTGAAGCTCACTTCCCGAGGCTCGCATCGATCTGTCACTTCCATGTTATCAAGTATCTGAAGGAAATGCGATCGAAATCTGATTTTGGGAAGGTTTCTGCTGACGACGCGAGCCAAGTCGACGCAGCAATCCACAAAATGGTGTATGCTGCTTCGGAAGAAGACTACAAGGCTACGCACAAAACACTGAAGGGCTTGTGTGAAAAAATCGGCCTGACGGGGTTTTTCGAGTACTTCGAGAAAAATTGGGATTCGTGCCAAGATCGTTGGGTGATGTATCGACGCGCAGATCTGCCACACTTGAACAACCACACCAATAGTCGCCTTGAAAGCTTTTTTGGAAAGTTTAAGGATGGAGTAGACAGCTCCCTGAGTATGTCTATGTGCGTGAAAGCTTTGGTCGCGTATGACCGTCGAATGCAGAACGAATATCAGTATCGGCTATCTCGAATTGGCCAGTTCGTGAACAGCAACTATGACGAAGAGATGTCCAATGTGCTTCGCTTTACTACCCACTATGTAGCCAAGCAGATTGAACAGCAGTACGCTCGTGCATTGGACAATGTTTCAAATTACACGTTTCGTAAAGATCACGGCGACCCGAGTCTAGTCGTCGTGTACGGCACCTCTTCTGAGTATAGGCTTAGAACGGACGACTGGAGATGTGATTGTGGGTTCTCGTCGTCAATGCGCCTTCCGTGTCGCCACGCTATTGCGTATCGCAAGAGCGAAAATTTAGCTGGCCCGCTAATTCCCTGGAGCCGTATCGACAAGAGGTACGATCAGACTGACATCACGATAATAGTATATCCTAAAAACTCATCAGCCAATTGCACTTGCAGGTGGACGAACTCAGACCGGAACCTGGAGAAGGTCAGACAGTTATCCTATGAGAAGTTCAAAGATGCCAACTCGGGTCGCCGCGAGCAAAGAGTGAAGACGCACGCGGAGCGCTACAGAGAGGCTGTGAGGGCCACACATCTGATCGCAACTGAGATGGCAGATATTGATGATGAAAGCGAGTTTGAGGAGATGCTGCAGTTCGTGCTAAACCAATGGCGCAACGTACGCCAGCGTAAAATCGCCGATTTCGAGCAATTGTGCGTCGATGCGGTTTCCAGCCCTCACGTTCACCACCACCAAAACGCAATAGATGAGGATGCGGAAGCCAAACGCGAATTCGAAATTAGTTCAAGGGAAGAATCCGATCAGTGTCTAGAAGTGGAGAATAGGTCATCGAGTTGTGATGTGACTGGATTTAGCTCTGTGCACGTACGACTGAATCCCAAGGCCAGGAAGGTAGAGGCACCACGAAAACTGAAATCCACAACGGCTGCTGGTGAGAAAGGTGATCTAAAATCGATCGAAGCCGCTGAAGCGGGGCGTAAGTGTGCAGGAGAAGTTACATTAGTGGGGTTGCTGTCTGCGCTGGATCGTGAGCGCCCAACTCTTGTAGAAACTCAGCGGCGTCTGTCCGGGATCATTGTCAAGTACAGCGAGGCGGCTACCAAGAAACCGAAATTCAAACGCATGAAAAATCCCGTACTCATCATGGACGCGTTCTACATTCTCCCCTCAAAGCTGGTAGAATCCTGTTTAAAGGTGCTCCCTCTCTCTAACACTAAAGACACCGCCATAGCCGTGGACGTTAGCTTGGAAACTGACACCAAACCTCGTAGCAAGGAAAACGGAGACGGCTTTATTGATACGGTTCAGATCAAAGACGTCGGGAATTTTTCACGCATGCAGATCGAGACGTTCAAGAAAGTTCAAGATCTGAAGGAATCGGTGCAACTCGGAGTGGACATGCACAAGTGGCTTATCGGAAAGGGACTGCCCTCATTGCCTGCTAAATATCACGCCTTGGCGAACAAAGTTGCAGCTGACGTGTTATCTGCGTACCCGCGCAAGCAAATCGACGGCCTCCCCAATCTTCCTGACTTTGAATACGCTATGCTTTACAGAGCGACACCACCCATGTGGCTTAGTGATGCATCAATCGCGGCGTTATGCCATCGACTACAGGATGACTTTCCTACTTGCAGATTTGCTGGATTTCAGTCAGCTATTCCAAGCAAAACTCGCACGAGACGCAGTGACGCGGACCTAATCGATGTTTCGATCCACGAGCGTGTTCTACAGCAAGTCCATGCATTTGGGGTAGAAGTCGTGCTGCTGCCGTTGAATTTTCCGAAGGCACACTGGTGCTGTGTGATTATCAAGGTGACGAAGAAGTGTATACTTTACTACGATCCGCTGAACCAAGTTTCCTTCATGAATACAGCGAAGGCTGTTGCCACGCAGCTGAAAATTCGAGGCCTGCAAGATTACACTGTCCTCGCTCAGTGTAGGCCAATCCAATTTGACACGTTTAGCTGTGGTGTATACGTCTGCAGGATGTTTATCCACCAGGTCGTCGGTGGGAGACAACTGGACATGAGCAACACCTCTCTGACAAGACGCCGATTCCAGTTGCTCTACTATTTGCTATCCGGTCAACTTCTACCTCTGCAGGATTTAATGATACCGGATCGCATGGAACACGACGACACCGAGGAAAAGATACCCCCACCGTCCGAACATGCCTACATCGATGACGAGGAACTTCAGCCGTCAGAGCTCGCGCAAAAGCTAGTGCCATGACCACGTGCCCTAGAGGTTTCTCAAAGCTTAGCACTATCGCCACAATTAATACATGTAAGCTTTGCTCCAGCTTCCTTAGAGCTCTGCTCATTGAGACGTAACGATTGGGATGACGGCAGTCACTCTATTTTCCAAGTATCAAACCAGTATTTGCCCATGATTTCTCTTGCAGTAATTCTGCAAAGAAAGGAGAACCACACGAAGGGTATCTTCCGCGTCCTCAACGTATCTTCTCCAATCTTCCTCAGATGGTACTCACTTTAGTTAGGAATCGCTCGTCCAGGATTAATCCTGTACATCGTCATGGACGTGTCCATTACTATAATCCTGGCCTCCAACACCTGCCTTTCCTTTTCACTGGTGGTAGGTTCCAAATCTGTGGTGATAGGGCCCCTCACTCCTTTCGGTTCCTGAGAACCCACCACGATAAAGAAGAGCGGGGCTTGCTGGTTACCAGCCTCACGAATGTTTGGCTGAAACATCATTTCCGTATCGATACACTTCGATGTGCGCAACTATTTGTTCAATTACGCATTCTCGGGCAGATGCTGCGGCTGCGAAGCAGGCGCAGTAGATGCCCATGTTAGAATCAACTAGAGAGTTGGGCTGGTACATGCAGTGTTTTTAAGGATTAAAAACAAAACAACTTTAGGATTTACTCAACTATTATCCATTATCATCGTTCATGAAACTATTCGTCGGCCTGTGTACCCTCCCGGAGCAACGCTCCGGGTTGCCTTGGTTGGAATAGATTGGGTATTATACTGAGATAGCTAGTGTACCGTAAGGTGCAGCCGGCACAGGATTAATTTGGTGTCGCATGAAGCCGTGCGTGTAACGCATTCGTTTAAGTATCCATCATATATTGACATATTATGAAAGTAAACTTAATAGGTAATCTGAATAATTACCTAGTCGGTCTCTATTAATGCACTTAAAGGTCTGATTATCTGGTTGTTGTGGATGCTCATAATATAAATGCACAGCGCTGGCGACTGGTGCGCCGCAAGTGCGGCGCGCCTAAGTCGTGTGCGCTGTGCGTTTATCTGTTTTGTTTATTTTTGCTATCTCAGCCCCCGCGAAGCCCTAGTACCATACCAGGGGAACCAAAGTGCGAAGACTGCGTCGATGTCGCGCTGTAAGGATGTGTCGTCGTCAAAGCAGCTGTCGAGAGCTGATTAATGATCGATTGATCCGAAAGGAGCGCCTTGATCCATGTCCGATTACCGAGAGAGCGGAGCCAAGAAGACTGGCCGTCGCCACTTGCTGCATGCAGTCGTGACTCACGACTCGTGAGTCCAAGGCGCGTACATTTTGCGCCGAGGGAAGCGTCGTAGCCGCAAATGGGCTAATCCCGGCTGAATCGCCGCTACCACTTCGTAAGACTCCGCTGATAATGGCCGTAGTAGAGGTGAGGTGACGTGGGTGACTTCGTGCAGGGCAAGCAGCAAATAATGCTGAGGCAACTCGACCTAAAGCTGTCGCGCCGGGCGCCTTCACTCCGAAATATTGAGTACTTGAGATATAATACAGTAGTTCTGTAGCTTCGTGTTGGCGGCCCGACATCATTGTTGTGTCTTATCGCCACCGATATTGTCGGCGATAAGACATGCTTCGACACGTCGCGCTGGGCGTGGTACGCTGCTTCTGTGGCTATCACCAGCTGCGCTATTGGCGCGCCTTTGGCGGAGCTCATCTGTTCACCGAGAAATGGCTCGGACAGCAAAACCCGTCAAGCTTTGAGTCACGCGTGTGCCGGGGCCCGGCGCTTGTATTAACAGGTGCCAGGCCCAATGCCCGACCTATCCTGACAAAAGAGTATCCGTCCGTGTGACATCGGTTCAACTGCTACGAGTACATGTAAACCTGCACCGCCACCTCTCGACATGGCTTACTGCCCCCACCCCAACCTGTAGTTCATTCTGCATTTTACACTCTCTCGGGCACCTCCAAACCCAATCAACCAACAGAGCCTTCTTCACCACCTTCGCCGCACTCGCATTCCTGGCCTCCGCCGTCAACGGCGTCACGATGCTGCGCCAGGCAGAGCAAGGCAGCAGCACCAGTAGCAGCTGCACCCTCTCCGGCACCTATAAGTCCGGCACCGACATATCGTCCTGCAGCTCCGTCACCATCGGGTCCTCGACGGCCAGGGTGCCTGGTACTGGAAGCAGGGCCAGTCGATCACCCGCCCCGTGTTCTTCCGTCTGCACGGCGTGTCGGACTCGGTGCTCTCGGGCTTCACGCTCAAAAACTCGCCCTACCGCACCTTCAGCATCGTCAACTGCGAGTCCACCGCCATCAGCGGGCTCACGCTCGACTCGCGCGCTGGCAACGGCATCGCCAAGAACACCGACGGCTTCGACCTGACCAATAACGACCACGTCACCATCACGGGCAACAAAATCTACAACCAGGACGACTGTCTGGCCATGCAGTCCAGCACCAACACGGTCTTCAGCAACAACTACTGCTGCGGCGGCACGGCATCTCCATCGGCTCGCTCGGAGGCAACGCCGTGGACCAGTCGTCCACCGTGCAGGGCCTCACGGTGCAGGGCAACAGGGCAACACGATCGAGGACAGCGACAACGGCATCCGCATCAAGACCATCATCGGCATGAAGGGCCTCGTCTCGGACGTCAAGTACTCCAACAACAAGCTCTCGAACGTCAAGAACGCCATCGTCATGCACTCGGACTACAGCAAGTCCAAGGGCGGCTACACGGGCTCCCCCACGAGCGCCGTGACGATTGAGGGCGTGACGATCTCCGGCCTCAAGGGCTCGGCCACCAACCTGTACGACTTGTGGCCAATCCCAAGGTGGTGTCGGGCTGGTCGTTCTCGGGCATCCAGGTGAGTGCGTCCTCGACGGGCAAGATGGCCGGCCAGCCCAACAGCGTCAGCGTGTAGATGCAGACAGACAAACTATGTGGGTACTAGTGCTGTGTTTAGATTGACATCCCAGTGGCCAAACGAAGGCCGATAGAGCGTAGGGGCATGTGTCGCCAAAAGATAATTTCGATGTAAGCTTGTTTTCCTGACTGCATTCTCAGAATGCCATTCTGTTTCTTACTACCGTTAGTAGGTGACTCAGAATCTGAAACATCTGATTCAAAATCGTTTTGGTTCACAAAAATTGAATTTTAGAAAAAGCGTTTTTGTACCTGACAGAAATCGAAAAAAGTGGATTGTTTAGGTCATGTTAATCTACATCGACTAAAAGTTCAATTCAAAACCTAGATTTAGACTGTTCTAAAACTTGTAGGTGATGAATTGTGTCTTAGTAAGCAGCGGTGATATTCTGGACATGCTGGTTAAGCCTATCATTTCAACTGCCCGCACTTTGCGCTAGGCAAAGTTAGACAGCGTCTACATGTAGTGCACTGGCAGCGTACGTAACGTTGGCGTCGACATCAGCATCCGTTTCGAATTTCCTCCTAGTGTGGTGACATTTTTATCTTCCTCGCATCAGCACTGGAAGGCCTGTACTAATGATGAAGTCGAAGATCGGACCCGAGTCGTTTGTACAGGCACAGCAACCAAGTAGCGCTACTACCTCTCAACGGTTGTTGATGCTGGTGTGGCTTAGCGTCGGGATGCTGCCACTTCTTCTGCAGATCAAGAGCTAAGGTAAGGTGCCAGTTGCGTGCCTACAACCAGTTCCGTGCCTACTTGTTTTAGCCAATTAGCATCTTCTCCTTGTTAAACTCTCGTAGTCTATTGGTAGATTTTTCCAGCGTCACATGCAATTCCCGGTGATGAGCCTCCTAGGATTTGCAAATCAACAAGCTTTTCAAAACAATAACAAGAAATTCTGCAACATTTACACGGACCAGCGTGAAGTACATAAATTCAGCCCAATCGCGCAGATTTAGCGGGTGCAATCAGATTTCAGAATGGACAATTCAATGAAAAGTTATGCCACAGCAAGTCCGCAAGTTCGAAGGACGGCACGAAACTGGCAGAAGACCTTACTGGAAATTCGCGACGCCACATAAATTATCAGAAACGCTGGTGGTCCCCGAGGATATCGCAAACGCGTGGTGGAACATCGCGATCACGCATTACTATTCGGTGGAGCACGGCCTTATTTGTCACTTCGTGCGTGATCCCGCAGTACGACATCCACGGGTCCTACGCTCTGGGAACGGACAGGGTAGCCCCTTCTTCGACGACACCAGCAAGCTGTGCCGGAGACAGCTACCCACTTGAACACTATTTCTACCACGGCAGCATTAGCTACTATGCTTTTTACGAAGAAGCTGAAGGCACATACTGCGCGAAGGACAGGACTGGGTACGTTCGAGTTATAGGCCTGGGAACTTTCGACAGCAATGGTGGGGCATTGGCGGAAGATAGAGGTGGCGATGGCTACAGATTTTCGTATTGGTACAGTGCGTCTGGGTTTTTGTGGCTGGTATATCGCGTTATATTGCTTCGCAGAAGCTTTATCACGTGCAAATGCTACGGGAGAAGACTTGATCGCCTGGAAGAAACTATCACGCGGAAGGCCGCTGTTGTGTATATGCAAGAAAGCATGCGGCTCGTTCCCCACAACGCTTCAAACTACTTTCGTGTGGTGATTCTGTACATGCTGCTCGAAGGTGTGATGAGCGATTTGTTTCTGCTGATTGCTCAAGACGGACTCTTCGCCAAAACCCAGTACATTTCGCTGGGCTATAATTATCTGGCCTGATGTCGATGGTGTTCGCGATGATCGAGAGCAGGCAGTTGTTGCGTGAAAAGGCTCGGCTACTGCTCAAGCGTTTAGTTTTCAACTACGAAACGTGCTTAATCGGAGAGCTCCTCAGCGCAGGGATCATGAATCATTATCTCTCGTGGGTAAATCGATCGCACTTGAGAGAGTCGAGACCCCTAGCTCTTGCAGTCTCCTATTACGTGTGGAGTTTGGTAGGGCATGGAATTCTTGTGCTCGGTCTCACCGCCTTCATTGTTTCTGTTCGCATTGCTCTGGCGTCCGCGTATATTCTGTGGCGTCATAAATCGTGGAAGGTGGTTACTGCACCTTGCTCTGTGGACACGATATTGGGGGTGCGCAGTAAAATGATCATGTTGGGAGGATACTCCTGGATGAATGGCCAGCTCTTTTACACTGTCGAAGCTTCGGCATCTTGAAAATGATCGAGGCCGACGGAGCTGAGTACCTCGTTCTGCGCAGAGTGCATTCGATCAAGGTTAGGCGAGATGACGGGAGTGTGTCGGGGAATTATGTGGAGCCCTGTAGTGAGCGGTCGTGTGCTAGCGCAGTCATGCTGTTTGACCGGCATCTTGGAGGGATGAACGACACCACCCCGGAGATGCATTCGATATGCGTTGATACCAAAGTGGGTGCATAGTCCCTGAATCAGAAGCTTCTATCAAGATTAAAACATAGCAGATCATACGCTTTGTATTAGTGCTGTCGATCAAGCTTTTTTATTTTCTTGGAAGAGTTTGAACGAGATACTCCTGCTCGACCACGGTCTCACACACTTACCTACAATATGAGTGATTGAGTGCAGCATCAGTCGCTTCAGTAACTGCTTCTTTACGACTCCCTGATGACGAGTCACCATGAGTTGTAGGCTTTGGAAGCAAGCCCCTCAGAATCGAAACCTTGCTCTTCAACCGTGCGTCGGAGTAAAGCTCCGTGGCTTCAGGGAACTTCTTCCGAAACAGCAGCACAGCGTCCTTGCGACCAATTGTGGGTTTTGTGGCAACAAGCTCCTGGAAAAAGTCGGCGTGCTTCGGCTCCATCCGGTGCTTCTTGCGTGACTTGAAGGCTTCTTCGGGTAGACCACGCTTGCGCCGTTCAGCGCGCAAGCGAGAAATAGCTGCTCGAACTTCATTCTCACCAGGTATGTCATAGCGTTTGGTGCCCCATGAGCGCAACACTTCCACTATTCTCGTTGGGTGCATCTTGTCGTGCCTGTCAACGCCGCCTCGCTCAAACAGCGCTTTCACATCCTCCATGTGCCGAGGAATATACTCCGCCCCATACGTTCGTTCCTTGAGTGGTCGCTTAGCCCAACCTTGTTGGAGCTGCGCTTGTAGGTTCCCCTCCTGCCCACTCGCGAAGCGATACTTCAGAGTGGTCATCTCTTTGGACAGTGTTGATACATCAACTACGCCATTTGCACTAGTAACCTCCATGGCTATCAAATGCTTCTTGGCGTATGACACGAGATTCTTTTGGCTCATGTGCACCGGCTCCCTGCTCGCTGGTAAATCGGCGACGGTTCCGTCTGAGCAAGGCAACTTTCGCGTCCTCCGACGGATTTGTGCTTCAGTTATCACTCGGACACCAGTAACCAGCCCAACTGCACATCGTGGCAGTATCATTTCACTGGACAGGTCCAATGCAGAGTCATCTTCACCCTCAATGTCCTCCTCCTCGCCGTTTGTAACTTTGTCCCAAACATTTTCATGGGTTTCACCATCGCTCTCCTCAGTGGTTTCAATCGGATCTGCCATCTCCTCTACCGTGCAAGCTTGAATAGTGCACTCTTCCGCAACTGGATCAAGCTCCAACAACTTTCCAAGACCGACTTCGGAGTATTTGAAGGTTCGAGCCCAAAACCTCGGGCAACGCTTCATATCGAAACCCAGCGAGCCCGTACCACGATGGCCGCCTGTGGCCGAGCGATCATACTCGTAAAGTATGTCGCTCACTCGGCCAGCAAGTGCGGCGAAAGCTTTCTCCATTGATCCAGTCCGGTCCGCCAAAAGCTGCAGGGATCCGCCATTATACTCGACAATCTCAGTTTTGTGTCTGGTATTCCGCCGTCTGACACAAGGCCAGCAACAAGCTCCCTTGGAGTCGACCAGCCTCGGTCCTGACGTACCCAGGCTTTCACTTTTGTCGCTGCTCGAACGAATTGCGCTTCCAGGAGCGACTTCCCATCCTCCGCTTCAGTCTGCAGAAATCGTGAGACCTCGATTCCATAGGAAAACCCGAGCAGCGGAAGCAAGACCGATACAAATGCGTTCTGGTAAGCGGGGATATTGTCACTGCGAATCACAATGCGCTTGATGTGGGGCAGATCGCGCTTGATGTCAATCACCACAGCTTCCACCAACGCTGCTACAGTGTGCTTCGCTTCTCCGTCGACTGAGTTTGATACGTAGTGGTAGTAGAGCTTGTGCTCTGAAATGCTAGTCCCATCGGGGTCGCTTGCGTCTGCGTCAGCTTTCCAAAACTGAACCATCGCGCCATGCCACTTCATGTTGCTTTCATCCTCAGGCTCACCGATCTTCTCACCAAAACTCAGTGGTTCAGCGTTCAGCTTGAAGTCAATAGTGACGACAGCTTCGTTCAAGCCTTCGTCTTGCATCGCTTGCTTCTTCAAGGTATCAAGCATCTTGGATACAGCTCGCTGCTGATTTACAACTCGCAGACGATGACCCATGTAGAGCTCAAGCTTCTCGAAGCAGTCGCGAACAACAGACAGAGCGTTCGAGTTAGCGCCTTCCGCTTCAGCAATTTCTCGATATGGGTTAAAAGGGTTTGCATTCCCTGGCAAGGGCCACAGCAAGCTGCTTTGGTACTGGACGCGTCAACCACAGCCAACCCGAACTGAGGTTGGTGACGAGGGCAGCTCACCAGAGATCCATCAGAGAAGCACCCATGTTCGAGCCAGCGTCGAAGTGTATCGAGACAGGGGCGCAGTTCCGCACTGTCGTCGGGGAGAAAGTCCGCGATAATCTTCGTCAAGGCATTAAAGTTGTCGTCTAACAGCAGTCCGCGCACTTTGGTTCGTGTTTCATCCTCTCCGTGCGTAAGAGCACGACACAAACGGTAAAACGATGAGAGGGGTATGTGAGACTCATCGCCACAACCTTGTACGTATTTCTCCCACATGAAGCTCATGAACTGTTTCCGCGAGAAGGCTGGTACCTCACGATACTTCTCATCCAGCACAATCCGTTTGGTCTCCCCCAGCTCGTAAACCACATTGCCACACGACAAAATGGAGTTGATCGCACTAGTAGCCACATTCTGGTCGAACCGCTCTCTCGAATGCACTTCCGTTTGCAGCACTCCCCCGCTCGTGAGCTTCTCGAAGTCCTCCTTTCCGCTCGTACAGGCGTTCTTGCCGATATGAAACCCCGGCACTTGATCCTCCATGCGACACATCTCACTCCACTTGAAGAATTTGCACAACATCGCACGAACCGTTCGTCTCTCAACAGAATTCCGCTTGGTAGCAACCACTGCAGCAGCCAGCGGACGGAAGATATCCGATGTGCCCTTACACAAATGTCTTCCTTCGGGGCAATTTTACGCACAAACGCAGCGACTGAAGCATCCGCAGCCTCATCTCCACAAATCGACATCGCCACTTTCTTCAAAACTTTCTCGTAAACTTTGAAAATGGCAGACTTCATCTTGGAATTGTCCTCCGTGGCTTTCCACGTGTTGGAGGACTCCCGGTCTTGGTGATTGCCATTGTTTTTGGCGAAATAGGTGATCGCCCGCTCATCTTCCCCCAAGAATCGAAGGATCTCTTGGATCGACGGCAGCTTGCCCTCCCCTTCCTCGTCTTCTTCTTGGTAGGTTTTATTCAACGCTGCAGCTCGACGAGATCGTCCATCCAGCCTCGAATTGGCATCGGAGCGGTCGGTATCTCCTCCGCTTAAGGCTGGGGCTGCAGTTTTCGCTGGTTTCTTGGGTTTGGACTGTTTGGGCCTCCCAAGCCCGCGTTTGAGCTTCTTGGCGACGGGGATTCCATCGTGGTTGCAGGCGCAGCGACTACAGAGGAGACACGAGGTACAGCGGCTCCTCTTGCAGCTGCAGGTGATTGGGGGAGGTGATGCGGGGGCGCTAGGGACCTCCTCGGGGGAAGGCATCTGGTTTTGTGTACATCACAAGTTGAAGTGAACGGGCCAATAGGAAAGACGTGCCGGTGTTGAGTGGCATCGGGTCTCCAACGGCGTGGAGGTTTTGACGTCCAAGCAGGCGGTGAGTGCGACGGCACTCAAACTGTTCGCATCTAAGTGTATATATCGTCTCCAAGGGCTTGTGCATCTCGCACGGCGGGGCCAGACGCTGTTTGCCAAAGGATCTGTGAAGCATGCCGTGTCAAGTGGCGGGTGCTTTGACTCGAAGCACCTTCGAGCATGGCGGGGGTATGACATACCCGTATCCAAGCTGCACTAAAGTGCACGTGCTCGTGGCAAATGCAATGTTCGCGGGGCAGGAACCAAGTGTAAGCACGTGCGCTGTGTCAAGCATGTCGTCGCCAAGGGTTTATGAGTCGCCCACAGGAGCCATGGGAATAGATCACATCCAGGTTGTGCCTTAACAAGCATGAATCGGAGAACTGCGTTGAAATTATACGTGTCGTATCCTAGCGACATGCTCGACGACAGCAGCCACAAAGGAAACCATTTTTGTAGTAGCTTTTTTTGCAGACTCACCGCAAATAATCGAGCGCCTAGAAAAGCATTCAACGACACCGACGGCGCAACATCAAGCTGCAGGATCGGCGAACTTTTCATAAGATTTTTTTGCTGCTACGGATGACGAGATGAATGCTCATTCTAGGCCGTTCGCGTTCGACTTACTCGATGAATACGATGTATCGTACGAGGTGCAAAATCAGAAAGCGGTCGTAGTTAAGATAAGCGTCCTTGAATACAAAATCAGTGGCAAGTGAAATCTATGGGACCTAGTCGTGTGGAAGCGGAGGTTTACAAATAGTTGTGTCAAATCGCATGAACGAGGCAGTGACCGGGACGTAGAATGTTACTGTTACATAGCTTCGTCGTGGCAGCCAACCGTTTAGATTAATTTGTCGTCCAAAACCAGCAGTCCCAGCTCCATGGTAAAAGATCCATTTCCACCACCTCAGTCGACAAGCGCTGCATCCATTCGCGGCTGGATACTCAACGCCACTCGTCCTGGGATGGAGCAAGTCACGCACCTGATCGCCGCGGCACAATTTTCGGCGCTTGACTACCAGGTTTCAGAAGACGGGTCGGAGGCCCCTGACGGCTTGCCTCCAGTGTGACGGGCGTAGCTAGCTGCCGCCGTGCCCAAAATTCCCTCCACGGTCTCCACTGACCTGTACAAGTAGCCATCACGTCAGACTGAGTCAGCCTGATACATCTGGCTCTCCCAGTGCCTGTTTTCACCAATCAGCGCGGCGCGTACCCACGGGGCTCGCTGGCTCCCTGTACCTTCGTGCAACCTCTCTCCCAGCAGTTCCGCATTCTCCGCCCGGCCCACTCGCGAGAATGCGCCCCGTACCGGTGCTCCTCTGGGCGTCGCTGCTGGGCGGCGCCTCGGCGGCCTCGTCCTCCTCGTCGTCCTCCTCCGTCTCGTGGTGCTCCAACTCGAGCGCCAGCGCCGTGCTCACGTACTGCGGCAGCTCGTGTTCCACGGGCGACCCGTGCGTGCAGTACTCGGCGTCCTCCAGCTGCAGCGAGGCCTCGCGCAACGACTGCGTCAAGCACAGCTCCTCGTGCACGTACCAGTGCCTGGACGCCTACAACTCGGTGGCCAAGAAGTTCACGGTCTTCGTCAAGGAGCCCGAGTCCTCGGACGCCTGGACCTCGAGCGCCAGCGGCAGCTCCGCCGCGGCCTTCCCCAGCGCCGAGATCGGCACGGTCTCGGGCGTCGAGTACGCCGAGGCCACTAGGAATATGTATGTGCCGGCCTCTTGTTGATTTTTTTTCGAAGCTTTTGGGTGGAGGAGTGATGGTCGCTCATGTTCTTGCAGTCAGATCACGGGCTTCGACGACACGAACGTGCAGAAGGGGTCGCTCAAGTCCGTGAGCTTTGATGAAGACACGTTCTCCACGGCGACGGTGCTGGAGCAGCTGTGAGTGGGATCCTCTGTGGCTGATGCTCTTGAGTGTGAGGGCTGACTGTTTTGGTGGTCGCAGGATCTTGACCAATTTGGATCTCGGGTCGCTGCCCACCGGCTTCTTGCCGACCACAATCTCCCTACTGTACGTGGGCCGCTCGAGGGTTTCGCGTCGACTAGTTGAACGATGAGCTGACTGACGTGGGTATCTCGTTGCTGTAGAACCATGGAGAACTGCAACTTGGCCAGCTTGCCGACGCAGCTAGGCAACCTTGCCAGCAAGAACCTGGTGACGCTGTGAGTGTGCTGTGTAGTGGGGGTATTATTATCGCAGAGTGAGGCCTCTAACTTGACTTTTGTGTGTTTCGGCGGCAGCAACCTGAACAAGAACACTATGACCAGCATCACGGACTCGGACTCCTCGGTCACTGAAACGCTGCAGAGCTTGACGACACTGTGCGTATAATTATTTTCACTTATAGTTACCGGGGATCTGGAAACTGATATTTTTTGTTGGTGCTGCAGGAATCTGACGGACAACTCGATCGCCACTTTTGATGTGACGCTTCCATCCGTTACCACACTGTAAGCGATATTTTGCTTTCTTTCACTGATCAACTCTTCAAACATATTTAACTTATGTCGATGTTATGGCTATCAGAGACCTGTCGGACAACAAGCTGACGGAGTTCCCCTCAGTCATCTTCAACATGACCAATCTCAACGTCCTGTACGTAGTAATATGTAGCCTTCCTTATCGTATGACATTGGAGAAAACTAATTATCTTTCTTTGCATGCGACCCTTACGTTGAAGAAACATCGCTGGCAACAGTATCAGTAGTCTGACGGTGACCTCGTCACAGTACAGCTTTTTGAGGAAACTGTCATCGGAGAGCACGCTGGATATCACCACCAGTGGATGTACTACCGGAACTGCAACCGATGTGCTCGACTCGGTGGTTTGCGTATCAGATGAAGCATCTTCATCGAGCGGATCCGGAGGTACTTATGGTTTTGCCAGGACTAGATATTGCTGGAATCTTTTCTAACGACTTGTGCTTGTCCAGGATCCTCATCTAGTAGCAGCACCTTGATCATTGTTATCGTTGTGCTGGCCGTGGTTGTGGTTCTTGGTGTTGGAGGATTCTTCTTCTATCGCCGCCGCGTGAAAAACCGCGGATTTTATCTCTCGAACACGCCCGATATGGTGGGAGTGGCTACGCCTCATTCGGCCAACAACACCCCAGCGCGCAACAGGGCTGGAAGCCGTGGACGCGCTTCTTCGCAGCAACGACCGCCTACTGCTGGCAGTCGCACTCCCCGCAGCTCTATCCCGAACCTTTTCCAGTTGGCAGGTCTTTCAGATTATGGTAAGAAAATGTCCGACGCTCAACCTCGTCGGAGCAGCGTGCAATCCACTTTTCCCGTTGGAGCCGATGGTCATCGGTCCAGAAGCTCCATTATCAGTGGCAACGTGGTTCAAATTCCTAGCGAAGAGATCAACTACACGCGGAAAATCGCCAAGGGCGCATTTGGCGAAGTGTGGCTGGCGTTGCACGGCAAGGACCTTGTAGCTGTCAAGAAGTTGATCACAGTCGAGGGAACGAGCGTTCAGGACTTCGTCTCCGAGCTGAACCTCTTGGCCTCGCTGTCGCACCGGTGCATCCTTACCCTCATTGGCGCTTGCTGGGATGAGGACCTGACCGATATCCAAATCGTCTTAGAATACATGGATTCGGGCGACCTGCTCTCGGTTCTTCGGAAAAACCCGCCGTCCGTACTAACGTGGGAGAACGGCAAGGCCGCGTACTGCGTCCAGGTTTGCGAGGCGGTTTACTACCTGCACAGCTTACAGCCGGCGCTGATTCATCGCGACATTAAATCGCGCAATATTCTCGTGGATTCGCAGAAGGGCGCAAAGCTGTCCGACTTCGGCGAGAGTCGCGAGCGTACAGTGGCGCGAACGATGACGGCTGGTGTTGGTACGGCGCGCTGGGTGGCCCCTGAAATCATCCTTGGCGAGGACTACAGCGAACTGGCCGATATTTACTCGCTGGGTGTTTTGCTCACGGAAATGGACACGCACCAGATTCCGTACCAGACTCTGGGACTCGAGGAGTCGATGATCGTGCAGCAGGTTGCTGTAGGAAAGCTGCGGCCCAAGGTGTCGGATACCTGTCCCGAGATCATCCGTCGCCTGACTCACGAGTGTCTCCAGTACGATCCCAGTTTGCGACCGTCGACGGCACGTGTCCTTCAAACGCTTATGGCTTCTTCGCTCGTTCGTCGGCCGTCAGTCAGTCTGGCGGCCGATTAGAGATTGAGTTCTCGGCGCTCCACTTTCAAGAACGCGACGGCATGCTGGTCATCAGCTCTGGCTAGCAGTCCGTACTGTATCCCGCCTGTGTCAGGTTCGGTGGATAAAATACTTTCCCCTCATGGTTTTGTTTTGCCTCCCAAACTGATGCAATTGAAAATCGCTCAAATTAGCGCGAGGGGGTCTTATCGTGTCTGCCTGTCTTTTTAGCTATGCCTGGTCCTGGTCCATATTTGCAGGAATCACCACCATGAATCGCCGATCCAGCTCAACCTCTTCGTTGGCACGCCCGCCTGACTTCACGAAAACCGTGCCGTTTGTACCGCGCGAGGTGTTTCGACTGGTGCTGCGCCTGGAGGCTCAGAAGGCCCTCGATGTCAACGTTGCTGCATTGGAGCAGCGCTTCCGCGTCCCGTCAGGATACGCAGACGACGACTCGCTCAATGCGCGTGGTGAGGTGAAGCAGCCTAAAAATGTACGCATGCCTTTCTGTTGCCTGGTTTTGCCATGTGCAGGGCTCATTCCTTTCAATACGTTTGCAGTTCGTGCCGGGGCCTGGGACCTACGAAGTCCCGGAGCAGTGGCCTGTTCGAGATGTGACGGCTACTCCGACGGCAGCATTTCTGTCGCGGACTATGAGAGGGTCGTTCTCACCTTCTCGGCGAGCAGCGTCTGCTTATCCTAGCTCACCAACGAGACAAGCCGTGATCGATCATTACACCAGCGCTTCAGGAGATAAAGCATCGCGACCCCATACTGCTTACCCTGAACTACCATCTCCTGTAAAAACATCCAAGTCTCCACGTAGCCGTCTCCGGCTTCCTGGTTCATCAAGTCGTCGAGATCTCGTGATTCAGATTCCAGAGCAGCAGCAAGACATTGATCTTCAGCCTGCCGAGAACGATACGTCTGCGAGCACCAGCTACTCGTCATTGAACCCTCAAAACGTATCTGCATTTTCCAAGGTTGGTCGAGAACCTGTGATCGACAAAGAGGTGGCTCCTGCTGTTGGGACCTACGATATCAAGCGACTTTGGGACTCGTCCACTCCTCGAACAACATTGGGGGCGCCTTCTCCTGCGCTCTTCGGTGCCTCGAAGGAAAAGCGTGTTGTTATCTGGCGTCCAGCACTAACTCCTGCGTCGTACAATGTGTCGACGTCCTGGGATTCCTCTCGCCACTATGCCAAGCAGAAGGACAAGGTTGTTCGCAGCGCAGCTAAACGAAGACTGCACAGCGCAAAACTCCACGCCCGGTCGATGTCGTCTCCAACTATTCGGCCATCCACAGCTGACGCTAATCTGCACAACGAACCAGCCACAGCGGACTCGGCCTCAACTGAGACGCCTGAAAATGATGATGACCCGTTCAGTTGGCTGCGCCAACGACCCAACGGAGAACATCGCGTTAACTTTCTCGCAGCGAAACATGGACTGGTCCACCACATCAGGTCTCCTACACGCCGAGCAACAGATAATCGGCATTCCACTGTAAGTCATAGCGACGAACCAACCACCCCAGGGTCACCGAGTTCCAGGCTCCTTCGGCAGCACAGTAACTTACAGGACGAAGATACTTCGGCGACAGAAACTCTTTATACAGCGAAGCCGAAAGACGTGCGTATCAAGGTAAGCTGTCGAATGCCAGGAGGTATGCTGATCTCTGCAAGTGTCTACTCGATGAAGAAACTGGGGCACTTCAAGTCTGCGATTTTGGTTCGTCAGAAGCGTTTCCAGACCGTGGAACAGTTTGATCTCTATCACGCAAGTGGGAGGAAGCTGACCGGACTCGAAGAGACATTGGCTTCCTGTGGTGTTCGTGATCGCTCAATGCTGCAGATTGTTCCAGCGGTGACGGTAGCATTGACGCCACAAGGAAACCAAATAACTTCCGAGCCAAAGTGATGCAACCAAAACTTGAGCGAAGGAACATACTTGCTGTGGTCTCCTTGAACAACAAAGCAAATGTGTGTGCTACTTGTTCCTACGAATGAAGTAGCTTTGGCTTGGAAGGTTCGAAAAATCCTTCCCCCGACTTGAGTGTGAGTCACACTCAAGTCACACTGTGTGACGTTGCCACTTACTCCGTCGAGCAGTATTTCCAGCCTTTGTGGCACCTTGAATTCTCGTCACATTCTGCCCAACGAAGCGAACAGGATCACTAACGTCGGTCCTCTCCGAGATTTCCCGGACTTAACTGCTCCAGATCATGATACCCACACACTATCCTCCCAGCGCGATACTCAACCAGCCGAGCACTAAGTGCGGCGGACCCGATCCCAATCACCTTAGCCGCAAACTTCGTGGTTTCAGTCGCCACCAACGCTTTCCCCACTTGCTCCCACATTTCTGTCTTCTGATCACCATCAAGAACGTCGCCCCAGCCTCTCGTTCCGTGGCAGTAAAGGCGATTTTGCTTGTTAGTTTCGGCGATCCCATCCCATTTCTTGTCTACTATCTCGGCTAATTTGCCCACGACAGCTCTCGATCCACCTCCCACGGCAGTCATCCTGTAGCAGTACCTCGACATTTCAAGCTGATCACCTCGATCCCACTCGGACATCAACAGTTTCCAAGCTGCTTGAAACAGCTCGCGGTATTGAAATCGAGCTCGAATGTCACGATACATACTTAATGCGTGCAGACGCCAACAGATCGTACAGACTGCGAATCCGTTCATCTGAGGGTGTCCACGAGGCGCTCTTCTTTGACCGAAAATACAATAAGCTTGGCTCTTTCCCTCGCTTCCTCTTTTTGAGCGGTCCCCCTTGAGCCGTGCTTGGCTCAGATGTCGCTGTGGGCGGGCCGACATTCCTTGCTCTGGTCGGTAACCTGGGTTGGTTTCTTTCCGCCCCCCCTCTTCATCGTTTGGCCCTGTCGTGTGGTGACAGCAGTCGCTCTGCTCACTACTGGCCTTCAATTTCATTTCGACAGCCTCCCGCAGTCGCTTACCACCGTCAGTGGAGATCAAGTCCCGGTAGGTCTGGATCATCATCACTTGTATCTACCTCCCGTCATGAACAGCTCCCATGCCTTGAGAAACCGAATTTTGCCCTTAGGCCCGCCTCGAAAGAGAAGTCGAACGTCGCTGTAGATTTTTCGAGTTAATCCGAGTCGCTCATACAATTCGAGGAACGGAATTGGCTGCTTGTTTTCCCCAGCGTCTTGCGAGTGCCCTGCCGCTGCGGTTCTCCACTGATCTGAAAATCACACCGCGGTGAAAACTCAACTGTCTCGAGTTTCTCGGAAACCGTATTACCTTTCCCACGTGGCTCTACTGGTAAAGTAAAGAAGAAGTGTTGCTCATTTATCTGTTGAGTGCGCTGGATAGAGGTCTATGGCTATCGAGTGCTTTGTATACAGTCCATTCGAAAGTCGTCAACTTACTCGGCATGAAATCTAATCCACAGTGACAGCCTTGGCCAAGTTACGCGGCACGTCCGGGTTGATGCCCTTGCGCACAGCAAGCTCGTAAGCGATAAGTTGCAGAGGAATAGTGGCAAGCAGAGCCGTCATGGGGCCGTTCGTCGGGATGGGGATGACCTCGTCGGCGATGTTCTCGCACATCGACGGGTTGTCCGTGATAACGATAGTGTGAGCGCCTCGAGCACGCACAGACTCTGCTGCGGTCTTCATGAACGCCGCGTGCTCGTCATCCAGCACGATGAGGATGATCGGTGTAGCGCCGAACTTGCCGTTGTTCTCACCTTCAATAAGAGCAAAGGGGCCGTGCTTGAGAGCACCGCCAGGGTAGCCCTCAGCGTGCAGGTACGTGATCTCTTTGATTTTCAGTGCGCCTTCGTAGGCGATGGGCTCGCCATATCCCCTACCCAGCACAAAGAGATGTTCAGCGGACAGCAGCTTGTCGGCGATCTTCGCGCATTGCTCACGCGAGCGGAGAGCCATTCCAATCGCGATGGGGAGTCGGTGCATGCTCTGGATCAGCTCCGCCATCTTGGAGCGGTTGCCGTCCGGCCGGTTCTGCGCAAACCACGAAGCGATAAGACCCATGACCGTAACCTGCGTCACGAAAGCCTTGGTACTAGCCACGGCGTTCTCACGACCAGCGTTCAGGTAGACGCCACACTTCGTTGTACGCGCAATCAGAGATCCGACCGAGTTCACAACCGAAAAAGTCGGCACTTCCAGCTGCAGCTCCTCCGCGGTCTTGAGCACGCGGTGGACATCCTTGGTCTCGCCCGACTGGGAAACTACCAGCAGACCACCCTCCTTCTTCGCGAACCTGTCAATAGTGCACTCCGATGCGTCTTCCGTGGCAACACTGTCGAACGCGTTAAGGGACCGCATCAGCTTCGCACCGTACTTACTCGCGTACAGTGAGGTGCCGCACGCAGCAATAAGCAAGTGCTTGATGCGCAGCATGCGCTCCTTCTCGGAGTCCAGACCACCCAGGTACACGTGGTCGTCCGACACGCGACCGCCGTAACCCAGCGACGCCGCCACCGCCTTTGGCTGCTCCATGATCTCCCGCAGTGTCCAGTGCGGGTACGGAGCGGGCGACAGCCGGACCTTCACGTCCGGCGCCACCGCCAGTCTGCTGGTCGGGAACCTCTGCAAGAATCCTTCCTCCTTACCGTCATCGTTGGGGTTCAGCTCCGCCGAGTCGCTCTTGATCACCGCCACCTCTCCGTCCTTGAGCGAGATGAACCTCTTGGCATAGCGACTGAACGCCGTGGTCTCGGACGCCACGTACATCTCATTAGACCCGTAGCCAATGCACAGCGGCGAGCCGTTGCGCGCGATCACGATCTTGCCCGGGTCGTCGCGCGCCATGACGCAGAGGCCCCAGGTGCCCTCGAGCTTCTTCAACGCGAGGCGCACGGCCGTGAGCAGGTCGGCGCCCTCGCCCATCAAGTGGCCGATGAGCTGCGCCGCCACCTCCGTGTCCGTCTGCGAGGAGAAGACCACGCCCTCGTCCAGCAGCTCCTGCTTGACCTCGTAGTAGTTGGTGAACGTGCCGTTGTGCACGAGCGAGACGCGGCCGTGCATGTCCGTGTGCGGGTGCGAGTTGCAGTCCGTCTTGGCGCCGTGCGTGGCCCAGCGCGTGTGCGCGATGCCCGTCGTGTTGCCGTCGTGCTTGCTCTTGGTCTCGCGCAGCAGGTGGATCGAGTCGGCCGTGCCCACGACGGACGCGAACTTGGTGGTGGTGATGGGGGCGGCCTCGCCCTCGGCGGCGTTGGGCTGCGTCGACATGCCGGCCGAGTCGTAGCCGCGGTTCTGCAGGATGGTCAGCCCCTCGATCAGGAAGTCGGCGGCGTTCTGCGTCTTGCCCACGACGCCCACGATACCGCAGCAGTCGGCCGAGCTCTTGTCCTGGAAGAGCGACGCGCCCGCGACGCCCAGCGCGCCGGCGGCCACGGCCAGCAGCCACGAGCTGCCGGGCTGGTCGTTGTTGGTGGTGGAGCTGCTGCTACCGCTGCTGTAGAGCGCTGTGGAGCGCGCGGAGCGGCGCAGAGGCTGCGGCGCACGCGCGCGGAGCAGCGGGGACAGCGAGCGGCGCAGCATGGAGGAGGAAGGCGAAGGTGAAGTGACGACTGAACTGGCGGCGCTCGGATCCAGGTGGAGAGACGCGATTGGCGCAAAATGGCGGTGCCAGCAAGAACCGCGGAAGAGTGACAGAAGGAACTCGGGAGAGTGACTATGAGCGGGCGTGCACTTCAACGTTGAAATGGGAGTGATGGTCACTGGTGGACTGCAACTACATGTAGCTAAGCAGCAGCGCGTCAACACCGGGTCGATAGCGAGTTCGAATTCAAGGTTTAAGCGAAGCTCACCTTGGGTCAGCATTCGCGAGGGCGTGAAGGCGTCGAGTGACTGGCGATGTTGCTGTCACCCTCCTCACGCGCGCTGATCGGCTCTGCTGTGCTTGAAGCACTTGCCTCTCGAGTGCACGTGTCTGTCACAGCCAGGAAACGCACAAGTGCTCAAACCGCCACGCCCGACGCAGAAACCCTTTGTCTTCATGCTCTTGTTGCACCCTGTGTACTTGCACTTATCTCGACCTCCGTGGGCAGCGCACAGTCCCTTGGCGTGCCAACTTTGACGCAACCTAGGTTGCATCTTCGCCTCCCACCGTGGGTACAGCATTTGCCTGCGCGTCTAGCCAGCTTGACGCAGCTCGGATAAGAGCACCTTGTACCCCCACCGTGTTCAAAGCACTTGCCTTGCCCCACAGCACAATCTCCAGGAATGCCAGCGTCGGCGCGAAAGCAAACGCTTTTTCCGTCGACCATCGAGGTCTCTCGGATCGGATGACCACGTCACTGGCCAGCATTTGTCTGTCGCCCCTTGTTCTGTTCCGAAGCCAGGGGCAAAGTGGAGTCGCTGGGCACGTCGGCTAGTTCCTCTCCGAAGTTGCTGAGGCCTCGCCCCGCTGCCAGGGGCATCGTGATCACCGTGGGCGCGTCCCCGCCGGCAAAAAAACGCGTTGTCTGTCACTGACCGCGGTCTCTGGGCTGCACCGACTGGTTCATCCTTGACGCGCTGATTCATCTGATTAGGTGGCTTGAGGCTGGAGTTAATGGTGAGTTGATGCATCTCGATTCTCGTGGACGCCCCCGACGCCGCGCCTTCACCGGAGACATGCGCGTTGGTTGCTGAAGCTGAGTTCTCCATCGCCTGAGATACGGAATCCGCGGCAACTTCAACTTTGGGCCTTGTTTTACCTCCGTTGAGTGACATCTTCAACTTACTACTCAAGTTGCGCAATGGCAACATTGTCGTCGGCAGCGTTGATAGCTCTCATAGGTTTCAATCTGCTTCTTGGTTCGACTCACCAGCCAGCACCATTTGTGTTTGCACATGCACGTATTGTACCCGAGCTTACAACACACGGAAGAGCAGGCGCTCACGACTGCTGCTTAACAATCAATCCGAGTCGAGTCCACACTCGAGTGCATACACGTCGATGGGTCTAGCGGAAGCGCACCAGCAATTCCCTGTTGATTGTGATTCTCCTCGGTGTTGGATTCTACGTCCCTGCCTTTTATTCATAAACGATCACCCTAGGGGAAGACATCGTTCTCATCAGTAGGTCTAAACAACATTTCCAAGGCATCGAGGTAAGTACGGCATAAATCTCTATTCATTCGCGTAGGAGGTTGCGCTCACGAACACAAGATTTTGCCGGAGCATCCAGCTTGGTCCGTCCATTTACGGGAGTTTCGTACTTGTGCACAAATACTCAGGTCTGCGTAGCGAGGTCAAGAGGATGAGTCGAACACCGGCATTCGACTTCGTTATGCGATGTTGTTGCAGGATCTCCACGCGTTGCGGATTCAAACGGGAGACTCAACGGCCTCGTACACCGGCGACTTCACGACGTCAGTGGGTAAACCCCCCACCACGGGAGACAAAACCACCGCGTCGCACTTGGTGTCGGCCACCGAATCGCGAGCTTCGACGCGTCCGCTTTGTCGGAACTTAATGCACAGCACCACTTGGATGAAGCTCAGCACCACGCCCATAGCATTCGGAGTGAGCACGAACATGTCGTTGGCGAGGATACCATACAACACCCAAAGCGATCCGTTCACGAGGTTCACGCAGCACATCGTGGCGGGGAGCGAGGCGGCCGACTTGGTCTGCAGCACGAGCTTCATCGTCCGGAGCGGCGACGCGTAGAGCGCGACGTTGATGATCACTGCGATGTATCCGACGATCTGCTCCTGGATATTGGACGAGAGCGGGATGACGTCCGTCTTGCAGAGCACCGCGAAGAGCAATACTATCAACGCCCAGCCGCCGGCGATCGCCCCCATTTTGTGCAGCGCGGGTCGGTCCGAAGTCCACCGGTAGAAGACGAGCGTGAACACGAGCGACGTGAGCGCCCCGAAGGCGTTGATGGACATGACGGGGAAGTAGGTGTCGCTGAGGAAGCCGTACATGGCCCACGTGTAGCAGTTGACGCCCAGCATCAGCACGGGCAGCACGCGGACCTCGCCCGTGCTCTGCTGCGTGTGGATCCTTCGGAAGTCCGGGAACGGCGAGAACAGCAGCACGATGGTCGTGACGGTCGCCGCGATGTTGGTGATGTCGAGCGCGAGCATCGTGTAGGCGGCGTCAGGGTCACGGAGCTAGAGGAAAAATGGTCGGGAGGGCTGCGATCACTGGAAGCGGGTGATCTTCAGGGACTATGCGTGAGCATCGCGAGCAGACTGAAGCGAGGGCCATTCGTTTCCTGCTCATCTCACCTCACTGGCGACTTTCACTGTGTAGCTCCCGTTTACATTGCTGGTCGCGACGATAGATTCGCGCCGGCAGCGGGGGGCTTTACCTTATCGCTGCACGTCGGTGCCGGCGCGCTTCCCGATGTCCCTTCGTTGGCGCTGGACATCAGCCGTATGTGCGCTGAGCTGAGGCTGACGCGAGGCACGTCCCGCAACGCATCTCCAGGGCCCGCATAGCGGTTTGGCTCGGACCAACTTTGGGCAAACTTTGGCGCGTGGGTGACGTAGGCGTTGGGGACGTTCTCGAGGCAGATGAGGACAGTCGCACACGTTGAGTGTGCGGCGCTCGACTGTATCGCTTGAAGTTGCCGGGACGACCACACGACGCGCGTGCACGAGCAGGGCTCGGCTTCAAGCGCGGCAGGCTGCGACTTAGTCACAAGCAGCAAGAGGCTGCAATTCAATGCAGACGGTGGACTTGAAGCTAGCGGCTCGGAACTGCGTGCAATGCTACGTCGACATCTCCTGTCCACACCAACCTCAACGTCCTTCAGTCGTTGGCGGAAACCATGAAGCCGACGTAAGGAGTCCTCAACTTGATCTTGTATAATACATGTGTAATTTACAGAGTACATAACGGCATATGACGCACCATCGTGACGTCGCCCCACATGACTGGCGGCGGAAAGCGATAACGTTTAACCCTTTCGCGAATTACTTGAATTTGTATAGTATACTAGATCAATTGTAGCAAAACTAAAACGGGCCATTCTGGCACCCACCCTTGAGGGGTGGTTTCTCCGCAAACTATAGAACGGTCCAGATTGGCACGTTTTGGAAGGATGCAATGATTGGCTGAAACCCAATAATTGACCGAACAATTCGTCTATTGGCTAACAGCGCTTGGTGTTATTTGTAATTATGTGAAAGATAGGCTGGCCTGTTTGCTGCAGATAGTCTCGGACTGCAGCGACGCGAAGGAGGCGTCCACTGCTCGGGCATTCGGTGGACGATGTTTGTGGGCTTCCGAAGGGCAGCAGAAGGAAGATGTTGACCGTCACCCGCATCTGTGCGCCGTCAAAGCGTTTGCATAACCGGAGCTCGCCACCGCGCCCACTTCCCCACGCCGGAGATCCACTGATTAGTCTGGAACGAGGTCAGCGGCGGCACGCTCGGGGAGCACCATTGGGTTGGACACAGCGACGCCATGAAGATCATGTCAACTACCAAGTTCAGGCCTGCGTACCAAAACCCAATCGAGTCGGTTGTATGTTGGCGCGCACCAGTACATGCCGTGCATGTGGACCGGGAACTCCGTCTGCGTCGCTGAGCTGCATCGAGCTTCGTGCTGAAAACCAGTCCTGGGTGTACAGCCGACGGCAACGTCACGTCTTCCTTCCCAAACCCACCTGCAGCCTCGCAGCAAAACTCATGAAGCCCATGCTGTCTGCCGCTCTACTGGTAGCAACAGGGCTGGTATACTCCAGCATCCACGTAGCTGAGTTGTTACCTTTGGACTGCGGGTGTTCTCGATACCCTTGATCAGCTGGGCGCGGGCTTCTGGCGTGTGGTCTATCAGCTGAAGTCGATTTGTTCGCGCAGTTGAAAGTCGTTGGAGTAGACGCAGACGTCGTGGTGGCCTTCTTCAGACATCCTTCATTTTAGATGCATCCGCTAGATACCGGTGCACACATCTTGATTTCAGTATCGAAACAAAACATGGGAAACTATCTTCAACTGAGTATTCAAATTATGGCCTGAATGGATCGGCGTTGGCTTTCGTGCCGCAGTGACAAGAAGAGGCTGCACACCATAACGATTCTTCTGGCAGCAGGGATCGTAAAGCATGGAGGGTTTTATTCAGCAGCGTGTTCAAGCGGGTGATGAACAGCCTCCACCCCTTGCTGGAGCAGGAACTCAAGCAACGGACACAAGACAAGAACCGCGCTTCCAGCAGGTCCTGAGTGATAGCCGTGGTCAGACTCAGCATGAAGCTTTGGCAAGGATTCAACCGTCGAATTATCGTTCGAGTGAAGCGCAAGCGCTGACGGAGCCTCGGCGAGGACGTGGGTCAACTATACAGCACAAACAGCAGAAGGCACCTTCTAAACGCAAGGTTTCATCTCCAGCGCGAAAGAAGCAGCCTCGCAAGCGACAGCGGAGCTTAGCATCAGCGATGGAGAGTACGACGCCCAGTGGAGCTGGCGGTGCGGTTGGCAGTAGTGCAATGATCGGCCATACTACATCGGACGCTACTGTTGCCCCTCCTGTCGTGACGGAGACTAGTAGTACGCGCGATTCAGCTTCGCCCACTGCCGCAGCAATGCCTCAGCTGTTTGTCGAGAAGCTTGTGGCGTACTCGCCTGCCAAAGAGTCCTGGCTATCAGGCCGAATATTCGAAGATGCAGGAAGTGCTTACATTGTTGGCCGAGTCTCTAGGTTTACAAGAAGAAAGCGCTGTTTCAGATTCATTGGGTTGACACACAGTTCCAGAAGGCCGATAAGTGGATAAGCATGAGTGTCGTTCAGCGTGGCATGGAGAACTATAAAAATGTGATGGCATCGCCGTCTAAGCCGGCCTGGAAGTCCCTTTGTCAACCAGACAGCACCGAATCTGGTATTGTTGAGGACGACAGCGATTTGGAAGAAGTGGAGGAGCGTTTCGAGCGATATGATCCAGAGGTAATTCTTCCATCTTCATTGCCCGAAGTCGAAAGTATCACCAACATGAAGTTCGATCCTACTGCACAGATCAATGGTCCTTCAGACTTATACCAGCATCCGGATGGCAATGTCAAGACGAGAGTTCGCCCTCATTTCCGCCATTTGTTTGAACATTCGGCATCGTCGAGTATCTTTGCCTATATTCCTGTCTACTACTGGGTTGAAGTTCTGCACCAGACGAACAAGGCGATGCGTGCGCATGAGTTGGAGAAGAAGCTCAGCACCAACAAACCGTTCGCCCTACAAGAATTGATTACTTTCCTTGGAATTCTTTTCTTTATGAAACTGGTGGTCAAGGGCGAATACGCCAATTATTGGGGAAGGCAAATAGAAGATTGCATCGTGGGGGGCAACCACACAGGTCTGGATAAGGTGATGGCACTGAGCCGCTTCAAGCTGTTGCGCCAGCATTTCTGTTTCAGGCACGTGCCAAAAGCTGCTCGTGCAGCGAGTGCTGATAGCGGCTCAAGTACCGCGGTGGCTAGTAGTGGGGATACAGCTGAGACTCGCGCCGATCCTGATGCTATTGATATTGACGAGCTGTTGTCGGAAGATGCTACGACGACGAGTAGCTCAACGCAACCTACTGAAAATTCTTCCGTTCCTACCTCGACATCGAATTCTCAACAAGCTTCGCGACGATCTCAGAATATTGCTACTGCGCCGGCCCCACCGCAGCCAGTGGACCCTGTCAGGAGAATTCGCCCGCTTCTGAATATGCTGAAAATCACAGAAGGGAAATACGTAGAGGTCGGAAGAGATGTCTCGCTGGATGAGGCGAGCGTCGCCTCCAAAACCAAGTACGGGCGGAGATTGATAATGTTCAACCCCATGAAGCCTGGTGGTAAATACCACTTTCGAGTTTACACCCTTTGTTGTGCCACTACGTGGATAGCCATCAACTTTCGAGTGCACTGTGCGAGCGACCTATCCGATCGGCTGCAAGGCGTTGTATCTAAGGAGACAATCGAAGCACTAAGACAAGAACTGGACGAGTTATCAACTGTCCGAAGCCAGGTTATGGAAGTGGTGAGGCCACTTTATCATACCAATCGCGTGATAAATGCCGACAACTACTACATGTCCGTGCAACTTTTGGCTGCTCTGCGAGTGAAGGGCCTTTTTGGGAGAGGGACTATACGTGGGAATAGCCTGCATTTTCCGCATCATGTCGTTTTGAAGAAGAAGGAGTGTCGTCGCGGGCAGTATCTCCAAGCTGTTTCAGTGGCGCATGAGATGGTTGCTGTGGCGTGGTATGATAGTGCGGTGGTGAAGGTGGTGTCGAACGCAGACAAGTCTTCGGAAACGGCCTTAACAAGGAGAGTCGGCAGTCAACTGCAGCCATTCCCTGCTCCACTGTGTGTGTCAGAGTACAACACCAATATGCAAGGTGTTGATAGGCTGGACCAACTACGTGAACGGTTCTCTTTGGCCGACGGTCACACTTTCAAGAAATGGTATAAGAAGCTGGGGATGGCTTTTGTGGATATTGCCAGAGTCAATGCCTACATGACCAGAAAGTTGACTATTGACGTGACGAGAGATCGTGATCCGCACCGTTCATTTGTTGCAGAGCTCGCGGAGGAGCTAATTTCAGGGAAATGGATGGAGGCACCTAGTGACAGAAGAATGTTCTACTCCGCCCGAGGAGAGTCTGGGGTTGCGGCCGCAGTGGAGGCTTCTGCTATGTGGCATTGTGGGGGCGTGGAACCTTCAACCATGTCCAACCCTCAAAAATCGTGCGTTGCTCTCAACTCGAAGCAGATTTTTGGAGACAAGAAGCGGAGAAGGCATTGTGTGGTATGTCGATGGGAAGATCGGTTTCCAACAGTTGTCACCGACCACTGTACGCTCCACGGCGTGAGCCTCTGTCAAATTGTCCATACAACTACTGCGAAGCCATACTTCTGCCAACAGCCCACTTGGACTTGTTGGGAGTAGTACCACAAATTTTACTTGCGCGAAAACCTATTCTCAGCCAAAGGAAACCAAAGGAAGACGTCCAATTTGTTCATTCAGCGTCGTCGAGCCGAAACAGGTCCAACAAGATCAACGCAAGATGAACAGTCTGTAAATGTATAATGAAATCAAGATGAATGCTTATATTTTCAGGCTGAGAACACGTACAGCTCGGTCTTTTCTGTATAGAGATAAACTGTTGCTGGTTTTGATGACCAGCTCACCAACACTTCGACTGATGTTTGCAGCTTCCAGCGAGAAGCTGTTTGTGCACGTGGGACTGTGCCGTGGGCAAATCTCACTTGTGAAGGCAACAATCCACGCGTCCGTCATGTATACAAGCTCACTTGTGATATGATTTGTGGTAGAAGGCTCAAAGCGCAAGTTGTTGGCAAAGACGATTGTTGCGCTGGAGAAAGGGTATATCATCGACAGCTCAATTCGCTCCACATCTTCAGCATACACCTCCACGTTTTGTAGACCTGGCCATTGCACTACATGCTCAACCAGTATCCCATTACAGCGGTCAACCAAATCACGTCGAACTTCAATACCAATGCTCGCGCGAACTGATGTCGAAAGAACAAACTGAGTCACCACATTGCCAACACCAGAGCCGATATCCATAAACACATCGCCAGCCCCAATAGTTCTAACCCGTTGTATTGCCGCAATAATGGCTGCAATCCCACTGGGCAGTAGCTCACCAGCATTCAAATGGGGCGCGCACGAAGGATAGATGACTTCTTGACGAGCTACACAGCTAAACATTGAGACCACAGCTTGCGTTGCAGCCGTAGTCGTCAGGTGCTCTGGTATAAACGAACGCAAACGCTTTTGACGGCGCTCTTCAGCCCCAGGACAAAAACCAACCACATCACCACCTGTCTCCACCAACGTTACTCCTCCACACCCTGAATCCGATGTCACCGACGATGTATCTGGCGCTAGATGGTGGAGTGAATCGCCGCGTGAAGATCCTCGTGCTTGATCTAACGCTAAATCGCGAGAGCTGCGATCATCTTGCTGCTTTGGCGCGTCCGCTTGACCTGCTGTAGTCTGGGTGAGCCGAAGTGGGCCAGTATGGCTCTTGTTGCTTTCTTGCTGATGCTGGAGATCGTTTTTCCGTCTAGGCTGGCGGATACGGAGTGTGTGTCCGCTTCGGCGGCCTCGTGTAGCTCGAACAGGAGTGTAAAACGAACGCGGGAACTTGGCCAAGTCGGTTCCAAACGTGCGCTTCAGCGAAGATACTCTTTGGGCAAGCTCCGCAGGAGTTCGGCCCCAACGCTTCATCTTTTGCGCGACGTCCTTCCATGCGATTCTTCCTGTTCCGCGGTCAGCATATTCACGACCAACTGCTTGTCCTCCTCCTCTAAGAATGTTGTGCCCGGCATTCTTCACGGGAGCCCCAAGGGCCGTATGAGTATGGATTTCAGTATGCAAACTTGTGAGCGAGAACATCTGCACATATTTTCGTTTGAGTATGGAATCTTCTGATGGTTCAACGTCACCAGATGCCTATATTTGTAATTTTTGAAAATGAAACGATGAGGTGTGTGCAGGGATTGGCTGTAATTGAACGCAGTAGTCCAGCGAGGGTCGAAGAGTGGTAGCAAAACCAAAACGGGCCATTTTGGCTCGATTGGACGCGATCTCCGATGCAACACTTGGGATGGCATCCAAACGTGCCATTTTGGCCCGGTTTGCCGCGAAAGGGTTAACCCTTTTTAATAAGATTTCTATTGACTTGCAAGACTAGCTATGGTTTGAGTGAGTGATGCTGGTGTTGCGTGAGATCGACTCACACAGAGCAAAGCAGAACCGTCGCGGCGGAATCGCCGTGGAATCGCTTCACGGTGAAACGAGAATGGGATGGTCCGCAAACATGTATTAGTCGTACGGTGGTAGAGCGATAAGAACTGTGGTAATGTAGCTAGCGCCAACCTCCCTGCCCCACCCATTACAGGTCGTCAGCCAGCCGTCATCGATTGCAGACCTCTGCACCTAGGTAGCGGGTTAGCCGCGGTGGCATCAGCACGAGGCAGTTCTCACAGTGGTCAACCAGACAGCTACTGGCCGCCACCTCATGACGGATAGAGATGACTGGGAGGAAGCGTTATCGGCACCGACGGTCGGGTAGCCCCGCCGGCTGCTCCCCGCAACTAGCCCGGTTACATGCAACGGACGCAGGTGTCCTTCACCCGTAGGTACACGTGGACCCTTTGTCCCTCGGTCGAGGCGCTCCGCCACAACCCCCGTGGTCTCTCTCCACGGTCCCGTCGCTCTACTTGTCCACTGCCCTCATCATGTGCGAGCTCTACCTCAGCTTACCTCTCCCTTACTGCTCGACTCCTCGCCGACGCCCTCCGCCGCAGTACGAAGGTCAGCAACCCGTGCTTCCGGCGCAGATCAATGTATTAGTCTCAACTCGCTGCACGTCCCGCAACAAATCTTAACTGAGGGTCGAGTCGACACGGCCGCCGCTCGCCTCCCTCCTATCTACCGTATCCCCTCCGTCGCCTATACTAACTCTAGCTACAGCGCCCTTCCTATCCTACTTGGACCTCTCCCCCTTCTTGTCGACTCGACACTTCTTGTCCTCACGTTCGCTCCGCTGGCGTCGCCTCGCCTCCTGGCATGCTTCCACCTTGACTCGCCTTCACACGTCGTCCCTCCTGCGATCTTCGGCAGTCACGCTGCTTCAACTTCAATCGCCCACTTCCAGCGTTGGTCGGTGGCTCCAGCCCGCTGACTTTCCCCTGCACCGGCCGCATCTAGCCGTACATCGTCGTCACCGACACCGCCATGGTGTGCCACATCACGTCCGTCGTCAACTCCTGCACGTCCAGCAGCTCGGACACGCGGCTGTTGGCCGTGTGACGGGCCACACAACTACACGCCATCACCGGCTGGAAGATCGCCCTCGATCTTTCCGGCATCGAGCAGCGTCTCGAACTCGTCCGCCGTGAGCCACTTCCTGCCTGTCGGTCCGCCCGGCCTGACACCGTACTCCACCTCGTGCTCCAGCACGTAGCGACCAGCCCTGTTCCGCACACGCCGCCTTGCCCTCTCCACGATGTGTCCTGCCGTAGCCACTTGCAGGAGCTCCGGCATTGGTGCTGGTCGTGCTCGTCGTCCTTGTCCACGCAGCATCTGCACCTCGCCGCCTTCTTGCGTCGTGGCTGCTGCCGCTGCTTGACCTTCACGCGCCGCTTGCCGGCCGAGCCACCGTGCTTCGCGCGCTTCATTCGCTTCCTGCTGGCGCCGGCGCTTGAGCGCGTCCTCGCCCCCAGTTTCTGCATCTGCTTCCGCTCGTCGTTTCCGCTGCTTGTTGCGTAGTGATGGTGTTGCTCTGTCTCTCGCAGCACCAGATCTCGACGCTCGTGCATCCGTCGCCGCTATTCCTGGCGTCTGAGCGGGCATCTCCGCCACCACAACGTCCTCGGTGGAGGCGTTACGCGACCGCTCAACGGCCACGCTACCACTCGTCCTCTCATCCATCACTGTCGCCATCCCATCCGCCGTCGGCATCTGGTCCGCCGTGGCCACGGTGGCTTCCTCGCCGCCCCGCACCATTGCCTCCTCGTTCTGGTCGGGCTCCTCTGCGTCTGACCCCACGTCGTTGTCCTCCTCCGCCATCTCCCTCAGTATGCGTTCTGCCACACTGCCGAGCGAGTCACTCGGGCAGTGGCAGGAAACCAGGAAACTGCAGTGCACGATCAGGTGCTCGCCCGTGTCTTCTCGCTCCACCTTCCAGTTGTCGAAGCCCGCGTCGACAACGATGCGTGCCGGCCCCAGCCACTGATGCGTCAACTTTGTAAGTCCTTTTCCGCGTGGTGGGCGCAGCACCCACACGCGATCACCAACATCAAACTCGGCGTGCTGACGCACACGCCTGTCGTAGTACTTGGCTCGTCGGCGCTGGTCTATCGCGAGCGCCGCCTTCGTCGCCTCCGTTGCTCTCTGCATGCTGTCCACCAACGCCCGATGGTAGTCGGCGAACGGCCCGACTTGCGTTACCCCGCTGCTCCTCAGCAGCTCGTTCGGTGCCCTCAGGCGCCGCCCCATCATCAGCTCATTGGGGCTGAAGCCCGTGCCAGAATGGCGTGCCCTATTGTATGCGTAGGTGGCGCACGGAAGCCAGCGGTCTCAGTCGTTCTGTGCTTCCGTGACGAACAGCGCCACCATGTCCTTCCAGGTTCTGTGGAAGCGCTCTACGAGTCCAAGGAGCGCTGGTCGGTAAGGCACCGGTGTCACTTGACGCGCCTGCAGTGCGCTTACCAACGCCTCGACGATCGCTCCGTTCAGCTCGGGCGCTCCTTCCATCACAATCTCCCGCATAGGCCCGTAGACCAGAATCAACTTGTCCATGATGAACTGGGCTATGTCCTTGGTAGTGTGGCTCGGCACCGCCACTGCTACTGCATATCTCGTACTGTAGTCCACTGCCGCCACGACATAGCGGTTTCCGCCTTCAGTCCCTGGCAAAGGCCCAGCCACATCCAGGGCCCATCTGTCACCTACATCGCCCACCCCTTGGCTGCGTAGCGGAGGTATCACCTCCTTTGCTTTCGACTTCCTCGTGCCACAGTCACAGCACGACCTGACCCAGCGTCTGATGTGAGCCCTCATGTCCGGCCACCGATATTTCGCTGCGATTCTTGCGTACGTCGGCGGCACCCGGAGATGGCACGCAAAGATAGAGTCGTGATTCTCTCGCAGTACGTCGGCCCATAGTGCCGCTGGCAACACAACGCGCAGACTGCCGTCGTCCTCGCGAATGTGCACCAACTCGCCGACACCACGACATCTCGTCCAGTGTAACAGGGTTACACGCACAAGTGGCTACAGTCACTTGTTACTCTAACAGATACGACGTCTGTTAGAGGTTCGAAAGACTTTCTCGACCTTGGTGTAGACACACCAAAGGCTACATACATTTACGACCACCACGACGGGTGGTCCATAGAGACTTAGGATTCCTATTGGCTGAGAGCAGCATCTCTTAGCCAATGAGCGACATGCATAGCATTGGAATTGTGCCAACCAGCCGTTGGCAGATTCCTATCTTAGAATATTACATTTAGAGGAAGTCAGAAACATAAAACAAAAATAGCAGTTCTCATTTTAACCCAAAAACATTATTTGGATCGTTTATTTAGATTAATCTATACTCGGAGGCCCGAGTATAATTAACTCTAATTTAAACTAAGCTACGCTTCCTCACATACACGCGCACACGTGTAAGCTAAAGTAGTGAGCCAAAGTAGGCCCACTACACCTGGTAGCACTTTGTAGTCCGTCCAACGACCGACTACCTGAGTTCGTACGTCATCGCACGAACGCGGAGCTGAGAACCTTCCCATGGATACAGAGGTGCCCATGGAAAGCTCCACTACGCCTGCAACTCACGTTGCACGCGCTGACTGTCCCCACCTGTCGGATCCAGAGTGGGAGGCCCTCCAACGACTGTCAACAGTCATTGGTGAGGCGGCTGTAGCTACGATGCTGCGTACGCTAACGCCGACAGAGCAACACGGTGTTGCTCTGTGTTTCATCCTGAAGCAGCAACGCGATGTTGCTGCTACTACCGCGGTGTCGTCCGGGACGACACCACGCGCGCAATCGCTGAAGCTCAATGTGAGCAACTATGTCGGAAGATAGGATGAACCTCTCCTCCGTTGGCTTGTCGAACTCGACGCTGCCATTGCGGCTCGACGTATCGTCGACCCGTTGTCGAAGGTTGCGTTCGCCATGTCATGTCTTGGCGGACGTGCAAGAAGTTGGGCGTATGGACGCCGACTCTCGGATCCTACGTGCTTTAGCACGTACGAGGGTTTCAAGGAAGAGCTCAGACAAGCGTTTGGGCCACCGCAAAACGAGTTCCGGTCGAGGGCGGAGTTCCTCGACCTGCAGCAGGGCAAGCATGATGTCCATGCTTACGCTCAGAGAGCACGGTACTTGGTCTCGAACATTGTGACCAATCCGATCGACGAGGCGATCAAGGTCGTCACGTTCATGAAGGGGCTCAGAGATGGGCATGTGAAGACCTATATCTTCCGTGAGTACCCGAGTACTCTCGAAGCTGTAATTACTCTTGCAATGCAGGAGGAGTTTAGCCTGCGGCAGGCTAAGCTGCATGCACATGTGCCGAGGCCACAGCCACGCCCGGTAGTGAGGACGGGAGGCCCAGAACCCATGGACCTCTCGAGTGCTGCGACTGCTGGACCCCAGCAGTCGCAGGGAAACAATGTGCGATGCTACCGTTGCGGTAGAATCGGTCACTTTCCTCGGGAGTGCACGGCCCCCGTGCACCAGCAGGGTGGCTATCGCGGCGGTGCCGGGCACCGTCGCAACCACACAAAATCGCTGGACGCCAGTAGGCGCGGGGCGCCCTACTGGTAATGCAGTTCCGCGTGTCGACCTTGGACACGCGACACTGAGGACTGCAGCCCCCAGTGAGGTTCATTCTCACTGCAAGAACCAAGATGACAAGCCTGACTTTGTCATCCTGAACGTGAACTCGATGAGAGCAAGCGGCTCTCTCCGTGCTTTGGTAGATTCTGGCGCGTCGAAGAACTTTGTTCGACTGCGAAGTCTATCAAGGCTTGACTTCGAGGATTTAAAGATACCTCGAAGTATGTTGGAAGTACGACTGGCAACGGGGGCCATCGTAAAGACCGAAAAGCGCGTGGTACGCGTGCGCTTCACGTATGAAGATCAAGAGTTTGTCGAGACCTTTATCGTCCTGGATCTGGACGATAAGTTTGACATTGTATTGGGCATGCCGTGGCTTGCACGGCATGATCTGGTCATCGATTGGGAGAAGCGCACTCTCGTGCGCTTCGGTCGCGACAGCGGAACAGTGAGCGATGGCCCTGTTGCCGCTACGCACGCACCGACAGGTGCGCGCGACTCCCCATTCGAGACAGCACCTAATGCCGCTCTCCCGGAGCGCCCTGGGCACGCGCGAGCACGCGCGCAAGAGCAGCAAGCGTCGGCGTCGCCGCCGACGGCTGAAGGAGAAAATGTGTTGATCTCGGAGATCGACGCCCGCTTTTCAGCGAATCAGGAAGAGTCTCCGACCTCAAGGGGCACGGATGACGCAGACGAGTCACACGCCTCAGCCGTGGAGGCTGACGCGAATCTGATTGGATCAGGCCTGGCCAATAATAACAGCCAAGGTGACGTAACGCCGTCGACTTCGGGAGTCGATGGCTTGGGTGAATTTGATTCGTCGCTCGGGGAGCCGACGCACCCTCCGTAATGGAGGGCTCCGCCAATAACAGGCGTCGAGGTGAAGATGGCGTGTCGGCTTCGGGAGCCGATGGTGCAGGCGGTGCGGACGGTTGGAAACGTCTCGCACCGGAAAAACTTGCATGCTGTCGTGCAGCCGGGCTTGAAGTCGCTCGCCCGCGGGATGAACCCGCCGGCGGTACTAAAGAAGAACACCCGTCCACGGCTGGGCCTGGACGAGGTCAAGAACCAAGCGGAGCCGGGCTCCGCAAAACAAGAAGACGGCGCATGCGAAGGTCGCTGCGCAAGTCTCGGCCTGGGGCCGAGACGCTACAAGGAATGTCTGCCGGGCAGACCGAGGCTGAGAAGCCGGACGTCGAGACGTTGAACGTCTTGACGCGTACCTGTACCGGGTTCCGGTACAGGGAGATGACCCTCGCTAACCCTCCGACGCAAGCGTCGGAGTTGACTTCGCTTCCAGTCATGAGCTGGAAGCGCTTCGCGCGTGACTTGCACGATGGACGCATCGAGCAAATATGCATTCTGTCGGACGCCGAGAGAACGAGGAGCGAGAATGAAGAACTGAGGCAGTTCTTCATGGAGAGCACCACTGAGAGTGATGACACTCTCAGTGCGAAGACGAAGAAGGAGCGCTTTGAAGAGCAGAGCTGGGACTCGTTGAAAACGAGTCCCTACTACGAGATCTTACGGGAGTACGCGGACGTACTTCCGGAAGAGATTCCTGCGGAGCTTCCGCAGGACAAGGGAATCGAGCACGAGATTAATCTCGTGCCGGGCACGAAGTACTGTGTCACGCGGCAGTGGCCACTGCCGCGAGAGCAGGTCAAAGCGATCGACGACTTCTTCGAAAGTCGTCGCAAAGCTGGACAAGTGCGGGAATCGAAATCCCCGCACAGTGCTCCGACGTTCTGTGTCAAGAAGCCACAGGGCGGCTGGCGCATCGTTCATGCGTATAACAAGCTGACGATGCGACGATACCGGCGCAGACGCCGATACCTCGAAAAGATGTTATCATCGATTCGATGGCCAGGAGCACTATCTACAGTGCTCTTGATCTGCGCGATGGGTTCTATCAGATCCTCATGCGTGAGAGCGATATCCCCCTCATGCGTGAGAGCGATATCCCTCTCACGGCAGTGAGTACACCGAGCGACATGCTCTGGGAGTGGCTAGTGATGCCGCAGGGTCTGAAGAACGCCCCTGCGACCATCAACAGATGCGTGACGCACTTGTTGCGCTCGGTGCACGACTTCGCACCGAGCTACTTCGACGATGTAGCCGGGCTGCGGACGGGATGAGCGATGTTGTGATGCACAAGGTGCATCTCCGGAAGCTGCTTGCGCATGAGCGCAAGCACAAGCTCTATGCGAACCTGAAGAAGTGCATCTTCGGGGCGAGCGAGATACCCGTGCTCGGGTGTCTCGTTGGGAAGAACGGTGTCCGCCCTGACCCTGAGAAGGTCAGAGTGATCAATGAGTGGCCGACGCCGTCGAACGTCAAGGGACTGCGGCAGTTCCTTGGCTTGGCCACGTACTTGTGCAAGTACGTGAAGGACTACTCGGGCATGATACGCCCGCTGTCACAGCTCCTGAAGAAGGCCGCCGAGTGGGTTTGGACTGCTGAGTGTCAGCAGGCCTTCGATGCAGTCAAGCGGGGCTTGACTGAGGCGCCGATCTTGGCGGTGGCCGACCAAGATCGCCCATTCCACGTTGTGTGTGACGCATCCGACTTCGCAATCGGATGTGCGTTGATGCAGCCCGACCACGAGGGTCGTGATCGTGTCGTCTACTACCAATCGCGTCAGCTGAAGCCAGCTGAGCGCAACTACCCGGTACATGACAAGGAGCTCCTTGCCATGAAGTACGCACTCGCGAAGTTCCGAGTGTATCTACTCGGAAGCAAACCGTTCGTGGTCTATACGGACCACGCGTCGTTGCGGACGGCTGTGAAGTCGCCGCACATCTCGCAACGGATGGCGAGATGGCTCTCATTATAACTTCCGGGTTGAGTACAAACCCGGAAGACTCAATGTGGTGGCCGACGCGCTCTCGCGTCGACCTGACTACACCACGACTGATGCCGACGTCAATGCCATTGACGCCATGGGATCGAGCACCCGACGTCGTCACTGTTGGACGACGTGAAGGTCGCGTACGCGCACGACGCGGACGCGAAGCTCTTGCTGGCCTACGGCTCAGCGCCCTCTGACAAAGCTCGTCAGAAGTTGCCGAAGCATCTTCGTGCTCGTGCACACCGTTATCGGGTGCACGACGGGTTATTGCTCTACAGTGCAGTCGACGACAACGCGGATCGCGTTGTCGTGCCCAATGACCATGACCTGCGACTCAGGATCATGTACGAGTATCACGATGCACCGACTGCGGGGCATCCGGGCCGTGAGAAGACATACCTTCTTCTCACGCGATACTTCTACTGGGCCCACCAGTATAAATGGGTGCGCAAGTACGTCCGTGCTTGCGAGGTTTGTCAACGTGTGAAGCCTGCGCCGTTCGCGCAGGCTCCCTTGCAGTCACTGCCGACTCCGTCGGAGTGTTGGCAGTCCATGTCTTTGGACTTCGTGTTCGGTCTTCCCCCGGATAGCCAGGGGAACACGGGCGTTGTGGTCTTTGTTGACCGCTTCAGCAAGATGTACCATCTTGCTGCGGTACCCGCTGAAGTGACTGCGAAGCAGACGGCGCGTCTGTTCGTTGACATGGCGTTCAAACACCATGGCATGCCGATCGACATTGTGTCGGATCGGGACCCGCGCTTCACTGCACACCTTTGGCAAGAAGTGTTTACACTTCTTGGGAATCAACTTTCGATGTCGACTGCGGACCATCCGCAGACGGACGGGCAGACCGAACGCGTGAACCGCGTGCTCGTAGACGTGCTTAAGAGCTACGCTCACTCGTTCCAACACTGGTGCGAGTGCCTGCCGATGGCGGAGTTCGCCATCAACAACTCGGTGCATGACTCGACCGGGCATACACCGTTCTACGTGAATGCCATCAGGCACCCACGCCTCCCGAGTCTACTCGGGATGATGGCTCCTTCCTTAAGTGGGGGAGGATCTAAGACTGCAACGCAGCAGCCGCAGAATGCCGCTGACACTTGCACAGTGTCAGCCGCGACTACGCGCAACAAGAAGAAGAAGCACGCGTCTGTGCAGGGCACAGACGCCGACAAGAGCAAGAAGAAGAAGAACGGGTCTGTGCAGGGCACAGACACCGCGAAGACGAACGCAGAGGCCGGGCCTACTGCTAGAAACGAGCTGAACGAATTCAGCTCGGACGCAATCAACTTCATGCAGCGCAGACAAGCCGTCATTCGGTTTGTCCAAGACGCTATCGCAGCTTCTGTCGACCGACAGAAGCTGAACGCAGACAATGTTGGTAGGGGCAACACCAATGAATTCAAGAAGGGTTCATTGGTTTTGTTAGCAACTCAAAACCTGCCTAAACATGCAGTTTCTGACTTCGGGGCGAGCAAGCTCGCTCCGCGCTTCATCGGGCCGTTCACGGTGTTGGCACGGCATGGCAACGCCTACACGCTAGATATTCCATCTAGCATGCGCCTCCATCCGACCTTTTACGTCGGGCGGCTGAAGCCATACCGGCAGCACGAGCCACCTACCTCGGCTGGCCCGAAGCGGAAGCCCCAGCGGGAGCAAACCTCTGCTCCAGCGCGTGAACGCGCTGGGCCAAGCATGCGACGCGACCTCCCACGTCGACAGAGATGTCCGACGCGGTCTGCGAAGCCTGGGCGACTTGAGCCCTCAGGATCGCCACCTCCTGCTTCAGAGCGGCGTACTCCCGGCTCTGATGCTGTTCCACAGCAGCGACCCGCTCCTCGAGCGTCGGGCCAAGGTCAACCCCAGGTTGACCATACCCGGGGCGTGTTCCCACCACCGCCGCCTCCGATCCGCGACGCCCGCGGCTCAACACGCTGGATTGTTGAGCGTATTGTGAACCATAGTATCCCGAAAACGAACCGGCAACCGGTTCGTTATCGTATTCGTTGGAGAGGGTTTCCGCCCCACCAAGATACATGGGAGCCGCGGGACGTCCTGCTGCAGGACGTTCCGGAAATGGTGAGGGCGTACGATGCTCACCACGCACCGCCGACGCGAAGGTAGTGCGAGCGCTGTGGTCACCTACAGCGCCCGAGGTCCCACGATCGTCGCGTTCCTCGTGCGAGGAACTTGGCACGGAGATCCTTGAGACTCTCAGGTACACGAATCGTCGTGTACCCGTTTAGGCCGCGGTCGCTCAAGCGCACCGCACCCGGAAGACACAACGTGCACTGATGGCCTTCGGGCACAGCGCATGGAATACCAGCGTCCGCAGAGGATCTGTGGAGCTGCTCCAGCCTCCCGCGCGTCGAGAATGTCTCGAAGCGCTCACGGGCATGCTTAACCCGCTCACGGTAAGCAGCCGGCTTCTTGTTGAAGTTCTCAACAAAAGCATTCCATCTTTGACAAAGTGCCTGCCACTCAGGCACTTTGCTGCGAGAAGAGGTCTTCTTGCTGGGGAAGTATCGGAGCTCGTGAAAGAGTCCGATATAGTAATCGTGCCTTTGATTCGTTAACGGATCAAAGTGCTGCTCCTCCGCCACAGCATCATCGTGGATCCCGCTGCATACGTACAGCGGAATTTCATTTGGAGGCACGGTGTTGCCCACACGGTCTGCGATCTCTGACGCAGACGGCATCCACGGATCGCGCGCTGCCTGAGCAGCGCGCGGAGAACTTGAAGACGCCACCTCACGCAGGGAGCTTAAAGCCCCAGCAGCGGAGAGCGGAGTTTCGCTCTCGCCGCGCGAACGCTTCGAGCTCGAAGCGTCCGAGTCGTCTCCTTCATGAGGGCGTCTCGACCCGGCATGCGGGTCGAGACTATCAATGTCGATAGACTCCTTGCGCTTGTTGGAAAAGGTCTCGCCCTCTTCCATCTCTACGTCGTCACTCCCATAGTCAACGGCGTCGTTGACTACAGAGGAACCTTCGAGGACAATCCCCGACTGAGTTGTCCCCGACGCGGCCTTTGCAGCGAGCGCGTCGCGCTTTGCCTGCTGGCGCTCATGGTACTAAGCAACAGAGAGGTTACCCTCTGTTGCGGCGGGCGGTCGTCTTCTTCTGCGGCGAGCTCATTGCGGAATGAGCTCGAGTTTTCTTTCTCCCAACGTGAAGAATTGACGAATGGTCAATTTCCTGATTGACGTGCCGTGACTCGGCGCGTCTAACCTTGAGGGGGGATGGTGTAACAGGGTTACACGCACAAGTGGCTACAGTCACTTGTAACTCTAACAGATACGACGTCTGTTAGAGGTTCGAAAGACTTTCTCGACCTTGGTGTAGACACACCAAAGGTTACATACATTTACGACCACCACGACGGGTGGTCCATAGAGACTTAGGATTCCTATTGGCTGAGAGCAGCATCTCTTAGCCAATGAGCGACATGCATAGCATTGGAATTGTGCCAACCAGCCGTTGGCAGATTCCTATCTTAGAATATTACATTTAGAGGAAGTCAGAAACATAAAACAAAAATAGCAGTTCTCATTTTAACCCAAAAACATTATTTGGATCGTTTATTTAGATTAATCTATACTCGGAGGCCCGAGTATAATTAACTCTAATTTAAACTAAGCTACGCTTCCTCACATACACGCGCACACGTGTAAGCTAAAGTAGTGAGCCAAAGTAGGCCCACTACATCCAGCGTAGCGTCCCTTCCGCCTCAGCTTCTTTACCGTCTTGTCCTCTGCTTGACGCTCACGGATCAGAGCGTCCGTCACTTGCCCTTCTCCGCCCTGCGCTGCCGCCTCTGCACCTTGCTCTCCTCCAGGTCCTTGACCAGCTGCCGTCACCGTGTGCACTGGCGCGCGTGACAGCGCGTCGGCGACCACGTTACTCGCCCCTGGTCGATACACAACCTCGAAATCGTATTTCTGCAACTGCAGCGACCATCTGTGTAGCCGCCCCGTGAGATCCTTCGAAGTCATGAGCCACTTTAGAGCGGCATGATCCGTTACCAGCTCGAACTTACGCCCATAGAGGTAGGGCCTAAACAGCTTCACAGCCCACACCACGACCGCGCACTCCAAGTCCGTGATGCTGTACTGTTGCGACCGTGGGTGAGTTGACCTTTGAGGCGTACGCCACCGGTTGCTCGCCCTGCCCTTGGTCCTGCGTCAGCGTCGCCCCCAATCCAACCTTGGAAGCGTCTGTCACCAGCTTGAAGGGGCGCGTGAAGTCGGGATAGGCCAGCACCGGCCGCTCCGTCAACGCGCACTTCAGCTGCTCGAACGCCTCCTGCTGTGGCTCTGCCCATCACCACACTGCATCCTTCCGCAGCAGCCGTGTGAGTGGCGCTGCCACGCTCGCAAAACCAGGCACGAACCGCCTGTAGTAGCCCGCCATGTGGACGAACCGCTTCACCTCCTTGGCATCAGTCGGCGCCGGAAACTTGCGCACACTATCAACCAGACTCTCCATCGGGCGCGCCCCCGAGGCGTCCAACTCGTGCCCTAAGTACTCTAGCTTCTCCTTCGCAAAATGAGCACTTGCTGGCCTTCAGCGATAGACCCGCCTGTGCCAGCCTCTCCATCACCATCGCCAGTTCTACGACGTGTCGCGTCATGTTCCCCTTCGAGAAGACGATGACGTCGTCCAAGTACACCAGACAGCTCTCCCAGGTAAGCCCTCTCAACACTGCGTCCATCATGCTCTGGAAAGTACCAGGTGCATTCGCTACCCCAAACGGCATTCTTACGAATCTGAACAGGCCTTGCCTCGTCACGAAGCCGGTCTTATCGCGATCTGCCGCCACCACCGGGACTTGCCAATATCCCGCGTGAAGGTCCAGGCTCGTGAATCGCCGAGCCCCATGTAGATTGTCAAGGGTATCATCTATCCGTGGTAGTGGGTAGACGGCCCGCTTAGTGATGGCATTAAGAAGTCTGTAGTCGATGCAAAACCGCACCAACCCATCCTTCTTCTTTACCAACACTACCGGAAAGCCCCAAGCACCACTACTGGGCTCGATCACGCCGTCCTGCAGCATGTTCGTCACCTCCTTATCAATGACCTCCTGCTCACTGCGCGCATACCTTCTCGGTCGCACCTTGATCGGGGCCTCATTGCCAGTGTGGATGGCGTGCTCCACCACCAAAGTCGTCATTGGTGGACAGCCTTTCCTCGGCTCTAGTAGCCCAGGGTAGTTCCTAAGTACTCGTAATAGCAACTTTTTGTCCTCTGCGCTTATGTCCCCGATGTCAAGTTCGTCCTCATTGCATAACGGCTCGGGGTTGGCGCCCAGCTCACGCTCCAGCCACTCCTTCACCTTGTCTCTGCTCAAAGCGCCGCCCAGCTCCATCACGTCAAGGTCGTCGCTGCTCGGTGCCCATGTGCCAAGCACCTCACGCGTTGGTAGCTTCGCCCTTCGTCCTACCAGGTTGAGTATCGAGACTACGATATTGCCACCTCGGACTGTCGTCAACGTTGGAGCCAACAACAGGTGTAGCTCTTTGCGCGGGGCGGGCATGAAGACGCCCGTAGTGCCCTCCGGCGCTGCCACTGCCAGCTCCACGTTGTGACAGGTCCGGGTGCCGATCTTCGCCCGACGCACCAGTCTCACCCTAATCGCCCGCTCGTCCTGTGGCCCTTCACGGGTGCAGGAGAACGGCACGATCTTCTTGATGTCCCCGCTGTACCACTTCATCTCGCAAGCGGTAAAGTCGATCATCACCCCGTTGCCCAGCATCCAATCTTCTCCTAGCAGGAACTCGTCAGCAGCGCCCTCGACCACCAGCGCCTTCACGGACATTGTCTGCCCGTACTGCGTCTCCATCTTGAACTGCCACACTCCGAGCACTCTGGCCACGGTGCCCGTGAACCCCTCGACGAAGTCCACTGGCGGCAGCTCGTCCTGCTGCATGCCCAAGCGCTTCCACGACTCGCAGGCCACGGTGTATTGCGCACCCGTGTCCAGCTTGATGTCGCACCACTGCTCTCGCATCATCACTCGTGCCGTCGGCAACGTGTCCGTCGCCGGTGCACGGACCGCCCGTAGTCTCCCCACTCGTACTGGTCGCGTCCCTTCGTCGATCCAGCCAATGATCGGCTGCCGGTAGATGCTGCCACTATGGTAGCGGTACTGCTTCATGGGCTTCTTGCCCCTGATCGCTTGCTTCATCTGCTCGGTGGCGCGTGGCAGCGCAAAGCCAATCGCGTGTGCCTCCGCCGCCGACAGTAACCTCGGTGCATCGCCTCCGCGTCGTCCAAGCGCGGCGTAGCCGCCCTCTGTCTTCGCTCGCGCGGCCAACCACTCACGGATCCGGCGCTGCTCTCGCGCTCTCGCCTTCCGCACTCGCTTCTCGAATCTGCGCCTCGTTCTTGAGACGCGGATTGTCGCTTCCACGGGCCGCGTCCATTCGTCGGGCTCACTGCGTCCAGCACTGCGTCCAGACCCGCTGCCGCCATGATCACTTGCTTGGCCGCACCGTCACGGATGTTGACCTCGCCCATGATGCTTCCACCGGCAATTTCCTCTTGGCGGTTCTCCTCCGCCACTGCCAGTTTCGCCAGGCCGTCCAGCAGGACGTCCTTCCGACCACGAACTTCGCCGAGCGCTTGCGCTGCTCGTGCGCTCCACCTCAGCGCCTCCTTGAACTCCTCACTCGGCTCGGGCATCTGGAACGGTGCCTCTGCCGTCACTCCTCTCGCCAGTTCGCCCTTGGTCTCGCTCCCGTCGGGCTCCTTGGGCATGGAGTCCGTCAGCATCAAGCTGCCCACCGCCATGTCCGCTGTGAGCTGCTCACGCTCGAGTCGCTTCTGCCGACGCGCCCTATCGCGTGCTAGCCGCTTCTCTCGCTTCCGCAATCGTCGCGCTTCCTCTTCCTTCTCGGCCGCCACCACACTCGCTTCAGCAACGCGTTTCCGTAGTGCCTTGGCCTTCGTCAAGTCGTGGCGTCTTTGCTCTGCAGTCAGCGCAGTTGCCAGCGCCGCTGGTGATGCCTCCACCTTGGTTGGGGCGTCCTTCGTCTGCGCGTCACCGTCCTTGGCCATCTCCGTCAACCACGCGTCCAGTTGACTGGCGACGAGGTCACGCCGTTCGTCATCCGCAAGTCCTCCTGAGAGTTGGCCGAGGTCGACCACTACTCGGCTGGGTCCGCCGTGCGGCTCGCCCGTCCGGTCTTCCATGCTGTCCACGCCACCCTCTCTGTCACCGACCACGACATCACCGTCGCTGGGCTTCGTCGTGGTGCTACGCCCCGTCTCGACGCTACTCTTCGCATCGGCGTCGCCTTCCGCCGCCGTGTCCACTGCGCTTGTCTTCTACCCGGTGACCAACGTGCAGGCACCGTCTCGTCGCCCTGGAATCGCACGCGCCGCTGTACGGACTCGCCACCTTCGAGCACCGACCGTACTCGTCGAACGGCGCCATCCCCAGCCCGTGATACCGCAATGCTCGTCCTTGCCGCCGTGTCTTCTTGCTCAGCCTGGGTAGGCACGCGCACTGGCCGCACGGCGTCATCCCCAGATTGGCCTCCCGCTTCCCCTAGCACCACTCCTCCCGAGACAGCCTCGTCTTCGTGACGTCCTCCGCCTTCGTCTTCGCGACGTCTTCCGTCTTTGTCCTCGCGACGTCTTCCGTCTTCGGCCTCTCGACGTCCCCCGTCTTGCCCAACCGAACCTGGGTCAGACGTTCTCGCCTACCGTCGCCGACCGCGCCGGTGTCGTCCTCATTTCTTCTCCTTCTTGCCCGGGTCAGAACGAGCGAGCGATAAGGCCGGGGTCCTTATGCTCGCTGCTCGTTTCCCGCATCACCATCCTCGGCACTCGCGTTCTGTGCGCCGCGTCCTGATGCAGCCAAGTCCGCCGTCTTCAGGTCGCAGTCCCTCACGAAGTGGCCCGACTGGCCGCAGTAGAAGCAGAACGTGCCCGTGCGGGGCGTGAATGGTGTCCGCTGCTCCCGCCGTTCCAGGTACCACTCATGGTTCCTGAGTCGGCCCTCGCGCGTCGCCAGGGCTGGGTCTGGGGCATCGGTTCTTGCCCCAAACGTCCCTCTTCCGTTGAACCCGCCTCCGCCGTTGCCGCGACCAGCAACAGCTGCGCCTTCGACCTTGAACGTCTTACCCGGACGCTTCGAGAGCTGTTCGCCCCCTGGACGTTTGTTGCGCGCGCCAATCTGTGGCTCAGGGGCGCCACGCGTTTGAAAATTCGAATTCGCCAACCCGTTGGTGTCCGGTACCAACCGGTATCCCGGCGGTATGGCCTTCCACCACTCATCCGTCCCGGTCTTACCGGTACCTACCAATCGTCCCTCGGTATCATACCTCGGTGGCTTGGAGGCAGTCCCCCACATTGGTCCATACCCTGTCACTACTCCGGCCGAGTTTTCCCCAAGTCCCGACTGATCTTGACCCGACGTCGCTCTCGCCGAGGCCCCGCGGCCTTTGGACGCCTGGCGTGCATCCCACGCGCTCGCTGCTACCGTACCCTTCTCCGTAGTCGCCGACGTGTGGGATCGCCAAGTTGACCGCCTCATCCAGCGTCCGGAGGCGGTGTGCACGCACGTGGGTCGCACCCATCGGGCTGCTCATGCCCTTCAGGAACGCGCTCACCAGCCAGTCCTCGCTGATGTCGCCCTGCTCCGCGATCTCGCGCAGTGATTGCGCGTACTCCAGCAACCTCTCACCCCGCATCTGTCGACGCGCGTTGAGCAGATCGACGACCTCCGGCGTCGTGCGTCTCGTCATGTACTTCGCCCTCAGCATGGACGCCAAGGTCGTCGCCCGGCGCGGCAGAGTCAAAGATATTGCTGCAGCAACGGACGTTCGACTTACCCCAGAACTTACCTCTCACTCGTTTCGGCGCGGTGCGGCCATGCACGCCAACGACGGAAGCCTGGCCGAGAACTGGATTATCGAGCGGGGAGGCTGGAAACTTGGTCAACAAAGCCTTTGGGTACATGCTGGGTACCACGCAAGCCGACCAAAACGTTGCCCGCGTTCTGAGCGGATGGAAGCCGAAGGAAGGTGCCCGCCTTCCTTCGCTGTGTGCACCATCCGTGAGCGCGGAGGTAAACTGCAGGCCCTAGTCCTCTCGAGCACGCTGGGGTTTGACGACACAGCACTCAATCTTGATGACGGTGTAGCTGATGTCTTGATGACGACACTCGTGATGCACTACCCCGACATGCTGATCCTGTCCGACCAGAGCGACTTCATTCGAGAAGCCATGGAAGCTCGGGCCATAGGAGAGTCGGAGGTGCTGGCTTGGAGCGAAACAATCCGGCGTGCCTTCACCCCTCCGCCTCCCAAGGTTGAGCCGCATGCCGATGACGCCCAGTCCGCAGCTGTAGTAGCGCTGTAAAAGCGCCAGTCGGAGCAGATCGATGTCCTCATTCTGCCAAACAAACGGCTTGATGAACGACTGTTAGCAGTGGAGGAGCAGCTTCGAGCACAGTCAGACGTAGCAGCACCAAACGCGCTTGAAGGAGCTTCAACGTCAGGCGGGCTGAGCCCTGTCACCGTGCAGCCACCGGCCACCAAGTCCGTGCGCCCGAAGAAGAAAGGTTCGCAGTCGTTGTCGGCATTCTGGTACGAGTGGTTCACTGCCGAGCCTTCAAAAAGACAACACTGTACGAGTTTAGACACGCCGTAGGATACATGATGCTGTTCTTACCGAATGGTTTCGCACTAGACGTAGCCGCCTCTGCTTTCAAGAACGAGGTGCTCAACATGGGGCAGGAAGTGCAAGCGAACGCTCTCGCCTTCTTGAAAGCAAACGGAGCTTCGGCTCTCGCTGCCGGCACCGCGTTGAAGGCTCTGCGCAAGCTACACAAGACCGACAAACTCGATGCCCTGATCGCTGACTTCCACGAGCGCGTCACCAATGGTGCCATCGTTGATCCAACCCCTGCCGCCGCACTTCCAACCTTCATTTGACTACAACCAAACCTGTAAACCATACATCATGATGCACAACGATATAAAACACAATTAAGTAAAGACGATGGCCGGATTCGAACCGGCCTGCAGCGAATGCTGCTCCTCCACCAAGAGGCACCGTCGCGGGTAAGTACATATGCACCGCAGCTACGCCAGCAAATAGCAGCAGGGCAGTTGAAACCAGGTAGAAGAGAAACTGGTAGCATGTACGTACACTGACAGCAGCTGTCCACAACGCCGTCGGCCACTCTCAACATACCACTGCTGGCCTCGAGCGCCATCACCTCGCCCGAGGTCACGCTGCTGTCCACGCATCCACCGCCCCGCACGACCTTCTGCACCTCCACCGCCCCGCGCGGCACCACCCCCGAACTGCTGCTACCGCTGGCCTCGAGCGCAATCACCTCGCCCGAGACCATGCAGCTGTCCTCCCTGCCGCCGACGCCCGTCTTTCTCTTGGTCCTGCTGGTCTGGGGGTCCTCTCCACGCCCGAGCACTCGTCCGTATTGCCGCTGCCCGCTGTGTGTCCAGCTCCGAAGCTGAATGAATGAATGAAGGGGATTCAGTTGAGATGTCATTATAATGAAATAGATGTCACTAAAATGTTTTGCTTCAGTACCGGTACTGGTTGGACTCCTTGGTCGGACAGTTGGAATTTTGACGGTATGGTAGGGGTCTTGAGAAGCGCAGAGGTATACTGTAGGTACCCTCACTTCCGACACCTAATACTCCTTATTACTTCTGAGATTTAATGTGTTTATATTTATAAGGTTGCAGAAGAACTAGCTAATATATTATGATCGTTACGAGGTTTTCGCGCCAAAACCATTCATTTCACATTTTGGCAGGCAGCAGTGAGGAGCATCGGGGGCAAGTGTGAAGAAGCATGATGAAGACACGGCGATGACGCAAGAAGAATTCTGCGCTGCTGCTGCTGCTGCTGCTGCTACTGCTGGATGTGGCACCCCGCCAGCTCCTGGTAGACCTCTCGCGGGACGAAGGCGAAGAGCAGCGCCGCCGCGGATAGGAAAAAGCTGCTCGACGCCACCCAGGAAACGTACGGTACGTCCCTGTGGACGCGTCCAGCACGTGCGCCGACAGTGCCTCGTACAGCGAAACGGAGCGCTCAAGCGCGAAGTGCCTGCGCTATATCTTAGCCCATGCTACTGGGGCTGGAGCTGAGTCGTGTTCGGCGCGCTGAGCCTGCAGCCGCCCACGGACGGAGCTTTTGGAGAAGGCCTACAAAGACCAGCTAATGCCAATGCAATGGAGCGAGGTAATCTGCGGTACGATGTGCGCTAAACTCGCCCCGCACTGCTGGTGCTATCCATACATGTAATCTTGCCTCTCAATGCATCTGCGTACAGTACATGTGTGCATGCACATTTTTGAAGTGCTGTGTTCCAGTAGCCTGGCTCAGAAGTCAAACACTAAGCTTATGTCGCAATAGAGTGTGACTCTATTGGTTGGTAGCACTTAGGAAGCTGGCACTGAAGGACTCGGACGGGTTGACGTTGTCGACGTTCGACTTGGCAGTGCAGTAGAAGTTGTTGTATGAGTTGGAAAATTGAGAACTGAATGAATTAGCGTTAAGCAAACAACTATCCTTCGCTATTTGCTCTAAGCTGTGGGCTGCTCGTCGGCAACCACTCGTTGCTTTTGAACCGTTGCTGCTGCGGTTCGCTCAGCTCGAGATCTGCGGTTAACCTTGCAGCTAGGGTTCTGCGAGATCCAGTACACCATCAAACGTGCTCTCTTGCTGCTGGTGTGTTGATTTCCGTCGATCAACTTGATCTCGCGACAGCTTACACTACATCGCTAATCGCTACAAATGGACCCCATTTTCATGGATCGCCGAAACCTTGAATGGCCAACAATACGAGGTATTATTCGGCCCATGAAGGCTCAAACGGACCCAATACAGAGGATGGCAACCCCGCCGGTACCGATCATAAAATTACATATAAATTTGCACTACCAACGGAACCCCTATCGAGGAAACCAAAGTGCGAAGACTGCGTCGATGTCGCGCTGTAAGGATGTGTCATCGTCAAAGCAGCTGTCGAGAGCTGATTAATGATCGATTGATCCGAAAGGAGCGCCTCGATCCATGTCCGATTACCGAGAGCGGAGCCAAGAAGACTGGCCTCGCCACTTGCTGCATGCAGTCGTGACTCACGACTCGTGAGTCCAAGGCGCGTACATTTTGCGCCGAGGGAAGCGTCGTAGCCGCAAATGGGCTAATCCCGGCTGAATCGCCGCTACCACTTCGTAAGACTCCGCTGATAATGGCCGTAGTAGAGGTGAGGTGACGTGGGTGACTGCGTGCAGGGCAAGCAGCAAATAATGCTGAGGCAACTCGACCTAAAGCTGTCGCGCCGGGCGCCTTCACTCCGAAATATTGAGTACTTGAGATATAATACAGTAGTTCTGTAGCTTCGTGTTGGCGGCCCGACATCATTGTTGTGTCTTATCGCCACCGATATTGTCGGCGATAAGACATGCTTCGACACGTCGCGCTGGGCGTGGTACGCTGCTTCTGTGGCTATCACCAGCTGCGCTATTGGCGCGCCTTTGGCGGAGCTCATCTGTTCACCGAGAAATGGCTCGGGCAGCAAAACCCGTCAAGCTTTGAGTCACGCGTGTGCCGGGGCCCGGCGCTTGTATTAACAGGTGCCAGGCCCAATGCCCGACCTATCCTGACAAAAGAGTATCCGTCCGTGTGACATCGGTTCAACTGCTACGAGTACATGTAAACCTGCACCGCCACCTCTCGACATGGCTTACTGCCCCCACCCCAACCTGTAGTTCATTCTGCATTTTACACTCTCTCGGGCACCTCCAAACCCAATCAACCAACAGACACAATGAAGGCCTTCTTCACCACCTTCGCCGCACTCGCATTCCTGGCCTCCGCCGTCAACGGCGTCACGATGCTGCGCCAGGCAGAGCAAGGCAGCAGCACCAGTAGCAGCTGCACCCTCTCCGGCACCTATAAGTCCGGCACCGACATATCGTCCTGCAGCTCCGTCACCATCGGGTCCTCGACGGCCAGGGTGCCTGGTACTGGAAGCAGGGCCAGTCGATCACCCGCCCCGTGTTCTTCCGTCTGCACGGCGTGTCGGACTCGGTGCTCTCGGGCTTCACGCTCAAAAACTCGCCCTACCGCACCTTCAGCATCGTCAACTGCGAGTCCACCACCATCAGCGGCCTCACGCTCGACTCGAGCGCCGGTGACGGCACGGCCAAGAACACCGACGGCTTCGACCTGACCAAGAACGATGCCGTCACCATCACGGGCAACAAAATCTACAACCAGGACGACTGCCCCGCCATGCAGTCCAGCACCAACACGGTCTTCAGCAACAACTACTGCAGCGGCGGCCACGGCATCTCCATCGGATCGCTCGGCGGAGACGCCGTCGACGAGTCCACGACGGTCTCGGGGCTCACCGTCAGCGGCAACAGCATCGTCGACAGCGACAACGGTCTCCGCATCAAGACCATCATCGGCCTCAAGGGCCTCATGACCAACGTCAAGTACTCCAACAACAAGCTCTCGAACGTCAAGAACGCCATCGTCATGCACTCGGACTACAGCAAGTCCAAGGACGGCTACACGGGCTCCCCCACGAGCGCCGTGACGATTGAGGGCGTGACGATCTCCGGCCTCAAGGGCTCGGCCACCAACCTGTACGACATTGTGGCCAACCCCAAGGTGGTGTCGGGCTGGTCGTTCTCGGGCATCCAGGTGAGTGCGTCCTCGACGGGCAAGATGGCCGGCCAGCCCAACAGCGTCAGCGTGTAGATGCAGACAGACAAACTATGTGGGTATTAGTGCTGTGTTTAGATTGACATCCCAGTGGCCAAACGAAGGCCGATAGAGCGTAGGGGCATGTGTCGCCAAAAGATAATTTCGATGTAAGCTTGTTTTCCTGACTGCATTCTCAGAATGCCATTCTGTTTCTTACTACCGTTAGTAGGTGACTCAGAATCTGAAACATCTGATTCAAAATCGTTTTGGTTCACAAAAATTGAATTTTAGAAAAAGCGTTTTTGTACCTGACAGAAATCGAAAAAAGTGGATTGTTTAGGTCATGTTAATCTACATCGACTAAAAGTTCAATTCAAAACCTAGATTTAGACTGTTCTAAAACTTGTAGGTGATGAGTTGTGTCTTAGTAAGCAGCGGTGATATTCTGGACATGCTGGTTAAGCCTATCGTTTCAACTGCCCGCACTTTGCGCGTGCTGCAGCGGCCTCTCTAGCACCGAAGAACTCGCTCAAGCCCCCAACCTCGCGTCTGACGACACGAACTCAAACGAGGAAAACCCCAGTGCACTGGCAGAAGAGAGATCAAGATTCCCGGTCTTCAACAAATTGGCGTCGGTGTTTCGGAAAAATCCTACAGTCGCAACGATCTTGGAGAACAAACCGCTAGCTGCAACGTTGTCCAGAAACCCTACCCTCGCCAAGTCTCTCAGCGAAAACCCGCAACGGCGAGCGTCTTCGTGGGTAAGAACCCACGCTTTATCAGCAAATTGAAGCAAGATCCAAAAGTCAGGAGCATCGTGTCAAGGAACGCAGACGGCTTCGACAAGAAGGCCATTGACCGCGTCGGGAAGTATGTGGTTCAAGACCTCGCCTTTATTCGCTTCCTGAGTTCACTCAATCAAAGCGTACTCATCGGGGCTGGACTGAGTATCGTTACCGGCCTATTCATCTTGTTTGCCTTTCTCGGACTGCGAGGTTCTTACATATCTGCAGGCTAGGCAATGCTTATGCGTGCGGAAATCAAATGCTCGATCCAAACGTTATGGAGTATATCCATAAATTTGTTACCGTTCAACGTCTAATGCTTTATTTTTCCGGGTTCCAGGTATCTTAAAAATCTATCTGTGGTCTGTTTCGTTACGAACGGTAGTGTTACTTAAATTGCTCTGACCTAACGACTTCCGATAGCCTTGCGGTTGTCGCCTCTAACCGGGCGTCCTTGATATCCGGCACAACTGTGCCAGAGCCGCCTTAAGTGACGATGTAGACGTCCTAGATCGCTATGCTTCAGCCACTGTCTGATGTCGCTGACGACATGGCTGGAAATTGTGTCCCATCCCGAGGTGGAGCTTGCGCGCGAGTTCCTGTTGGACGCTTTGTCAACCAAAACGAAATGCACCGCCACAAAATCAGTGGTCTTCCAACGTGCCTATTGTTGTATGAACACTCTCACCTTCGTAAACCAACGCACAATCGTTCGTCTAGACTCGAATCTTCAACACACGGCGTGCTTGGTATCCGTCTCGACTTGGCTCACCAAAAGTGCCACTCTGAGTCAGACGCCACCTATTACCAAATAAAAATCGGAAGAGCTACACGTACATGTCCTTCTTCACAGTTCCAGCAACTAGTACGATACATTCCATAGCAGCTCCGAGCTGCCAGCTCGGCGGCATGTTTAACCGTGTGCAGCAGCTGATCGTAGTCGATAAGCGTAGCTCGAGGTGTTCCAAGAGCTCTGAATAATCTTATTTGTCTTTTCGTCCCGTCCCTCGTCCGGCCTGTTGAATCGCATACGGGTTCCGACGGAACCCGGTCGAAAACCCGTTTTTCGTACACAGATCAAGTCAGTTTTGGCCTACAGCTTCAGCAATCAACTAGTGATTTATATGCGTCGTGACGATTGCAGTTTCGACGGACTTCATCCGGAAGGCCTTGCATACGCTTCCCGCCGGGTCTTGCCAAAAGGAGGAAGCAGCTCAAAGTCTCAAGTGGCTCCACTAATAGGTGCAACGTCACCATGGTGTCCGCCCCGCAGAGCGCCGTCGCCAGCAGCGCGCGCTTGCCCGCGTCCTCTTCCAATGCCCGCAAAGCCGGGAGTGGCCAACCCGCGGCGCTGCTGGCCTCGTATCTGCTCAAGCAGAGCGCGGGCAAGTGGAAGCGCAAGCGCTGGAACCAGCGCTGGTTCGTGCTGGACCGGGACAACGGCGTGCTGCGCTACTTCCGCCACGCGTCTCCGCTGGAGGCGGTGCCGCTGCGCTCGGACGCCCACGGGGTGCTGGCGCTCAAGCAGGCGGGCGCGTCGCTCGTGGTGCAGGGCGACCTGCCGGCGGGGGTGCCCACGCCCTTCTGCTTCACGGTGGTCGTGGACGGCCAGCGCGAGATCCGGCTCTGCGCGGACACGAACGCCGAGTTCCGGCAGTGGACGACCGCCATCTCGGCCATCATCAGCCCCGTGAGGAGGCCCGGGGAGGCCAAGGTGGCGCCAGCGAGGGCGGTGAGTCCGGCGTCGTCGTCGAGTTCGGCTGCGGAGGTGCCGTCCCCGTTGCAGTCGCCCGCCAAGGAGGTGAAGAAAGTGGTGGAGGTGGAGGTGGAGGAGGAGACGCAGAGAGTGAGTGATGCAGTGGAGGTCGAGGTCGAGGTTGAGCCGCGGCAAGTGATGGAGCAGGTAGGGTGGAACACGGCTGTGGCTTTGGGCTGTTCGTGGTTGGTGTTAATAGTGGCTGAATTTCGGGGCGGTCTCGTGGCGTGTTGCAGTTGTGCGGCTTCGTGGGCAGCAACAAGGCGTTGCTGATTGCGTTGAACCCGGCCATAGGTGAGTGGGAGACGGACGTTGCTGGTCGATGACAGTGACTGACTTGAATTGTATCTATCTATCGATCTGTCTTTGCTGCAGTGATTTTGCGCTTTGGAGACGCGTCTGCGTGGTTCCTGGTGGCGTTGGCGGCCAATGCACTCTGTGTGTGGCTGCTTTGGTTTCGAGAGGTTGGACCTCCTCGAAAAGTGGCTTCGACGCGGTCAACGAGGCGTCGGTCCACTACAGCGGGAGGGAGTTTGTTGCCGGCATCGCCAGCCTCGTCCACAGGCTCGGAAGCCCACAAGGAGAAGACAAAGCAGAAGAGGAAATCGAGCACCTCCAGGGAGCGCGTGTCCAGCAGCTCCGTCGATGAAGCGCCGCAGCCCAAGCGAGCAACCTTATCAGGAGAAATCAACGGCGTCAAGACGTCCGCCGGAGCGTCTTTGAAAATGTGTGCCACAGCCCCGGCAGAGATTGTTCAGGGCTGCTGGACGCAGGTTGATGCGACTCGCTTCAACGTTCGCCAAGGTATGGACTGGTCAAATTATCTACATGAGTAGGCTTATGCTAATTCACTGCTGCTCTGATGTACTCCAGGCCCCAACTACCGAAAGACCAAGATGAAGGCCGCCTCTGCTCCAGCTCTGCTGGAACTTGTCGCTGTCGATGTCTATCAGGTACGCGCTGTGCTCGTTGTTGCTACAAAATATTGGTTCCGTTGTCTAACTTTGCGCTTTACGGCTCTCTCAGTCGGACGTTAAAGCAGACAATGTCGGTAGCATCGTCGACCTGAGCGTGTTAAAGCCAAAGACGTGAGTTACACGCTGTTGTCGACAACTTCAGCCTCAAATCACTGACTTACTTGTGCTGTTTGCAGCGGAGACTTGGATCTCTTCATCGTGAACTGCCAGGTCCCATCCTACCAGCCCTCGAATCCGCTGTGGGGTGAGAAGCAGGGAGACGGCCCGGGTTTCAACTTCGTGACGTATTTCGCCATCCCACCAGCTATTCGAGAGATGCTCAATGCGCCTGGCGACCCACCGCTCCAAGCAGTGCGCGTACGTATTATCTGGATGATGCAACAGTTATTCATTATGCTCACAGAAGGCGCGATTGTTGTGTAAATTATCAGCTTCTCAAAGGCTTCATGCAGCCACAAAGCTGGGTGGTACGTTTCGAGCTTGCCCCTCCCGCTGTATGTCGAAGTCGGCACTAACTGATGGTGTTACGGCGTTGTACACGTAGAGTGAGCGGTTCAAGGCGATTGGAATCGTGGTGAACCCTGAGGAGCAGAAATTGGGTCGAGCCGAGCGTCACCTGCTGGAAACGTATAACGGCCAGCCGATTCTCACGCGGCCTCAACATCAATTCTACCGCGGGGACGGATACTTTGAAGTCGACGTGAACGCGCACGACTTCAACTACATCGCCCGCAAAGGCCTGGTTGGTGTCTCCGACCACGCTTGTAACATGATTCTGGACTTCGGCTTTGTGCTAGAGGGTCAAGAGGACCACGAGCTGCCCGAGCAAATTTTAGGCAGCGTGCGGCTCTGCAAAGTCGACGTGCGCCAAGCCCCCAGTCTCTCATAGAAGACAATCTCTGAATAATGAACTCCTTGAAGTATGTTTTTTTCCCACAAAATCTCGACCATTGTCAATATACTATCCCTCATCTTCACCCCCACTGCCATCGTCTTCTTCCTCTTCATCCTCCTGAATTGCTTCGTTCTGAGTATTTGCATTCCCGCCTGGCGAAGTGGCCATCGCTCCTGCACGCATCGCTCTCCACCTTTTCAAGATCGCAGATCTCGCTGACTGCTCAATGACCCACTGCCAGTCCTTTCGAGTGACCACTCCACACACTTGTGGGGCTCGCTTCTGCAGTAGCGGGAACTCGTGCGCAAACCAGCGCATGAACTCGTCCATGGAGATGCCCCCGGGGCCGTCGCTGTCCATCATCGCAACCACATCCGCTACTTCCTCCTCATTCAACGGAACGTGCAGCCGAGTGATCAGCGCAGCCGTGCGCTCTCGGGACAATTCCCCACTCCCAGCGTCGTCCAGCAACTCGAACAAGTCCCCGACATCTTCTCGCAGTGCCTCGTCACGAGGAAGACGAGCTCGTTCTTTCTCCAACTCTCGGCGGTGGCGCCACATGAGCTCCTCCTCCTTCTTAACCTGCTCTCGACCCACCTTGCTGCCCATGTAGTCCTGGAATGACCCGAACGCTGCCATATCCGTCCGCCACGCTCCACCCGCTAGGTTCTCATTCCTTACGACAGACGGAGATCGACCCATAGCCCCAACGTTCTGCGACGCCGACAGCAACTGGGCCGTAAACCGCTGGGGTCGAGACCCCTTTGCTCGCTGGCGCTTCCGTCGGTACGCACGCTGGATCTTGACTGCCGCTCGGACCCATTTCATGAATAACACGCGACGACGAGCTAAATGCTGGCGGAAAGCGCACTGAATGACCAACGCAGCGTGGAACTCCCGTCGGCGCTTCTTGAGCTCAACCCGCGCCTGCGTCTGACGCACGAAACACTGCACCGTAGTCGCAGGAGCGTCGCCAAACTGACGGCGTTCACGTGCGAACTCCGTCTCGAGGTATTTCAGATATCGCACCACAGCCGACTGAGCCAGGAACAGGTCGAGTAGCGTATGCAGTGCCCATTGTGCCTCCGACTTGACTCCGGCAGGTTTGACGCTGTCCTCTGGATGCGGACCGAGCTCGTGGATCACGTTGTCGAAGCTTCTGAGCAGAGTGCGAGCACGACCGAGCGGGCCCCAGTTCTTCCTGTCTGTGGGGTCGAGTTGCAGCAGTTTGCGTCCAGCCTGAACGCGCAGATATTCCTTCAGCAGATCGGTTTTGTTGAGCGACATGATGGTGTCACGCTTCAAGGAGCATGCTACGAGGGCCACGCGAAGTAGCGCAGTCGTGGGCGTAGATGTTGTGTTTTCTGCGTCGTCTTTTGAGCTTGAGCTGCCGAATAGAGCGGTTAAAGCTTCCGAAGCGTTAGAGCGAGGGTCACGAGCTGTGCTCTGCGCTCCAGTGAGATACTGACGCATGGCCCCACCGAATAGCGCTTCGACCTCTTGAAATCTCGCTTGGGCTTGCTTCAGCAGCGATAAAACCAGAAATCCACCACCACCGCGATCGTTAGATAGCGAGGATGACGCATCCGAGCAGAAGCGTCTGGCGTTGACTTCTTCATCCCCTCGTGGTGGTTTGACTATCATCTCATTGGCAAGAGTATCTGCACGGCTTTTTACATGACGAGTGAGCTTCTCCACGGCGCTCACAGCTTGGATCGACTGCTTCTCGACTGTGAAGACGATGACGTCGTGGCGTCCTTGGAAGTCCAAAACTCGCAAAAACACATGCAACGACACGGTTTCGTGTCGAAGCTGCTGCGCTCGCGAAGGGGAGAGGGCCTTCAACTCTGCGGAGGATTTCATCAGTTGTTCCTGCTCTTTCGCCTTCTCTTCTTCCTCCTCTTTCTTCTTGGTTTTGCCATAGCGGAACAGCTTTTTGCCACTAAACATTGACATCGGTCCTTTACGTTTAGAAGGTTTGTCGTCAACCGCCTTCGACTTTGACTTGGATGAAAATCTCGTGGAATCTGTCGAGGGTTTGGCTGGGGGCGCTGGGAGGGCCTTCTTGGTCATGAATATCGTCAGTGGAGCGTTGGAGGCTTCGAATTGCCCTGCTTTCCTCTCAAGCTTCCCGCGTAGAGGCTGCCTGGGTGGAGTTTTACCTGGCTGCTGACTAAACAGCACCACCGGCTCGATATAGCTCGAGTCAGCTAGCCCTTTCGAAGCTGTCGACGTTGTCGAGCCAAATCCATCGTCATCATCAATCATTGTATCTTCACCTTGAGCTCCCGTTCCAGCCTCTGCTTGCTTCCTGTAGTCATAGCGCACGACTACACCGTCCCTGGCGTCCAGGTACTCCTGCAGCGTCATGAACAACTCGGTAGCGAAAGTTTCTAGAGCACAGGCGCGAAATACGTGCACGTAGGCGTCCGACACAACCGCAGCAAAGGCGAAGAAGTACTGCCGCTGGTAGTTCGTGAAAAACGCAGAGCTGTCTCCATAATCTGGTGGCATCATCTGACGCCGCAGCATTCGTGAACTGCTTCGACTTTCATTCGCCTTCGCGTCGTGGCTGAATACACATAGTGCAACCTTGGCGTCTCCATGTTGAGAGGTAGTCGACGCATCCAGCATCGTGGCGAGGCAGCCGCAGGTGAACATCCCGTGCTTCTCCGTCCCTTCCGCGGGCTGCATCCGGGCTCGACTCGAGTCCAAAGTGCGAGGTAAATTCGTCATGGGCAAGGAAATCTGAGCTTCCGAGTGGACTTCATGCTCGATTAGCGCTCGTTGACACCCGTTGACCGAGCAGAAATGCTCCGGTAGCGCCTTCATCCGTCGTCGAGTGCACGCGCGCTGCCAGGCTTCCAGGCGGAATGAAGCGGTGAAATCCTCCCCAAGTGTTAAAATTTGCTGCGAGTGCAGACTCACTAAATCACGGCGCAATCCATCCAGGATCGTTGTGTAGAATAGTCGGCAGTCGGAGTGAGAGCGAGTGGTTAGACTGCGTAGTCGATCGTAGCTCAGACGGTGGCGTGTCGACAGGATCGCGTCTTGCAGAGTGGACGCGCTCCTCTTCAAGAACGAGATGACGTCTGGCTCCACTACCTGCCGCTTGCCGGGGATAAACGCTTCTTGTCCCAAACTATCCGCGCACAATACGTAGTTGTCCCCCATTGGGACGCCAATGAACACTCGCTGAGCAGGTTTCGTAGTCAGTTGACGGACGGGAGGATTCTCACGAGATAAAATCACCACTGCTGGCTTTTGCATCTTGAGGCACTGAACCACCGTCAGAGACAAATTCTCCTCTTCCTCGAGGTTGATGGCAACATCCTTCATACGACTTTGACTGGAGGCGGCGACAAAGCGGAGTTGAAGGTGAGATACTCGGCTCTTGCTTCGGTCAGTGAGCTCTCGCTGGCCTAAGTACGCATCGGCGTTGTCTCGACTCATTGCCTGAGCTAACGTTTCCATCGCACTCGGTAAGACGGTAGCATGCATCGTATCCACCGCCTCTGCAGACGGCAAGGCATCAAGTGATGAACACAACACTTGAACCCTGCGCTCTGCCAGTCGCCTTGCCACGATCCCCTCCACCCGAACATTCACCATCTCAATCAGAGAGTTTACCAGCGGTAGAATCGAGAGTAGAAACTCCTCGTCGTACATCCAAGTTGCTCCCTTAACGCGACGTAGAACAAGAACCGTCGGTACCAGCGCGGCCTCATCATTGCCCACATCCCGAGTCGGCGAGCAGTGCACGACCAGAGTCTCGGGGCTTCCAGGCAATTGATGAACTAGATTGTCGCTACCGTTTGCCTGAGATAGTCGGTCGTCCAAACTCTGCGTTATCAGAGCCTCCTCCGCTTCATTCCTCTCCGTTGAGTCATACTTACTGTTTGACCGCCTCATGGAAGCCAGCAGTGCCTTCTTCGTCCAGTGTCCATTGCTACCATTACGCTCGAACCGGACTGCTTCCATGACAAAGACAGCGAGAAGGTTGTGAGAAATTATGCCTAAAACCTCTGCAAACAGCACCTGGAACGTCGTTCGGTTGCCGTGGAACAGCGTTGGCAGCAGCTTCCGCGCGACATTTGCCGCCATGGTGCGGATGTTTTCTCCTAGGAAGTTGGCAACTTTCTCCAGGAACGCCACGACGCCATCTTCAGGGAACGAAGGGGAGAAGACTCCGCCTGCAGCTCCAGAGAACGTGTCCACGGATAAAACCCCGACGAATGGGATTGGGATGCAGACAAACGGTCCTTGTGGACTCTCAGCGCGTCCAAAGTACTTCAGCTTCTGGCCGTGTTCCGTATCGTGCTGCTGGAGAACTCTCTGCTGCTTAAAGTACTGCTGCAGCTGTGGGATCACAATCGTCCGCTGGCTCGCAAACGCCCGGAAGGACAAACTCTGATGCGTATCGACCGTCTTCTTGTCCATTTTGCTGTTGGAGGACGCGCAGATGAAGCGGATGCGCTCGCACAGGGGGTCCACAAGTCCGATATAGGCGTCCACACCATTGAGGGCATTCTCAATGTTCTGAATGACTAGATGCGGAAGGTACAACGATACGGTACCAATGGAACTGGAGGTCGGCTTGAAATTCTCACACGCGGACATCACGCGGACCAGAGCCTCGTCACGAAGAAGCTGGCGCTCTTGAACAGTTCGCTCCCGAATGACGGTGAGGACCTCAGCGAAACTTTGCCCAATTTTACGTAAGAAATCGACCACTCCCAGTTCTGGCTGCTGCTCTTGGGACTCCTGTTCATATGATTCCATGTTGTCCAGCGCGAGAATGCCGAGATTCCCAACCGGAACAGCAATAAACGGCCACTTGCGAGTTTCAATCGGCTCGTTCGTAAAGTACCGGAGCCTTTTGAAGTAGGAATTGCCGTCACTTTCTTCGTTTGCAACATCTCGACTGGTAACGACGATGGGGATTTGCTTCTCCAGCGCGAGGAAGCTCACGCCATGACCATGTTTCAGCTTCTTCCCAGCCATAACGCTCGCCTTCGAGGCGCTAGTGTACCGCAGGATCCGCAGCGCTGGCTCCCACATCCCAAAGTAGACGTTGGGCGAATTCAGGCTCCGTTCAATGAGAAAGATGGTATCTCGCTGTAATTGAAGCAAGCACTCGACTTCCACTTCTTTGGCTGGAGCAAGCTTGTGTTGATAGCGTCCACCTCGAATGACGAAAGTTCTTTGGGATAACTCCGCATACTCACCCGTCAGTGCCTTCTGGCACATATCTCGGAACTGACCGAGAGCCGCCACTCGGTCACGAGAGCGTCTAACCCGCTCTTGCAACGCTGACATGTACCTGGACGTGATGCTGGCGACGCGTTGCAGGTAAATCTGGTCGCAAGTTGCGTGGAATTGAGGTAGCGCAGTGACGGTGAAGAACATCTTGAACGACGGTCGAGCCATTGCGTGGACGTCCGAGTACATACAAGAAGATGTCCCGAGGAACAACTTCATCGCGTGTGCGATGTATTTTGTGCTCGACAGTCGATCCACTTCAGGAACGAAATCTTCTCTAAGAATCAACGGTCCATCCCCAGCGTCATTCAGCAACAGAAAATATTTATCCGCCGTTTGTTTCTCGAAAAGTTTCGCTTTCTCCGTTTCAACCGCAGATCGGCGGGGAGCGTTGGCGGCGGCGTCTCGCTCTTCCGCCATCAGTTGTTGATACCTCTCTACTGCCTTTTGGTGCTCTTCCTCGTCTTCTCGGATTGCAGCCAACAGTTTGATCACATTATCTGCACTTTGTTCTCCGTCTGGACTCAGTCTCTGTAAGTGGTGCACGATTGTATCCGTGCAGAGCTCCCTCCATCGGAACGCCATCGGCCGCACGACGTTGAATAACCACGAGCGAGCTTGCTCCCTTTCCGTCTCTGAAAAGTCATACACAAGCGTAGTTTTCCCACGTACTCCGTCGATCTCGACCGCCCGAACCTTCCAGGCCCCAACCATGACGTCTTTCAGCGCGCGAGACGCATAGAATAGTAATTGCTGCGGGGACCGCAGGGGCTCCTGGCAGGCAAGTTGGATTTGGTGGAGGGCGTACGACCGCCTTTTGGCGTAAATGGCACTCGCTAGCAACTTGCTGAGAGGCACCAGGAACTCCAGAATCCCAGCCTCTGGATGGGCCTCATCGGGCCTCCCCTTTGGCACGTTCTGGAACGAATCCACGCTGAGCACTCCGACAGCGCAGTCTTCGTGGAACAGAGGCACGAAAATGAACGGAAATGCGTCCTCCATGGCTTCAGGCAGGCTGCGAAACACACCAAGGCGTTGTAATCTCGAGCGAAGGTCCGAAGTGGGTCCTACCACCAGCGGCTGCTTGAAGTCGAGGCATTTAAATGAGACTCCCTGGCCCCGGTTCAGTGCCCAACCGAGAATCGTGGACCCATTTCCCGTGAACGTGTATTTCAGCTGGGCACCGTCGGCTTGGAGCTCCGAGATCTGCACATGAACACCTGGTAAACTGTCAGCGATATCGTCGAATATGCCCGTAATAATGTCTTGAAGCGCGCGAAGAGCATCTCCAGACGGATTCAGGCCGATGGACTGAAATCGCTGCGAGTTCTTCGCTACAGCCAATTTGCGCTTCGAGTAGCGAGCTTCCCGACCACGGACGCATTGCAGGGCTTGCTCCGCTACAGCCACCGCCTGCTCTAAGAACTCCTGAAATTCTGGCACAGGATCATATCGAGCAGCAAAGTCGACCTCCAATGCGTACTTTACCGATTTGGGCCTGGACGTGTCGCGAAGTAGGAGTACCAATCCGTTGGGGTTGTCAATTCGGATAGCTACAGGCCCCGTATTAGCATCCTTTCCATAGTTTTGAGCTTCTAGGCGGTGGCACAGTTGTCGTAGCTGGAAATGCTTCGCGTTCATGTTTCGGATCGGCAAAAGCTGACGAAGCTGAGCCCAAGACACGGACTGGAGCGAGCGATCAGACCATGAAAGATGGTACGCTGCGTTTTCGTATGGTAAACTACTGTGTTGTGTTGACGCAGTCGAAGTCGTAGCATGTGGAAGGATGTTTATGATCCCTCCTCGCATTAGAGGGGCGTGACCCCCACCTCCGTCCTTCTGAGAATTTCGTATCACGTCTTCATTCTCCTTGTAAAGAGCCATCCGTCTCACCTTCCAGTTCTGTCCGTTGGCAAATGGTTCGATGCGATCCTCTGGAACAGCCGTACAGGCCACGGCATCTATCTCCCACTCATGTAATCTATCCGAAGATTTTTCATCTTTCTTCGTTGATAGTTTCCAAATTGCCACTCTCTCCAAGGGCTCCATCGATCGAGTAATAGCGCGGATCAGTACGTCGTACACATCGTACGCTGTACACGCCGGGTTACGGGTAACGTTGGCAATCTCTTGAATCCAATGAACACGGCGGTAGGTATCGAGGAATCGACCCGAAACTTTGGCCACTCCATCCAGAAACTCGAGCGCATCGTCATCCTCAGTGAAAGGAGGCATGCGCTCATTGGGGTTTACCAAATGAATCTTACTGCCTCTCAGCAGGGAACGGATTATCTCCAGAAGTCGGTTCTTCGTAGCAACTTTAAGATGCTGGAAACTCGGTTTATGCCGAAGATCAATCTCCGTTAAGGTAAGAAACCGAGCGCCGTCAAACTTCGCCTTTTTGAGCTCCACCGCAGCATCGTTCAACCCCATCCGAAGTAAAAAGGCGTACAATGCCTCAACCGACATGGCCTGAGGGAGTAAACGGTGTGCTTTACGGCAGGCATCCACGGAGAGAACCCCGATTGCATTTCCAGCTTCGTCTTGATCGCCAGTTAAGATAGGGAAGCACGAGAATGGTCCAGTGGACGCTTCGTCACCAGCAAATCGGTGGATTTCGGTTGAGCTTAGGTCTGCCACGTCGTCCACGATGATGGCTTCTCGAGCAGCCATGGTTTGCATCGTAATACACACGGATCCTTGCTGTATCTGGTGATCTGACTGGTTATTCGACGTCTGAGGCTGCTCACTCTCCATGAATTGCTGCGGCGGGCACTCGATCGTCTGGTACAGCATCGAACTCTTTGCAGAACACGCAACGAATCTCACAACAGGAGTCGAAGAGGCTAAAGGTGGGCTCGGAAGAGGCTCGTACATCCCCAAGTAGAGGTCACAGTCACTTAAACAGCCTTGACAAACATTAACAATCTGGCGGTGGACTTGCACCAGCGTGGGGATCTTCACGTCGCCTCTATCGATAACACCACTTGAATTTGGAGCTTGGAGCTGCTTTACTATGGCGGTCACATCGTCAAAATATTTTTCCAGACCCCCCAGAGCACGGGTGAAGGTCATTCGAGCCGTGATCTCTCGCTCAATAGCGTTTGAGTAGAGGAATTGAGTCGGAGCTGGTGGTGGAGAGTGCGCCAGTAAATCCGCGACTAAATGGGCGCTTCGCGTCTGTCGGGCGCGTCGAACGAGCTCATGTTCCTCTTGGTTATCAGCTTCGTGCCCCAGGACTGGGTGTTCTACCTTGAAGTGATGCCGCAGGGGCTCTGCCACGAACGCGTAGCTCTCGGGCGCGTCACGACCGCTGTCGCTTTGTTTGCCATCGCCGATCTTTGCCGACCCCTTGCTCGCCATGACGCGTGACGCTTGACACGGAATCTAGCCGAATGGGTGGCCGCTGTTGGAGAAGGAAGAGCATGAATAGCGAGCAGCTTGGCAGCGGTCGCTCTGGGACCCAGGGTTTGGATTAGGTGCTTTTCGTATAAGGTAAACCCCACACGACGGCAGAACCACAGGAACAGGAACCTGCTACATCGCACAAACGATAAACACGAAGTGCAACTCGCGTGCTAGATCGTTATGTACCCTTGCAGCAGAGGCTCGCAAGACTGCGAAATGTTAGGCGCAACAGCCGGGGGACAAAGCTGTCAATATATTGCCGTCTCCATTCTTCTCGCGCGGTGCCCAATGTTCGTATATCACACCGCGATCGGCGTTGCTGGACACTGCTCACTATCCTACCACCACAATAGATTGATCTAGCAGATTTTGCTTGAAATGCCCAATCCGTTACCCGCCCATCTGCGACGTAGTCGGACTGCGATGTAGGACGAGCAGTTTCCCCGACAGAAGTAGACCGACCGGTTGTTGAAAAGGTTTCGTCGTTCAGAAACCACCCGCCCGCCCAGGCCCATTCGGAATTCTTCCTACTCAAGTTGCATGGGCATCTGCAACGCCAAACCCACCAGCGGTGGAGGGGATGGAGGAGGAGGAGGAGGGAAGCAGGACAGAACCCGCGGAAAGGTGAACAACGCTCGCGGTGCCAAGCGGACGGACAACAGCGGGGATGGCGCGGCAGTGAGTAGCGACTACGCCACGTACGCCGACTTCGGCGGCGCTGGGGGTGATGAAGGAGGGCATCATGGGCATCATGGGCATCATGGGCATCATGGGCACCACGGACATGACGGACACGACGATGGAGGCCACCATGGTGGTGGGGACGATGGGGGAGGTTGGGACGGTGGAGGCGACGGCGGCGGTGATGGAGGCGGCGATTGCGGTGGTGATGGCGGTGGTGGGGGCGACGGTGGGGGCGGAGGAGGAGATTGATCGCTAGTTGCCATCTAGCGGCAGCGATCCATCAATGCATTCGACTCAATACTACTTCAAATAAACCAAAAATCGTAGAGCGCCCAATAGACCTTACCTTTGATTGATTGACTTGATGTAAGAACTCGAGGCAAGTCAAAAAGTGGCAACTCCCCAGCTTCATTTCCGATTTTTTCTGCGATAGAGCGACAATGCCGATCTTTGAACTAGTGACGGCTGCGTTAGCTGACTTGGAGGAGTTTGAGAAGGAGTGCGCCATCACGGAGTGGAAACCTGGATCTGTGAATATCATTCCTCTCATTTGCGAATTCATGAAGAAATTGGGTGAATGCACGGAGACGGGGAAATCTTCTGGAGAGCAGAGGAGAAGCAGCTCGTCTCTCTACTGATAAAGGCGTGGTTTCAAGGGTCTCCAGGAGTTGGCAAGTCGGTGCTGACGTGTATGTTGGCCTTCTATCTGGCGACGAAGCGGAGGAAAAGTGTGTTTTTGTACCGCAAGATAGCGGGTGCGGGCCTGGATAATTGCATTTTGTATCTGAAGCACGACGGCGGCAAAGTTGAATATTTCTACGACAACAAATGCAACGAGCAGAAGGCGATAGAGATTTATGATGAATTGATCCGTCAGCACGACGGCATTGAGAATCCGTAGCTGTTGCTGGATGGATTCCGTTGGAGTGATCTCCCTGGATTCTCTGATCGAATCAAACTATTGGTGACGTCACAGCAGGTGCTGCTGAAGTCAAGCGACTTCGAGCATGCAATTTGTTGCCTGCTTCCAGGCTGGAAAATCCAAGATATTTTCCACGTAGGGAAAACGATTTTTGAGTTTAAGGACGAAGAGATCCGACGCCGATTTTACTTTTCAGGCAGCAGCGTTCGAGAGTTCCTCAGACCCAAGGCGCTGCTCCAACTCGCAATGGATATCGCCGTGGATTGCGTGGAAGACGCGTCTGAGCTTCTTTCACGCAGTATCGAAAGCTGCGGGAACCAGTCGGATCTCTTGCGCCGCACATTTGTAAAGACAGCCCCGAGATACGAAGCACTGGATGAACAGGACGCGGACAGGAACGAGTTTCTTCCTCTCTTTTCACGGTTCTACTGGGAGCACGTTGTCGACTCGGAGTATGCTGTCATGGCTCTGTCGCCGAGATTCCCGTCGAAATCGCTGCGTCAAATCTACCGCTGGGCGAATGACGTTGGACATGAGTCACTGGCTGGACGTAGCTTCAAACTCTATCTTCATCACCTGGCATACAACAGTCAACTTGCAATTGTTGCGGGAAACTATGATAAAGGTGAAGGCCAAGCGACTGAGGTTGTGCCAGTTCCGATGGTATAGTTGAATTTACGCGAGGGTGGAGTACGATGCAGTGGAACTAATGTTCAGTACCCGACGTGTTTGGAGGAATGGCGCGATAATGACAGCGCTACCTACTGGTATCCTGCTTGCTCCGACTTCGGCAGCATTGACGCAATTGTGAAATTGAAGACTGACCATGGTATGAACCAAGTGGCGTATCTTCAATTGGCGGTTGCTACAGAAATTCCCATTGATGCTACGGAGCTGGAGAAGCTAAACGCGATATTTTGGACAGCAGAGATCAAGAAGGCTGGAGTCACGGTACCACCGATCTACATTGCAGTTTGCCCGGACCTGGAGGCGAGTCGGGCCTTGATGCTCAGCTCTCAGCAAGACGTTTTAGCGGCACGGGAGATCTGCGGCGTGTGTGTGGGCTACTACAAAAAAGCGTATTATACAGCTGTAATCGAAGACGTGTATGAAGATGGAATACCCATGCCCCCCTCGAAGAAATTTTAGTAGCTAGTCACAGTCCATGTCGGATTCCATCAACGCCCTAACGACCAATGAAAAATGATAACGTTAGTGGACCTCACAACTCCATTTCACCGTTTATCTTAAGTGCCGCTGTGCTACAGGATGCCAGGCTACGAAGGCGGCATCGCCATGGTGAAGATCCCCAGGAATCATACCGTGGCCGACTTGCAGAAAATGATAAAGGCCAAGTGCCCGACGTTTCTGCAATTTATCGAGTCTGACCAGCTCATGCTGTTCTTGGCGAAGTTCGACGGCAAGTGGATGCCCATCCGTGGCCCGGAAGTGAACGCCATGTACGCTGGAGACATCCCAGAGCGAGTGGCCGAAATCCTCACAAACCCAGCTAAGATGCTTGCGCCGGAGCAGAAGATTGGGGACTTGTTTTCCGACGTCCGGATCTCGGACATGGAGGTTCACTTCCTTGTGAAGCTTCCACCGACACTTCCTCCTCCCGATCCACTGCAGGAACTCCCTTGGAAACTCGGAGTCAACGAGGCGAGATGCGGTGGAGAACTTGAGCGCTTTCGAGCTGTGGGCCAGCGACTTAAGAGCTACCCGGACGTTCAACGTATGGAAACCGCGATTGCGAAGCTTACCGAGTCGAATACGTTCCTCACTCCGTTTGTTGTTCTGGAGACCTCCACTGGCACTGGGAAGACGCAGATGGCGTTTAACCTGGAGGCCAGTGGACGATTCGACGTTGGCGTCTCCTCTTCAAGAAGTAGAGCAGGCTATCTACAAGGCATTTTACAATCGTGACGTAGCTTTAAAGGGTGTCTTGAGCAAGACTTCCTACGCCTGAAAGCTGGGAGTATTCGGGTGATGCAGCAGTTCGAGAAGTTGCACTTGTATGGCTTCGTCGCGGCGGCTCTGACAGGGGAAGATAGATTTACGAGTCCTGATTCGCGCTCGGACGTGGAAGAAGCTCTCCAGCAGCGTCAACGGGAAGGAGCGAAGCCCTGCGTCTTCTTTCTCGACAAGTTTCCATGTGTTGACGATGGCTTCACGGACTCTGGTGTGGGCGATCTACCGCTGCGGTATCGGTGTATGAGCAATGTTTTCCGGCCCTTTGGTCTACCGGTTGTGCTTAGTACAAGCAGTGAAGCGCCCCGGCAGTGTGTTTCACTTGGCGACAGATTCCAGGGTGTGGACAGCGAGTCGTCCTTGTGCTGTGTGTTGGTGACTTCGCTTCCCCCCGTTGACATGGACGACGAAATGTCGAGCATGAAGCTGCCAGCAGAGATTCGGCGAATTATCAAGCACAGTCGCCCCTGATTTGCTGAGGAGGCGATAAACTTCCTCCGCTCAGGTCATTTCAGCGGTGGAGAATGGGTGGAGAGTCTGAGTGCGCTAGTCGAATTCTTGGCTCCAAAACTGAGGCGAGTCAAAAACTGCCGGTCGCATGAATTCGCGGTTGGCCAGCTCGCTTTACTTTTAGGCGGAACTTGTGCCGAGATGGACGAGAGTATGAGCTTAGTTGACGGCCATTATGCTCGTATTGGAGAAACCGGACCGCTGGAGCTCTCGCGCATGGAGGAAGGGGTGCTGCTACACAATGGGAGCCCATATGTATGTCATTTCAGCTTCTCAGAACCTGAACGTGATATGCTTCTACATCTAACGCTGCTAAGTGGGGTGGACAGCCAGGATGGTGTCAAGTTTCAACCGCTGCCTGCACCAGTGGATCAATTGCTGCGTGACAAGGACGTTCAAAAGCGTCTGGGTCTGAAATGTACCCGGGATCGATTAGACAGCAACATTCTGGTTGCAAGCGTGGTCCACGCCAGTCGGAGAGGAGGCGTTCGTGGTTTGACGCTGCCGAAGTTCTTGGGTGGACTGCTATACAACCTTTGCGTTCGCGACACATTGGAGACGATGGAGCTGCCCTGCGATGGAAAGCGCTCCGATGTCAACCAACTAGTGATACCGTTTCTGTCGTCTTTGGACGCGCAGTGGCCCATTTTGTTTCTGAACGATATGGAAGGTGGCGGTCTCGAATTCGCCAACCTCTCCTGTGTCGACGGCGCCGAAGATATTGACGTGCACTTTATGACTCATCTGGAACCATTTCCGTGACGTGCAAACAGCAATGTGAGGTGGCGGATTTCGCGCGTTTGAAAGAAATTCTGGAGACTGCACCACCACAACCAATGATGCACTTGGTGGCGGTGAAGAAACTGGATTCATCCTTGTTTGACTCTCGAGGGGTTGAGGATTTCTTGTTGTGCGGAGGCACGGCGTTGACGCAGGGATCCCGAAAAATACATATTCAATTCAATATATATTTTTTGGTGGCAATAATTTATTTCCCGAACATGCGAAAGAAACACCAATATTTATTTTTGCTTGGTGTCCAAACACTTGCTTAAAGTATGCATATATGTAATACAACTCCCCAATATCAAGTAAAATAATTTATTTTTTGATGTTGACACATTTCAAAAATTACGTATTTCAGCTCTACAGCAAAAATCAGTATATATTGTATTTTCGGGATCCCTGTGTTGACGGGTATATATTCTATCTCACGTCGGTCGGCCAAGAAGCATTTGAGCAGAGCAGCTGGGGGTGGCGCCAAGTTCGTTACCTTCATCGAATGTGGGGAATAGCGAGGCTAGTGGAGCTCGCTGGCGCTCTTGGTATGACCATGCAGGAGAAGTGGTGGAGGATTGTTTTTTTCGTCAAGTATTTTGCTTATCGTGACGCGAATAATGAACAGTGAATGTTGCGTTATGGCCTCGTTTGATCCTTGTCAGCTGATGTTGTATTCGGCGAAGTTCGACGGTGAATGGATCCCCAAGGACGCTGCGTACGGGGTTAGTAACCGCGTTCGTCAAGGACCTGAACAGCGTACTTCTCACTCCAAAGAATGTTGGAGATTTATTTTCCGACGTTCAGGGTGAGTTCACACGTGGTTATCCATGTCCTAGTGGAGGTGCTACCACCACAGTGATGGCATGCCTGATTCGCAGGTGACCGGACTATCTTCATCTTCGCACACGCAGCGTTATCGACTAATGATCAAAAAATCAAAGGAAGAATAATTCGTCATGCCTTAAGCGAGAGAATCATGCAAGGTTTTGACCCTCCGTGGCCAGTTCGTTCTCGGTCAATCAGCACCCGTTCCAATGATTGTCTCAACTCGCACCACAACCGAATTATCCTGGCGCACAGCAAGAAAAGCTACGAATGGAATTCCAACCCCACTTTTCGGACGGCAAGTAGCCTTTTGGCGGGAAGGGCGAGCCTCATGAAGTGCCCGTTCCAACCGGTGCTGGCTGTGTTGCAGTCAGTGAAATTCTCGCCTTGGCCCATACGCACGCAGGTGAATACTCGTTTGGTGGCGTAGCTGAGACGCTACCAGCCTTTCCAGGACTTTCCGTCAAGGGCGTGGGGATGGTATCACTGCCGCTTCTTGCCGAGCAAGCGGAGAAAGTCATCACGCAATGTGAAAAGTCTCCTTTCGGTCACAACATGGACACGGAAGATGGACGAGCGCGTTCGCAGAAGTTGGCAGCTCCAACCGGATCAAATCGAGATCAAGAATCCGTCGTGGCAGACCGGAATGGACCAATTATCTGTTAGTATCGCCAGTCGACTTGGATGCAAGGGGATTCCTCTACGCTGCGTGCTGTACAAAGTGCTCGTGTATGGAGAAGGGGGCCATTTTCTCAAGCACCAGGACACTGAAAAGGAGGACGGAATGGTCGCGACTCTAGTGGTGCAACCCCCGAGCACGCACGAAGGGGGCGACTTGGTCGTTTATCGAGGAGAAGAAGAGCTGCACCGCCATGACTTCGGGAAAATGGAAGGAACAGCGGCATTTTCCCCACACTATGCCGTCCATTATGCTGATGCAGAGCACGCGTTGGAAGAGGTGACGAAGGGGTTTCGCTTGGCTCTGGTGTACTCCATTTGCTTGCCAGACACGATGCGCCACCTGAAGAGGGATTCAAATACGACAATGTGTGATGAGCTCGCTGGTGTGATCAATGGAATGGAACCGCAAGAGAAGTCGTTTGCGATGTTATTATCGCACGAGTATACGAAGAAGAGTATTGGGGATTTGGGCTCTGGAGCTCTGAAGGGGATCGATGGAGCGAGGTTTCGAACTCTGGAGGAGGCAAATACCCGCGTTTCACCCGACAAGCAGCTGCGGTTCTTTCTTGCCAAGCTCTCGATCAAAATCGGCAATTGTCTTGACGAAGACAGGTGGCACATTTGGGACCACCAGCAAGCAATCCACTGGTACACCCCCAACGGGGAAGATTTTGGGCGCTGGGAGAACAAAAAGCTCGAGCAGAAGCTCAATTTTCTGAACCCTGGTCGTGAAACGTTCCTGCAGCTCTGGAAATCCTTTGGGAGCACCGACGACGTCTTCACGGGGAACGAGGGGCCGATCAAAATGACGAAGTACCACCGATTCGCGATAATTGCGTGGCCCGCCACTCGATACTTCGAAAACGTCATCAAGTTTATGTCTGCGGAGATAGCGGCCGAAGCATTCGTCTCGTGTGGGTCTGTGGATGCGGCAGTACTTCGCTCATTGCTCGACACCGCACGTGTGAAGCATTATTGGGGAAAGCCGGGAGCTCACTATGGGCAGATTCGAGCGACAGTGAGATTTTGTCGCTCTTTTTGTGAGTTGCTGGCGGGTGCGGGAGATCTGGAGCTGGTCAAGTTATTCTTCAGCGACTTTTGTCCTCAGCTAAGCGAACTGACGGGGAACGATACGCTCATCCCGTCAATTACTAAGATTGCGCGCGCCTTTGGCTGGAGTGATATTGGTGACGTGTTGCTGAATGTTCTTGGTAACAAGACTAAAAAAATACGAGCACAGAGGGCACCACGGACTCAAGGAGATGGAGCTGCTGCTCCTCGTGGCTAGCGGCTTGGACGATGCAAACGCTCAGAGAGCCCTGCTCCAAGTTACTATAGAGAAGGATTTTGTCTTACGCTCTACCAGAGCCGTCGAGTTTTACTGGAAGCACGTCGTCTGTCCTGGCGGCAAGAAAGTTGTTGCGACGGTGGCCAGCCAGATCAGCCAGAAGCAGCCAAGCGAGCTGGGTCCTTTTGTTGAGGTATTTTCGCAGTATATTGGTGACATCGATGCTCCAGAGAACGGAGTGCTGGAGGGAGTGGCCAAGAATCGTATCCAGTGGTTACGGAAGGAGATCAAGAAGCTCGATGTCCCATTCTCGTGGGAAATGCCCTATGCAGAGGAGCCGGAATTTCTTGAGATTGAGAGATTTCTACGTGGCCCCGAGCGATCGATGACGACCGTGGGGGTCGTTACTTTTACCGCGGGGGTGAATGAAGCCCAAGCCTTTGTTGACATGCGCGTACTGAAGGAAGCCTCGTACACGACGGAGATCGCTGGGGGCGAAGAGGATGTGTACGTGACAATTACGAAGACGCGCAAATGGTATGACGAATCTCGACTCCGACTGGCCCAGTATAAAATCGACGCAAGCACCAGGACAGTGGAAAAGAGGGCGCGAGGATTGCGACTCGTGTGGCCCAACCGCTGAGCGTGCACGACTGATGTGACTTTGCAACGCACCTACCTAGCGTCTACTTACTCAGTCCTGCATTGGTTATACTGAAGTAAATCCGATTAATGAAAATGATGATGCCGCCAACGTAGAAGATGGAGAGGTTCTTGAGGATGCGGAACAGCGTCAGCTTAACGCGCTTCATGGCCGAGCGCATGAACACTCGGTAGACGCTCAGCGACTTGATAACCAGTGCGCCGAAGATGGTAGTGAACCCCATACAGATGAGCACAGGCCGAATGCCACAGATAAATCGTAAGCTATGGCCGCTCCCGTGGTGAAGAAGCCACCGAACAGCATCAAGAGCAGCATTTCAAACTGCGAGCGTCGGATGATCGGCGCGTTGCGCTGCTTGAAGACGACGACGATGGGTGCGGTGAGCAGGACCACCACAATTAACGCTAGAACCGTGTAGTGGGACGATGGTCTTCACGACCTGACCACGCACTGGGCTGTCAATCGAGGATGATCAGAGCCAAGCTGGCGCAGGATAAGACCACGAGGTGGTTAGATTAGAGCAGGTATCCTAGTAGAGCTTGTAGGCGTATCTGAGGTCTATCTAACCTCCTCACTCTAGAACTTGAGAACAACCAAACAAGCAAGGAGTTCAAAGGAAGCGCCAGCTTCCCTTGTGACTGTGTTCATTCGAAACCCACTACAAACCGTCAGCGCAATAAACGTCGGTGATGAGGTGGGCATGTACTCGCAGTCGATCTGAACGTCTTCCGGCAAGGTGTCTCCTCCCGAGCACTCGGCTGAGTACTCTGGGTTGGCGTACGGGAACAGCCAGAAGTACGTCACGGTGCGGTGAGCATTGGAGTCGCATTCCGACACGTTGTAGTCGTAGAAGGTGGAGTCGCACTCGGGCTTCGCGTCCACCCAACCTACCCATATTCGGTGGTTCTCAAAGATCCAGTCACAACTTGTGACTCACAAGAGCGACTCGTCTCGATGGTCTCAGGGAGAGCGTCGACGCCTCCGTCGCAGTTGCATGGCAGAGGCGTCCCCTGGGCTCGGCGACTTCCAAGCGAATTGAATCTCGCGTACGCTGCTGTCGTTCTCGCAGCCCGAGACGTGGCTCTCGATGTGCTCTTCAAACTTACACAGAAGCAGTCGATCCACCCATTCGCTCCAGATGTCGTAGTTGGCTTTCACCCAGTTGCAGGCCGCGCGGAAGTACGGAGCTGGCTCGGTGTTGTCGGTCATAGCAACGTTGTACTTGCTCAAGAGATCGTTAATGTCTGTGTCCGACAGTCGACGTCGAGTGGTTTGTTGGTCTCCTTGTCGTAGACGTTCTCCCCGTAGTCGCCTGTTGATAGTTTAACCCTTGCGGGGTTGGTGCGTGGTTGGAATATGCGATCAAACAGCCCCTCGTGCGTGACGTGGAACATGTCAGGCTCCCAGTGGATAAAAACCACTGGCGTTTTGCTGGCTGCTGCGTCTGACGCGTACTTGTTGACTCCGTCGTATCCGATGAAGCAGAAGTAGGCGGGGATTCCAATGTTGGAGACTACAGACTGGAAGTAGCCTCGGTCGTATCCAGGCTTCATCATGGCGATCGCCAAGCAGCTCTCCCCAGCGAGTTCACGGTTAGTACACGCCTCGGATCTTTCACAATGGTTTAGGCAGCCCATAGTCCCATTTGGGCAGTAAGTTTCGGCAGGAGGGTAGTACGCTGAGTTAGACTTGAACGCAGCCACATCGAGTTTGCTGATAAGGACATCGCTCATCTCGTAGTGCATCCAGAAGCCGGGAAAGTAGAGGTGTAGCGTCGGCGCCCTCCGACACGAAGTCGTGCGTGGTGTAGACGCCAGTGAGGCCGAAGTACCCAACTCCTCCTACCAGATAGCTCTCGTTAAAGTACACTCGGAGCTTAGACATGGTGCTGGAGGTCCACGCTTCCGTGTTCAGGTGAGTGGGTGTGCAGACCCCAGTTCTAGCTGACGACATGCGCATCGTGATCTCTGCTGTAGGGCCGCCGTAGCTGAGAGATACTTTGTATCCAACCTGTTATCAACAATGATAACGCATTACATGAATCAGACACGTCATCAGACTCACCATGAGAGGTAGTTACAGCAGCTTACCACTTCTTCTGCGATGATGGCCGCCACCATTGACGACAGCGCGTGTGAGTCCCAGCCACCCATACCGATGACCAGAGTGCCATTCACCTCGCCTCGAGTTGAGCCGTCAGAAGCTGGTCGGCCCCATAGAAAACTTGGCCTTTGGTCATGCACTCGTCCGTGTAGGCGGTCCCTGCCGCTGTCCGAGGGTCTTCAACCTGAAGGAAGCCAAGCCACAGAGAGCCCCGTTAGGTCCAGACGTATCCTACGCTATGTAGTAGCAAAGCTGCTTGCCGCACTTGATACCGCGGATACTTGAGCGCGGTCTGCATGAAGGGGCGAACGAGGCGGCCGCTGGAGTCGCGCTCTTGGCTGGACACGTTCATGTTTGCTTCCATGGTCTCCACCCACGCCGAGTCCAGACAAGAGCCCAGGAATCGGTTGGGTCCGAGAGGATACGCTCCAGCGACGACGTCGTCTGTGCGCCCGTTGCTGCTTTGCTGAGCTCCAGAGCACGGGCATTTCCTCCACAGCCTGTGTCATGGATGGACTGGAACACTCCTCACCCTCGCCAGTAGCAGAATATGCGAGCATACATCGTTGGTCTATTGTTTGTGTCGGGTGTGATCAGACTTTGGTAGTGCTGGAAGCTGGAACGAAACCTTTGGAGGCCGATGCGTTAATCACACATTCCGCGCGTTGGTAGAACCAAACTCGCCATTACAACTAATAATCTTGATAGAAAGTCATGGTCATCGCCGTCTAGTACGTTGGAGGCAGCGGTATTAGCCTTGTACCCCCCGCCTCCCATGGCTTGCGACTTGGACCCCTACGCGGATTGTACGACGCAATGCATACACCCAAGCTCTCGTATGAGCCGAGGTTGGTATGATAGTGCAGCATATACATATACTACATGCAGCCGCTCGCTCATGTGTTCACAGCATCAAAGTTTCCGTTGCGGCAGCCACTAGACAGAGCAAGAATTTCCACTTCAAAATTTTCCATCGGTTTGTAAGTGGGAACGCCTTGACCACCAACATAATCTTATTCAGTAAGCGTATGGCTCATGATTTTCACACTGGTAGAACGAACATATTAACGGGGGCAACGCAGAAATTCACTCGTGACAAAGAGAGTGGGTTATCCGTTACCATAAAACATATGGCGCTTTCCACGTAATTCACGCGCGTATTATACGATACTACGTTAGTGTCTTGTTGGCATCATGCTCATGTGGGCCTGAAGAAGCTTTAGTTCTCTGTGTCGCTAAATTTCTACGTTCTGGTGTTTTCAAGAGATATCTAACGATTTGTCGACCCTTCGACGCTCATTTTCCGCTGCTGGCATCACTAACGATGACGTGGCTCTTGCTGTTAGCCATCACGAGCAAACGTCGGGGCCTTGCTCCCTTCCTCAACCCTGAACTATCTAGAGGGGGGGTCGAGTGTGATTTGCGATCTGTAATTGGACGAAAAGCGGCTGTGGCCACTTTGCGAGTCACTCGAGCATGCTGCGGCTGGTGCTGTCGGCGCGGCTGCGCGTGGGGGCAGTGGCGCCTACAGCCCGAAGCGTGATAGCTGGGAGTCACGGCCTCTTTTCTCGTCATTGCGATCCGCCTCGCTTCTTCTCCTCTGACCATGACGCGCCTCAGTGGCAGAAGCCTCTGGCTCTGGCTGTGTACAACCCCGTAACATGGCAGGGAGTGGTAAAACCCTCGCTACATACGTTCCTCCAGCAACGGAAGCACCTGATGGTGCCCGTCATGTTCGTCGTCCCTCATGGCGGAGACATTAAGCTATTTAGGTAGATTACCCTTGATTTGTTGCAACGTAAGTAGGTTTGTGTTACTACTTATAAGTAGGTTCGGACCAAACCTACTTATCCGTTTTCTGAACGTTATATACGCTTTTATTATTATCTTATACATGTAAGCTACGGTGTGACAGTCCCAGCAACGCAATGTTTTACTATCATGCTTCAGTACAGGGTAAAGCTGACGAGCGATAGCGGGCTAGATGTGTCGCCAGCTAATTGTCTTTTGCGGGGACCATGCTCCGCAAAGTTATTACAGTACCGTGTAAACCTTATGGAATGAAGCACGAATACATTTATACAGTGCAAAGTTGCCCTATCTAGCCTGCCCCCCGAATCAAACATCCTTAACAACATCATAAAATATTTATGTCGCACGCTTGTCATCTTCATTCGCTTGCTTTATCGGATAGTGTACTCCGCAAACATGTTCACGATTTTCACAGTACACCAATTAGCGGTAAGTGCTGTCTACTAACGCATTCGTACGTTTGCTGCTCTATCATTTGCGTGCAATGTTATTTTGCAAAATTTCACGGCTCCGCTCGCGAACCGTTACCCGATGTCGAATCTGCATTCCGCGCACGCACCACAACGTACTCAGAGTAATCTAAGGTAAGGGGATCACTATTGGTATGCTAGAGAGACTTCTCGCCCGAGTTTTTTTAGATTTAGACAACCGAAACCGAGTTTCAAGATGAATGATTCAAACCGTCTAACCCACAAACATGTTGCGACACACTAGCAAACCGTTTGTAAACGCTAGTGTTAGCTATACAGTGAGTATTTATGCGAACACTAATGTAAACAAGAGGCACCCTGAATATTGTTTGATGCTGGTGTTCTTGTCCGCACGGGTGAGCTCGGAATTCTGCTAGCCGTTTAACCAGGGGTCGCTCTGTGGGGAGAGTGTCGTAGCACCACCATCCAACGCCTTACCGACGCTTCAGCAATGCTTTTTCACAGTTTAAGTTCCTGGTTCACAGGTAAGTACAGGTTTGATGATATGATTCTTTCCCATTATCGTCGGTATGCGGGGTTGAAGTAGAGCTCACCCTGAGCGCAATCGGCGTTAACCCCCTAAAAATATATCTTATTATCGTCAAGCAAATACATGTTACCTACGCTTACACCAAGTCGGCAATTCTTAAAACGGCGCTATAAGATAATAATAAAACGTATATAACGTTTAGAAACGGATAAGTAGGTTCGGTCCTTACCTACTTATAAGTAGTGACACAAACCTACTTACATTCCAATAAATCAGGGGTAATCTACTTGAATAGCTTAATTGCTCCTCATGGCGACGAGTCCTGGCCGAGAGCAGCGTGGGGGTACCCCCTGGGGAAACACGCCGCGTGGCTGCGGAAGCAGTGGAGGGAGGGGACCATCAGCCCCAACAAACGCGTCGAGCTGGACGCGATGGGCTTCGCCTGGGACTTCTTGCAGTGCAAGTGGGACCGCTTCATCCTGCCATCGCTGCGGACGTTCTACGACTTGAACGGGCATACGAACGTGCCCATGATGTTTCGCGTCCCGAGGAGTTCCGACTGGCCTGAGCACATGTGGGACCAACCTTTGGGCAGCTATGTGAGGGGCATGCGCTATGATGGAGGCTTCGCAAAGCAGGTGAGAGCGGACCAGGTCGAGTTGGAGCGATTAGAGTTTTCCTCAGGCTTGGCGCTGTCCGGTCGCAAGCGTCGCGAGAAAGTGGTGCCGAAACTTACTGTTAATGCGATCCCTGACAATCATCGCTTGGAAGGGTTGGATATTCGGCGGAACGATCCGGAGTGGAAGTGGAGCGAGCGGATCTTGCCAGCTTTGGAGGCTTTTCGTCGACTAAATGGGCATTGCCGAGTGCCGCAAAGGTATGCGGTGCCATCGGATAAAAACTGGCCCAGACTTTCGTGGGATCTGAACCTTGGATCTGTTGCCAGCAAAATCCGTCAAGGCGCTTGGTTCGCCCAAGTGGCTCGTAGCAAGACTCGTTTAGAGGAGTTGGGTTTTGTGTGGGATGTCGCTGAATCGGACTGGAGCGAGCGCATCATACCAGCTTTGGAGACTTTCCGTACGGCCATTGCCGAGTGCCAGTAAGCTATATTGTGCCATCGGAGGAGAAATGGCCAGCACAGGCGTGGGGCATGAACCTTGGATCAACTGTCAGATATATCCGCCAAGGCTCTTACGCCGCCCAAGTCGCTCGTAGCAAGTCACCTGGAGGCGTTGGGTTTTGTATGGGACTTGTTTGGATCTGAGTGGAGCGAGCGCATCATGCCAGCTTTGGAGACTTTCCGTCGACTGTACGGCCATTGCCGAGTGCCGGCGACATTTGAGGTACCGTACCTGCGGAGGCGTCTTGGCCTGAGGAATCGCATGGTCACAAACTAGGTATCTTAGTGCGTAATATCCGTAGCCGCGGCTCCTACTTTGACCAGATTGCGCGAACGATGGACGCGTTAAAGGCGATCGAATTTGACTCGAAGCGCCCAGTAACCAGGAAGTGGCAGGATCGTGTGGAGCCGATGCTGGCTACGTTCGAGCAGCTGCACGGACATCGCGACGTGCCGCACGACTTCGTGGTCCCGTCAAGCTCTCCTTGGGAAGAAAAGGATTGGGGTATCCAGCTGGGCAAGCTAGAGCGGGAAGAGCCACTCGGCCTGGAGGGTTAACTTAGATACATTTACTGTTGGAGGCAAAAAGCGCTCATTGCCCGCCCACCTACAATTTTCGTAACTACTTATTGTGAATTCTGGCCAATATTGATATGGGTTGAAATCGCTGAATACAAATTTCAAGTCTTTTGGAATCGACCGAGACGGCCTGAGCGACTTCTTATTTCGTACTTTATTGAGTACATAGTAAACTCAAGTCAAATCAAAATCTCGGGCGGTTTGCTGGCGATTTGGCTCGGTCGATTCAATCAATCGACTTCGGAAAGTTCGACTAGAACGCGCAATACATGTACTCACCGAGATGTACCTCAGTTCTTCATCCCGACGCCGGGTTTGCTCGGATCGATACAGCAAACGGAGGATCCTTCCCAGCTCGTGTCATATCCGCTACACCAGTGAAACCAACGCGATCTGAACTGCTTGCATCGATTGTTTGTCGTATCGGATGCGGATCAACAGAGAGAAATGTGTAATGTGTTTTTAACGTCTGACTTCGTGCAAATTCTACGAGTACAGGCTCGTCGTTCATTCAGTACACGCGGCGTGTTCGTTCTTAGCGAGTTTTTGATACAAAAGATTTGTGGGCAAAAGCTCATCCTGAAAAAGTGCAAAGCTTCGCGATCGACGGACAGAGCCAGCAGTCCAATCCGGAAGTGCCACCCACTCGTCAAGAATTTGCTCCGAGTGTCAAAGCGAGAATGGACACCCAGGGAGGCTTCTCTAGGTTTTCGCTACGTAATCCGATGTTTGCTCCCTCATCCAGCGGCGTGGTTTCCCCATAGCCAGAAATCACCGGGCGTCTCGGACCAACCTACTCGAGAGCGATATCAGCCCGGCACCTGTCGTAGATTCGAAAACGAAGCCGGGAGACATGCATGTACTGCTCTGCAGGCTCTAGATCGACGTCACCAGGTCGCAACAGTGCCTGGTTAGCGGCGCTGACACAGGTATCAAAAAGATTCCAACGCGTGGATGGCACTTTAGTTATGTCGTTCTTTTTTTTGAGAATAGGCAGTGAAAAGTTTTTCGTGTCGAGACGAACTAGAAGTCGTCTACCCACGCCTGCATGACTGACCCCCTCCCACTCGGAGCTCGAGCATTTCTGTCGCGACTTCGGTCCCTGTCGCTGTGTCCTGACCGCTCTCGATCGCTGTTCCCTGATCTCTCTCGGTCGCTGCAGCCGGATCTGTCGCGGTCGTTGCTCGACTCGCGCTTGCTCTCCCGTTCAAACTTGCGGTCCCGGTCGCGATCACGCCCGCGCTCTCGGTGACGCTCGCGGTTGCGCTTTTCTCCGCTTGGAGAGGGCGGGGACCGATTTTTACTTCGACTGCTGGATCTCCTGCTGTCCCTGGCAAGAGGAGACGGCGATCTCTGCTCGCTCTTTGGTGGCAGTCGGTCGGACGGTGAGTACTCGGTCTTGCCACTGCCTCGCTTCGACTTGGACGAAGACGCCGTGGAGCTCATGGAAGAAGAAGAGGACGAGTCGAACGAGTCGTTGGCTGGATGGCGCTCGTCCGCTTCCGAGCTGTCTCGGCTCTTCTTCTTCTTGCTGCTAGGTTGACACGTTGGTGCTGCCGGTTGAGGTTGAGGCGGTTGCTGTGGTGTATCAATACAAACTGCCGCTGCTGCGGCTGAAGCCTTTGCAGCGGCGGCCGCGGCGTACGCGATTTTGTCCTTCTCGTACTCGATGAGCTTCTTGCGGTAGCCCTCCAAGCTCGTGACCCAGCACGCCGTGCTCGCCTTGCTCTCTCCGCAGAGGAAGAAGTTGCGCGTGCGACTCTCGACCTGGAAGTGCGTGTCGTCGAACTGCACCACGGCAGTGATATCGTCCAGGTAAATCGAGCCTTTAGACAAAAGAGCACAAGCGGTTAGAGATGATGACTGAATGGTAAAGTATTATCAAGAGAGGAAGGTCAGTGTGACGCACTTCGTGGGGCGCTGGAGCGGTTGTCCGCGTAGCCAAACTCCCGACGTCGCGGGTTCACAAAGAACCAGCGTTTGTTCCAGTTGCCCGCGAGGCTCCTGGTCTTGCGTTTGAGTTTCTTGAGGTAGCCCTCGATCTCGGGTGGGATCGGAGGCGTCGGCTGCAGCGTCAGGTCCCCCATTCGCATCATGATGTACCGATCGGTGGTCAACACGTCGGTCGGTCTTCAAGTCCACGGCCCAAATCGAGAGTGAGTGAGAACCTCCTGAATGTCCGATGCTAACGCGACGTGCCCAGCGCTTTAGCCTAATTGTAGCGGGGTGTTGCGGGTGAAGTCTTATCGGCGCTAAAAATTCCCGAGACGCACCGCGTCCTACCAAAATACTCCGCCCACGGAATTCTTACGGCGTGTCAAGTCCTGTTCGCGCGGTCTCACAGTGCTAGACCAGGGAGGTGGAGCAGATATCTCATTTACGTCTTCAAGGCAAAAATAATAATTAGTTTGTGTACTTCCAAGAGTATTTTCATAATGCTCCTCTCTTTTTCAAGTTTAACTTTTACTACTCGGATCGAGTTTGTTGGCGAGATCATCGAGCATGCCTGAAGGAAACTGGTCGGTGATTTCCTCCTTTTCCTCCTCTTCTCCTGCTCGCAGCTCCGGTTCAGGGTTGAGCAGCGCCGAGTCACCACCAATCGTATCGTGAGCGCGGGATACACTGCGCGTGCTTGAATGTCGACGAGCTGAGGTCGCTCCTGACCCTGGTCTGAAGCTGCTGCCGGCGCCTCCGACTCCAATGCCAACGCCAATGCCCGGCGTGTAGCCTTGCTGGCCCAAATGCGTCTTGGAGCTGGATCGCAGACGCATGCCGAGGCCCAAATTGTCGCGTCGAATGTTGCGCCAGCTCCGAAGCGCCTTCAGAGCGCGATTGTTGAGCTTCAGCTCCTCTGGGCTTGAAGCGGCTTCGGTTACTGCAGGCTTAGCTGCTTCTGCGGGTTTGTCCGGGGATTTGCTCTGAGCTTCCTTGGCCTCCAATTCCGCTAGGTGCTCTGCGACTCTTAAGTTGCGTTGTGAGACTCGCTCAGGCTCGTCCGCTACGGACTTGCCCGCGTGGCGACTGAGCGCAGCAGGGTGTCTGGGTAGAGCGCGGGGCTCTGCCATACTACTGCCAGGAGATCGGGAGTTGACCGAGAGACGCCTCGCAGCTTCATGCAGACTCATCCGCAGCTTGGTGTCGCTCTCTCGTCGAGCCTCGGCCTCTTTCCCGAGCTGGTCTTCCAGGTGATCGATGCGATCGAGCACTTTGGTCAGCAAGCCCGTGATCTTCGCCGTCGCAGTCTCCCCGCGTGAGACGCCCTCTCCGAAGCTCATCGCGTGACTCGCAGCAGGAGAACCAGGAGCGTTCGATCTCGGAAAGACAGTCGTCCTTGAAGCTGCAGCCGCAGCAGCGGCGCCTGTGCCTCGCATACTGACCTCTTGCGACTGCTTCATGGCAGCTTGCAGCATGCTCGGGTCGTACTTGTCCATGATAAACTTCTCGATAATATTCCGATCTTCGAGGTATCGTTGGGAGATACTCTCGAACACCTCGCGCGTGAGCGTACAGAGCTCCGAGAAGACTTGAGCCCGAACGTTTGCCGTGCGCTTGCAGTTCATCAACAGAGCGATCTCTCCGAAGTAGTCACCTAAAAGGGTTTTAATAAATACAGAGGTCAGACTCACTACCGCTCAGCAATAAACGCCACAACTGCAGCTCTTACCTGGTCCTAGAATCTTCAGCACGACCTCCTTGGACTTGATTGGCCCTTGTGAGACTGGTTGTGGCAAAGTGTGGCTCGAGTTCGATTCCCTCGTTGAGTGAGAGCCCCGGAAGTGCAGCGCCGCCTGTGCCGCCTGTGAGGCTTGGGACAAACGAGAAGGATTTCTGGGCATCGACACAGGCGGCAGTTCGATCTCCTTCGTGACCTCACAGATTCCGTTCTGCACAAAGTACATGTCGTTCCCCACCTCTCCGCGCACGACAATGTAGTCGCCGGGCATGAAAACCTGCAGCTCGAGCTCCATGACGAGCTCCTGGACGACTTTGGCGCTGCAGTTCTGGAAAATAGGCGCGCGGTTGATCATGTCCATGCGAAGAAATAACTCCACCTCGTAGGCTAAATTTCGAGAGAGTTCCGGGATGAAGGCAGTCACGGCGCCGTCCAGCGTGCCGTGCCGCTCCCACATGGCCTGGTAGTACGCGTTGATGCGGTTCTGTAGATCGTACGGCAGCTTCATCCGGTTCATGCTGGCAAAGAGCCACTCCATCTTTTTCTGGTGCGAGCTCTGCGCCTCGTAGTAGTTCGCGATGAGGATGGCCACGTTACCGAAGACGACGGCCATCAGCACGGCGCCCACGACCATGGCAAGGATGCAGAATAAATACTCGGTCTCTTCGTACACGGTGATGTTCTGGCCCATGACCACGAGCAGCGTCGAGTATAACGCAACGATGTACAGGTGCAACGAGTCCGTGCTCGGGTCCAGAGCGCGGGTCTGTTCCGACATGATGAGGCCGAACCAGAAGCACGCGACGTAGTGGTTTATGACAAGGAAGGATACCACCAGGCGTACGAGTCTGAGGAGGTTGGCATGACGCGAATACTGTAGCCATCGTCGCAGTTCTGGTCGGATTTTGAAGACTTTGGCAACACGCAGCAGCCGCACCAGTCGAAGTAGTCGAGGCACGCGCAGCGCCTTCAGCAGTCCCAGCACACTGAGGTTGCTTTTTGAGTTGTTGACGAGTAATAATACATAGTCGAAGGGCATACACGCCAGCAAGTCGAAGAAGAACCTGCAAAACGCAAAATATTAGTGAAATGCCAAAAAAAATCGCAAGTCTCTCACCACCGACCTACCATCCGCGTAAGTAGATGGCGGCGATATGCCACCGATTCATGATGTATCCTGTCTCGTCGGTGTCTTCTGCTACGGGCGTGTTGAACGCGATAACGATATCCAAAGCGAATATGCTGCTCATGAGGATATCGATCGCTGTGGTGTCGTTGGAGCCGAATGCCAGGTTGAACGGCAGCATGATGCTCTGGTAGATGATGATAATTAAAGTGATCTGTGCACGTAAAAAATAATAATGTGAGCTTTCAGCACAAAACACAGCAATCGCGAGATTTACCCGACGTACTAGTTGCCAAATCTTGAACAGGGTGCTGTGTGGGTTCACCATCAAGGGCGGAAGGTTGCGCAGGTATCGTCCTTCGTCTCCGTCCGTGTCCACCTGCCGGATCTTATACCTCGAGAGCACTTTGAGGTGTCGCTCGAGGTTGGCCTCCGTCTCGTCAACGATCGCCCGAGGGCCGGACTGCTCTTCGTGCTCAGCCTGCACTCGGTGCAGCACCCGTCGCATCCGAAGAGCTGCGAACAAAGTGGCCACGGAGCCTTCTTTCCTGGGTTGTGGCAGCTAAACAGACAGCATGTCAGTGGAAAGTTACAAGCAATTGGAGCAAACGGTGTACGCACCCCTTTATCTTTCATCGTTTTGACCATCTCGGGGTTCATGGCCGACTGCGTGATACTCAGTCGTTCGGGCGCATAGGGCACCACCGACACGGGTTTCGAGAACTGTGTGAAGCGTGACATGACCGACTTTCGAGGAGCTACGCCGCGTGCGACCGCAGCGAGTCGCGGTACTGCGGGTGATCGATTCGCAGGTGACGACGATGGTGACGGCGACTGCGTGCGCGAGTTCGCCATGGCCGCCGCCGCCACGCCCGCGAGCATGTGGCCTCCTTGTCGAGCTGCCATGGCGTCTGCTGGCGAAGCTGGCGCCACAGCCTCGAGCTCGGATCGGACGTGCAGCGCGGTGCAGGTCGAGCGTGAAGACGGCACAAGTCCGAGAGACCAAGTAAAAACTGCCACGAGCACTAGGCCTAGCCGCTAATTTTACCTGACAAGCGAGATGTGGGGTGAAGCATGCGTCCGCTATTTCGAGCAGAAGTAGCAATGCATGACAGTTGAAGCAGAAGCGGGCTTGCCCCCGTCCTCCAGCACTTGTGCTCTAGCATGTACTCAATTAATTTCTCGCCCCAAGCGTCCAACGCTCGCGCAATACGCTACCACATCGAGGCCTTCCTTCCGTCGGTGCTTGAACTTGACTTGAGTTTTCATGGAAGTGTAGCCATCTTTTTGGCTACACGTTGGTGTACTTGACGAGTGTTGAGATTTGCTTTAAGCTTGATAGCGCCGGTAATGCATTTCGACGACTACAGGGATGCTTTTCAGGGTCGATGCTGGAGAGGCAAGTGTCAAGTGATTTTCTTCTCCCGGTTACGCATTTAATATGCTCCAAAGAACGAGGAATTCAACAACAGTATTCAAACCAGCGATACAAACTACAGCAGGTGTCGACCATACTCAGAAATCCCCCTTCGGTTGCGAGCGTAAATGGCGACTCACGGGTGAAAGTAATCTTCCAACATTCAAAGGGCGCGCTTGGAGCCTTTAACAGTTCGGGGGGGGGGGGCGTATTTCCGCTTCATCAATACCTCGAAGTGGTTGGCAACATCTTCTGCGACCTAGTCCCCCCACCCTGGAATTGGAAGGTCAATATTTTGCTCCTCGAACCACCGCAGCACTTCATGCATCTCTCCTTGTTCGGCCCAATCAAGTGCGCGGGCCGTCCCGCCTTCCGTGCGATTCGCGTACAGGAACTGAACCACATCCAAATGGCCATAGCCAGCAGCTCTGTCCACCGCATCGGTGGTGCAGCCCTCGCTCCGGTTCTCGTGGAGCCATCGCACCACATCGAGGTGCCCATTCTCAGCCGCCAAGTCCATTGCGCACGTCGTACAGCCTTCCGCACGGTTATCTTGCAACCACTGGACCACATCGAGGCGTCCACTCTTCGCTGCGCCGTTCATAGCAGCAGGTGTTCACCCTTCCGAGCGATGTTCATGAAGCCACTTAACCACCTCAAAATGCCCGTTTTCCGCTGCCCAGTCCATCGCCGACGCGGTGCAGCCTTCGTCTCGATTGTCGTTAATCCACTTGACCACGTCCAGTTTTCCACCTCTGGCCGCGCAATCCATCGCGCGGGGCGGCCAGAGATGACTGTAGCGCTCATGAAGCCACAGCAAGACCTCCATGTGTCCTGCTTCAGCGGCGCTCAGCACTGCCTCGGACGAACAGCTTTCGCTGCAATTAGCGTGCAGCCATTGCAGCATCTCCAAGTTGCCCTTCCGCGCAGCCCAGTCCATGGCGTCGGTGCTTTTCGGTGCTCGTTGGTCCAAGAAGCGCCACGTCACAGCCTCCAGTGGCGTCTTGGTCTTCTTCTTATCGGAGCACTCCCTCACGTACTGGGAGCTGAGAGCGAACGTCTACCAAACCTCGACTGAAGGACCTCTGCGGTTCAGGCGGTGCAGGTGCTGCACTGCCAGGCGGCAGTGCCGACGTCAGTGCCGCCGCGCTTGTCTCTGTGCCTGCAGTACGATTTGCGATGGGTGGACCGGTTGCTGCATTACACACGCGCTTGTGAGTCGCACGAGCGTCGGGCGTCGGGCTCACCTGGCGCGCGGCTCGCAATTCGGTGGCGCTGCCTGCTGCCGCGGGGGTCACGATTCGCCAGCCGGCCGACTTGAATTCCGACTGCGTAATGATCGCTAGCGAATTTCGTTCGAAGCGAGGGCGTCTGCAGCCCGGTACTGTAATAGCGAAGCCATTCGCCACGGGGGACTGTAAACTCGGTTGTCCACTTGGCCGGCGGCAGTCCGATCGTGCGGACCCCCCACCTGTCTGCCATGTACTTAAGTAGCGACTTCCGCAGGAGCTCCGCCCGCTGCGGTCGGCGCAAAAGACGCAGTGGAGTGGGCCACCCGCCGTCAAGCAGGAGGTCTCGCTGCTTTACACAAATAGTAATTGGCCAGCATCAAGCGTCGACTCCCAACTGCTACACTGCCATGCTGTCCTGCTCGGCTTTCAACTCCTCTAGCCCGCAGTAAGGCAGCAGCAGCAGCGTTGCTCGCCTCGCACTTTACTTGACTTGGGTCCACAGTGGCCCCCCATCCGATGCCGAAAACGGCCATGAACCCAGTGCATGATGTGCAGTACACACCCAGCTGTTCGCCGGCATCGTGCGTCGCCGCGGGGCTCCCTGCCGCATTCCGCAGTCCTCTACTGTCCGAGTTGCATGGCGGCGCATGCGCCCCGCAGCAGCAGCAGCAGCAATAGCAAGAGCTCTACCGACTCTACCGGCATGCAGGACTACCTCATCAACTGGAACGCCGGCCCGCTAGGCGTCGTACTGCGGCCCGACCTGGGCGCCGACATGCCGCCGGTCGTGGCGCAGCTGCTGCCGCAGCCGTCGGTGCTCAAGCTCGCGGGCGTGCGCGAGGGCGACCTGCTCATCAGCGTCAACGGCAAGAAGACGACGCGCCTCGGCTACGAGAAGGTCGTGCGCCTGCTCTTCAAGGAGCGCCTCCCCATGGTGCTGCACTTCCGCTCGCCGCTGCAGGTGCCCGAGATGCAGCGCGGCGTTTCGCAGGCCATCGCTGAGGAGCCCTCGACGGGGCGCGGCCGCGCGCGCTCGCGCACCAGCAGCTCCGCCGCCCGCGCGCAGCCGCCGCGCTCCTCCAGACAGCAGCAGCAGCCTCAGAGCCGCGCGCGCGGCCGCTCCGAGGCCGACAGCGCGCACGCGCTCATCGAGCAGAAGCGCAACCCGAGCGCGCAGAACTTCAGCGTCGAGAGCGACGTGTCGGACAAGGAGACGAAGAGGAAGAGCAAGAGCAAGCACAAACACAAGAGCAGGAGCGGTGCCAAGGCCGAGGCCGAGGAGCGGCGCCTGCGCAAGCAGTACAGCGTCGTGTGGGAGCGCGGCTCGCTCGGCATCTCCTTCCGCGCGTACAACTCCAAGGTGAACGTGCCGTGCGTGGACTTCATCAGCGCCAGCAGGGGCCAGGGCCGCGGCATGGACCGCGTCTGCGTCAACGACGTACTCATCGCCATCAACGGCGAGAAAACCAAGGCGCTGGGCGTCGAGAAAGTGCTAAGGTGGCTGCACGTCATCGAGAAGCCCGTGGTGCTGCGCTTCCACGCGTCCTCGAACCGCATCTTGAACCCCGCGGGCGGGCTGCTGCCCCAGCTCGCGGACGACGAGGAGCGGCCGAGGAGACCCACGATGTCCTCGGGGGCGCAGCCGGAGTACGAGCCCGCGCCGCGCCCGCCGCGTCGCAACAACAGCGTGGACCAGCCCGCGTCGCAGCAGAGGATGACCGACAGACGCTACTCGGACGACAGGGAGTACGAGCTGGAGCCGACGAGCATGCGCAGCGAAGGACGACGATACTCGCGGGACAGCGCCACGCACTTCGAGCAGCAGCCGATCGAGGAGTACGAGCCGCAGTTCCAGCTCACTGCCTCCAAGGTCGAAGTGAAGGAGCGACGCTACTCGACCAACTCGGCAAGCGCCTTTGCTACGCGCGGCGACGACGGCGTGGATGGAGACTTCCGCCGCGAGCACATGGACGACGAGCAGCCTCAGTTCGACCTGCGGATCGACGCGCACAGCATCCCGCACCGCCGGCAGCAGCAGCAGCAGTCGCATGAAGAGCCCAGCCGCTACAGCCAGCAGCCGTCCTCGCGATCCCGCTCTGGTTCTACCGCGCGTGACGACGTTCGACGCCAGCAGCAGCAGCATGCTCAGCAGGAAAGCAAACCCGCTCCTCCGCCCCCGGTTACGATGCCCGCCGCAGTAGCTCGGCCACGCTTGACTTCTCACGATAGCCAAGTCAGCAGCTCGTCGCACATGAGCTTCGAGGAGGCAGCCGACGTTGTCGCGCGCGCTACGGGAAAGCCCATGGAGGAGTGCGAGTTCGGCGGCGTGCCGCTGCTCAATATCAAGGAAGGAACGGTGCAAGCCAAGCTCATGTTCATCTACGCCAAGGCGTGTCTGGCCAAGGAGGGCACTTCGGACGACGAGCCTGCATCGAAGGACCCCCAGCTACCCCGGACGCCCGGCAACCCGCTGGGACGGAAGACCCACTCGAAGTACCTGTCGTACACCATCTTGCAGGACGATACCGTGACATCGAACCACGCTTCGGCCCAAAAGGACGGAGATATGGTGGAGCTCGAAAAGGAGCACAAGGTCGACAATGGCGTGGAATTTAAGAAGAGCGGCGTGTTTGGCCACAACCTGGACGAGAGTTTTGCGAAGATGCAGAAGGACATTTCGATCCCGACGCCTGCTGTGACCCCGCCACTTTCCTCGGTCGGGCCGTCTTCCTCGGTTAGCAGTGACGCTGCTCCGAGTGTGACGGCCCCCTCGGTGTCTGCGGCTCCGGCTGACGACTTCATTTCGCTGAAGGACTTTGTCGTGAAGGGTGATGGCAGTCTCACGGAGCAACACACCACTCGGAGTGTGAACAGCACCGCAACACCGGTTCATTCAACGGATGACGGTGAGGCAGACAAGACGGAGGAGCACCAAGAGAAGCAGCCCGAGCCTATTGCTACTGAGACGGTTGACGTTGCTATTGCTGAGGTGAGCAGTGGCGCGGTTATGGAAGAGGTCAAGACCGCGGAACCGGAGGTGGTTGATGATGAATCTCAGGACGAAGTGGGGCCAATTTCGGGCGAGGACAAGCAAGAGGAGGAGCTCCCGAAGGTGCTTGAATTGGTCAAGGAAAACGTGGAGCAGCTTGATCACGCAAATGCGAACGAGAATGATAAGGAGCCAGAGCAGCACGATGACGACGATGCTGCTAGCGTCGACAGTTCGAATGAGCGCGACCTAGCAGCGAGCGTGGCATCCCTCGACGACCTTCTTGACCTCCCACTCAAGGACGGCGCTCACGATGACGTAGAGCATGAAGAATTTGTCGACGATGACGAGGAGGAGGATGACGATGACAAGAAGCACGCGAACGAAAAGGAGTCTATGAACACGTCGTTGGGCTTGAAACTGGACCAGGTGCAAGAAGAGGAGGCTGACGAGACGGAAAACCACGAGGAGCACAAGGAACACGACGAATCTGAGGTCCATGACAAGGAAGAAGCGCACGAGGAGCACGATCAGGATGAAGAAGAGTACGAGGATGGAGCGCTGAGCAACCCTCTGGTGAACGAGCTTTTCCGGAATATCCCGGATGTGCGCGAGGTCATCAAGGACAAGCCCGCCCTCGTGGTTCTTGTCAAGAAGAGCATGATCGATGAGATCCAGGAGATCCTCCAGAGTCTGCAGATGGAGCTGCAGTTTGAGCGTCACTCTACCATGGCGGTCGGCTCTACGGCTGTCCCGCTGGGTGACTCTCAGATTGGGCGTAACACGGAGGGCCAGCACTGTTACAGATGTGGTGCCACCGGTGAGCTCGCCGAGCTGGACGTTGCTGGGGAACCGCGCGAACTGTACTGCCAAGAGTGCTGGGAGATGTTCTTCTTCAGTGAGGACCGCCGGTCGCCCGTGACCCGAACCAGCAAGACCCTTGCTCCGTCCGAGGCGGGCCGCCTCACGGCGGACGAAGACGCGTTGGACGAAGCGCTCAAGTACAGTTTCCACGACAGCTCCATCACTCGCGAGGACATGATCCACCCGTGGCGGTACCGAATGGGCAGCGACTCCATGTCGTCATCCATCCGGGACTCGAGCGACTCAAGTATCACTGACCGCACGGACGAGGTCTGGCTGTAGGGAGCACCCCCCAAGAGTGTAATTCAAGGCGCGCATTGAGCACGCCAACCTCCAAGCGACCGACTTGGTGGATCGCTTAGGTACCAGCAGAGGAAGAGAAATAAGTGACGAATTCAGCGTAGCGTTTTGGTAGTAGATACGTATCCGCGTAGTGCTCCTTCACTTCCGAGACCGGCGTCGACGAGCCTCACCAACGCGACGCTAGTGACGTGGAGGACAATGACAATGGGAAGCGCGCAACAACAGTAGCCATATCCGTCCAGAAAGTTGGAGCGAGTAACGGTGTAGCTTCAGAGATCGCTTCAGATGTACACGTTGAAGCAGCGGAAGTGTTCGTAACGGCTACTGAACTTCAGTTCGAAGGGATCAATCACCCTTGTCAAGTTGCAATCTTGAAGAGGTGCAGACGGCAAGAGCGACTCCATGGGCAAGATAAATCACGAGCACGCGAGCGACGCCGTCACGGAGGATAAGAAGCCGAGTCATCCGGCCACGGCCTTGGCCTGAGCCGCCACGTTGGCACGCCGGAATCCTCACCAACGCTCGCCACTTGGCGCGTTACAGCAATAGCTCTCGCAACCCGCGCAGCTGTTCCAGTCATTTTCTTGGCTCGCGCGGAGGAGCAAAAGGGATTTGTCGGCCTCGGAGACAAGCGGCCGTGGTCTGTCTTGGCCTTGCTTGATCTTGACCCACTTTGCACCGGGCTGCGACGCGATCGACCGCGTCGAATAGAAGGGCGGGCGTTTCCAGGGGAAAAGGGAGCGGAGCAGAGCTGCAGTTGACGCCCGACTTGGGACGCTGATCGCAAGCTGCAGTTTCTGGCTCGGTCTCAAGTCCCTCCGGTCACTCCACGACACTCGACCAACAGCAGCGCGATGGTTCTCCCGGCCGCCACGTTGGCCATCAGGTCGGTGGTAGCCACCGTCACGACGATGCCCTGGAGCGTCTTGAAGCACATGGAGCAGACGCTGCTGTGGAGCGTCCCGCCCGAGCCGAAGGGCCCCACGTGGGCTGACGACGTCTTCACCGCGACGAAAGGGGTCTCCATCTCGACCGCCTTGGCCTGCATGGAGGACGAACTCACGGACAGCTGCAGCTCCGGCGTGTTCTCGAGCGACGAGAACGGAGACTGGAGCAGCGACGAAGTGAGTCTCGACGGCTACTCGGACGACGAAGACGCAGACGACGACGACGACACTTCCTCAATGTACGCGTACCAAGGCGAGCGCTGGTACTGGACGCCGCCAAGCTCGACCAACAGCGTCCAGAGCTACGAGGACAAGTACGAGACGGCCAGCCAGCGCAGCGCGGACTTGGACGAGTTCGGGCTTGAGCGCGCAGACGAGCACTACCGACGCCCCACGATGTACGCCATGCCGTCGATTGACTTTGGCTCGGACGGCGTTGTCGACTCCTGGGTCGACCGCTACGGCTCCAGCCGATCCGACTTCACCTACGTCGCGACAGTGCCCGACGCAATCGACACAGACGAGGCCCAGGAACCTCGACACGAGCTGCCTCCTCACCTCGCTGGCTTCTACATCCCCGTGCTGTAAACAAAACTCGCCTATAACCAGGCTCAATTATCAACTGCTGCGGAGGAGGAGGACAACAGTACCCAATGCTGTGCTGGAGAACTAAACTTTCTCCCGACCGGCCAAAACTGTACTATAAGCTCCAAGTCGCTGACCCGCTGGGCTCGGTGCGGCTCCGAGCACCCCGCTGTAAGATCCGGCGCATATTTTCCACTCCAGCCCGACACCAAGTGACGATCTACTTTCAAAGAGGACGGATCGCTCAAGTCCGTCCACCGATGCCTGCCACGGCAGAGAGAGCGAGAACTTGGACGTATTGTCCAGCTCAGCAGGACCTCGACACGTCCGTCAAATTTTCACGCTAACGCACGCTAATAGAGACTGTAGCCATCTTGAGCCCGTGCAAGTTGAAGTGGTTGAAGCGGTGGAGTGGCTCTGCCGCAGGTGTCGCGTCAAACCGTTTTTCTCGACAAAATTCTGCTGCACGGGCCCACGAACGACGAGAGATGAAGACCCGCGACGCGACGCTAGCTGGCAGGCAGCGGCGGCACTTCAGAATTTCGGCGATCACGGCGCAGTCCCAATCATCACGCGCAGCAGACACGAGCAGCCTCAAGAGAACGACCGAAAACGCGACAGTGGCGATGGCGCTCCTCGCGCGCACCTTCCGGACGGTCGTGGGGCTCCCGTGGAGCACCCTCGCGCTGCTGGACAGGGCGATGCGGTGGAGCGCTGAGCCAGAGCTCCTGCTGGAGGCTGCGACGTCCGAGATCTGGGCCGAAGATCTCTTCGCGCCCTGCTCCACCAAGTGCTGCCTCTCGTACAGCAACGACGACGTCACCGACAGCTCCGGCTCCGAGATGTGCGACGAAGAAGACGAAGACGAGTGGACTTGCAGCGAGAGTGAGGAGGAACTGGACGGGTTCAGCTTCGCGGCCGACGGAGACGTTGACTTCTGGGGCGACCGCTGGTTCTGGATTCCGTGCCAGGACGACGAGGATTTTGCTGCTCATAGTTGCTCGGACTTGATCGACATGAAGGACGCGGAGCAGGTGACCTATGTTGCGGAGAGGTTGGTCGACTACGCCATGCCAACGATGGACCCCAACACGGACGCTGCAGTAGACTCTTGGATCGACAAGTACGGATCCAGCAGATCGCAAGTCCGCTTTGTGACCATGACGATAGGAAGTTCATCGACAGGGCTCTTCGTCACTGTCCTATAAGCCCAAAATACACTAGGTAGGATTGCTAGTAAAGAAAAACTTCGTATAAGCACCCATACTATTGTGAACGGCAACTCGTCAATCCTTTGAACCTCCTTATACCTATCTCGATTAAGATCCCATGACATTAACCCTTAAACGAAAGATTTGTTTTTTGGTCAGAACCTCTTAACTCCACCATTCCTGAACTGAACTTGCTGCCACGGCGAGACACTGCTCCGAGTTCTTGCAGATTCAATTGCAAAGGTAAGGGAATATGAGTGCCTTTTCTTCTTCACTATTAAAAGCAGCAGTGTTTCAAAGACGAGAGCTCTTCACGTCCACGCAGTGAAAGAGAAACCCAACATGGTGAAGCTGCTTTGTCCAAGACCAGACGAAGAAGGCGACCTCATAAGATCATGAATCATATAATCCCGGCATTCATTCTCGAAGGCCAACGCCTCTTTGCCCAGAGAGAAGCATTTGTCAGCAACGAGAACATAAGTAAACATCCACGAAGGGAGAATAGTTGTTGAATACTTATATCTTCAAAAAGCGCTTGAACACGCAGGGTGTGGTCGTCATACCACAGAGCCTTCACTTTCGAAGATCTGGTAGTAGCCAAGATAGTGCCCCAATAATCGGTACAATCCCATTTGGGTGAAGGCGTTCTTGATGGAACCCGTGACGCGCCACAGAGTGGTTGGCGGAGGAGCATCTTGGCTTGGAACCTTTACTAGTACGTGGACTTGATTCGTCTTGGAGCAAGCACTCCTGTCATTTTGTGCGCGTTGAGCCGAGCCAGTCCTCGACAGACCACCCGGCACCCAATATATTAGCATCCTCGTTCATCATCGCCTCGATTTCGCTGTCCGGTCGATGGCCTGTTCAAACTGTTTACGAACTTACAGGTAGATCTTCTTAGTCTGGTCGCGCTTGGCATGCAGCACGATGGCATCGACGATGTACTCGTTGAACAAAAGGCAGTCACCGTTCGCGAAGCGCAACCGCTTCTTGTGCACCACGTCCGGGTACAAGTCGTCCGTCAAGATCTGCACGTACTGCGCAGCGGGGGTCGTGTCAGGCGACAGCTTCACTCGAGACGTGGGCAGGTAAACCACGCACAGCATGAGTACGACGATGAAAATACAACCGGCTAACGTCACCAAGGCAGTCGCAGTGGGAACGTTCACTTCAATATCAGTCGTTGCAACAGCAGTTCCGTTAAGTGATTCTGAACCAGAACTGCTCGATGCCATGGCGGCCGAGAGTGCCAGACGCCGTCGAGACATGAGATCCGCGTAAGACGTCGGAACTCCACGCTGCACCAGGTAAAACAACGCCGCGGAGTACATGTCCTGCGACGACTGACCGTCCAGGTAGAAGTGGTTCGTCTCGACGTGATTTAGGTACGAGTCCACGAGCGGATCGCAATCGGCCGTTCGACTGGGGCGCACGAGCATGCCGTTCGCCGATACGAGTCGGTGCCATGACGTGAGGGCCTCGTCCCCCGGTTGAGTCATATCTGGGATCGCCGCTGAATGCAAAGTCACGAGAGCAACAGGCTGTGTCACGTGCTGTGTAGCCAGGGCGTCCTTGCCAACTAGCAGCACGCCGTCACCCGTTGCGAATGGCAGACTCAGTCCGAGACACTGCTGATCGCCGTCGTCCGCACACGCCGCGTCGTGACGAATGTGCAGTGGACTTATTTGCCACGAGAGTTTGCCCATCGACAGCGTCAGCACCTCGTGTGGAGTCTGAGATGCCCCCAGGCCCTGTACGTACTGGTTCCCGGCGCTGTAGACCAAGGCTGAGTTGTCGTCATGCTCGTATGTTGCAATGGACACGCCTGGGTGCATATGGAGTTTATCCAGAACGCTCGTCGACGTGGCATGCACGCAACCGGTAGATCCACAGCGCGTAGTTCCCACACTGTCACTGTCAGGTTCGACTGGAGTGGACACTGTCAAACTCATGAAGCGCACATCTTCAGCCAGTTCTCGGTGTTCCAGTCGGAGGACCAGGTCACCAACTTGCGTGTTGCTCGGCATAGCAGCCTTCAGCCTGCTAGCAACGATATGTACTAGGTCGTCGAACGAATGCGGACTGGGTGAAACACCAACTGACACACTAGCAAGACCCAGCTTCGACGTTCCCTGCTGGAAAGTTGAATACAGCTCGGCAGGATCCCAGTCGTCGGTCATCGCAAACTTCTCGCGGTTGGCCAGGTAGTCCCGGAACGGGATTTCCATCGCATTCACTGGCGCTGCGGTCTTTGAAGAGAGCAGCGCTGCGTTCCATGCGTGTGACGGGAAGCTGAAGCTCACAGACGTGGTGTCCACGTCGTCGGACCATGCTCCCCATCGTTGATGTTCACCATTAGTGTTCTCCTTGAGCCATTTGCAGGAATCTTGAAACTCGATGGGTACCGTGACGCCCGTCACGGACGTTCGCAGGATAGAGTCCAGCGCATCGGTCTCGGAGTTGATGAGCAACGGTGCGTCCGTCTGGATCAGTGTAGTCGTCATCTCATCAGACGCAACAAGTCGCCTGGAGGTAGCGCCAGGCCCCTCGGTGGCCTGACCCACGTAGACACTCGTGAAGCCGACATTCATAAGGATAATCACCGTCTTGAGCCCCCAGAAGATGCAGCGCGCCTTCACTGCCGAGTGCACGCGCGCCGGCTGGTCTCCGGGATAGAGGCTGCAGTTGTGCAGGTACGTGGCGAGCGTGGGGAAGATGAGCGTCTCGCAGAAGACCTCGAAGACCTTGCCGCCCGCGAACAGGATGTAGCCGAAGAGCGTGTTGTAGTCCTCCACGACGGACGACGCCTTCGCGGACAGCGTCTCGTTGGCCGCCAGCTTGCTCTCGTCCACATGCGTGAGCGTCTTCTTGTTGCTCGTGAGCAGGGCGAAGCCGAACGCGAAGACCAGCGCCGCCACCACGCACAGCACGAAGCGGCTGAGTCGCAGACTCATGTCCACGATCGTGTTGCGGTCGGCCACCGCGTTGGTGTGCGCCATGTCGCCGGCCGCCTCGGCCGTAGTCGGGCTCTGCTGCAGGTAGTCGCCGCTAGCGGCGGGGAGAGAGGCCGGCATGAAGCTGCTGGTGGAGTGCGAAGTGGCCCCACTGGCGCCGCCTTGGCCGCCCTGCGGCTGCGGGTCCATTGAGCTGTTGTGGTGGAAGTGATGCAAAGGCTTTATGACGGACGAGAGGGTTGTGTGATTGAGAGGATTGGGCGTGTTCACCAAAGTGGTTGATCATAGAGTTCATACCCCTTAAAATGTAATAGTTGAGCTCGTCATGCCTTGACGGAGAGTCGATATATCCGAATCAGACCTGATGTGGGTGGTGCGTTTGGGTTCGCGCTGCTGCCGCCACCGAGCCTGCGAATACTCTGCATCGGTGCCACCACTGCATCTAGGTTCGTAGCGGCAAGCGCGGCGTGGTGAAGCCAGTTGCTGGTAAAGTCTTCTGCAGTCGCCGCTACGTTAACCCGCAAACCCTTCCAATCCTTGTTTTCGGCGACAACACATCCAGATATATGTAGATACAGCTGCGCAGCACCGCGTCTCTAAACCCGCGATATCACATCGCACGTTCGGCCTTTTACGGACCCATACAAATGCCAAGACTAAGTAACGTCCGGAGGGAGGAGCAGCAGTATCATGGGCCGGCCGTCAAGGAGCGCGCAAGCCGAAGCCAAGAGCGTCGGCAGCTGGAGCAGGAGCGCATGTCTTCGTACACGGACGACGCCTTCGAGTGCGAGTCACCGCACGCCATCTGGCCAGCAGCCGCGGGCAGCGGCCCGGGCCGCCGCGCGGCGACGTGCAGACGCGTCCCCGTACCTGGTGGTGGACAACATCGGCCGCCTGCGCGTGGACAGTGTGAGCGACAGCGACGCCCACGACGACGTGGCGTACGGCGAGCTGGCCCAGCCGCGGCCCGAGATCATTTTGCGCTGGAAGCGCTTCGCCGTGCTCGTGGTGCTCACGGCCGCCCCATCGCCGCGTGGCTGCGCGAGGGCTTCGTGGTGAACAAGAACGTCCCCGTGGACAAGGCGGACATGGTCAACTCGTACATCGGTCTCATCATGGGCTTCGTCGAGTCGTTCGTGGGCCTGGGCGTGGAGGAGATCTTCTCCGTCTTCATCGTGTACCTGCACAACCTGCGCTGGTACCCGGGCGACGACCCGGCCACCAAGAGGCAGAGCAAGTTCAAGAAGTTCTCGCTCACGATCTTCATCCCGGCGGTCATGATGGCCGTGATCAGCTCCATGTCGGCCTTCCAGGCCAACCAGAAGGACGACAACAACAACGGAGCCAGCCAGCAGCAGCAGCAACAACTCCTCGACCAACGCCACGGCCACGAGGTTTCTCATGCAGGAGGTGACGGAGCTAGGATGGACAGGACTGGCTGACTCCATCTTGAAGACGGCGCTAGAGAGGAGAGTGGACCCCATGCTGCCGCTGGACACGTCGCGGTGCACCGCGGAGGAGTCGGAGCTGCTGTCAGCGCAGTCACTGCTTGCTGCAGCCCCGAAGGCGGCTTTCGGTTTCCCGCTGCAGGAATGAAGCGCGGAGTTCGGCAACGGCTGGCACCGAGAAGAAGTGACCAAGCGCTACGAGGTGGCGTATCCTGGTGCGGGGAATGCTGATAGAGACGTGCAGCTGAGCGAGGTGATGCCACTGACGACAGCTTACGAGTTGTGGACGCAAGGGAAATCTGTCTTGCTCAAGAGCGTACGAGCAACTTCCAGTGGCCAAGTGAGCACAGCACCATCGACAACGGGCGAGCTTTTGGGAAGGGGGGGTTGACCTCTCTCCTCGGGGCGGAACTCCTTTTGGCTGAAACAGCTTCTTTGGATGCTTCCTTTGAGAGGATGGCCCTGAGCTCCTTGACGGACATGGATGTAATGACACTGAAAGTGCCGCTGCGCGCCCCGACCAACTCCTCCGTTGTCTGCGGTGAGATGACTTGTGCGCTACTGGAGCCGTAACTGAGTTGGGGCAGCGACTGCCGCGCAAGCAGATCGGAATGATGCAGATGTCGGGAAATTGCTCACTTTCGGCAGAGTGCGGAGCTGTCTCCTGTATGGTTTAACAGCGGAGACCACCGGTGTTTCTGATGACCAGGGCGAGATTGAACGTTCGTTGGTGCTGTCGTTTGTACAACTTTCGTGACGATTTGATAGTGCGGCGTACGAGTGCGACACTGGCGCTTCCTGCCAAGTATTGCACCACCAGCTCGAAGATGGTGACCGTTATTTGGTTGTGCCTAAGCAACTGTTGCCTGCTATGGTGGACACAATGGCAGCGTCAGCGCTGCTGTTTCTCTTTCAAAACGCTCGAGTTTTGAATACTGCGCCGGGGGTGGAGATCATGATGAGTAGACCACTTTAAAAGTGGCAATTGTCAATTTCTCCACTTTTTGCGTTAAAATGGCGCTTTTTCTTGCCAGGAAGTGGAAAAAGAGGAATCCATACAATATCCAAGTATAATTACTAACCGTCTGACTAAGTACGAGCCTTAAGATGCAGACACATTGCAGGTCTGTAGTAAATACTTCAGACACATTGCAGGTCTGTAGTAAATACTTCAGCAACCTTTGTGTTAGACTCTGAGCTCGCTGTGCATCATATCTATGCCCCTGCTGGCCCTTCCAAACCTCGTTATGTATCGATCAAAATACGCAAATGTATAAGGTACGGTGCCACTTGTGTGCCTTAATGTAATCCCGCTCACTGTTTTGCTCATAACTTTTTATTGGGCAATTAGCTTTGAGATGTAAACGCATATCTGAAGAGAGCGCAATCTCTTCTGTTAGCAGACTGTTTTACTGAGCTCTACAGTAAACGAGAGCTCAATTAGGAGCTGCTGACTATTTGCAAACCCATTCACGGCAGGACCAGTTATCTGCCGCATTATATCTGTGGTTTTGTAAGGGGGACAAATCTCTTTTTGCTCTCATGACAGCACCGAAACAACCTGTACAAAATGATTTGCACCCATTTGAAATCGTATAAGACAGGATATACGATATCACAATATGGTACACATTATTATGTGATTTGTGTATAAATATAGTATGATTTGTGCTCAGAGGCAGCGCTGCCATAGCTTAGTGGTAAAGTCCTCGGATCATAACCGAGAGGACGGTGGTTCGATTCCACCTGGCAGCATTAACTCAACCAAAACACTAGTGGGCTAACTGTCAATTAGAGCATTAGGGGGCTGCCACAGAACTGCGAAAGCGACCGACGGCTGCCACCGAGTGAACGGATTGACCGCCAGCATGCTAAGTACCATGAGTCGGGTTCCCCTTCTGATAACGGTTTGAGATCGTCAAATCTCAAAAACCGGACATCACAGCGGGCCCAGGCATACAGAGGGATATCGCATCACTATAGAAAGTAGGAAATAAACAACAAAAACAATGAAGACAATGTGGTGGAAAATGCCCCAGCAAAAGCTTTTTTCTTTGGTTATACTAAACTATCGCCTCCCACACAACTTTATCCTGCTGGTTTGCCTCACCGTGCTTCGACGCAGGCTGGAACTGCAGCTGCACAGGCTCCGACACCGGAGACGGTACCCTCTTCATCTTCGTCGCCTTCGTTGCCATCGGATGCTTCTTCGTCTTGGCTGCCTTCTTGGGCTTCTTCATCGGTTGTGCCATCGCTTCCAGTGTTTCCTTGGTCAAAAGACGACCGGCGACCGTTGCTGTCTTGCGCACCCGCTTCTTGGACGGCGGTAGCACGAGCACCTCCTTCTGCACGACCTCCTTGATTCGGAGCCACGCTGCCAGCTTCGTAGATGCGGGGGTCCCGTTGCGCCGGAAATTGTCGATGCACATGTCCATACGAGGCTTGGACGGAGGGAAAAGGCCGCACCCAGCAAACCCCGCTTTGACGTTCTCACCCGTCTTGCATCCTACCCATGCTGCGCTTGCCATCCGGATGGCTTCCTCTTTGTCGACCGAATTGCGTCCAGTCTCGCCAACGTAGATCTCGATTAGGCGGCGTAGCTTCGCCTTGAACGACGAAAACACAGCGACATCCAGTGGTTGAAGCAGGTGGGTCGCGTTCGAAGGCAGCAACAACAGAAGCACGCCAAGCCGAGCTGCCTCTAAGATGATCTCCACGGAGTAATGAGACGAGCACCCATCCAGAATCAGGTGAAGAGGTCGCTGCACGTCCTTGGGCACGCTAGCCGAAAAAAAGCGCAGCCACTCAAGAAAGAGAAATCCATTCATGAACCCGGAGCTCGAGGTGGTGACGGCAGCTCCGGGTATGGCGCAGCCATCTAGAACTTCGAGCTTGACTGTCAACTCCGACAGCACGAAAAGCGGCGGCACCATGCACCCCGACGCGCTGCCACACGCGACCAGCGTGAGGTGAAAATTGAGCGCAACGTCTTGGTGCCAAACGTTCTTGGAGCCTCGAACCGCCACGACACGCTTGGAGCCCTTGTTGGTCTGAAGCGCTGTTTCGTCCATGTTGAACACGCGAGACGCGCCCAAACGATTCTCGACCACAGCCTTGATCAACGAGCTAAAAAACTGCTCGAGATCGCTCTTGGTCACAGCGTTGCGGGTCTTGCATACCGCCTGAGACGTTCGGGTTGCCAGCATCGGGTGTCGCCCCATGAAGCGGCGGTACCACCCGCCACCAACCGTTTGACCAGTGGCCATGGAGCTCATGGTGCCGGCTTTGAAGATGATCTCCTTGCGACTTGCGGGGTGACCGACCAGTTGGCGCCCGACAATCCACTCGACCAAGCATGCCTCCGCTTTTTTCGAGAGCAGCGGAGCCGGGCCATGACGAACAGGTGCGCGGAAGATGCCCACTTTCCCCTTCGCGACCCATTTCGTAAGGGTCCGATACGGAATTGGGGTGCTGTCGCTGACACTGCGGGCGCTGTCGCCGGCGAGGACGCGCTTCACTGCAGAATTGAGGTCTTCGATCTCGTACGCGGGCATTGTCGCGGTGGTCGCTGCGGGGTTGGTGGGTGGTTTGTAGGCTTCAGGAAATAGGAGACTGAGCTCAAACTGGCGGGAAATGTGTCTTGTTCGTATACTGTTTGGCGGGTTTTACTGGCTGGTAGCGCTTACAGACTTTTTACCAATAGGGTTCTTTAAAAATACTTACGACATTCTAATTGGTTGAAGCTAAAGTGGCACGGAACTGGCAGATTGCACGCGACTGGCACCGTACCTTATAGTGACAACAGCGGCAACCGCATACAAGTACCTGCATACGCGTGGCGGCATGGTGTGGCTGTGCGTGGAACCCCGTCTTGCTTCCTTGCAGTACACCTATGAATCTTTGCGTTGATGAATCATGCCGCTTGCCTTGAAGAGCTATAACGTGTGAACTTCGCTATTGCCTCGGGTGTAGCTAGCAAAAGTACGGATATTTCGCTACAGTCGTATTCGTCGACTCCAACGGCATTTTCGCAGTTTCTGCCGTGTATGGCATGCATCGGTACTGTGTCAGTGCCATTTTAACAGCTATCGTGAGTGCTATTGACTTGAACTTTGGCCATTCTAACCAAAATTTGTTCCACCTTTAAGATTCGCCAGAAAGTGGAAAAGGTGGATTTTTTTTTCTGATTTGACCACTTTAACCCCTCCAACCCGGATGTTGCATAATGCAGCATAGCCTTTCCACATAAACTGAATATATTCAGCTTAAGCGATTACTTGAAATTTGTATGAGTGTCCTTTCCCCCGACACGAGGGTATACAAACTTTAAGTTTAAAATTATCGGGTTTCTGTTCGCGCCTTTCTTTTGCAACATAGGAAAGGACATACACTTTGTCTAAATCTAAAATTTGGAATCTGGCAGGTTCACCGTACTGCAACGGATTTGCATATGATACTAGAGGCTTTTGGGACACTCCAAACGAGTGGTTCAGCACTTGGCCGCTCGCCGCTTTTAGAAAACTGGCCTCATTCGAGAATTTGCGCGCGCGGAGCACACATCGACAGAGAAGCTGTGCGGGGAAGATCGAGCTTAACCGCTCTGGTGATAGCCTGCTGGAGCAAGTCTGGACACGGGCTCGGCGACCACTACTTCTACCTGCGGTCTGGAGGCGACGCAAGCAACACCAACGGCGTAAATGTGTCCGTGGCGATGAATCGTTGGGTGATTCCTACGCAATTCGTATGATTCCATTGGTTTATGCTAGCTAAAAAACCTCTTACGCGCTTATGTGCTCTGTGTGCAGTTCTCGACTTGGAACCCATACTCCAGCAACAGCCCTTTCCCATCCTTCGACTTTGTTACGGCTTTCTTCTCGGATTAAGTCTACCTTCGGTGTGCAACTAGTGGTGCTCGTATCGCTGCCGCCGCCGACGTCAGTCGGACGAGCTACGCGGCTGCCACTGAGAGCTCCCTGCTACTGTGGACACAACCAACTGATCATGATTCAAGTGCGGTTTCAGCGCTGAGCGAGTCGGGTAAGTTGAATGTTAAGCTGCATGGATGTACTATACTGTGTTGTAAGCTGCATCTTATACTGAATATTACCCTGAACACGCTGTTCAGGCGCCGTTGATAAGGCTAGCGGGATCATCAACAAGTTGTTAGCAGACAACAACGACCGAGACTAGCGCGATTGGCTTCGCTGAAGACATGGAGCCTCGCTGCGCTCCGGATGACGAAAAGATGGGCCGCAGCTGTGTTGAGTTTGATGGCAAACACATCCGGGGGCAACGATGAAGTGTTGGTGAGGAATCACATGAAGGTCCATCTGCGTACTGCGCGGAGTGTCAATGAGGCGGAAATACATCTTAGTTCGCAAGATGACAACGGAAACGGAGTTATTCCGTTTAGGTAGCCTCCAAGTAACAGCGTATATCCACAATGAAAAACAACGATATTTATCCTAGCATTCCGTGAGTCGACTTAGTTCCTACAGCATACGTTCTTAGGCGAAAGGATTCCCGGTCGTGCCATGGTCGGGTAGCATGTCAGCTCGTGTTTTTACCACGACAAAGTACCAAGTACCAGAACGTGAAAGTTGCCCATGCGTTCATGACGGGTTGCGGGCGGGCATGACAAGTGCGGCTGGCGAAGTCCGATTGTCCCTTCATGAAGGCCCAGAACCATGTACGTGATGCTGCTACGACCTGCTGAGACGTCGCCCGAGTGATGCCTACATGGAAAACTTATTGAAGGCAACACCATCCGAGTACAACGGCGTTAGAGCTTTGCCTGACACTCCACGGATCTCCGCGTCAAGCAAACGTTGTCGCACGTTGCCGTTGTGATTAAGCTGCATATTGTCCTGTGCTAGGCTATATAATGCAGGATAACGCTGATTGCATGCGTGTTGTTTGTTCAGTAAGCACTCTGTTTACCACTGTAGTGCAGCTTCAATCGCCTGTTTTCGCGCACGTCCATCTCCACCGGCATCATGTTCGGGCAGGCCGATCTTGACCTGCATCCTACAACCCCAGTTTATGAGCATCGAGCCACTGCTAGACGCGTGTTCAAGCAGCTGTTGATGCTGGATGCTTACTTCATTAGATATTTGTATACAACGAAAAACGCGCAGTGGCGTTTCCTTTGACTGCCTTACCAGCAACGTATGATCGCGTTACCAGCTAGGGGTGACACCCCAACCTGTATATGATTCATTGTATGGGAAGTTTGATTTTCGAAATTTAGAATATGAGGACAAGGTGTAGTGCCGCTGGGCACGTGTTCTGTTCCAGTAGTGCCCTGTCCATTTCCTTGGTAACCCGTATAATACAGCTTAGGTGTGTGGCGTTGGCAAGCAACATGCAGTATACAGCAGTTTTAGCACCGTTCTACACACTTTTGCAAAGCTCAGCCTTTCGCTTGCCGCCAACCCGATCCCTTTATATACAAACATCAAGACTAATTATGCTGCATACTGCATATGAAAAAACTTTTGGGGCTCCGGTTTGGAGGGGTTAAAGGGGTCATCATTGATGACCCAAAGTCTTGCTGATACAAATTCCCGTCAACTCAAGGTCTTCCGGGCGAATACCAAGGTGGGAAATATCTGTACCTGGACGAGATGCGCGGTGCTGTTGTTGTTGACAGTCTTGACCCTGGTGCTGCCGAACGAGCGAGCTCGGCTCTCTCCTCCTCGTGGAGCAATGCCCGCACCGAAAAGTTCGTGGCTGGGCAGACAGAGCAGATTTACCCCAACCTGATTTACAAGAAACGCTTCCTGATCGGCAAAACCGGCGAAGAGATTAAGTTCGGCGAGTTCGCCGTCGAGTCCGTCGGCCTGTACCACAAAATGGAGGAAGGCAAGCAGATCTACATTTGAGCGATCGCGAACCACTCTGAGGCCTAGTTAGGTACGGACTTTGCGTGGCACTCTGTTTCCGAATGAAATAGCCTGCGCCATGGCGAGATGAACTGGTGGTATACACGCACAGTTTAGCACCATGTCGGCCAAAAGCGGATTACATGGGTTCGTAATTGGTGTATGAACTGTAGTATATGCCAGCAGAGCGAAGTTTGATGCCCGTCGCAAGCAATTTCCCCATTATGGTACATGGCACGACCAATTGCCATGGCACCAATGCATGGCACTTCCATGGCACCAGTTACCTAAACCTTAGTAGTCCTCGGCCAATGAAAATTGACATGGCATGGCACGAATGGCACGCGGTTAGAACTGGCGCTGAGGGCCGCTCCTAAATGTGCCACGCCATGCCATACCACGCCACATTTGTCGTCTCGTGGTGGCACGGATGGCATCGTGTTGATAGGAGTACCAAGTGCCATACCGTAATATATCTGGTGACACGCGAAAGAAAACATCTGGCCATTTTCATTCTGACAGAGGAAACACCATCATGTCCAGGAACAGCAAGCGGGCCAAGAGCACCTCTTCCTCAAGCAGCAGCCCCACAAAGCGTGCCAAGACTGCAACAGTGACATCTACAGCTGCGCTATCGACCGATCATGCTACCTGTACGCTGCCAGCACCACCCACCGCCCTGCATCGGCAAGTGAGTCTGCGGCAACATCCACGGTTCCTATTCGGGAGTCTACACCCGGGGCGCCTCGCTAACTATACACCTGGGCGGTCCAGGCGTTCACCCGCCTCGCCTCATCAAACTCATGAAGCGCACGTCTTCACCCAGTTCTCGGTGTTCAAGTCGGAGGACCAGGTCACCAACTCGGGCGTTGCTCGGCATAGCAGCCTTCAGCTTACCCGCGACGACATGGCCTAGGCCGGTGAATGACTGCGGGGTCGTCGAAACACCCATGACGCGTTAGCAAGACCCAGCTTCGACCAACCCTGCTGGAAAGTTGAATAGATCTCGGCAGGATCTCAGTCGTTGGTCATCCCATACTTCCCACGGTTGTCCAGGTAGTGCCGGAGCGGAATTTCTATCCCATTCACTGTCCACATGGTCGGCCTAATCCCCCCCCACTGTTGGTGTCCATCCTTGTTGTCTTGGTTGTGCATTTGCAGGAATCTTGAAACTCGAAGGGTGTCGTGATTCCCGTCACGGACGTCCGCAGGATAGAATCTAGCGCATCGGTCTCGGAGTCCATGACCCACTGCGGCTCTATCTGAAGCGGTAATTCTTCGGACGTAGTAAGGCGTCTTGAAGGAGTGTCCATGCTCTCTTTTCCAACGTAGACACTGGTAAATTCGACGTTCATGAAAACGATCTCCGTCTTGAGGCCCAGAAGATGCAGCGTTCCTTGTTGACTGAGTGTACACGTGTTGGATGATCTCCATGATACAAGCTGCAGTTATGGAGGTACGTGACGAGAGAGGGGAAGATTAGCGCCTCGCAGAAGACCGTAAAGATGCTCGACCCCATGAACTGCAGGTAGCCCGAGATTGGGTTGTTTTCCACGGCGGCCGACGCCTTGGACGACATTGTTTCGCCATCCCCGAATTCACTCTCATATATGTACGTGAGTGTTTCCATGCGGTACGTCCGGAAAACTATCGCGAAGGCAATCGCGAAGGCGAGTGCAATGCTCATACTCAGAACGAAGCGCTTGACTCGCAGGTTCATGTCCACGATGGTGTCGCGGTCGTCTGAAGCCTTCGCGTGCGTCGCATTCTCCGCTGGCTCGCAGTGGATGAAGCTATGCTTGGGGCAGTCCTCGTGACCGAGTTGGTGCAGCGTGGTCGAGATAGGTCAATACGAAGGTGGAGGGAGTCTAGACAAGTTGCGACGCATCACAAGCACCATTACAATCCCAGCGAGAACAGGTCTCCTCAGATATTAGTGACTCCGAGCAGTGCGTCTTTTGTGGACCCGGCAACGGACGAGTTCAAGTACCAGCAAATTGAACGCTACGACGTCTTGGACCGCTGATTAAAGCGCAGAGCTATCCGTTGATGTCGTGGAGCATCCGATACCCCCTCAACGCGAATGTTCAGCAATGGGACATCAGTTGTTGAGCCGCTGTACCAGCCATGCATTTCCACAGACAAGGCCAGCCAATTGTTCTCGTGTGTGAGGTATCCATGGTAGTTTGGGCCTTTCATGCACATCTTAGTCTTAACCATAAGCTATGCCGACTAGTAGGTTTGCTCGCACGTGCCCATTATGATGTAAGAGGGAACTGATAACCATTTTTGTCTGTGCGCAGGCGAAGCTGGGAATCACAGTGTGGGGATGTGTTTTACAGTCGAAACGTTGCAGTCCAAACTTACCCACGAGAAAAGAAGCAGCTTCGTACCATGACGTAAACTGCGATAGAGTTTCTCCCGACTGCGATGCATGCAATACCAGGCCACTTCAAACGCGCTGCCCCATCACTGTCCACATCGTCGGCCTAATCCCCCCCACTGTTGGTGTCCATCCTTGTTGTCTTGGTTGTGCATTTGCAGGAATCTTGAAACTCGAAGGGTGTCGTGATTCCCGTCACGGACGTCCGCAGGATAGAATCTAGCGCATCGGTCTCGGAGTCCATGACCCACTGCGGCTCTATCTGAAGCGGTAATTCTTCGGACGTAGTAAGGCGTCTTGAAGGAGTGTCCATGCTCTCTTTTCCAACGTAGACACTGGTAAATTCGACGTTCATGAAAACGATCTCCGTCTTGAGGCCCAGAAGATGCAGCGTTCCTTGTTGACTGAGTGTACACGTGTTGGATGATCTCCATGATACAAGCTGCAGTTATGGAGGTACGTGACGAGAGAGGGGAAGATTAGCGCCTCGCAGAAGACCGTAAAGATGCTCGACCCCATGAACTGCAGGTAGCCCGAGATTGGGTTGTTTTCCACGGCGGCCGACGCCTTGGACGACATTGTTTCGCCATCCCCGAATTCACTCTCATATATGTACGTGAGTGTTTCCATGCGGTACGTCCGGAAAACTATCGCGAAGGCAATCGCGAAGGCGAGTGCAATGCTTACACTCAGAACGAAGCGCTTGACTGGCAGGTTCATGTCCACGATGGTGTCGCGGTCGTCTGAAGCCTTCGCGTGCGTCGCATTCTCCGCTGGCTCGCAGTGGATGAAGCTATGCTTGGGGCAGTCCTCGTGACCGAGTTGGTGCAGCGTGGTCGAGATAGGTCAATACGAAGGTGGAGGGAGTCTAGACAAGTTGCGACGCATCACAAGCACCATTACAATCCCAGCGAGAACAGGTCTCCTCAGATATTAGTGACTCCGAGCAGTGCGTCTTTTGTGGACCCGGCAACGGACGAGTTCAAGTACCAGCAAATTGAACGCTACGACGTCTTGGACCGCTGATTAAAGCGCAGAGCTATCCGTTGATGTCGTGGAGCATCCGATACCCCCTCAACGCGAATGTTAGCAATGGGACATCAGTTGTTGAGCCGCTGTACCAGCCATGCATTTCCACAGACAAGGCCAGCCAATTGTTCTCGTGTGTGAGGTATCCATGGTAGTTTGGGCCTTTCATGCACATCTTAGTCTTAACCATAAGCTATGCCGACTAGTAGGTTTGCTCGCACGTGCCCATTATGATGTAAGAGGGAACTGATAACCATTTTTGTCTGTGCGCAGGCGAAGCTGGGAATCACAGTGTGGGGATGTGTTTTACGGTCGAAACGTTGCAGTCCAAACTTACCCACGAGAAAAGAAGCAGCTTCGTACCATGACGTAAACTGCGATAGAGTTTCTCCCGACTGCGATGCATGCAATACCAGGCCACTTCAAACGCGCTGCCCCATCACTGTCCACATCGTCGGCCTAATCCCCCCCACTGTTGGTGTCCATCCTTGTTGTCTTGGTTGTGCATTTGCAGGAATCTTGAAACTCGAAGGGTGTCGTGATTCCCGTCACGGACGTCCGCAGGATAGAATCTAGCGCATCGGTCTCGGAGTCCATGACCCACTGCGGCTCTATCTGAAGCGGTAATTCTTCGGACGTAGTAAGGCGTCTTGAAGGAGTGTCCATGCTCTCTTTTCCAACGTAGACACTGGTAAATTCGACGTTCATGAAAACGATCTCCGTCTTGAGGCCCAGAAGATGCAGCGTTCCTTGTTGACTGAGTGTACACGTGTTGGATGATCTCCATGATACAAGCTGCAGTTATGGAGGTACGTGACGAGAGAGGGGAAGATTAGCGCCTCGCAGAAGACCGTAAAGATGCTCGACCCCATGAACTGCATGTAGCCCGAGATTGTGTTGTTTTCCACGGCGGCCGACGCCTTGGACGACATTGTTTCGCCATCCCCGAATTCACTCTCATATATGTACGTGAGTGTTTCCATGCGGTACGTCCGGAAAACTATCGCGAAGGCAATCGCGAAGGCGAGTGCAATGCTTACACTCAGAACGAAGCGCTTGACTCGCAGGTTCATGTCCACGATGGTGTCGCGGTCGTCTGAAGCCTTCGCGTGCGTCGCATAAGCAGCTTCGTACCATGACGTAAACTGCGATAGAGTTTCTCCCGACTGCGATGCATGCAATACCAGGCCACTTCAAACGCGCTGCCCCATCACTGTCCACATCGTCGGCCTAATCCCCCCCCCACTGTTGGTGTCCATCCTTGTTGTCTTGGTTGTGCATTTGCAGGAATCTTGAAACTCGAAGGGTGTCGTGATTCCCGTCACGGACGTCCGCAGGATAGAATCTAGCGCATCGGTCTCGGAGTCCATGACCCACTGCGGCTCTATCTGAAGCGGTAATTCTTCGGACGTAGTAAGGCGTCTTGAAGGAGTGTCCATGCTCTCTTTTCCAACGTAGACACTGGTAAATTCGACGTTCATGAAAACGATCTCCGTCTTGAGGCCCAGAAGATGCAGCGTTCCTTGTTGACTGAGTGTACACGTGTTGGATGATCTCCATGATACAAGCTGCAGTTATGGAGGTACGT